AACATTTTGATACGAAGCTAAACTTATATGATGTCAGCGCAAATTATTTCTAAAAGGACTGTAGAAACCAAGAGGGTTTTGACAGTCACCCTTTGTAACAAGCGGGTGGAGGCGCCTGTGCTATATTTGGTGCCTTTCTCAACTTTTTTGTTCGGAACAGAAACACAATGGGTAACTAACAACATCACATCCGCTTCCATCTATCGCTGTAATGACCCAGTCATCCTTAACACCCTTTTTTACAGGTGCGACCGGTGTTGACTCTCCAACTGACCTACCGGTCAAGCAACTGAGTCTTTTAGCCCTAGTGTTTCAAAACAGTGCCGTAACGCTTATAATGCGCTATACTGTAGCAGGCTTAACAAAAGAAGAGCGATATCTCCCTTCCATGGTGGTTCTGCTTAGCGAATTATTGAAATCTTTTGTTTGCGTATCTATCCTCGCACTATACCTGCCCGAAAGGAACTTTACCTCCCTCAAAAGAGTCTTATACCGAGAGCTCATTGGCAACCATAGAGAAATGCTAAAGCTCTCTATACCCGCACTACTCTATTTGATACAGGTAACATGCAGGAACATCGGTCAAAACGAACTGATTATGAGATTTTGACTATAATTAACTGGGATGTAATTTTAGAACAATCTCCAGTTCATTGCTTCGTCGAATTTAGACCCAGCAACGTTTCAAGTCACTTATCAACTTAAAATCTTGACAACTGCCTTATTCAGCGTCATGATGCTTCAAAAGACGCTTAATCCTTTGAAGTGGATTTCACTGGTGATGCTTACCATTGGAATTGGTCTTGTTCAGGTGTCGACAAACACGTCTGGTCCTGCCGATGATGGTCAGAACAATGTTCAGGGACTGGTGGCGGTTCTGTCTGCTTGCATTCTTTCCGGATTGGCTGGAGTGTATTTTGAAAAGCTGTTAAAAGCTCCCAACAACCGTGGAAAATTGGACGATCTCCAGGAAAAAGGAAAGGCAAATGGCATTGCCTTGGTGCCTGAGGATGCACAGCTCTGGGTCAGAAGCTTACAACTGTCAGTGTGGTCCACGTTTCTAGCTCTATTTCTGACCGTGATCTGGAAAGACGGGAAGGAAGTTTTGGAATATGGACCGTTCCGAAACTTCACTCCTGTTGTGTGGTTATTGGTTGCTGTTCATGCCCTTGGAGGCATCATTGTTGGCATTGTGGTCAAGTATGCCGACAATATTCTCAAAGGATTCGCTACCAGCGTGTCTATCCTCCTCTCCACAGCCCTGTCGGTACTGTTGATGAACTTTGCCATTACTGGCGTGTTTTTGATAGGCACATTTTTGGTAGTTTCTGCTACTTATCTGTATAGTTTGTAATAATGTTTGTGATTCATACAACGTGATAATATACCGTCCTGTAAACGCTGCTAGGAAGATGAGTTGAATCACCTATACATACATTCATCGCCAAATGATCCCCTTTGGCGATGAATACATGTATCCTTTTCCACATTGATTGAGTTCTGTGGTGCGTTTGCACAGCAGACAAGAAAAACTCTTGGCAAGTGGAAATAGATCTAATTCTAAGTCAAACTGCTCGAGAACAAGCGTTGGTCAGTGACGAGACCAATTGTCTATCTGAGACTCACAATGATTGAAAGAAGCGTTCCCGTTTTCGATCGATGAAATTTTCATGACGCAGCCCAACGCCCGACGATTCCCTATAATTTTTTTTTTTCATGCAATCTTTTTTATTTTTCCTACGGGCATGGGACTTTTTGGCACATGAGACCTTTTTCGTTTTCTTTGTTAAAAGGAGCAAACCAAGCAAAACATTGGTCACGTATATACGCATTTATCGTCTTCTGTAAGCCACTAGAAAGATCGTCGTGACTATGAACAATGTGAAATTCGGCTTCGTCGCCGGTAAGTGTTGTACAAGTGTGTCAAGGGGGAGTGAACGGAAAACTCATGTTTTGGTGTAGGCTCAGGCGTCATTTTGACCCCACAGCAATTTTCTACTATAACACTTGCCAGCTACGGTAGCAATAAAACATACATGATTGCAGGCAAACGCTCAGATGTTCTCAAGGTCTTGGAAAGGTCATTCGATACTACAATTGTATGTGCGCCACCACCATTAGGCAGTAGACATGATCAAAAGCTTATTGCCGTCCATATCAACTCAGCAAAGAGCATGAGCTTCAGTGTCAAGCCATTTTGCTTGTACCGAGAAATGATGGTGACGTTAAGTGTATACAATGACCAGCAAGACTTGGATATTTCTTTGTGCTGTTTACCATCGACCGTCACGACGGTCAAAATCATCCCATCTGGGACCACGCTGAACCAACTCTCTGACATATTGAAAGAGCGCCGTTACATGGTCAAGAGGCGCATTCGGTATACCGCGACTTCGAAAAGTGACGGTGTCACTAGAGTCTCCATTTGCCACCAGCCCCCGCCCACCTATCAAGCTGCGGTCAGCATGTCACGTTCGAATGATGAGGAAAGCCCGCCGCCCCACTATGGTGCATTTCATGAAACGCTACCCTCGTACTGTCGCTAACGTCTGGGTATTTTATTTGGGCTGTTAGGATGTCCGGCTGTGTTGGCGATACTTTCCTTTTTCTTATCGGAGAGTCTCACAAAAATATCAAGGAAGGTCATACTACTTTTTCTTATCTTTGCAAAGCCAGTAAACGCTAGCTAGGTAGCTAGCTTAAATGACCTAGTTTATATTTTAATAATGCATTTGGAGATTTTATTTGGTTATGACCACATCAGTCATCGGGTTCTTGCCAAGGGAGAATGAATGTCACATGAAATGCTATACCAGGTACGACATCAAAGGGTTACACGGGTGTTGGGTTGAATTAATGAAGATGTTTTATTGTATGAGAGTGGTGGGCAGACGAGTACAGTGTCAGAACGGACAATTAACCACCTGAAATAAAAAAAGAAAAAGAAAAAAAAAAGGGGAATTACACTACAAAAAAAAAAAAAAGGGGTTGTTGTTGTTGTTGTGAGAAAAAAAAGGATGGAGATTATATCAAAAAAAGTATACAAACCAAACGAAGGATATAAACAGCCAGTCATCCATTATTCTACAGCTGTATGCGTATGTTGTTCAGATTAGGTAGCGGGTTCGGGGGGAGGTTTGGTGGGGAGGGGTTGCCCGATTACATTACATCTAATGGGACGATATTAATCTTGGCTTTCGGCATCTTCGCTGAAGAACTTTTCGGCGACAATGTATTGGTCATTGGTTTTAAACAGTCGTTTGATGCATCCAATAGTAGCAGGAATGGTCATGAACAACCAAGCTGAAATTGGCAAACTGATAAAATCAATGGCATTCTTCCAAGTTCTGGATTCGGAAGGTGGCTTTCGGAAAAGTTCACGGTCGACAGCACGATGAAGTTGCTCATAGATGGCCAAGGTACCAAAGAGCGGGAAAGGCAAGAAGATAGTAATAATTTTAACGATGTTCCACAGAGTGGAGAAGAATTCAGAGGTCAGAACAGGGTTCTCATCTGGGTCGACAAAGGCCATGGAGGAAGACGGTGGGAACAGAATGAATTGCATGAGAGGAACGGCAGCGAACATAAGCCATCCAGACGTAGCAGGGATTAAATGCGCTTCCAAAACCTTGACACAAACGATCATTTTGTCAATCCAGTAAGTAGGTGAAGTATACATGCTCATCTTGGATCTTGTAGAGAAACTGGGAGTGGTAGGTGTCATGGGAAGCATGATACCAGTGGAGTCCAAGGATGAGTGAGGATGATCTCTTACACCGTAGGCGTGGCGTAAAGTATAAGCCAGGTCAGCAATGCCATTGTAATGGCGTTTGGCTTGGACGTAACGAGCATTCATGTTAGCAAGGTAGCCGGTGGTTTGAACGTTGGTCAGATTAATTGGTACAAAAATGGGGACACTGCGAGCGAGGCCTTCGGTCTTGAAGAAGCACTTGAGCCACATATGCAAATCCTCTCCGACAGCATCTGCATCCGTATCCCAATATCCGACCTTCTCCGCCAAAATCATGGTTAGACTATAAGTAGAACAAGGGAAGGCGATACCGCGACCACTGCTCAGGTTGGACATGACCAAGGCAGACCAAGTAATATCCGTCACTCTCACCGCAGCAGGCACTTCAAAGCAATTGCGGGAGAAAAAGATGGGGGGCACAAACAGTAAAAAGTATGGATCTTCAGCCTTGTTAAACGCCTTCTCAACCTGAATGTAACACCAAATAATAAATTAGAAATCATAATGGTTAAAAACGTGCAGGGGGGACCTCATGGCCACCAATCATGGTATTTCTTCCTTACCTCACTAATATAGAGCTCAGGAATAGCAGAGTCAGAATCCGAAACAGTGAGAATGATTCTACGTCTATCAACACCTCGCTTCAACAGTTCAGAGCAGCCGACTCGCGCAGCATAGGCAACATTAGAACCCTTTCCGCGTGCTTCCCCGGGTATATCAGATGGATGCACGGTGATAACAAAATGTTGGAAACTATCGCGGAAGTAGTTTTGCAGGCTTTCGGCCTTGTCCATGTGGCCAATTTCAGAGGCTTCCATAGCGAGAATAATGACATAGTTGCTTTGAGAATTTCTGGTAGAATGGGTGCATGCGTCAGTATCATGTTATTGGTAAGGAAAAAAAAATCCCCCTGAGGTTTGGCCTGAAAAAATAAACAACGGAAGGGGGGAGACGACAAAGAATGTCATATTTCGACATACCTATGGTTTGCAAGTCGCTTGATGGTGTCGCGCAAAAGAGGCTCAGGTTCAGAATAATTAGGGATGATAAATGCATGAGTCAGCTTGGAATCCTCATAAGGTCTAAGACTAGCTTCCATATCGACTAGTTGTTCGTCCTCCAAAGAGTAACCTTCGCGTGTAGGAGTGGGTGCAGGGGAGACAGCAGCGCTTGATACGTTGGAGCTATCATTAGGGTGAAGACGCTGGAAAGTATTCCAAGCTCTAATCGTCTTCTTGATACGTCTTGCTGTGATATAAAATTTCAAGGTGTGGTTGATTTGAGTGTATAGGAAGAATGAGAAATAGAAGATGAGGAAAATGAGGTAAAAGCGAGGAACCAGTAAAGGTCCTAAAGGCAAGAGCAGTATGGATGCTATAGCTGAGAATGGAGCAACCAACTCAAAAGGATAATTGACCAGCATGATGGGATGATGGAAGGGCAGCGGACCAAAGCTTTGTGAGGTTTTTATTACAACTCAATTTTTTTTTTTCTTTTTCTTTTTGCAATCCGATTGCACTCAGGCACGAGCTCTCAACTCGCTGTGACAGCCAATCAGCAACGGATAAACGGGGAGAACCCACATCTGTCATTGCCGACTCACCTTTTATAGTCTGAACCAAAAGCTTCTATGCTTGGTTAACTCCTTCTAATGCATGTCGACTTCAGTCCACCGTCTCCAGGAAGAATAACCACCTTCCTCACCGCTGACGAAGAAGCCCAGGATATACGAAAATCCGAAGACGAAGCTAATGCCATTCACTTTTTTCTATTCATTAATCCGCACTCCGGGGATCAACAAGGTGCTCAAATTCTCGATTTAAACTTGGGTTTGATTTGCTTCAAATCACTGCCCAATGTTCGAGTTCATGTCTATTCCTTGGTGGATGATACTGAGTGCGGCAATGGATTATCAAGTGCAAAAACAATCATGGCTCATAAGGAGCAACTGGGGCTTAATCCTCAAATCCACATCTGTTGCGCTGGAGGAGACGGTTCACTGACAGGTTTACTTCCGAAAATTGAAGAACGGGGTATCGATGTGAACAATATCATGTTTAGTCTGCTTCCTTTTGGTACCGGAAACGACCTTGCTCGCTTCCTTGGAACATGGTCAATTGACAAGAAGGCAGCAAAGGATATTATGCGAAGCGGACATTTACGTCACTTGGTTTATAAGCAAATCCGAGGTCGACCTGTGAAACTGGACGTATGGAATATTCATGTTACGACGTTTGATGGGGGATCTATTCGGCCAGTTAGCGACAAGAGACAAGAAAACGAGGAAAACTTTCCATCAGAGATTTTTCAGAAACTTCTAAACAATGGCGCTATTGGAGCACAATGCTATGTTGGTGGTGATGCTGAGCGACTAAGAACAGACAATCGTGTGGCTAATATCGCTTCTTATACTATTCAAACCATCAAATGGGGTCTGTTCAAATCCTTCTCTTCAGTGACCTCCATGCTCGACAGAATCGAACAGTTCGGCGACGTGGTGGCCTATGTCCGACAGGATAAATACCGAAAAAGGCGCTTTTCCATTTCGAATGGGAGATCATTATCTTCAGTCGGCGACAGAAAGACACCGGATGATACAGACCGCCATGCTGACGAACCAGAAGATGATTCGGCTACAAAATTACGCCCTGTCATCATCAATTCTAATGCAATTGAGTTGGTGTTTCAAAACATTCCGAGCCTTTGGGGAAGAATGCTTAATTTATGGAATAGAGCGGAGTCAGGCTCGGCCATAGATCTGAATGAAGCGGATCACCACCCTGGTATTGCTGAAGGAGTGGACCCTTCAAAATGGCACAAGCAGGAGAGCTGCGACGGCGAATTTGAGCTGTTCATCCTGGAAAACAAGTTGTCATACGTCAAGAAAGAGCTAGCCATTAATCGTACTGACCTTGCGCGGATAGGTCATTTCAAACAAGCTTCCATCGTTTTCCGAAATTTAGCTGAGGTCCAGAATAACCCTAGTATCCCCAAACGTGTACAGTCGTCGTTTAGCCTTAATGGCCCAAGCCAGCCATATCGAGAGTCCAGAAAGGATTCAGTAAGAATCATGATGGATGGAGAGTTCTTCATTGTACACAAACCAAAAGCAATACACATCACCTTCTGGAAGCAGATTAACATCATGGGCCCTCCAGATGAAAACGTTGACTGCGAAGCGGATTTTTCCTCAGAAGGTTCCGAAGCAGAAGCTCCTTCTCCGTAATGGATCATCGTCCAGCCTATCTTTGCGGCAGGTTATGGTGTTGCAATATGAGGTAGAAGCTCTGTTCGTATGAAGTAACATAGAGTAATATGCATATTTCCCCTTCCCATTTATCTTGTACCATATCCTTCTGTATATTTATGCCCGTTCCCCTGCTATTGTGCCTTGTGACTCTCGCAGCTCTTGTTTCATAAAACAATAACCTTTAACTTTATAAATATTACTCAATCTAGAGATGGCTCTGACTTGTTGATTTTTTCAATAAACATTGTCCTGTTTTCTTTACACCACATTTCAACAAAAGGATGGGCTCTTTTTGCGTAAAGCTTTCTGGTCCGTCACTTATCAAGAAGAATCTGCTATAACATGAGAAAGTAGACCAATGCCTGCCTATTATTAGCGATATTGTTGTGCTACTACGCTAAATCACAGCGGATCAAAGGAGTTCCAATACGCTCTGCGCAAACCAAAGTGCCCATGAGGGCGGCATCATGCCTTATAATTTCATAAAAGGGCATGCTAAATGTTGGATATGCTATGGCTGACTTACGTTTTTACAAGGTCGACTAGCTTCTGTTAAAAAAAATATCTACTTTGAAAAGTGAACAATATTACGCTTCTTTATGAAAAGGAACACCGTCAAGCCACCAGAGGTCGAGACACTCTTCCAGTGGTGAATTATTTTTGTCACTGCTGGCACCGATTTACCACAGGGCGGGCGATGAAGTTTCCACGCAGGCGTAATGCCGCTTCCCTTTGGAATACCAAGGGCTGCAGCGTAGTGCAAACACAGTGCAGCGGTGCAAAAAAAGATCAAACCTCCGAACAAAACAGTTTCAAAGTTCATACATTTCAATGCGTAAGCATTATCCGTACAGACGTATTCTTACAGCTTGAGAGAAACTGTTATTGTTTGAGCATGGAACGTCATTCAATACGGTTATGTTCTGAGAGTATTTTTCAGCTTCGTAAGCTTGTCACTCGATATCACGTACAGTGGCAGCAGACTGAAGCATTTCAGTGTAAATATTGACGGTATGGTCCGTTGCCAAACAATCACAAAGTGGATTGATTCCAGCTATACTGTATCGTCCAATGTCACGTGGCAATCCCGTTTTTTTTTTTTTTTTCTCCACTCCAATGAAGTTCTGGTGAGAGCTTTCCCTTGGGAGCGACGGTGAACAGACTCCGTTCCTCTGTCCTAACCTTAACATTCACAAACCGCTTTGACCACAAAAAGGGTGACTGATTACGGCACCTGTCCCATTTTCATCAAAGAGGAAGATCTAGATCCGCTAGCGATATGCTGGTGGCCTCTCCCGCTACAGATAACACTATAAGCGATCTAAATAATTCAGTCAATTCGATGCAAACTTCCACCCCACAGCAGTTGCTTGGCTCTAACAGTAATAACTACTTGGAAAGTGCTGCAAACGTCGATAGCTTTTTCACGGACGCACTGGATGTTTTCAGTAAAGCTGGGACTCAACCACGCATTGCACATAACCACGCAGCACCATCTGATCCACTGACGGCTGACCCATCTCCGTCTGGCATCAGCTCCTTTAAAGAGGAGGAAGACCAAGAGGAAGAAGGCGAGGAAGATGAACCAAATGCGGTAACATGGAAGCTCAAGCTATCTCCTTCTATGATGATTCTCGACACGAACATTTTGACAGTGGCGGGTTTGGAGAAAGTGCTGGAACAGCTCAAGATCAATGTTCAACCCCAAGCTGAAGCCAACGATTCAAATTCCATGTTGTATGATTTATCTCCTATCCTTACACCATCGCAACGTATGGTCATACTAGGAGCCATTAAATCAGTATACCCTTCCTACACCCTGGAGCCGATCAATTTGGCACACTATCAAAACGTCATGTGCACACAACTGACCAACGAATGCGTGGAAGAATTTTTTTCTTGCTTCAACGAGCCAGTCTGGAATATCAATCGGTCCGCGTTCATGTCGACTTATAATCCAACAGCCATTCTGGATTGGAAGTCTACTCAGTTTTCAGAAGGCATCGATGTTCTGTTACAAGCGTCTGTGTGCTCAGTTACCATCGGTCACTTACTTTTAGTTCACCGACAGCTTCCCTACCTAAACGTTACTGGTTTGATGGGGATCTATCATTTGAAGGCCAAGGAAATACTGGAGGACTACTTTGATGTAGGCGATATCCGGGTCGTCATGTCCCTCTTAATGTTGTCTAACCCACCCAATACGCCTGCTGGAGACTATCTAACATTATCCCGCGATAAAAATATCTATCTGGAGCTAGCTATCCGGATGTCAGATGCAATTGGTCTATTTGAAATCGACCGGCGGAAAACTCTCATCAGTAACGAACATGAGCTGGAGAGAGGCCGACGGCTAGCTTGGGTCATCTTGTGCATGGAGTTCTTTTCGGCTAGTAATACTACCGGTGGTACAGGCTACATCGATTTGCGTCATTGGCAGGTCAACCTGCCCACAGCATTACCCTCCGAACCGCAAACGACTCACAAGTCAATCGAGTATTTGTCGCATTTTGGCCAAATGGTGATGCAATATAAAACTGGGTACCCTGGAATATTGCGCATCACCCATCAGACAGCCATGAACGCGCAAAATTTGCAACGTTTTCTCCAACCGCTATTTACTCAGATGAAAGAAAATGCTACCAAATTCTTGAAATTGGATGTAGACAGAGAAATGTATGGTGACTTGGAGCAATTGTCTGCAGAACCAATCCCTCAGCGGCCATTCAGCATTCTTGCGCTGAACCTTCACCTACTGTTCCATTCTTTGGCTTTGAATGTTTATACCTCTTTTATTCCTGTGAAGTCCATTGCATATGACAAGAGCCTACAAGGTTTTCGGGAAAGACCTGTACATACGTCGACGAATATCAACGCTAACTTAACAACCAGTCAACCTCAGAACATACATTATCTGGGAGCGTCTCCACATGGCTCGCCTGCCACCTCTCAAATGTCCCCCAAGCCGTCCCAAGATGTATCAGCCACTCCATCTCAGCTCTATTGTACCGTATCGGCAGTTGTCACGACGACGATGATGATCGGTCTTTTGGAAGCTATACTTCAGCGAGATACCACCATGTGTCATCATGATCCTTTGTATGGATTGGTACAATTGACGCACACATGTCAATATATATCGAGTGTCAGCAAGGACGATGGCGTTTTATCGCTTTGTAGTATAAATATCACTAGAGCTCGAATTCTCTTGGAGCGCCTACCATTATGCCGTACTGGCGATTCTAGGTGTATGGAGTTACTTACTCGACTTCGAATATGGCAAGGTTTGGACCCTAGCAGCAAGAGTGTGCCCACCAGTCTTGTAGAGACGCAAAGCTTGCGATCCTCTGGCCAAGAACTGGCCAACCAATTGCAGCAAAGAGTCGGTAGTTTTAATGAAAGTACCCCTTCATGGTCGACACCTCGGCCATCATATCCGTCGCGTCATACCACTGAAACTTCAGACGACGATCAGCAAGTCAAACTGGAGCCGGCTGATGATCGAATGGGACCACAAGACGAAGAGTACTATAGTGGATCGTCGTACGAAGATTAGAACGATGAGTGTCGTGCTTCCCTTGATGTTTTTTTTTTATAGAAACGATGGAGAGTTCTGTGTATAAATTTGGTTTTCTTTTTTTTTATTGGGTCTGTTTGATTATCAAGAAATAAATTGTCAAAGAGATCTCAGTTCGTCAGTCAGTGCGGTGCGCTTCGAAATCTTTAAACTCAGTTCCCGCCTTTGTTGTAAGCATCTCTGCAAAGTTCATTTCTTGACATCCACTGCATTGTCGTAATGTCCGAGCAAGATGCAACAAGTACAGAATCGGAACACTCGACGAAAGCAACATTTGGCTTCAATGAAATTGCTGCCAGTTTAAATCAAATCATCGACGGTCACGAACTAGACCCATCGACTTTGTCTCGACGACGCAAGAGGTAGTATGACATAGCCCTTATGTACCATTTACTGTTTACCACTTCCTGACCTCAGTCTCAATAGTTTGGCAACTTCAAATCAAAATACAGGATACCATAGCTCATATGTTCGTCCAACGGAAGATATATTCGACCTTGATAGCCCAAAGATCAAAGAGGTATGGGCTAAACCTTGGCTCTTCGTAGGAACGGGGGTAACTCTCCTTCTCTTCCAATCACTTGTGGACTAAACTTCATTCATTAGGACATCATTCGAATGATACTTCAATACCTGTCAGATGAAGGTTACTACGCCTCAAGAGCTGTTGTGCAAGATGAAGCTAATGTGAAATGGAAAGAAAGAGAAGAACGTGGAATAGAAGCAAAACGATTAAAGCAAGCGATATTAGGTAGCTTTTCCTCACACGTCTCTCTGTTGGATCATGCTTTCTATGTGCTAACTCTAGTGATGTAGATGGTGATTGGTCCGAAGTGGAAAAGCTTAGTACGAAGCCAATTGTGAAAAATCACAGATCATTTCTCTATTCTCTATACAAACAGCAGTATTTGGAGTACATAGAACATCGAGAAATACAAAAGGTAAGCTGATTAAAATGTTATTTTTACATTGTGCAACCTTTACTAACATATCGCCTCCCCTACAGGCATTCTCATTCCTGAATAAGCGATTGAAGCCGCTTGAACACCTGCAGACCAAACCCAACGAGTTCAAAGATATGTGCTACTTATTGACAGCAAAATCAATTCACGAAGCTCCATCCTTCAAAAATTGGGAAGGTATAGCCGCTGCTCGGTGAGTTTCAGTGTGCTTTGAGAACAAAGGGCAGATCATGGCTCATAATGCATTCGTCATGCTAACATATTTGCCCACCATTGTGTAGTGAGAATCTTGTCGGACAATTTCAGAGCATGCTCGAATTTGAAAGTGCTGATAGAAGCGGTAAGTAGGCATATAGCCTTTACATACAGAGCTGACTTTGTCGTACTCATAACCTGAGCTTTATAGGAAATGTTTATGTTCCTCCCAGCCGACTAGTCACACTGCTTCGTCAAGCAGTAGCATATCAAATCCAATTCTCTCGATACCATCCAAAAATAGCACCGGCTGTCAACTCGTATATATCTCCATTCATATTTTTTTTTTTACCTTCTGATATTATGACAGTTGCTAAGCATGGCCCCACCTTGATAGATTACTGCAGGACTATACCAGCTTTGTCATTCCTAACTCTGTTCGATACACGCTGCGTGGGCATGAAGGAAATGTCAAATGTGTTCGGTTCATAGGAGAGGAGGGTAGAGGCGTGGTATCTGGATCTAGGTAAGTGAACTTTCTTAAAAAATCCTTTTCTGTTTCTGTATATACAAAAGCACGCCTCTTATACTATTTATCTGCACACCTTTCAGTGACAACACATTGCGTATATGGGATACGGAAACAGCTGAATGCACAAATGTGCTAAGAGGTCATAAATCAAGGATATGGGATGTATCAAGTACCAAATTGGGAGACTATGTTGCCAGCGCTAGTGGAGACGGCACAGTCAAGGTAAGAAACTAGTAGCCGCAACGGTTACCAGCTCATCTTCCTCACATACTGAAGAAAACTTTCATCTACAGGTTTGGGACTTGAAGAGCAGCAAAGCGAACTGCGTGTCAACCCTTGCTGGTCATGGAGGAGATGTATATTCGGTGCAATACCATCAAAGCGAGACGAATTTGGTGACAGGTGGATACGACAAAACAATACGGCTGTTTGATGTCAACACTGGAGCGGTGGTGAAATCGTTTCAAGGACATCAACTTGCTGTTTCGAAAACCATCTTCAATCCGCTTGGAAATCTCATCATCAGTGGATCAAAAGACAACACTATCAAATTTTGGGATATTGTTTCTGGCTTATGCATTCGGACAATCACTTCTCATTTGGGCGAAGTCACTTCAGTTGAAATGAACTCTAGTGGTACTCTCTTGCTCAGTAGTTCAAAAGACAACTCTAATAGATTGTGGGATGTGCGTATGGTGCGGCCGTTGCGAAAACTCAAAGGACATCAAAATACGTCCAAGAATTTTGTGCGAGCGAATTTCTCAGAAAACAATCTCATTGTTGGTGGTTCCGAGGTATGTATTTTGAGCTGGAAACCAATGTAGTCCATTTTCATCGCTAACAAAATGATCCTAGGATGGCATCGTTTACATATGGGATCAAGACACGGGCGAAATTCTTCAAAAGCTGCGGGGCCACACTGGCGTGACCTATGAAGCTTACTGGAATGTGAAACAGAGTATGATGGCCAGTTGTAGTGACGATCAGACCGTTAAACTGTGGTGGTATGATGAAAATACCCCCTTGGATGGCTGTTAGTTTTTCTTTTGCCCGTTCCCTTGCCGGTCTTTTAGAAACCGGCTACCACATTTGTACATCAATGGATCATGAAATAGAAATGTTCTTAAACTTCCATGTAGAACCTTGTTTATTGACTTTCACTTATTTAGATATTATGGCATATTATCCTTCCGTTCAGTTCTTGGAATAAGCTGGAGGCTTGTTATCATACACTGGCTGGTTTTGAGGAGGAGGTGCGACAGGGTTTTGTTGTTGTGGTGGAGGAGGGGCCTGATAATTTGCCTGCTGCTGGCGAGGTTGTGGCTGTCTTTCGAGAGAACCGTAGTTGCGTCCTGGAAATCCTCGATGGTATCCCGCTCTCTCTTCCGCATCATACTTACGCCATATAATCCAAAAGGCGTGGACGTGACCAGGTAAATAGCCAAGCTAAGTGATGTAGCTCGTTAGTACATGATCGGAGCTACAAAGGTATCGAACAATGCATTCTGTCTACTTACAATGGTTAAACATACTGATTTTGATAACAAGAGAGAATCCCATTAGCTGTGTGCGTTTATAATGTAATGGTTAGAGTATTATCATTGCGTACTTACTGTTAATACACAGGTCAGGTCCACAGCCAGTGATCTAAACATACGCCGAGTTGAACAGATCGTTGGTCAAAACGAACAGAATGCGTCATAGAATGTTGTCGACGAAAGGACATACCATGGCTACTGCGGCGGGCGGAAATAACAATGCGATTAAAATCTCAAGAATGACAGCAATCATAATGAATAAGATAAACGTTGACGTCCTTGGCAAAATCTTGGATCATTCTCTTTAAGTGACGTAAATTTGGCGCTCAGCTACGGCGGGAGGGCAGGCAAGAAAGCTGTGCCAAAAAAGAAAAATGTCTGTGCTTCACTTGGGCCAATTCCAAGGATGCGAAATTTTTCGCTATTGTACGGATATTATTGTTCTAATGTAGACTACAACCTTTTTTTTTTTTACTTCATTTTGGATATAACTGCCCAACTTATCCTGCCGTGTCTTCGGCGCATTTACATCCTTATTGGCAAAAGCGCAAGGACGGGCTATGCTGGAGCTGTAGCACAATAATACAAGCCTCGATATGTGTCAAATACCAGTTATTCGTTTTGAAAAGACTTTTTTTCGGGAAATTGCAAAGCAAAGCGCTGTAGGGGCAGGATTACTCTACCATCATTTATTTAGAGCAGTTAGGGATAGGAGCGGCCCTCTCCAAAGTTGTAACACAACGTACAACTCTGACTCTATCGGTGGCAACATGATTGTAACGTGCAACCAACACGTTTTACAGACAAAGTAGGTGAATTTTCTTGGTATCCAGAGAAGTTTGAGAAGCGATCCTCTTGGTATTTAAGGTTTTCATGTTTTTCCTTTTTGTCATAGCTTCAGGTTTCCCCATGGCGATCATCCAGAAACTACGTATTTCTTCAATTCGACGAGTTTTCATCATGTGCACCTGCAATACGATGGAGGTTATGTAGTGTGTTCAACAGAACATGGGTAAAGGTTGTAGCTTTTGTGGCTGGCTTCTCAAACGGCGTAACTTTTACCGATGTGGGCTTTTTTTTCTTTTTGCAACTGTACTCTTCCACCAATTTGGTTACACCTACGATCCTACCATGGAAAATTTTAATTGTTATCTCGTCATTTGCAGTTATAGCATGGGCAATCTTTCATTGCAATAAGCTAATGGAAATAAAACGCGTACTAAGAAAAATTGGTTCGAGCGATACAACTCAGATATGCATAGGTTCTAACGCTCAATGCTCTCAACCAAGATTGGTAGGCAGCTTTCACTCGGGTTCCAGGCTATCGGAGTGTTACCAGTATCCAAGCGGAGCAATCCATCATGCGCATTTTTGCCTCAAATGGATGAAGGCAAGGGCTCTATTGTTCGAATACGTTTGTTCAATTCCCGCCTTCTCTGAATTCGAAGAAGTGGTAGTGTGGCTTCCTTGGTATAAACTACTCATGAGGTTTAATTCTTGGAAGCAAACTTCAATCGACCTCGCGCTAATATAGGTATTACATGCAAAAGGGAGGATATATCATCAGACTACGTTACGAGGGGTGCATTATGTCAAAGGATGAGCACGCTGTCTTACTGCAAGGAGAGAGATAAAAACCATGGTAGTGCAGAGTAGAAAATAGATTCAGTATACCTTCAGCGCATGCCAGATTAAAATAACCAAGAATAAATCCATGGCAATAGAGAGCTTTAGAATGGAAATGCTTCAGCAGTTTGGCGGTACCTTTTAGGATTGTACAGATCATTGAGATGTAAACCTATAATCGAAAATAGATACACACTCAGTCAGTGTAACGTGTGTAGTGTTCAAGCGAGTACAAAAGGATTGTCGACCAGCAAATCGAAAGGAGCCCGCTCTTGCTTTCATTCAAGCCCTACACCTTCCTTTCAGCCAAGCAGCCATAGAAACGTATTCCATCCACACTTTCCTTCATTGACTCTCATCTTTGGAATGCGCATTGCTGCTTTATCCTTCCTCGCCGCTCTTGCAGCCGTTGTTGTTGAAGCTGCCCCCAACAACCTCGCCATCACCGTTGCTTGTTCGACTCAATACATTGTGCAAGCTAACGACAAATGTTATAAGATTGCTCACACCTATAACATTAAGGCTTCCGACTTGTTGAAGTGGAACCCTCAAGGTAAACCCTAATATTTTATTTTCAGAACCCAAATTCGTAATAAAACATTCAGTACTAATTATTGGCTCCATCCACCGTACGGTATCAAAGTCAACTCGGATTGCACCAACTTGTACATTGGTGAAAGACTTTGCTTGAGTGCTCCCAACACCGTCAAGAGTCTTGTTGCTACCAAAGGTTCTACCACCACCAAGAAGACTAGCACCAAGAAGACCACCACCACCACCAAGAAGCCTAGTACTAGCACCAAGAAGACTAGCACCAGCACCAAGAAGTCTAGCACCACCACCAAGAAGACTAGCACCAGCACCAAGAAATCTAGCACTACCACCAAGAAGTCTAGCACCACCACCAAGAAGACTAGCACCAGCACCAAGAAATCTAGCACCACCACCAAGAAGTCCAGCACTACCACCAAGAAGACATCGACTACTAAGACCACCGCTACAAAGACTTCTTCGATACACGTCATTGTGCCTACAACTGCCCAATGTGCTTCCGACGTCGACTGCCCAGGAATTTACTGCTGCAACCTGTTCAACAAACAATGTGTCTTGGATCCTAACAACAACATTTGCGGTATCCAGCCTACTACCAAGGTCGCCACTGTCGTTTCTGGAAAGACCACCACCACCAAGGTGGCAGCCACTGCGACAACGGCTAAGACTGTTGTTGCTGCCATCCCCACCTATGTGCCTGGTGTGACAGTCGCTTTGAACAGTAAAACCAGCTTCTGCTTGCTTTTGCCTCCCAGTGCCGGTAACAAGGCTAACAACAACAACAAGCAAGATGTCGAGGCCATTTCCGACAGTGAAGATTATGCTGTTTCCTTCTGTACCGTCGCCGATGTCAATGCTCCTCAGGCCCGTGCCATGCCTGCTGGTTTCATCACTTCCGCCAATTACCAGACCAACTCTACCGCTGGATTCATTCAAGTCACTGGTACCATTAACCCTGCTGCCTATGGATTGAGCACCAGCGACGAAGGTGGTCAGTATGATAATCATGGAAATGGCAAGCCTGCTCACTCTGCTTGCGCTGGTTTCCCCTATTACGTCCAAATGGTTGAGCCCAACATCAGCGGTTTCTGTATCAGATGCTGTACCAACTATCAGGACTGCAACGCTTCTCGTAGTGCATACGGTTGCCATCGCGTTGTTCCTCCCCTTAGCAAATCAGTGTAAAATCTAGTATAATAATATAAAAAGTTATGTTGATATTTTACATTGAAGTGATTGTCTGTAGTGCTCGGGTTATTGATTGATTGACCGGATTATCTTATGCCGTCCGCCCGCATTTATAAATTTTTGGCCTACAAAATTTATCGCCATAGCAGCCTTACCTGATTCACAATGGGAAGCGACAGAAAGGATTCCAAGCGCTCCAAGAAAAGCCGATCCGAACATAAGTCCCACAAAAAGCACAAAAAGCATCACCGATCCAAGGAGGGGGATGCATCGAACAGCGAACCAGAAATAGATTACAATGATCCTTCTCTCTGGACAACCGAAAAGACCATTGAAGGCATTGCACCCGTCACCCACAATCCACCAAGTGTTGCCACAGCCATCGCGCCAACTGCAGTAGAAACCGCGCCAGTGGCCGTTGAGCCTAGCATCGCCAATCCTGAATCAGCCCGTGATAGCTGGATGACAGACGCTTCGCTTGATTTTTCATCGTTTGGCTCGATCAAGCAAAAGCAACCCAAGGAAGACAAACCTAACCCTGATCAAGTATGTATTCCCCCGTGTGGTTTGTGGAGAAAGCATGTGCTAATGGTGTTTTTTTAGTTGAAAGTTAGTTCAAGGGAGATCAATACTCATTTTAAGGCTGGACTTCATATTGACCAATATCCTGAGCAATCGAAACCGACTTACAAGTTTGGAGACGCAGGTTCAAAATGGAGAATGACAAAGCTCAGACGTACCATGGAGCAAGCTGAAGATGAAGGTCGACCGCTGGATGAAGTTGCCCTCGAGAAATATGGGGTAAAACGTGGGAGATTTTCTTTGCATTCGTCCATATCATCGTCTAACACTTTTCTTACTTATAGTCAATGGAAAAATTTGAGGAGGCCATGAGTGAGAAAAGGGCATTGGAGGGCCGAAAGTCAAGAAGAGGGGATGATGATGGAAGGTCAAGAGATAGGGGAGGCCGACATGAAAGCCATCCTCGCATGATGTTCTCGGATGCTTCTTCATCAAGGGAATCATTTAAAAAGCCACAGTCACAGACTTCACGACGAGACAATGCGGATGTGGATGAGTTTGGGCGAAGCAGAAGAAAGCGCTCAAGATCACCACCCTCCCACGAAGAGCAACAGGCGAAGCTTGCCAAAGCAGTCACCAGTGCAGCCGCACCCACCCCATCACGACCTGTCATCATCTCCCAGCATTCAAACCCTACCCTCTTCTCTGACAAACCACCACTGACCATCGACGAACTGAACAAACTCAACGCAAAAGTAGTGAAAGCACGGTTGATGGGAGCAGCCAATGTTGAAGAACTTGAAAAGGAATATGAAAAGGAAAAGAAGAGAGCGGACAACTATGGAACGGTGGGTTTTGAGTATTATGCAGTCGTTTGCAGTTATATGTTTCCTGATACTTATCCAATTTTCTTTCAGTCAAAAGATCCATCTGTTGCTGTTGTACCCACCATCGATAGCCAAGGACGCCTTCATGAGTTCGCTTTATCAAACTCATCCACTATTCCCTCAGATGGACCGCAACGTAAACGCAAGGAAAAGTTCGAAGGAACGCATGACAGCCAGACGGGCGAACGACTCAAATACGGATCCAATGATGACAAGGCTACATTAGATGACTTGTTGCGACAGGAGAAGGCTGGTACTCGATCTGCCACAGACATGGATATGGATTTGGCAAATCGCATTGTGGGAGACGTTACATTCGAGGATGATTTGGATTACATGGATGAACATGCTGAAAAAATGGCAACCAAGAAAGAAAAGACAGAAGAATCAAAGATACGGCACGCCATTAATGGTAAGTTCCCAAATGTATGTATAGCATTGGCGTTAATAAGAAATGCTAACCCTATGTCTTTAGATCATAAACGCAGCCAGCAAGCTCTTGATACCTGCCGATGGTGCTATCAAGATGGAAAGCCCCCGCAATGTGCTATGATTTCCCTCGGCACAAAATCCTACTTGGCGTTACCCAATGTTACAGACCTCGTCCCTGGACATTGCTTCATTGTTCCTTTACAGCATGCTGTATCTAGTCTCGAATGCGATGATGATGTCTGGGATGAGATACGGGTAAGTGATACGCGAAGTAAACATTCAATTACTGTTTCAAACCTACCATTCTAACTTTCTTTCCTACCAAAACATTATGTTTTTCAGAATTTCCAGAAATGTTTAATGCGTATGTTCCATGAACAAGGAAAAGGTGTCGTTTTCATGGAGCTGGTCAAGAACATCAAATTCCAGCGCCATACTGTCATTGAATGCATTCCTGTTCCCTATGGCACAGTGGAGGATGCGCCAATGTATTTCCAGGTACACACATTTAGCCTTTTGTTGTTGACATATACTTTGTTTTTATATTAATGGTGGTGCATGGAACATGTTTGCAGGAAGCGATCAAAAACAGTGAAGGCGAATGGTCTCAACACAAGAAACTGATTGATACATCTCAGCGAGGATTTAGAAGATCCATGGTCAAGAATCTGCCCTACTTTCATGTCTGGTTTAGTCCTAACGAAGGCTATGGTCACGTCATTGAAGAAGAAAAAGACTTTCCTGCATGGTTCGGCAAGGTAAATCCAGTTCAGATCCATTGCCCCAATTTTATGTTCCTGCTTGAAATCTAACTTACCTCTGTGTCGCATGTATTTAGGAAGTTGTAGCGGGAATGATGGATTTACCCCCACATCTATGGCGTAAGCCTCGTTATCAGCACCAAAGTGATAACCGTGAACGACAAAAAGCTTTCCTCCAGCAATGGCAGAAGTATGACTGGACTGCTGCCTTGGAGGGTGGCGAGTTTGAACAATAAAATCTGGCTCAGTCAAGATACGACTTTATGCCATGTTGTTCTGTACATAGTGGCTCATTGATAATATCCATTTTGACAGGTGTTTTCGTTAAAGCACCACTTCCATATAAGGTTGTTTGTTGTGTCCCCAGTGTGTTTGACCGCACTGCTTTTTACGACAGCATACTTGCAAAAATATGCCTTCTCAGACAATAAAGTAATCGAACGGCCATTGATGTTTCTCCTATCAACTTTCTCTGTAATAATTGTCTCAGCACTGCCATTGTCTCGTACGGCAGCTTTGTTCTGGAGTGCCTTTCCATCACAGAGCATTTTGGTACAGGACTTGATGACGTATGAACAACCTTTTTTCAGGTCGACCAACACATGATGAATTCGACTCGGCTGTTTGTAACTTTTTTTCTTTCTCCTTTCTATTTTCCTCTTCTTTTTCCTTGTGAACTGCATCAAAAAATTTCGATACCAAGACTTTGGTTTCATTAGAAGATCGTGTAATATAAAATGTTCGGAGGCCATCATCACCGACGGCACCACTCAGCCCCCAATACTCCGTTCCTAGGATCAGGCGGACGTATAACCCCTCGAGAATTTGCTGTCGACGCAGCTACATTTGCTGGAGCAGAGGCTCTTATCCATCAATACGAAAACAGACACCATGATCAGCACCACCCATTACGAGACGCTGCATTGGCTGGAGCTGCGGCATTTGGTGTTCAAAAAATACAAAATCACTTTGACCAACCTCAAATGGCCGGCTACCCAATGCAGCAGTACCAGCAGTATCAGCAGCCATACGGTAACCCTTACAACAACTACTATGGAGGTGGCTATGGAGCCAATCCTTATGGTGGAGGTTACGGTGGAGGTTACGGTGGGTATGGTGCAGGTCAGAATGTATACAATGGATACCACACCTACAACATGTACGGCGGAGACATGTACCAAAACCCATATATGCCATATCAACAACAGCACTACCATCGCCGACATATGGGTGGATTGTTCTCCTCTAATCCATATGAGAGAGAGTTTCAGCCAAGATACTCCATCATGCAGCCTGGACAAATGAATTGGGGAATGCAGCAACCGTTCTATTAAACCTTGTAACTTTCTTTAGTTAACTGTTCTATACCACTGCTGTAAACTACATGTATACTTTTTTTCCACGCCGCCGCCCATTTAATGTCACCGAATAAAAAAATCTTGGTTGTAATACGCTTATAGGATAGGAACAACCGGTCAATGACTTCATATTGATACTTTAGCTCATCTTTTGCAAACCATTGCTTGCCCCAGCTATTTGTTCAATGCGCAGTATTGCGTTTCCTTCTCTATCGTTATCATTTTTGTTCTTAACATGCCAAAGACGAACATGAGTCCCCTTTCCTGGAACTTGCTCAATTCGCCGGTCACCATGTTTTCACCCTGACAATTCTTCTATCATACCGCCTTTGCCAACTTCATCAAAACTCGCTCGGCTTCATAATAATAGTTTGTAATATACGCAAATATAAACCGGAGAATACTAAGTATCTACAATAATCTAAAGCTAAACCAAAAAAAAACCAAAACTTCCCATACATCGAGTTGAAGAAGAGAAGTGTATGAAATACATATAAATTACCTTCTCTTCATTAGATATACCACTACGCCGAATTGTGTGGCTTGAATAGAATGTGGAGTTGAGGTATTTTCAATGTCACATCCAAGCCAGGTAGACCCATCCACCGAGGACTCGTCACGACACAATCCAGTTTCATTGGGATATTCAGGCATGACGCTGAGATCAAAATATTGGCGGCAACCCATGAAAAATGCCTCCTCTTCTTCTCGCTTCAGAGCTCGTTTCTTGTACACAAGATACACCGTAGTGACACCGGGTGAACTTAAGTGAATCAATGTTTGCAACAGGGCCGAAGTTTTACTGGGGTCGTACAGGACATCGGAAGCAATTATGTAGTCAATTGGCTTCCAGGCGGTGACTTTCTGTGAGTCGCATTGCATCCCCCAGCGCAAAGGAGTGATGGAAACAAATGGATGGCTGACTGCTTGTAATGACTGCTGCTGTTGGTTGTTTTGGTCCAAAGTCTTCGCAGGTGGCATATTCAGTTGATAATTACGTCTAATGAGAGGAAGAGCTTCTTGCAAATCGGTTAGCGTTACAGATGGAGGGGTACCGTGTCGACTAACCGAGTTATGCCTGCGTAAAATTTGGTATATGAATGAGATGGCGACACCAAAACAACCGAGCCTAGGGGGCAACAAAAATGACGAATGACTTGTTAGCAAGACGCCCGCCAAACAAGAACCAATTTAAGCCTCATGTGTACTTACCCGGCACTAAGGTCCATTATATGTACATTGTCGAGAAACGAAGGGTCTTTGGCTAAACGTTTTGCAAAGATATCGGTAATGACCAGCGCTCCATCCCAGATTTTGCCTGGCATCCCAGATCTCCAATTTTCTTCCAACAAGATGTAGCGTTCATCTTGACCACATCGAAAAGGGTACGCTCGATAGGATCGATTGGTTTCTTGTTTTTGGTCCCAAAACCCTTCATTTACGGAGGTAATAGCTGCAGCGGGCTGGGCTGCCAGGTTTTTGGATACCACATCTGACCACATGGAGGGTACAGAGAACGGGTCAAAACCAGAATGGTCCTTATGATCGTTTATCACTAGAGGCCCAATGACAAGAGGTAATACCTTGCTAGCAGTAAGGGAGTCTCGTTCAGCATGACTTTGAAATATATACAAATAAACATTGTGTGAACGGGGATCTAATTTGTCATTAGCAGAGGGCCGGATACGAAATTGCAAACCACCACGATTGCTTTGGTCGAAACCGATGGTATTCGCTAACCGCTGGCCGTCATATCCCCATTCATCGTCTTGCAAAGGCTGTGTATCCACTTGGTACCGTGCATCTTCCACAAACGAGTCGTTTCTCCGGGTGAGTAACTTACAGCTCAATTGGACTTGGATATTGGCACTGATGTTTTGGCAAGACGGTAGACCCATTTCATTGACTAAACAGAGATCTACGCGACTCCACTGCGCCCATCTAAGTACTTTTTGTGTTGATCGCTGCAGTACTATGCGATACAACATTTGGTTGTAGTTGAGTTGTGAATAGAAATGCTTATAATAGTCCTCATTAAAGTCTTTGCCGGGAATGGCCGAATAGTAGCGTGGTGGTAGAGTGTTTTTGCATATGGTGGCAGTTATACTCTTAACCATGGATTGAAGATGAAGGGCGAGGCGAGACAGAATAACAGATTCAGCTCTTTTTCAAAAACCAGTCCGCCGGGCCGTATGTAATTTTTCCGTCAATTCATGCAATTTCAGCCCAGTGAATGACATTTTTGGTAGAGGTAAAAAATTATATATCTTCAAGCGATTATTGAACAATGGACTAATTTGAAAAAAAAAAAATACATGGCAACTGGGCGGGGGACAATGGTATATACTGGACCTAAGCTGGAAGACAAGGGCCCAAAGAATATAACTCTATTAAGGGATCTAAGGTGATTGACTATTTCTGAGGTGGATGGGACCACCACGCTTGTTTCGAGCATCATTCCCAGAGTTTGGAGTGTTGGATCTATTTTGGCTTGAAAAAGGTAAAGCTGACCCTATGGATCTACCAAAAACACGACCGGCACCGACAATAATATTAGACGATGGGGATGGTGGAAGGTCGTCAATAGAATTGCGCGACTGAGAACCCACAGGATTCAAGTCGAGGGTATTGTCGTTCGCTCCAAAATCTTCATCGTCAAAGGAGGTACTGGTGAAATCCATGTTGGTAAAGCTGTGCAAGATGTTTCCTTGTGAGCGTTCCATCTTTCGCTTTTTGGCTCTCCAATACGCTGCAATTGTTTTGTTACGATCATGAATATGACGTTTGGTAAAGAATGGCTTAAGATATTTGTTGTCAAACGACAAGAACCAATGGGGTGTATCTTCAGCGATGGGATGTCCAATTGGACCAGAAAGCAGGGCTCCGATAGACTGTTCTGAGGTGTCTCTGTCGTTCGTTTGAAAGTGTCGGGGAGCCTCGTCAAATTCAAAGTCACTGTCGACATCTAATAAGCCCTGTCGACTGGAATCCTCGCTATTTATTCTTCCTCGTTCGCGGCGCGATCGTCGGCGTAATCTTGCACGCTCCTCGTCCTCATCGTCTTCTTCCGTACTTGAGGTATCGCTATACTCCTTCACACCCGTACGAATACCGAGAATTTGCAGCATTCGGTTGGTCGTTCCACCAAAAATCAGTACGGTCAACACCACAACCACAAGGATGGTGGTACGCATAGCTGGACCAGATTCTCCGGTTAGACCAGCTGCCAAGGCAAAAGCTACTGCACCACGGAGTCCTGACCAAAACAACATGACTTGATGAGAACGTGGAAGTTGGACAGGTTCACCAAAGTATCTGCATACGGCATTGATGACGGCAGACAGCGGAGCAACAGCAAAGTATCGAGCAACGCATATGAATATCTAAAAGTTCAATGAATAAAGTTTAGGAGAAAAAGGTCAATTCAATTTGTCATTTCCGAATAGATGCCAATCGATTCAACTTACAGTAGTCAAAAATATAAAAAGAGGTTTGAACATTGCGTCTTCTTGAGTAAACAGGTTCACACCAAGATAGATGAATATAAAATTTTCCGAGAGCTGTGAAAGAACTTGAAACATAGCTTTCGTTGTTTTCTTGCTATGCCTCGACATATTGTCATAGGCATAATGCTTGAGAGTGATACCAGCGAACAACAGGGTGACGATACCTGACATCTTTGCTCCATTCGAAAAGAGATAGCTACTGTAGGCAAACAAACTGACAAGGCATGACTCGATTGCGTGATACTTGTGTAGCTGCGAATACTTTAGCATCAGTGCTACACTTATACCAAAGAGAACGCCAATGGCTACTGAGCCAGTAAAGACGCCAATGAATGTCCCAATGCCTTTGAAGATGTTCGCCGCATGAAGTTCCTGACCACGGAATTTGTTCAAAGTTCTGAGATACACAACCGTTGAATTACTATTTTAAAGCTCTCCCTTGGTGTCTTAAAAGAGAATGGCTAAAGAATGACTTACTCTGAAAGAACAATGGCTACAGCGTCGTTCAATAAACTTTCTCCAGATATGATTGAAAAGAGCTTTGGATCAACACCGAGTTGCGAGAAAATGGCGAGGATCGTGACCGGGTCAGTGGCAGATAAAATGGCTCCAAATATAAGACTATCGAGGAAGCTAATATCAAGTCCTTCAACATGGGCAAGAGAATACAAGTATGTGCATACGCTGTGGCAGATGACGTTAGGTCATGAGGGAAACCAGTACTAGGATAGGAGGCACTTACCCTATGATGACAGCTGATATAAGGGTTCCCATCAATGCAAAAATCAATATCGTACCAAAATTTCGAAAAAAGTTTTGCTATGATACGCATTTGTTAGATTTCCATAGCTGCTTGTGCTGAATAACCCGATTGAAGGTACCTACCCGTTTCAACTCGTAACCAGAGTTTAAAATAATCGGAGGCAGTAAAAGATTGAAAAAGAATCCTCCATTGAATTGTACCATATGTTGTATGATAGTTCCTGGCGATAACTTGATGATAAGACCAACCAACATACCTGCAAATTAATAAATAAAGGTCAATGAATATGACGGTGAATAACAACTCCGCTGCGTTTAAAGATATACGGAGACATGTCTTGGCTGCGGCCATCAGCAAGAGAAGCATGGATTCCTGCCCGGCCAACCAAGGTACAACCCAATAGCACAAAACTAAATACATATGCGATACATACCGGCCATGATGGATATGACTGTTTCGTGAATTGCTCGAATCTTCTTTAGTTGTAGATAGTAACTGGTCCATAGTGCACCAATCAGCAGTGTTGTAAGTATAAGTAGCGCCCAGGAAGAGTACATTTCTTCCTCAACAGGATTATTCTTGAGTTCATCACCAGGGCTGGTGCCATTGGTGGTATTATTTCCACTATCCATCGCCAAGAATCGGCAAAAGGGTGGGCGGGTCGATATTAAAGAACTGAGTTATTTGAGGACTGGTTCTTCAAACAGCAGCAGCGGGTTCATCGTCAAGTCACATGATCCAAAGGTTATACGGTGTGTTTTTTTTTTCCTTTGAATTTTCCAAACAACTGGACAAATCCCCCAACCCTTGTTCCCCACTTACACACACATTTGCTGCTTTACTTCTGTTCATGCTTCGTTCATCCCTGGACTTTTACAGCGTCAATTACAGAAAATATATATTAGAGCAGCATCCGTCGCAACTTGTCAAGTTCAAGAGAAAGAAATCTACGCAAACGTTTTCGTAAATTATCCTTTTCGAAACCCACCATCCAACCTACCCTTTCGACTTTCATAGGAAGCAAACCCTTTACCGTTTCCAAACTTTACTTGTGAACATCTTTCCAAGATTACAAATTTCAAAGAAATCCCTTTTGCTTCAAGAAAACGTTTCTTGAGCCCCAACATATATCTACAAGACTCAATCAGCAGAAGATAACTTTTAACGAACATCATCCATCATGGCTACTGTTAACATTAGAAGAGATGTCAAGGATTCTTTCTACCGCTACAAGATGCCCAAACTCATTTCAAAGGTAAATACAAACACTGGTTAGCTTTACCGTCGGCCGCTTTTTTTTTGTATTTTTTTTTTATATTACCGCTTCATTTTACTGAGCCACCCTTGTTGACTCATCTAGGTTGAAGGCAAAGGTAATGGTATCAAGACTGTCGTCCCTAATATGACCGATATTGCAAGATCGCTCTCTCGCCCTGCCACCTGTAAGTCGCTATTTTTCTTGTCATTTGAATGTTTAATAGGGCTTTTAGACTGACCCATGTACCTGACCGGCGGTCTCCCTTTCCATCTTGCAGATCCTACCAAATTCTTTGGTTGTGAACTCGGAGCTCAAGTCAAGTGCGACGAAAAGAACGACCGATACATTGTCAATGGAGCTCACGATGCCGAAAAACTCCAAACTCTTTTGGACGGCTTCATCCAAAAGTTTGTTCTTTGCCCATCTTGCCAGAATCCTGAAACTGACTTGGTACGTTGTGGATATTTTCTGTTGTATTCTAAATTAGCGAGTCTGTTTTAACGCTTGTTTCTCTTCCTGCGCAGATCATTACAAAGAATGACGATATCGAAATGGATTGCAAGGCTTGCGGCGCTCGTAACCCCGGTGACATGCGTCACAAGCTTGCCTCGTACATCATCAAGAATCCTCCTGAATCCGCTTCCAAGAAGGGCGGCAAGAAGCAACGTAAAGCTGCTACTGCTCAAACCAACGGAACGGACGAAAATGGTATTCCTGAAACCAACATGGAAGAAATGGACGACGCTGCAGGCTCTGATGACGATATGATCACTCAAAAGATCAACAAGGAAGCTGCCGGACTCAAACTTGAGAGTACTATGGATGACGATTGGAGCGTAGACACCAGCGAAGAGGCTGTTGCTGCACGCATGAAGGAACTTAGCGTCAAGGCTTCTCTCCTAGGAAATGGTGACGATGACGATGATGAAGATGGCGACAACAAGTATGAGCAGTTTGGTCAATGGCTCGAGGAAAACAAGGAGAGCGGCGACGCTGAGATCATTGCCAAGGCTGAAGAGCTCGGTGTGTTGGGCAAATACAAAGTTTGTCAAGTCCTGGTTCAATGTATCTTCAATGAGAATGTCAGCAATCAAATACCCAAGAGAGTCAAGCTACTTCGCAAAGTAGGTGTTTTTTTATTGATTTGAACAATGTGAAAATACCGTTGCAGACACTAATTAATCCATCTACAGTTTGTTAAAGGCGAAAAGCACCAAAGGGCCGTCCTTGGTGGTATTGAAAGACTTGTTGGCTTGGATTACAAGGACAAGTTGCTCAGTAAGGTTCCCATCATTTTGAAGAAACTCTACGATTCTGATATCGTTGAGGAAGAAGCCATCTTGAAGTGGGGCGAGAAGCCTTCCAAGCGTTATGTCGACAGAGATACCTCCAAGGCTGTCAAGAAGGCCGCTACTCCTTTTCTTGAATGGCTTGCCAATGCATCTGAAGAGGAGGAGAGCGATTAAATCGCCTTTATGACACCGTTCCACTGTATCCCTTTTCCGTATCTTTCTAAATGCCTAGGTAGTCTGTAGTTTCTATTGTCGCTATGTAGCCAATGTGTGGTGATACACAAAGGTATCAATAAAATGAATGAAAGCAATTGGTATGTTTTTAGTTCGGTAGACACACTTGTCATCGCTGCTGTCTCTTACAAGGCAACAATGAATATTGAGGGCCAGTCACTGGAAAGCCTTATTTAACAACAGAGGATGTCGTAAGGATATGTTGTCCCAATATTCTGCAGCTACATGCAATTTGGTGAGGTTACAGCTAATGCAGTGAAACCTCTATCCAATGACATTGACATGACTGATACATGCGATTTTATAACGCTGTTTTCAACCTTCATAAAACACTGCCGAATATCTTACAATTCTGTCGTACAAAGGTTCTGGTCTGTAGCTAAAATATTAACCAGCATCAAGGCAATTTAGTGCTGTTCATTTTGTGGATCACTCACTTATCGCTTGTTTTGGCACTTGTTTTCTTTTATGGATGGATGATCCCATTGCGCGGACACGTCGTCAGCACACCATCCCATACGCCAACACCGCTATCTACTTCCTCAGCTGCGTACTATTTTTCAAGGATACACCCCTCGCAGTGAATACCTTTAGACGCCGAGAAAGAAGGGTTGACTGGCAAGGAAAAAAAATAGTATGGGTTGGGGGAACAATTAGTATGGTTGCTGCACACTTCTTTGTCACCCGTTAAAACATAAAGGCATCTTCAATGGGTGTCTATTTTTCTTTTCCAAGACAGTTGAATCGGAATGCATCGGGACTCAGCAAAACCCTTCCCAAGCTTTTTTTTTATAATTTTTTCAATTTTCAGATCGCTCGGCTGGCCAAGTTCTCTTATGCAAGCTCGTTTGGAAGCTATTAAAAATCAACTACAGGTTGGGATATAATTTTCACATCTGCATTGTATGCGCACTCTCCACTGACTCGTCCTAGCCAATGTCTGCACACAAGAGTCCAGTCACCTGCCACGTCTTGATCGCTTCGACAGGCATTCCGGGAAAGAATGTTGCGGTTAAGATTGAACAATTAGATCAAGCGACTGCCGACTTCAAGGTGCTGTCCACCTCGTAAGTTTCCATGACGGACCGAGAACATCTTCTTTGTATTGTCTACTCACCTGGTATTTCACAGCGAGACCAACGACGATGGCCGTTGCCCCACACTTTTACCTGCCAACCACCAAATTGAAAAAGGCATCTATCGTGTCACATTCGAAACTAAAAAGTACTTTGAAGGCCAAGGTCAGGCCTGCTTTTACCCATATGTGCAGGTATGTTATGTTATCGATGGGAGAGAGAGAAAGCTATGACCTACCCAAAAGGAAAGCGTTGTAGGACAGAGGGTATAATACCAGGCTGGCTGGCCCTCAAAGTGAAAAATAATAACAACCGTTTATACTGAAATGGCCCCATTTTTCCTTCTAGATCGTCTTTGAGTTGGCCAACCCAGAACAGCATTATCATATTCCATTGTTAATCAGTCCTTACTCCTACACTACGTACAGAGGTAGTTAGTTAAATAAAATCGCATTCGTTTTCTTGGAGCTGGCTGGCTGGTGCCAAATTCCCGCGTGGGACGGTACGTGGGTACCCTGACCTCTACCAAACTCAGACCCATACGACCGTCTGCACATTTTTTCACTTTTTTCTAACCTATCGCATGCGAAGCATAAAAATGCATTAAGACCTTGATTGGCTGGCAAAGATATTATATTAGTTTCATATTCGCAAAGGAAATGTTCTCCACTTGGGAATAATAAGAGTTTGGCCAGCTAGATTTGGTCCCACAAAAGAACATCGTGTAACGTTCATAAAAAAAAGAGAAGAAGAAAAAATAAGCCAAAAGTACCCACTCTTCCTCTCTTACTTATCTCGCTTTGTGTGAGCAGGGCCCAATCAACCCAACCTTTGCTCCATTGCGAACTTCATTGACCCCCATATCCTCACGTTTCAAGGCTCAGATCCCTTTTTTTTCTATACTATTTATTCCTATTTGCTCGTCTTGTCTTGAACTCTTTTCTCGTTAAACTCAGTTTCACCATCATCTGTTGAAGATCTTCAACATTACCCACACCACAACCTTCTTTTCGAACCACATCGTTGTCTCGAAAGAGTCCGTCCGTCCATGGCAGCACTCGCTTTAAAACGAAGAACCCCTTCACTGGGAACTCTTCCTACCATCAGCGGGTTGTCAGTCACTTCTATTGACTCCCCACTCCCCACCAACTCTATCACCAACAAGCCAGCATCCTCCTCTTTATATCACACCTGTCGATCCGTGTTGGATAGACTCTCGGATGTGCCCGGATTTGACTTCTATCTCGACATGGAGAATTTGCCTCCACTAAATCTGACTTCTCCTACCACATCTGAGCCATCAACCCCGACCCTGGGTGCCAATAGCGGCGATCCGTTATCTAAATTATGGCAAATCGCGAGACAAGGATCCAGTCTCTGCTTATTATTCAACACATTGAAACCCGAAACACCCCTTAAAATTAACCAAGATCCCGGTCTGAACACTGTCAATTCATGTAAAGCAAGTGTATACCATTTCTTGGTAGCTTGTAAAAAAGAGTTAGAGTTCAGTGAAAGTGATCTGTTCACCATCACAGATCTTTACTCCAACGACACCAATGGTTTTGTCAAGGTGAGCGAGCGGGCCCTATTTTTATTTTTATTTTTTCTACCCATTTCGATGGAAATCACATGACCCCCTCTCGCTCGCTTGCTTGGAAACTAACCCTCCACGCTTTTCCAATAGGTGGTGAACAGCATCAACAAAATCCTCGCCAAACTCGAAGACGAAGGTCTCGTTTCAGCTCCTCGCTCACCTAATCGCAACTCTGACCCAAATGCTCCCAAAGATACCCGTGATAAGGTGGTTTATGAACTAGTCGAGACTGAGCGGAAATACGTCCAGGATTTGGAAATTTTATTGGTAGGGTTTTAGGGATCCCCTATCCACACCATGTTTTCCCAAACTAACAAAAAAGCTTGACCCCTTAGGAATACAAAAATGAATTGCAAAAGCAAAGTGTTCTGCCACCCGATACCGTGCATTACATATTCGCTAATTTGAGCTCTCTTCTGGATTTTCAACGTCGGTTCATGATCCAAATCGAGGATGTTGCTGATAAAGCTCCCCAAGAGCAACGTTTCGGTTCCTTGTTTATTCAAATGGAAGAACTGTTCCAAGTATATGAGCCTTTTTGTGCCAATTATCAGGCGGCTCAAGACTTGGTCAGCCAAGAAAGTACCAAGCTCCAGAAATTGTCGGATATTCTGAATCCTACTTATGAGTTACCATCCATGCTCATTAAGCCTGTCCAGCGTATTTGCAAATACCCACTTCTCCTTTCACAACTCATCAAAGCCACCGACAAGGAATGGCCACATTATCAAGAAATGACGGAGGGTTTGGAATCTATTCAACGAGTCACCAGCAGAGTCAATGAAGTTCAACGACAATATGAAAATCTTCAAATTGTGCAAGATCTCAAGCGCCGTGTTGAAGATTGGAAGGTAAGAAAAAAAAATTAGAGTTGATGGCTTAGCTATTACCAAGGACACTCTTTTGCTCACCCCCCCCTTTTCTTTTCATTCCCATGATAGGGCTATGCTGTGGAACAATTTGGTCAACTTCTGCTTCAAGATCGATTTTTGATGGCTACCAATGATGCTGAGCGTGAACTTCAAGTTTTCTTCTTTGAAAAAATCTTGCTCATTTGCAAGGAGATCAAGGATAAGAACAAGTTGTCAAAATCAAATTCCATTTCTATCAAAAAAAAGAGACGTGCGAGTTTGCAACTCAAGGGCAAGATTTTCATTGCCAGCATCATTCAGATTGTGAACAATAGCAAAAATGGTAAGGGCTTAGTATATCGGGTGCTGTTTCCTCAACGAGTATGCTTTTGCTGACTCACTCTCTCGACTTATTTGCTTATCCATAGGTGTCTGGGCCCTCAAAGTGTTTTGGCGAGATGCAGAAATGGAATCTTTCTCGTTGAAGTGTCGAAATGAAGAACAGCTCAAGATGTGGGAAGCTGCTCTCAACAAGGTTTTGCAAGAGAACAAAATCAATGGTGGTACCAATGGAACCGCTAAACGCAATGTTTCCAATACTCAGCTTGCTTCCCTTGCCCACCTTCATATTTCACCTCGCAGCTACCGTGACGACGACGACGCAGCTTCATTTATTGATGAAGAAGAAGAGGAGGAAGATGAAAGCGAAGAATATTCACATGATGACGATGATGATGAGAGAAGAAACCGATCACGTTCCAATTCCATCAATCCATACGGGCGACCCTCGATCACGCGCTCTAACCGTAGTGAAAGCTCGGCTAGCGATTATCATCCATCTTGGCGAACCGGTACTCCTCCTGTGCCATCTTCGTCCAATTCTAGGCACTATAACAACATGCCTGGCATGACTTTACCTCCATTGCCTAAAGCCAACCCAAGTGCTAGTACATCGTCTAGCGCATTGACAACACCTACTGCCGAATACGGTTTGTATCCCGCGTCCCCTCCTCCTTCAAATCCTTCTTCACCTACCACTTCCTCGAGAGCGTCAGGCAATGGGCCAGTACGACAGCGTCGTGGCACCGATGAAGCATCTCCATTATCGGAAACCATTGTCAAGTTTATGATGAATAATGATCCCTCCCAATACCCTCCCAATGGTGGTCCATCCTCCAGTGCGGAAACCGAGCGACATTATCCTGGTTCGATGGGCAGGGCCCAATCTCACTCTGCAGCAGCCGGCGTGGGTCTTGGCTTATATTCCAGCACTGGTACACCCCCCATCCCCAATGCTGCGTCTCTCAGTCAGACACGATTGCGATCACAGAGTAGTCCCAACATCCATCGTCCTACTCAAAATACGTGGGATCAGCAGCATCCTGAGATGCCCATCAACTCACGGACTCTGTATAACCGAGCAGTTGATCCCAATCTTCCTTCTCCTATCGAGGCTGGTCGCCTTTCTCCTCGTATGGTGAATAACGTGGATAACCATGAGTCCAGTCAGGCACCGTACACTCCCACTGGTTCCGAGCAACCTTCTACGACTGCCACCATGCGTCTCAAGCTCAATTTCCACGATAATATCTATGCCATTGTGGTGTCACCGGATATTAATTACCAAGAGCTCATGGACAAGGTCGGTAAAAAGATTCGTGTCGTAGCAGGTCTCGGTCCCAATGATTCTTTACGTATCAAGTACCAAGATGAAGATGGTGACCTTATCACTATCAATTCCGATGACGATGTTCTCATGGGTTTCGAAAGTCGAGGTGGCAGCAACACCATGAACTTGTTTATCAGCTAAATGTCACACAATTTTACCATTCCCGCCCGCCCTTTTTACACCCTCTTCTTTATTTCCTTTGATCAGAAAGGGCCTATTCAGAAACACATACCTACCTAACCATCATTCACACTTTTCATGTTTCTTCGTCTCTCTTTTTGCTATTAGTCCCCCATCGATGAAAAACCCGATAGATTTATGTAAATACTACCGACCATTTTCCCCATTTTTGAAGTACAGTAAACCCTCGTATTTATCTTTTTTCTTTTTTGAAGGGAAAAAAAAAAGAAATAAAAACTCCTCAAGATCTACTTAATGTTACAATGCGTCGGAAGGACGTGATGTTTCTCAGTCCACCTTTTAGTGATGCTTTCCACCAAAACCTTTTACCGGGCGGGCGGGACATTCAATGGGAGGGACTTGCTGCCAGGCAAGTGTGACCTCTAGGGGGATGTGCACACAGCCAATGATAGCTCGGCACGAAACGGTCGCAGATCCAATCCAGAGCAGTCACTCAGCCATTCATTTATAAGCGGGTTGTTGGTAAATTATCTCGTTTAGACAGCTTATTTTATACAACATGGTCAAAACATCTTTTGTTTTCGCTGCTGCTGCCACCGCCTTCCTTACTCTTGTTCAAGCCAAGAGCGATGTTGTTGACTTGAGTGCCAGCACCTTCGACTCTCACATCAAGAAGGAGGAAGTTACTTTGGTCGAGTTCTTCGCCCCTTGGTGCGGTCACTGCAAGGCTCTTGGTAAGATATCCACTGTACTATTTGAAAATGGTGCTGTTCTCATAGCTGATCCCTCTCCTTAGCTCCCGAGTACGAGATTGCTGCCACCACCCTTAAGAAGGACAATATCAAGATCGCCAAGGTCGATTGTACCGTTGAACAAGACCTTTGCAGTAGCCAGAATGTCCAAGGCTACCCCACCCTCAAGGTTTTCCGAAGCGGTAGCCCTGCTGACTACTCTGGACCTCGTAAGGCTGATGGTATTGTCAGCTATATGTTGAAGTAAGCCCATTGGACCGCTGCATGAAATCGTTTTCCTGGTCCGCAGTTTTTGGTAACACATTGGTTTTTATAGGCAAACCCAACCTCCTCTCACCAACCTCGATGCAAAGACTTACAGCGACTTTAAGACTTCCGACAAGGTTGTTGCCATCGCATATATTCCTGCCAAGGACAAGGACAGCCAAAAGATTTTCGAACAAGTTGCCAACCAGCTTCGTGATGAATACACCTTTGGTCTTGTTACTGACAAGAAGATCATTGCTGCTGAAGGCCACCAGGATACCCCAAGCATTGCTATCTACAAGCAATCCGACAATGAAGTTGTTTTCTCTGATGCATTTGATCTTACTGAGATTTCCCAATGGGTCAAGCTTAACTCTCTCCCCACCTTTGGCGAGATCGACGGAAACACCTTCTCATCTTATGCCGATCTCGGTCTTCCCATTGCTTACAGTTTCTACGAAAACGAGGAACAAGCTGAAGAGGTTGAGCGAGTTCTCAAGCCACTTGCTGAGAAGTACAAGGGAAAGATCAGCTTCGTCAAGATCGATGGTTCCAAGTATGGTCAACATGCCCAGAACCTTGCCATTCCTCAAGAATATCCTTCCTTCGGTATCCAAAACCTCGAAGATGGTAGCAAGTTCCCCTTGCTTAACAAGAAGGCCACCGATGTCGAAGCCGTTGATGAGTTGACTGCTTCTGTCACGGATGGTACTGCCCAACCCCATATCAAATCTGCTGTTGCTCCCCAGCCCAACGATGGCCCCGTCAAGGTCGTCGTTGCCACTGAATTCTCTGATGTTGTCCTCGACCCCAAGAAGAATGTCTTCTTGGAAGTCTATGCTCCCTGGTGCGGACACTGCAAGACCTTGGCTCCTATTTGGGAAGAGCTTGGTGAACTTTACGCTGACAGTGATGACATGGTCATCGCTAAGATGGACGGTACTGAGAACGATGTTCCCCCTGAAGGCGGTTTCCAGATCTCTGGTTTCCCTACCTTGAAGTTCTTCAAGGCTGACACCAACGAAATGATTGACTTCAATGGCGACCGAAGTTTGGAAGGATTGCAGGCTTTCATCGCTGAGGTGACTGGCGAAAAGGCTGATGAGGAGCTCGAACAAACTGAGGAAGCTGCTCCAGCAGACGAAGATGCTAAGGAACAGCACGATGAACTTTAAATGTAACTTTTACATGATCCCAAAACCCCCCCTCCCCTCAACTCCCAGAAACCAAAAAAAAAGCAGAAAATTTGCTACCCTTTCCCTGATTCATAATGTACAAGTTATTGTTTTGGCTTACACCATATTTGCTATGGTTTCCCCCAAATGCAAAATGATTCAAAAACTATAAATATACATTTTCCGTTTTGCAAGCAAGCTAAATATATTTTGATAAAGGGTTTCTAATCATTGCGTGCAAGAGCTTCATCGCTTTCCAAGAAATGGGGAAAGTTTTCATAAAATAGAATGAATTGTTAACGCTGGCATATACTTTCTTCCTTCAAGAAGTTCCCACATCAGCAGAACTGAACTTCAATCACGCACTGGCCATGGTTGCCTTTTGACTTCAAATGCAAATCTCCTGGTCTCCAAGTTCTGCACAGTTCTCCGCAGCCTTCCAGATCCTAAGGTTCTTAGTCCTCACAGTACCCAGGCTTCTACCCAGCAAGACGGCTGTCCGTACAAGTGAGTCATGAAAGAGAGAATGGTGGCACGAGACTCGTTGGCAGTCCACGCATAATGCTCTTCCCTGCTCTCCCGGCTGTCATATACCGTCGTCTAAATGTCCGGGATAATGACCGCTATCTAAACCCTGGATACTTTTAGGTAAACTTATATGGAAACCAATTGCTGTGAAAGTATGGAGCCGATCGATTTAACTTGATCTCTGTTCATGATAAATTCATCGTCTATTCCATCAAAATTCAATTTTGACTTGCCGTAAATTCGTTCGCTATTTTGATCCAAATAATTCGAAATAAAAGAATAGCCTTCTCTGAATGCCAACTTAATAATTGCCGGTATCCCTCATTGACCTTTTCAAATGGACCGAAAGCAAACCTCGTCCTCTTCAGACGCAAATGAGACTTCCGCACAGTCGACGGCAGCTGAACGTCGAGCCTCACTGTTAAGACGCCCATGGCAGTCCTCGCAGGACCCTTCAATTCAGAATCGGTCCTACTCCGTCCCCAGTGGTCAAGAATCGCAAAGGTCAGTCGACGCAAGAGGCAAAAGTATCTCTTGTGCTTCTGTCTATTCCCAAGAATATGTCATGAAAGAGGGACTCGACCCCAATGTCAACGACAATGACGCCGATGACTGCTCTGATCACGACTCCGATGTCGACTCGGAAGGTCGCCCTCGTTCACGCAGATCCTCCAACGTCGAAGAGGATGTCTGCTATCCGTTTCATTCAACGTATAAAGAAAAGGATATATCAGAAGTCGCCAGTGACATCAATTTAATCGCACTCCACAACTACCTTACAAACCATGACCATGACACTATGCAAAGTACCCTTGAATCAGATTTGCCTGGACCCAAGTCAGGAATAGATTTCCGTGTGGAAGATCTCGGAAGTCGATTTGGGCATAATGATGGGTACTCAATGTTTGGTGATGAAAAGGAGACTAGATCAAAGGTAGCGCTAATTCAGAATAATTATGCAATTGGGGAAGGGGGAAATAGTTCTCCTCGATCGGTTACTCATTTTTCGACTTTGTCTCTACGTTTTCTTCATTATACAGCAACCATTACCTCGTCGATTTGTATTTTATAGTGTTGCCACTGGAACAGTCAGGAGTGATTCACTAGCTGGTCTGCAGCATGAAGGTTCAAATCTAGAAGCACTTCTACTGGCAGGGAACTTTTGGATAGATATCACTTCACCGACTGACAGTGAGATGAAAACAATTAGCAAGGTAGGTTTGTTTCCGATGAGGGTTTCCGCTCTAAATTTTTTTTTGGTAGTGTTTGACAATAGGATTGATCCATGTTTGCACATTAGGTGTTCGGTATACATCCTCTCACAACTGAAGATATTCTAACAGAAGAATCCCGTGAAAAATGCGAAATTTTCCCTAATTACATGTTTGTATGCTATCGCGCATTCAACCAAGACCACTACAGTCCTGATTTCCTTGAACCCGTCAATTTCTACAACGTTGTATTCAAACATGGCTTGATATCGGTAATATTTGACTTCTTCTTCATGGCACGTTAGGAGGGAAAGGAGCTGATCTTTGTTACCCATAGTTTCATTTTGAGCCTTCCTCACACTCGCACAATGTTCGTAAACGAGCCAGACAATTACAGGGGTTCATCAACGTTACCTCCGATTGGATCAATTATGCCATCATTGATGATATATCAGACAGCTTCGGACCGCTTATCAAGCAAATTGAAGTTGAAGTCGACTCCATTGATGACCTTGTGCTATTGCTACGAGAATCAGAACAATCGGACATGTTGCGGCGAATAGGATCTTGCCGAAAAATGGTGATGCACCTTTTGAGATTGTTGACTTCAAAGTCCGATGTCATTCGAGGACTCATCAAGCGTTCTGAGGATAGAACAAGAGAATACAATAGCCGATTCTATGACGCAGGGAATCCATTAATCAATCTTGGTGGTTTAGCAGGCGTTCACCGAAGTGGAACAGCGACACCAACACAACTCGCTCCCAGTGCTGTTCCAAGGGAAGGCGCGTTCAAATTCATGCCAACCAGCTCCGAGTATACAGGCCACCCTGAAGAAGAAGACAAGCACTATAATCCGGATGTGACAATGTACTTTGGGGATATTCAAGGTAAAGAAAACAGACAAACGTATGGCTTCAGAGTGACTTAAACAAGAACACCCCCTCTCATTCTCAATTAGATCATATTGTTACCATGCTACAAAATTTAAACCATTATGAGACTATCTTATCAAGAGCTCACAGCAATTACCTTGCACAAATATCCATAGAACTGACACAAACCTCCAATTCTTTCAACCAAACTGTTTCAAGATTAACGGTGTTTGCAACCGTTTTAGGTAAAATTTCCCCCAAGTGATGTCAACGAGTGAGAGTAACCGAATTTAACAACGTTTCGTGGTGGTCAACTTTACAGTGCCTATGAACATTATAACGGGTTTATTCGGTATGTAGAATAGCTAAAAGCAAAATATGAGGGTGTATCGACATATGTTTTTAATGCTTTCGATTTAGGAATGAATGTTAGGGTGCCTGGAGAGGCATTTCAAGACCTCGGATATTTTTTCTGGATAGTGGCCTCGTTGGCTATGTTCGCAGTATTTTCTTTAGCGTTGGCAAAACGTGCTGACCTGATGTAGAGATTCCTTTTATTTTAAATATAACATGCCATTTAAGTGGGTTTTTATTATCGCCGTTAGGAATTTTCTGCAGGTCTAGCCAGTCAATAGAGCGTAAGCGCCCCGCCCGAAAAGGTTATGTTAGACTTTGATTAATCAAGTTCAAAGAATGTGACAACCTGTTCAGTTCTAAGAGTGCATTTTTGGCGGCTGGATAAGATCAGTTTTTATTTCCCTGACGCACCGATCGATGGTAATGACAAACATGTATAAATATATAGAATCGTGATTTTGTCCATGTCGTTCGTACCTCTTTTCACTACTTCTTTTAAAAATGCGTGTTTGCTTGACAGCCATTGCCGCCCTTCTTTTGACTCAGATCGTTCTTGGTCAAGATGTAGTCCAAGATGATGTTGCTGCTACTACCTCTGTTGAAGTTGCCCCAGAAGGCACTGCTGCTCCAGAAGCTACTGCTGTTCCAGAAGAAGGTGATGCTCCCGCTGCAGTTGAGAAGAGCAATGCTGAATTCCAGCTCTTGGCTGATTTTGATGCCACCCCCATCGAAACCGCTCTCGAACTTGAACAAGAGTTCCAAATCTTGAGCTGGACCAGCGCCAACCCCATCAGCACTAAGTCCTTCGTCTTTGAGCTTGAAGCTCCCGCTCATCTTCTGTTGACTGATTTCAAGCAAAACGGTGATTCCTTCATGGTTTACGATAACGGCGAGGTTATTGGTGCCACCAGACCTGCTGTGACCACTGAAGCCTATGCTGAAACTCCTGAAGACGCTGTTGCCGATGCTTCGTTCAGTAAGGCTGCTTTCCCTCTTGCTCCTGGTGCTCACAACATCACCATTGAGGCTACCTCACCTTTCGAATTTGGTAGCGCTGCTGTCCGCTTGGTTGCCAACGAACAATCCTTGTACAAGGAGGATGATGATGACGAGAAGGACGAACACCACAAAAACCACAAGGATACTCACAGAAAAGGCCAAGGTCTTACAGCTACCGCCTATGTTGAAGTCTCCAGCATTGTCACCAAATGGGTCACCCTGTTTGCTCCTGTCCCTACTCCCATGGTAGTTCCTAGCAGTCTTCCCAGTGGAAACACTGGGCCGTCCTTCACTTTCGTCGCCACTGTCACAGCTCCATCAGCTGCCTCAACTGAAGCCTCCTCTACTGAAGCCTCCTCTTCTGCACCCCCTGCTGTAAACACGGTTGTTATTTAGGTCAGTTCGACTGAAATTAACGCACATTTGCAAAAGAAATCACTCTAACCCACACACTTTCTGTTTGCATCCACCATTACTATCAAAATCCATTGTTTTATTTTGTCATCACAACAGGTTAAATCAAACACCAAATTGACAAGAGGAATTCGCTCGCCCAAGAAGGCGAAACGATGACCATCATAAAAAACTACGTTTAAATTCCAACCTTACGCCCGCTCCCTCCGACCTCAACTTGTCTTCTCCAACTCTGATACCAGCCTTTTCATACTAGACAGTAGACGCATTCCTTGTACTGCCGTTTTAAATAATGAATACCAAATATTTTAATTGTTCTATTTATCATGGATTTGTTTTGACAATATGCCCAAGTACGCTCTTCTGCAGCTTACATTTTGAACAGTCAGTGCATGAAATAAGCCGGTTGTTATTGGCCTAAAAGGCACACCCTTGTTAGCCGTTCATCACTCTTTCGATGAGCACCCCAGAGCTGTGCGAGTCCACCACCGGTGCCATCGATGCATAGTTTTGCTTTCACAAGCAGAATAATGCTGACAAAATTTCAGCACTGCCAAGAGACTGCAAATTTTCCTTGGCTCTGTGCCACTGCCCTGATTTGCTTGGAAGGGCCGTGCCGATAAATACGTGGTGGTTTGAGGTGTCAACCAACCTTCTCTTTTTCTTGTCCGCAGCCAGGCGTCTTTGGCTTCCTTTCAGCAATCATGTCAACCATCCCGTACACTATGGTGTTTGCACTTCTCGTTCTCGAGGTAAAGTCTTTATAGACAGGGATCGGGCTAGTCGATCTACTACTAATCCACCATTCACCATCAGATGCTTATTTTTGGATTATTGGTGGTAGGCACACTTTTTTACGACCACTGGAAATAGACTGTACAGTGTCTAACGTAGCTCTATATTTCGTTGAACCAGATCCCATTACCTCGGCACTGGCGTAGCGCTTTAGTGAATTTTATATCTACCTCACCATTGGTATGTATGACTTTATCATGCGGTAGTGATTTGAAGCAACCTATATCGACTCGACCATTGCTTTACATCCAGATCGCTCGAGGAATACATCTCTTGAAGATCCTCTTCGTGTAAGTATACTGATCGGGAGCTGCGTACTTCTGACCACACGTTTCTAATGCTTCAATCATAGTTTCGTACTTTTACTCTTCATCGGTATGGAAATCACATGCCAATGCAAACAAAGAAAAGAAGGAGCAACGCCAAATAACAAACTGTTTTCACTTGAATAGACGCTGTGAATAGGCTCCAGAAGCACCAAGCTGCACCGGTGGAGAGCGGAAACATGTATGGTCACGATCCTCGTCTTGACGCATCCTTAGCCGCGAAGAAATTCTATACCCAGCGAAACATGTAAGTTCTTGTGTTGTATATAGAAGTGGACGGCATAACCACGGTTTGAGATTAATCACTGTTCCGATTAGGTATCTGACTGGATTCACCCTGTTTCTGTCTTTGTGAGTATATATGCATTATTGGCTGATCCTGTATTATACTGAGAATCTAATTGAATCTGTCCTATTAGGATTTTGGAGCGAACATTCAACTTGGTGCTGACTTCAGTTCAACAACAGGAAGAGATCGTACGCTTGAAGTCCCATGTAAGTTTGCGTTAGGGGATCAAATCAGGGAACATCGGTACTGACGCCTTTGTATTCAGAATAACAGCACGTCTACTGAACATGACAGACGTATGACCGATATAGTAGAGAATCACAAGGAGGAACTCCGTGAATTGAAGAAGGAAATTGAGCGCAAAGAAGTGGATTTGGAAACTTTGAAAAAGCAATGCCAACAGCAGTCAGAGGAATACTTCCGCTTAGCTGATCGTCATAATGAATTGGAGAGACGTGGTTTGCCAGACGAGAAGAGAAAAGACAAATAATAAGCATTCATTCACATCTGTACCTTCATACTCCAAAGCAAAAGCAAAAATGATATATTAATTGTACTGTACACTCATAAATCCCTCGAAAGTTTATCTATCACATTCTGAATCCTGATCATTAAAACCTTTGGGTTATACGGAAACTCAGACATCTTGAGATCTGCATATAGCGCCTCCAAGATTTCGCTGACAATCTCCAACATCTGGATATCTGCCTCGGCATCCTCGTCTGAAAGACCATCTTCCTCGCTATGGAGCAAATCAACAGCTGCTCGAGCACACGCGATTTTAAAGTCTTGCGTGTTGTCTTCGGCGTATCGTAGGAATTGTATGAAGAATTTCAAAAACTGAGTATCCGCTGAGATGAGCATATCTAGAAGTGTTGTGTGGTCCAATCCCATCCGGAAGAGAACATGCACAAAAAGTTCTGCATGCTTGATTCCGCCATCAGCTTCTTGTGGATCTACCAACTCTATGATTCGCTGGCACATAGTCAAGCTGAAGTGGACGGCAAATTTGCGTTACCAAGGCTATCGTCGCCAATGCTATTCACGAAGTTGTGCTTACCTTTCGCTATCCATATGTTGCTGATCACGAACTAATTTTGACGCAACGACAGCCAATTGTAAAAGACTGTGCTCGATAGCCACCATGTCATTGTCTTCATTGCCGCAAATATTCATAAAAAGGTCCACCAATGCCGGTTTCCCATGATGATGACAGTACCCTACATACCCAAAATATAAGCTGTCTGATTAAGGCTACATCGCTACTTTCAGGTCCACCATGACCTCGTACTTACTTTGAATGATACCGTGGATTTGACTTGCGGCATTTCCAAGAGAACGGTTTACACTACTGGCGTAATGAGCGCCAGAGTTGATCAGTCGGAAAGCCGATACGAATGACGCTAGGCAGGTTTTAATGGCGCGCTTCAAGCTTTCACGATCAACAGCAATGTAAGCTGATATTGGCGAGTAAAAAAACTCTGTATCTATGTTGGCAAGCCGGGCAGTTATATCGTTGCTTGCGTTGAAAGCAGAAAATATGTAAGCCATGGCGACAGCAAGTGTCAGCTCAATCTATTATCACAGTTATTAGATTGAATGGCCATATCAATATGACAAAAGCGATAGTCAACATTTACCGTGCTGGCGACATCTGTAACATTTACGTTCCTCCACAGAAGCTCCAGGCTTTTGCGAACAACTATTATATTATTTGATTTTAAGAATTCTCCAATCTAGAAAATGATTCGTTTAGTTTTTATTGAAAGACATTGTTCACATATTTCAATGATACACTTGCCTTGCCAATGTCACTGGTAGACAGTGGCAGCGCACGGTAAGGGTCGTCATGGTCAGATGAGACGGAGCAATACTCTTGGCCGAGTTGCATTGTTTTAAATAGATCTATAACAACACGTATGTAGTATGGCTAGTGACACCAGCGTAAGTTAGAACCTCGATACAACGCAAATGCCGCCGTCGAAAGGAAAAGGCTACGTACTGAAGACGAGGCTACATCATTGAAGTGATCGGTGGTTTGCTCATTGAACACAGGGAATAGTTTGAGCAAATTAATTACATAATTTGTGTCCACACTACTGCCCCTCTTCCACTGTTTCCGAATATGCTTCAGCAAAACGTGCAGTAACTCCAAAATGTGGGTGTTGCTGGTTTCATCAACGCGTATTTGTCTTTGATGAAGTACGTCTACTATACAATTAGCGTCCCCAATATTAATGTAGTCATGGAGCGCTTCTGACGCCTGATATGCAGAAAACGGATCGGGATCCTCAAGTGAATGGATCTATGGTGGCATGGTTGCCAGAATCTTCGTTACTCATTGTCTATTTCGAACACCTATCAGAAAAAAAGCGTACCAGTATATCGATGTGAGCTATCTTTTCATCTTCTTTGTTATATAACGAGCTATGCGAAACAAGCATATGTTTGCCTATCTCTTTCCCTTTGTCCATGGTCGATTGGAGGGCAAATGTAGCATGTGGAGTACTTGTGTGGACGATAGGTCAACTAATGCGTTGGGCTCTAAAATTTTCAACGTATGCTGTTTCGCCTGCCTATGTAACAGCAAACGCAGAGAGAGAAAATTGCCCAAAGAACACTCAAGTAATAAGCGTGCTCTAAGAGTTTCGGGCTAACATATCTGGTGTTATCAGCTCAGGATGTACCAAGTATTATCAGCTTTCCAATTCAAATTATATTGTACAATTTCTTCAAGTTCCAAATAATTATATCGTGCAATCAATCACATTTACTTTGTGAGATGATGATAAAAAAAATGAAGGTGTATGATTGTTTTTCAGAGTTGGATAGGTGAGCATGGCCATTGCACTAATGTCGCGTTGAGTTGATATATATTTAATAGTCATAAACACCTGTCCCTTTTGATTTTGGCTCTTCAATCTCTTCATCCTCTTCGTCAAAGTACTTGTCTTGCATGTCCATATCTTCCTGGTCGAGATCGTCATATTTCTACGAGTTTGAACGCGTTAGCTGTAAGACAAATGAAGTGAAGCGTATTCGTGTGGACAAATACCTCGTTTTCGTCGACTTGTTTGTAATCAAAGGACGGCTTGATTTGAACGAGAGTTAATTAATGCCAATGGGATTTTTTGGCTTCATTATACGGTTAAATTATGTGGCTCCTGTATAACTTACGTCTTTTCCTTCTAGAAAGAGCTCTTCCATCATCCTCACGAACTCTTCCTTCTGTCCATCTCGAAAATGCTGTTCTCTCTCAGCCTGCGTTACAGATTCTTTAGGTTCCATTTCATGAGAATCATTTTCTTCTAGCTTCCGCCGTGCTTCGGCTGACTTGTCCCGTAAACTTGTAGATAACGGCGCAATGACAGGATCTGCATTATTCATTTCCTCTGCTTCCATGCTGTCGTTCGCTTGGTCCATCTTTTCGTCAACTTCCTCCTCTTCATCCTCTTCTTCTTCCTCCTCCTCTTCCTCTTGTTCAGATTCGATGGTTTTTTGTTGTCGAAGCTTCTCATCTATTATTGAACGGTCTAGATTATGCATGATACGCTGAACAAGATTGACGTCATCTCCGTAAGGGCGATCGCGAAGATGAGGTGGTATATGTTGGCCAATATAGTACTCGTATAGATTAGGTTCTCGTAGTTGCATGGCTTCCTCAGAGAAATACTCTGATCCTTTCAGTATATCCTTCAAATATTGAAAGCGGCGATTTTGTACTTGTTTTCGAACATGAGCATTCGTTTGCTGCGTCGTCTCGATATTACCTGGCTGATTTTTCAATAACGACCGCAAGTTAACATCGACTTCGTAGATTCCCGCTATCGTAAGCAAAGTCTTAGTTAAAAAAAAAATCTATTATCAATGTTCGGGTGGATTCATTACCTCGAAGTGGTTCAAAGTGGTTCAACTCCTCTTGTGGCAGGAAACGTCCCCAGCGAGTCAAAAACAGGCCAGGATCGTCTACAAGCGTTTTATCCATCACAGCGATTTTTACGTCATCCGGCGTATCCTCTTCATCACGTTTGAGGGATTTGAAAGTAATGGAGTCAAGATTACTCTGTACATAGTGAATGACACTTTCGCGACTTGCTTCTGGTAGCGACATTGCAAAGTGGAGTTGACATTGTGACTTTGCAACCAAAGAGCTGAAAAATTCGGAAGCAGTCCAAATTTCGCCTTCACAGCACCGACTTGTCAGCATTCACTTCTGTCCTGAGGAAGAGTTCATGGCCGATTCTGAAGCAGAAGGTTCAAACAATCACTCCTCACAGCAGGAAGATTCGCTGGTTTTGCAGGATAGAGAATTGCAGCCTGATGAGCTCAGCACAGTGGAAGGATCAGTGCTAGATTCAGTCGGTGCAGGCACAAGATCTCCTGCATCACCTCACTATACCGCGGGAAGAAGGGAACGCACTCTACGACAGAGAAAACACGTCAATTATACTGAACCTGCTGATAATCCTCTTAAAGACCATAATGACATCAAACGACAATTTCGTCAAGGTGAAAACCATAAGACAACGGCTTCGCTCCCTGCGAAGCGTGGCCGTGGACGACCTCCAAAGTATGCCCAAGCTCAACAACAGCAGCATTCAAACGCTTTGCAAAGTATACGATCCTCATCACGTAATCAACCTTCAGTAACCAATTCACGCTTTCAGCCTGTGCGCTATTCCAAGCGTAGTCTCCAAGCACGCGATGACGACGACGACGACGACGAAGATCACGAAAACGACGCTTACGAAAGTTTGAGGACAAAAGTGCGTCGGTTATCTCAAAGCAATGACGCAAAATTGAATTCTTCATCAAGGTACAACATGAGAACAAGGTCTAAAGAAGTTGACCATGCGGAGGATAATCGTGATGACGAAGGAGACGACGAAGGAGAGGATGAAGATGACGACGACGATGTTCGACCAACAAAACACTCAACGCGCACGCAATCAAGGATGCAAGATTCATTTTTGGATACTGGAAGTCCATCTGTAGACGAGGAAAGAGCTCCGAATGCCCAATATTCTTTGCGAACTCGTAAGAACGTTAGCTACTCCGAAAATCATGTTCGAGCTGGTTTTGAAGCAAGAGCTAGTCCAAGCCCAAAGTCGTATTCACCGTCCTTGAGATCCACCAGAGTGTCACGTTGGCGGATATCGAACGAAGCAAATGGGGGGCTTCGAAATTTGCCATCGGAAAAGGCTTATCACCTTCGAAAGCGAGCTCACCCTCCTAATTTCTATGCCGTTCCCCCGCCCCCCGTCATACCTCCCAAGCCAACCTCAAACGTACGCCCTCATCGATCTCATAGGGCTTCGTCTTTGTTCCGACACATAGGCTCAGGCTCAAGTGATGAAGAAAGCATTCGGCGAAATGTCAAGCAGCTTCGTGGTGGAGAAAGTGGATCCAGGATACTTCCACTGAACCTGTTAGAACTCAAGGGCTCAAGAGATAGCTCTCTTCTTGGACCAGCCGTTCTTACAGATCAAAATTCAATTAGCGACAAATTGGAAGGACAATCGTTCAATTTTGAGTCTATTGGCGGATTAGACCATCACATCAAGTCTTTGAAGGAAATGATACTGTTACCTCTTCTGTATCCTGAACTGTATGCGAACTTTCAAATCACACCACCCCGCGGTGCCTTACTATACGGACCACCGGGTACAGGCAAAACACTAATGGCTAGAGCGCTCGCCAATAGCTGCTCGACACAGACCCAGAAGGTAGCTTTTTTCATGAGAAAAGGTGCAGATTGTCTTAGCAAATGGGTTGGCGAAGCAGAACGCGAATTGAAGCTGCTATTTGAAGAGGCAAAGAAATGGCAACCAAGTATTATATTTTTTGATGAAATTGATGGTAAGTAGATGTGCTGGACGCTGTGTTTGGGAATGTCACATAATGAAGAACGGTCTTATTGATGGCGGTACATTTAGGTCTTGCGCCGGTGCGTAGCGCAAAGGCAGAGCAGACACACACATCTGTAGTATCAACATTGTTGGCCTTGATGGACGGTTTGGATTCACGTGGGCAAGTCATTGTTCTCGGAGCAACCAATAGAATTGATGCAATCGATCCTGCTCTACGTCGACCTGGAAGATTTGATCGCGAGTTTTACTTTCCGCTACCTAATGAAGAAGCGCGAAGCACCATCATAGAAATCGCTACTCGTGAATGGGAGCCTCCAGTTCCAGTTGCTTTCAAAAAGAGGCTAGCTCAAGTTTCGAAAGGCTACAGTGGGGCCGACCTAAAAGCACTATGTACAGAAGCAGCTCTTAATTCCATACGTAGAACGTATCCACAAATTTACGAATCGTCTGATCGACTTTTGGTTTCGCCGCAAGAAGTGCATGTGAAGCCACACGATTTTCTTGACAGTGCAAAATCGCTTGTCCCATCTTCTTTTCGATCTGCCGATGCTGTTGCTTCTCCTCTTCCTGATTCGTATGCTATACTGTTGCGGGATCAGTTCAAAAAGATGAAGGAGTTTGTCTTCAAAACGATTCCTCCCAAGATCAATAATTCTTTGCTGGATGAAGATACAATCGATGACGAGTCTAAGGGTTTGTCTGTTCAACATGAGCATTTCACCTTGACTGGTAAGAAAGAGGGTTTACCTGAGGGATGAGTGTACAGTAAAAGCGCTCTGAAGTTAACCGTTCATCCCATAGGCTCAAGTGAAATGCGAACGTACAAACCCCGATTACTTATCAACGGCATGAAGGGCTTTGGTCAAAAGCACGTCGCTGCTGCTCTTCTTGACGCTTTAGAAGGACACCATGTTCAGTCATTTGATTTGGCTATATTGATGGGTGATTCTGTTAGAGTAAGTTGAAACACTATACCTCCTTTATGGCTTCAGACTATATCTCTTACTTACCTCGTCCACAGTCGCCAGAGGCTATCTGTGTACAGTTGTTTACTGAAGTAAAACGCCATCGACCTAGCGTCATATATGTTCCCAATATTCACATATGGTGGCATGCTGTCTCTGATATGGTTCGAAACACTTTCATCAACCTTCTGAACGACATCCATCCTTATGATCCTATCTTATTGCTTGCCACAAGTGACGTTCTATATGAAGATCTCCCCTCGGAAGTACAACAATTATTTCGCCATTGTATGCTTGGACGCTGGCTTCTAGGCAACGCTTCCAAGGTATGCATATTTTTTAACAGTGGTGGTCAAATGCAGTATTATGAGCCTAATTTACCCCCCCCCCAAAAAAAAAAAATCTAGGATGAAGTTGCGGAATTCTTCAACTTTATACTATTGCAAGCAATGAAAACCCCAGAAGAATACAAGCGTCGTCGAAAAGCTGAATCAGAAACCGCACAGCAAGTACTACGAAGAGCCCCTCCCCTTCCTCCACGGCAGTTAAGCGAATCCGAAAAGCAGAAACTGAAAAGCCACGACGTACACGTCCTCCGAGAATTTCGTCGCGAGTTGCGGTGCGTCGTTGAAGACTTGCTCAAAAACAAACGGTTCAAGTATTTTGCCTATCCTGTGGTAAGTTTGTTCATTTATGATATAGCACATTCTGCTTATTGGCAGCTGTTTCCTTCATATGTAACTGACATCGTATCAATAGGATAATGAAGAGTATCCGGAATACTACACCTTAATTAGACATCCCATGGACTTGAATAAGATAATGAACAAGATTAACGAAGGAAAGTACTTCTCCGTGGCAGATTTCCTACGAGATATACACATCATTCGGTACAATACCGAATTCTATCATGGCGTTAACGAGGATGTCACCATTCGCGTAAGTTCTTGTACAGTACATATTTGATTCGTATGGTTGGTATGATGAATTGATGATCTCTCTCTCTCTACATAGGCTTATGCTCTTGTTGATGATGTGGAGTCATTTGTCCATAGTTTGAACCCTGAGCTTATAGCAGAACTCTCAGCGACAGCAAAGAGAAGAAAACTGGTCAAGGATGAAGAGAGAAAAGCTGTGAATCACAAGTACTTTACACGGACTGCTTCAGAAAGGGGTGTGAAGACAAGAGGCATGGAGAAGAAGACTGCTGAGAACGAAAACGTTGTTGAAGAAAGCATAGATCACGAATACCTTGATTATATCAGCAAACTTCGCGAGAGTTATGACAGCGGGTTCCAGAATAGCTTGAATGCTACAGATACGCTTCCTGCATCTGATACTGAGGAAAACACTGATACTCAATACGCGCCTGTATTGAATAGTCATATTCAAGCGGCTTCTATAGAAGACTCTGCTCCTCAAGTTGCTAACACCAAAGAATCAACACCCGCGTCACAGCCAGAAATCACCTCATCTCTCGTAAAGCCAGCCATCGTTATAGACGCTGAAAATAATCCATTCACAGCTATCATTGAAAATGGAGTTGACACTGCTACCACTGACAACGCTCAAGGGGATGCTGCTGGACCTGTCCTAGTTTTAGAAGAAAACAGCGAGAAAGTGATAACGCAGGAAGAGACTCCAAGTGGTAAATTATTTCATCTTCTTGGTGGCTGTCTGCATAAAACACATATACTGACCTTGCAATTTCCATTTAATCGTATACTCCTATTACGTCCATAGAGACGAAGCCTACTACAATCGTTGAGACTAATCATATTGCCACTGAAGCGAAATCACTTACTGTCGACCCTATTATGGAGGATCATAGTGAGAATGACTTGGAGAACCTCGTGCAGTCCTCCGAACCGCAGGAATTTCAGATTGACCATGTGGCCATCAAAGCTTTGTTGGACTCGGTAGCCGTACAGACGCAAAGCTGGCCATTGGATGAGATCTGCCACCTCAGAGCTGAGATGCTTAGCCTTGTTCATGAGAACAGAATGCTGTGGAGTAAAGAGCCATTATTACAGGTAAGTTTGAAACAACTGGGAGATCCGTTGACTTCCAATGGCACTAACCACTCTCAACAGGAACTTAAGGAACTAGTTGAAACTTTTACCAAAGACAGAGAAGAATCATAGAACCACTCGCTGTTTACAATAAACCTCAATGATCTGCTTTCACGTACTGTCATTGTATGAAAATTTGATAAAACATTTATTTTGATCTGGTTGGGCTACCTAATGAGTCAGAACTGTACATTACATTCATCAGAGCTTGTTGACCTGCATAAGCAGGCAAACATTCAGTGGTCTCTAACTCATAGTATTTAAGCATCAATTTTTTGTTTGACAGTGTGAGCATTATAAATGGTTTGAAATACTTTTGAATGCATGTAATGTTTTACAATGGACCTGTATTATTGCCCACTGCTGCTTCCCTGACCGCTTTGGCTATCCTCCTGTGATTGTTCGCCATTCTCGAATGTTTCTTGGAGAGCCATTTGTAAAGCGATATCGTCATCCGACAAGGCTTCTTCCATATCCGCCAAATCTCCACCCGTCTCCTGTGCATACAAATATCTATTGAGAGTATTCCTAAGGGTTGTGAGGTTGAATCCACTAGATTCATTGTTAAAATATAAGGTACTTGGTATGATACATTGTATCAAGAAAATCCAACTATAGAGTCTTACCCATTGTTTCCTGCTGCATTTGCGTTTTCTACGCCAGCATCTTCGATATGCTCAAAGCCTTCTACTGGGGTGGCAATTCCTTCGTCATCATCTGGGAACGCACCAGGGAACCGGTCTTGCACGATTTCAGGCATTTGCTGTTGCTCAAGCATGCCTATCATTTCTCTCAAGCGTTGATTAGCTTCTTGGCCCAGGCGACGACCGCCAGCTCCTCCGAGAAGATTGTTGAGCATATTGACCAGGTTTCCTCGAGCACCAGGTTGAAGGACACGTCTAGTACGATTTCTCTCTCTGCCTTCTGCAGTGTCCACGTCATTATAAGGCGAGATGGAATCAAGTGGTGGTAGTGGATCATGCATATGGTGACTGCGTTGCTTTACCTCGTCTGGTATAAAAGCGAGTAGTCGCTCAATGTCGGAAATGAGAATATGACGGCTTACGTTAAGAGGAATTCCGTGGTGAGGATCCTTGTCAACGTCGGCCGGGAAAAACACGGCTGCTTTCGTTCGTACATCTAATCCAGCCTGCACCTCTTCGTCTGCTTTTGTGGCATGAGCATCAAAGCGGGCAAGTGCCGTATGAGTGTTTTCAAAAAGCCATGCAATGACCTCGGGTTCTTTCCAGAGAGTGAAGTTGCGTTGAACGAAAAGCTGAATAAGCAGGTTCAGATATGGACTTGATGTCTCGGTCAAGCTCATGAGGGGGTGAGTGGCAATGATAGAATCAGTTTGACCACATTTTTCGGCTAAACCAAGTACAATCATGGGATATGTCAAGATAGCTTTCTGTAGGCACCGAGAGCTTTCACTCGTCAAATTGGCGTCTTCATCTGACTTCTTTTTCTTGTTTTCTAGCTTGAACATTGAGTAGGCTTGAGAGAAGGCAAAGTTTGGAAGTGTTGGTTCTGATACTCCTGAATTGCTGTCTCTCAAAGCGGCCATCAATTTTAAAAAGTATTCATGCTCGTTACATTTCAGTGCGTAGAAATCAATGGACAAATTGGCGCATAAAGGATCAGCAACAGGATCCAAACTAGATTTTGCACGTTAAAACGAAGGCAAACAAAAACTCCATTGTCATGAAACTTTTTTTCATACCTGAGCAAAAGCTTGTTGAACTCAAACGCAGTCCTCCAGCACCCGCGACGGGACAGAAATTGGATATGACGATGGATGGCTAAAAAGAACGACCTGTAATCGAAATCCACTTAGTCATCATAAAATTGTGAAACAAAATCACAAAATGTACACTGACCTGTTCTCTTCATATTTATAAGACAGTCGAACACAACCGGATGAAATGTTGAAGTTAGGATGGAACGCGCGTTCACAGGCGTAAAGTGCTTTTTCTAAACAAAAATAAATAAATTAGAAGATGTAATAGATCAGATACACATACTATGAGTTTCATACCGATGCATTCTCCTGCCACTGTCCAGTCTCCACCATGTTTTGCAATTTCTGAAATTTGCACCAGGCAGTCGATATGGTAAGGATAGTATCGATTCAGTAATACAATGTTGTTGGGGTCATGGCTCTCTACACACTCTAAGAACTCTAATTGCGCATCCTGGTATGACTCGGACTGAACATAGCAAAACTCGGTAATGCCTGTAGCAAAGGTGAAAATTATTCAACAGTCATGCTGTTATTACTTCTCACAAGTGATGAGCCACCTACCAGCTTTACTATCTATGATTTTCATACTCAATCCTTGCTGGGAATATGGGCTCCAATCCACCTTGGGTGTAGCAAGTCGGGTTTTCTTCAGCACTCTGGAACCAACCAAACTTTTTAAGTACACTTACACTACCCACGCTAGTGGAGAGTTGAATTTGCCTCATACCTTCCATGCGATCTCTCTCGCATCTCCTTATTAACGACTTTAGAACCGAACATGCGTTTCATTTCAGCATCAGCATCCAAGTACTTGGTCTCGACAGATAACGACTGTCTTAATTCAGCAGCAGCATTTGTGCTAACTGCAGATTGTGCAAGCCCTGTACCAGCATATCCTTTGGTTTCATTTTGTAACAGCTGATCCAACTCTTCCAAAGTCATCTCGCCTACATCTGATTTCTTAGACGTCGCCGCTGGTGAGGAAGGTTGGCTATCAACGTTCTGCACTTTCTGTAATTTTTTCCCTTTCTTCTTCTTGTTCTTCTTCTTGCTTGGAGAAGCAGCTACGGGCTAAAGTAGTATATTGTCAATGTAGTTCTCGAACATGGATGGAACTTCATTGTTCCTATGCCTTTGACATACCTGAATAGGTTCGTCTTCCTCCTGCTCGTTTTCAGCATCTTCTTCGTCGTTTCCTTCGTCCAGCTGTTTCGATGAACCGGCGTTAAAATAATAGAAAAAGAAGACAGGCGGTCATTGCAGCTTACCAGATCAAAGAGGTTTTTGGCAGGTTTAGATGAGGTAGCAGTCTCAGTCTCGACATCGCTTTCTTCATTGACGTCGTGTTCGTCTGAGCGACTCGAAAGAGTTTCTGCTAAATGAGCTAAGCCCTGATCCTTTTGTAATTTTCGTAATGCTCGAGAAGACATGGTAGAGTAAGCTGTCAGTCAGCGAAGGGGGAGGGAACGTGGGTTCTGCGGTCAAATTTCTCATTTAACAATTTTTGAGTTTGACTTTTCGACCTAGGCGGCGATTTTGTCACCACGGATCTTATACATTGATGAAATGCCTACTTGCAATATCGGCATTTCTTGCCTTGGTATCTGCTAATACCGAGAAGATAATATTTCACACCACCGAAAGTCCATTGAGTACGAATGATCCCACCACCGTTACCCACATAGACGCTTGGGCAGAACGTAACGGTTGGCCGATATTACGCGCCCCTTTCACCACTTTGGCGGACAGTATACGACCACAATCATCTTTAGATGAAGGGCCGAATCCTATCAATCCCGAAAACCCTCATTACGAATTTCAGAGCGAGATTCCGTTTCAACGATGGTACAGAGTCCGAGGTCTCATAGAAGGCGGAGGTTATGAAGCCAGAATATCTTACCCAGCAACGGTAAAGTCACTCCGAAAACTTCATAGACGCGGTGCATTGCTCAATATTAATACCATCTACAGTCTCCAACCGATTTTTCGCTCGAACTATTGAACCACACACAGCTGTATAATATACTGAGCGATCCTCTCAAGTACGGCAGCAGCAATGCGGATGGGTTTAAGGATTTCATCGACACTGACACTGAAACAAACAACAATCCCGATGATTTGGATAGCGAGATTTGGATGTTTCTTCTAGTGGAAGGTAATTATACAGGCATTTCGATTGTCGAAGGTGTAGAGTTTCGTCCGGTCAAATATAATATCGGTAAGTAGCAAAATAACCATCATAATGGGATCAAGTTCGTTTGCAAACTGAAATTTGTACCTCAGCACTAGAGCAATTGCACATGGGATTCATACCGAATCAAGCCTACAAACTTGCCATTTCTCTATTGCTAGTGATAGGACTTGGTAGTTTCGTCGTTGCGCCGAAGTTTTATGCACACATCGAGGATGCCGCCAATGATCATACTGCCCAAGTGCATAAAAAACGCAGCTAGGGGACAACCTTAGTACATTTAATTGTATATACCATATATTTAAAAAAGGGTCTGTAGGAATAAATAAGCCAAGCTCTTGGGTTACATGAGGCTTATAGAATGAATATCAATGGCAAAGTAGCTTTTGTACAAGGCATCTGGGAGTACGTTGCATTGTTGATGGTGCGATGTAGCACTGCCACGCATTGTTATACATAATCTTTTTAGAGTTTTGGTTGCTTCTGACATTTGCAGCATACTTATACCCAAGCTATACACTACATTTTTGATAAAGAGGAGTTTCAGCAGTGTCTGTCCATAACGTATCAAGTAAGTTACTGATGGCCATACTTGTTTTTCCCAAGATATGGCGAATAATTTTATATGCCCACACATTCTTGAACGAGTTCTTTCGACCCCCACATGGTACCAACCTGTATGTGCTGTCTGTATCAAATCTGTTTTCAAAGTGATTGCAGATCAATACACTCTGCGTCGTCAAAGATGACAAAAACGCCGACATGCAGACGGTGTCGGAGTCGCCAAGCCGTATTTGAAAGCGTTCTACGGCATTTCGACAGCGGAAAGTATTGAACGCGTTCCATTGATTCCTTTCTCATGCTTGAATATAATGGCTGGCTAGTTTCCTTATATTTTACAATATTCGTTGACAATAGTATTCAATGAAAATGCAGATGTAATTATTTTTAGCGTAGTTGTTGAAACCCAACTCCCCGAAGCAACTTTCTTCTAGCTGAATTTTGATTGGCTGTTTCAGGTGGCTCACTTCACGAACCGCTTACTTTATGAAGTGTCTGGGCGACAATTGATAGTCTTCCTCTTTTGATTTTCAATTCTCCATTATGGGTATGCTATCAAATGTGCTATTTAATATTTAATAGGATGACACCTACGACCCGATGAATGATACAACAGACGCGATATATCATTTTTTCAAACGGATGAAGATTTTTGGCTGATGGATGGGTGATGGATGAAAAAATACATCCATAAACCAGTATGCAGCGTATTCAAGCGATATTGCCACTTCTAACGCCATCCATGATCCATCCGACATCTCTGAACACGTATCCACCATCGACGTGCCGTTAATTCGAATCATTCGACCCGTCATGCACTCTACATCGGCGCATTGCCTTCATATGTCCCGCAGCACTTGACATTTTGAAACTTTCGAGATTTTCAAAGATGTCAACTTCACCGCAAATGCATTTTACCTTTCACATTGAATAACATATACTGATCCAATCTTTTCTTCTTTCACCATAGGTAAGGGAAAGCCTAGTGGTCTTAACGCCGCACGCAAGTTGCGCACCCACCGTCGCGAGAACCGTTGGGCTGACAAGCAATTCAAGAAGCGTCTTCTTGGAACAGCTTTCAAGTCATCCCCCTTCGGTGGTTCATCCCACGCCAAGGGTATCGTCCTTGAAAAGATGTACGTTATAGCGAAATGCCTTTGAGAATACACAATAGGATCCGTCAGAATACTAATGTTCATTTACAGTGGTGTCGAAGCCAAGCAACCTAACTCTGCCATTCGTAAGTGTGTCCGTGTTCAACTTATCAAGAACGGCAAGAAGGTTACCGCTTTCGTCCCCAATGACGGTTGTCTTAACTACGTCGACGAAAACGACGAAGTCTTGATCGCTGGTTTCGGTCGTAAGGGCCGTGCTATTGGTGATATTCCTGGTGTCCGCTTCAAGATCGTCAAGGTTTCCGGCGTCTCTCTCCTTGCTTTGTACAAGGAAAAGAAGGAGAAGCCCAGATCTTAAGTATCTCGCTTCTTTCTTTGTTTATTGCCTTTATCAACAATAAAACTACCAATCTGGGCTCTGTGAATTACAGATGCAATGTATAAATTGGAAGTGGTTTTGGGTATCCTACTGCCACTATTGTCACGCTTTCAGAAACTGAAACGAGCATATAGTGGATCTTACAAGGCGGTTGTGACCAAATATGCGATTATTTCAATGAGATAGAGTATAGGATGGTGTACTGTGTTATAAGCCTTGCATGGTAGAAAGTGTCTTAACGACTACCAAAAGTTTGATGCCTGGATTCACAACATACATACCGATCTAACGTACCATCACCCGTATTCTTTGTAGTTACCGCGATCCTCTTTCTGATGACTCAGATTAGATATAGCAGAACTAATATAGCTATCAATGAAATGCTCGCAACGAACTGGTCCCAAAGTACTCATTGTGCTTAATAGCTTCAATTTAGTCGTTTAATTGGTTCATAAAAACGTCGGAGTTTTTCTGGACGCTTCTCGTGCATTCGATTGTCGTCATTTATTTGCATATATTTGAGTCAAACGTGCTTTCACCGAGCTCACATTTCTTTTCTGTTTTTCCTTCTTCTCTCAGTGTTTTGTATATAATATGGGAAAAGACTACTATAAAATACTAGGTGTGTCCAAAGACGCAGACGATGATACAATCAAAAAAGCATATCGAAAGCAAGGTAAGCCCATACTAAATCGCTTCTGCCAATCGTAGTTCTTGCCAAAAGTCTAACACTTTTATCATTCTTTAGCATTGAAATGGCATCCAGATCGAAACAAAGATAACATGGAAGCTGCCAAGCAAAAGTTCCAAGAGGTCGGCGAAGCCTTTGAAGTACTCAGCGATAAAGACAAGCGTGCTGTCTATGATCAGTTCGGCGAAGAAGGCCTCAAAGGTGGACCACCTCCAAGTTCTGGTGGTGCTGGCGGCGCTGGAGGCTTCCCTGGAGCTGGAGGCTTCGGTGGATTCCCTGGAGGAGCCGGTGGCCCTGGTGGACATACATTTACTTTCACTTCAGGAGGTCCTCGTGGTGCTGGTGGGTACGCCCCATCCGACGCCGACGATATCTTCAAGCACTTCTTTGCCTCTTTCGGAGGCGGAGGTATGGGCGGTGGCATGCCTGGTATGGGTGGTATGCACGCTGAAGATGATATGGGAGGCGGTATGCCAGGTGGTATGCCGGGCGGTGGATTCGGCGGCTTCTCTAACTTTGGAGGAGGCGGTCGACCTAGAGGCAGTGGCTTCCAATCTGCTCAACCAAGAGAAAAACCGCCGGCCATCAAGCGACCTCTCCCAATCTCATTGGAGGATTTATACACTGGAACCACCAAACGTCTTAAAGTTACTCGCAAAATCAGAGACGGCGCAACTGGACGTGCTGTCACCACCGACAAAATATTGACCATCAACGTTAAAGCTGGCTGGAAAGCTGGAACCAAAATCCGGTTTCCCGGCGAAGGCGATGAACTCGACAATGGAGAAACTCAAGACATTGAATTCATCGTTGAAGAAAAGCCCCACCCTATATTCAAGCGTGAAGGCGATAACTTGACCATGGCCGTACAATTGACATTGGTCGAGGCTCTGACTGGCTTTGTCAAACAGATCAAAACTTTGGATGGTCGCACTCTCAAAATCAATAATACCTCCAATGTCATACAACCAGGACAAGAATCTCGTGTCTCCAACGAAGGAATGCCAAATTCAAAAACTGGAAAGAAAGGCGATCTGATCATCAAATATGAAGTTAAATTCCCTGTCACTCTGACTTCGTCTCAGAAAGAAGAGCTCAAGAAAGTCCTTCAATGATCGTCTTGTACTGTATATAGATAATCGAAACTTTTTGTTATAAATGTATCATACAACCTCCCACATATTCATGAAGAGAAATTTCATTTTTTCGGCTTTATTATGAATAAACAAAGTTATCAAAGATATTATTTAAGTATGTTATGATTTCGGTAAAACGAGGAAGAAGTTTTCACATGGGTTTGCGTAAAAAACCACGAAGTCGGCAATACCTGCCAGCTATCGTTTGAGTGCAGTCTGGAAGACTTCATATGACTATGTTCCACAGTGTAAGGATAACTGTACCCTTTTGATGTATACAAAAGTAAAAAAATAATTTACATAACGTTATGAGCTTACGAACACCCGCTTCAGTTCATTGGTGATGAGGTTGAAAGCATCCCATTTCTGATCCTTTAATTTCTTGGGAAGAACAAAGTCAGGGATGTTCATGAATCCGTGCATGGCACCGGGATAGAGCTTATAGATAGCTAAAGGTCGCTGTTGTGTTACTCGTCTACCAAAGAGCTCCATATCTTTGATATTAGGTTCGTTCTCGGCGGCAATGATAACTACTGATTCTGGTAATAGAGCAGCAGGGATATATCGAACTGATAGTAAGGGGTTCCGCAACTCTTCATCGGTATCCTTAGTATTCAGAAGGTAAGCTTCGTGAAACATGTTCCGTATGAGTGGGTTCTGCTCTTTGAACAAGTGATGAGAGCCTCGCGAGAAGTCGTATACAGAGTAAGCGGCTATGACTGAACTGAATGTGTTTTGGAACAGTTGAACCATACCCAATGCAAGTGTGCCTCCTGCGCTAAGTCCTCCGATGGCCACCTTAGTAGGCTGATACTCTTGCAGAATCCATTTGACAGCAGCTTGGCAGTCATGTAGTCCAGTGGGATATGGGTATTCGGGAGCAAACCGGTAGGCAATTGAAATAACGACGCAGTTTACGTTCTGAGCAATGTAGTGGCAGAATTGGCGATCTTCGCAGGTCCATCCTCCTATGAATCCGCCTCCATGAATGTGTATATAAACCGGATATCTTTGTCCGCTGTTGGTTTCGTATGATGGTGGAAAGAAAAAGGAGGCATAATAAGGTGCTGAACCGGGGATCGCTTGCTTCAGTTGCGGACCTGGAAGACGAGCTCGAATCAGGATCAGTTGGACCAGCTCGCTAATTCCACGAATGAGCTGAAACTTAAGTTTGATCAATAAATAGTGTAAGTAACCCATTGAATGAAAGTGTTCGTAGCTTATTAGCAGTAAAAAAGCGGACCAGTTCTCTTTATATGTGGTCCCACCACAGGGTTGTGGCAGCTGTACCGGTTGGGCCGGAGGCCGAGTGAGTCAGATGCTCCGTACGACTCACTAGCTCCTAATTCAAAAATATGATATTTCTCTCATCCTTCCCTTTATTTCATTGAATCAACTTGCGTTTAAGAATTAAGACGCGTTCATAACACGAGATAATCACTTCATCTTAGTATCAACTTTTTGCATGGTTGCTTGTAAAGCTTGTCCAGACTGCCAGTGATCAGCACCTTGGCGAGGAGTGTAGTCAGGGAAGTCTGAACGCTCTTGCTGCTTTGTAGATATGTTGATACCTTCGTCTTCTTCTCTTCTTTTGGCCATTTCATGGTCAAGCTGGCCATCCTTGGTGAATGCCATCATCAGCTGTGCAGGACCTACCATATAACTAAACATTAGATGATGTAGCCGGCAGTCCATCTTAAGAAACTAACGTACCATAAGGCAAAGAATCGAAGCGATCCACTTGCCATGTGTGCCACGTTTTTCCATATGTCTTCTGTAACGACAAAAGCGCTTGGCGTTCAGCCGCTGCAGCACCTAGTTCAGGCATCAATTTTGGCATAGGCAACGCCAGGCTTCCTCCACGTACTTCATAATCATGAGAGTGCCAATATTTTTTTTCCTCATCATCGAGTTCTTGAAAGTATCATTAGTACCGGCTGACTAAATCATTTTAAATGTCGGCTGTGGATTTTGATAACCTACGATCAAATAGTTTTTCAGAGATAATATACTCAATTCCTATCAGGCGAGCATCTGGGTTTGGAGAGTCATATATGACACATTGACGGAAGTCCTCGTTTACATGAGAACAGAAGTGGTGGGCATGAACTTGACGAGTCATATCATGAGCGTACATGTGGAATCCACACACATGCTCACATATTTTCTTCAAAGGTCCAAACGGCTGGGTAGCAGCAGAGAGAGTGTCAATACCCTTAGAGGATATAGAAAGTGGGTCACCAGGAGCAGAAGAAGCCATGTGTAAATAGTATGAAACGTTCAAAGAAAAAACATCGTTTTATCTTATATACACGTCTTTTGCATGAACGACGACGCCGTCCATGAAGTCATTCATACAATGAAATGATGGATTTCTTGCATTACTATGAAGTCATCCATACAAAGGTATGATGTCCTCCAAGCACAAGCAAAGAGGTGTTTCAAGTAATTGTTACGTAGGGGGCCCGCAGAAGGCTCGCACATTTTTCTCATGGGCAAAACACGTCGTGTTGTTTGAGTATTATTTTTTTATATTCAGTTTGTTTTAAAGAAAACCTTTGTCGTAAGACATAAGGGTTGACAAAAAATTGGGATTAACCTCCTTTAGTTCCTCGCGTACACTGAACCTTCTAGTAAAAGGCGAGAGGGTTATTTTTTGCGCGCAAGGCAGAGGTAATGAAGAAACAAAATATTCAAGCAAACTGTGGCTTTATATAGTTTTTCAATTTGCGGCAGAAAAATTTTTCATACCAGTCACATTCGAATTCCGGCACCACTTAGCGTTTTGAGATTGAAAGTGACTTTCAGAGAGAGCGGAGGTTGCTGGCAACTCTTCGCTATGCTGTGTTGGCAAATTGACAGTGGGGATCTCGGATGGTAAAGACAGTAATAAGCGCATGTAAATTACCCGATTTTATGGAATATTTCATAATGTGTCATTTGATACTGAGGAAGTCAAAAGCTAGTCAGTCGAATTCATTTCTTAAAGATTTATTACGTGTTTTTTTTGACTATAATTATCAACGTGTTGTAGATACATCACTGTGGCAACTGGAGCATCAATGTTCCTTTCTGTATAGTATAAAAAGTGCATCTTTATAGCGGTTCTATGCTAATACATCTAATATAAGTCCTATATGATTCAACCATTCAACCTCATGCTTTCCATTGGATGTGTATGGAACCGGTAATTCTTGGAAAAGGCAATTTACATGAATATTTTACATTGAGTAAATATCCCACAGAAAAAAGAGATATGCATACCCTGATTCAGCAGAATAATATTCTGAAGCCACTACTTTCTTGATTTCACCTACGTTAGCACCATTATTGACAACAATGCGATGACCAAAGCGAGCCTGTTTTACAAAAATATTTAGTATATTATTTTTCTATTTCAAGCCAGCATGAGTTCACTTACTCTTGGGTCATTGCTAAATACGCAAGTTGATTGCTGGGACTCCAAGTCCCATCGATAAATTCTGCCTTGTTCTGTAGGAAATAACTCAGCACACTATTCATAGTCTAGTGTATGCATCTCGTTATAACTCACCTTGATTTGCGAAAGGTTCACCAACCCACAAAATATTCTGATCAAGTGCCAGCGAGTAGCCAAAATGCGCTGCCATTTCGCTGCCGACTGCTCTAGTAATCAAAGCTGCTCCAGGATTGATTTGGCCATACTGCTGTAGTAAAAGACTTGCATCATACACGCGAACGCTACCACATTGCCACTTTTTGTTTCTTCCGAACTGGCTGGACGTTTCGGACATGCTGGCAATAACCAAATGCACATTATCCGCAACAATACCGCTTCCCATTTGCTGAAACTCGCTGTCGCCTGTCATAGTCCATTGTAAACGTGGCTTGGGCAAGTTATTCAGATCAAAGGCGTATACCCTTCCAACTCTCTGAGCTTCCGCAAGAGAGTAGCCAAATGCTCCAACAATCAAAAGACGGCGATCTCCATTTCCGATCAGCGATACTGCTCTCCCAAAGTGTTCGTAGCGTTGTATCATTGGAGATGGCAAAACCATATCTGGTACTGACAGAGTGGGTGGATGGGACCTGTTGCTGTAAAACGCATACACGGCACCTGTTTGTAAATTTTGCTGCCGGCCGCAATAGGGGCATCCGACAACCAGATCCTTTTTACCATCTCCATTAATATCGATAGCATACAGACGAGATCCAAATCCATAGTTATTCTTTCTTTGTGGTAGAAATACGATGACATCTGGTTTTGCCGATAGTCCTACACCGGCTTTTCCATAATAAATATTAATAAAGCCTTCTCCAGGTTCTCCAAATGGGCTCGCAACGGCTAAATCGTCGATTCCATCGTGATTGAAATCGAGGACAACCATGGTCCATCCGAATCGAGAATTAGCAACATGGTTGTTCAGCTGAATACTGGAGGATGAGAAGATGTCGTTATTGTCAAGTTGAAGGTTTTCCTTTCGCCCATCCACCACCATGACAGCTCCACTATGAAGTTGTTGAGCCGAGTAGTAAGGAGCTGAAACTGCCACGTCTGGGTATTGATCATCATTGAAGTCACCAAGTACAATGTCGTAAGCGAGTCCTCCAGATGTTTGATTTGAAGTAAGCATCACATCTGAGCTAAATGTTTCGCATGTATCCAGGAAATTGCTATCGTCAAAAGTGGGAAGATTGACATTTAATACATGCTGTTGTTTAGAACCTTCATCCGGGATAGTGGCCAGTGATAGTGACAAAAATCCATTTTTGTCATCCCAATCATCCAAAACACGGTATCCAGAGCTCTGAAGAAGTTGGACCTTTTCTTTGTGAGTAGCGCTGGATGAAGTGGAATGTGAGCTCAGTGGAGATCTTTCTACTGTATCCCAATGTGACGAGCACATAGTTCCAGATCCAGAATAGTAGTTCCCACTAAAATGGCTTGCAACTTCTCTCCAACAGCGGACCACTCTGGCCGTCATGTCTTGAATTCCACCACGGTAGTAGTGGTCTAGATTCTCAATCAGGAAAGGGCTTTGTTGTCCGTAGTAAGGAAACAGGTATTTGCCAAGCTTGAGGTCTGCCTTGAATGCAGTGTAGCCGACCTGCATGCAGTAACGAAGATCCTCTTCTGAAGGAGTGGGTAGGTTGGTATGTTTATACATTTGACTATAAATATTTGCCAAGTCCCGCACAGGAACTGTCCAGGTAGCATTGAAGTACTTGAGTTCAGCTGAGTGTCTTAATGTGAACTCAGCACCGGCATCAGCGGCTACATGAGCTTTCGGGGTATTTCCATGGAAATTCTGGGCAGACATTGCATGTATAAAGCCGTCTTGAAATCCACCTAAGCCATGCCAGAAGACATCGGCGATATCGTGTGAGATGATGGCAAAAAGAAATGCGATAAGGCCCTAAGGTTTTGAACACTCATAAATATAGTACAATGGATAATAAAAAGATGAACATTGATAAAATTCGAAGATGCTTACCGTTGCTTCTTCTTGTCGGTCTGCCCACGGTTCAGGGTATTCATTGTGGATGTATTCAATGGCAGCTCTCACAAATGGTGGCCAGTGCGCTGAAGTAACAGTTAGAAATTGAAAAATGAAAAATATTAATGTGGCATCCAAATGAAGAACTCATAACTCACCATCCTCGGAGAACTTTGAGTATCCCAGACATTGATAGCCCCTAAACCGGGCGAAGAAAAGCAAATGGTCAGTCCTAATTTAACTCATAGCAAACTATATGCCACAATTTGAAACCTATTGCTTTCATACCAGTCAGGGAAAAATGACCCAGCTTGCACATATGATGGAGAATCAAGCATATATCGAATATACTTTGCTGTCATGTTGCTGCCTGGGTTATTTTCTAACAAGTCGTTTGCACGGTGAGTGACCTCGTTATGAACGGAGCTTTCGGCTGTTGGTTAATACTTTGCAATAGGAGAAGGGCCAAAGTGCAGTTGCTTACATGCCACAGGCCATGACAATGGTTGACCATGTGGGCAGCATTGCCCATACAATTGACCATTTCATTGTGCGTCTGTTACTTTGAATTGTGAACAAACGACTAACAGGGTTCAGTAGATTGGATCATATACTGTTTATTTAATTTTATAAGCGATTTGATAGATAGTGATAAACTCAATCTTCACAATAAATGATACAGTGCCTCTGCTTTCTTTTTATCGTTAGTTGCAGGTCGTATTTTATTGCATAATACCACAAACAGCCAAGATGAAAATCCTTTATGATACTATTCCCATCGGCTTTTGGTTTATATCATGGAAGCACTTTCGTAGATGGTTTTCAATTGCCATTAAGCTTTCGAAGGAATGCGATAATTTGCATAGATTCATTGACCAGATGATTTAATAGTTGTCTATTACACTGTTTATTCATGAGAAGCATTAGCATTCTGGTAACTTGAGCACTTCAATTTGTATACTTTCATGCATGAGCAGACATTTCCAGATATTGCGGCAGTCTTTTGCTCATATATCTTTTCCATTGAATATTCGGTCTATCCTTATTCTTCAAAAAATTAAGCAGAGGTGCTTCATGATGATGGTACGATACGATATTCGAAGTCATCGTAGGATTAAAAAGCAGCAGCAGCATCCTGTCATCGCTGGCTAATAAAATATTCAATGTCCGAACTAAGCCTGGCAATCAGCTTCCAGATGAAGCATCACGTCAGCCTCCCCCCAGCATTGCAAACTCCCTGCCCCTGCTGGGACTGACTTTTTTTCTTCCTCTATCCTTCATCAACCATCTGTAAGAATGTCTGACATTAAGACTCGTGTTGTTGGTGCGGCCAACACTCTGGATTACCGCATCTTCTTCGGTAAGTTATAGATCACTACAAATCTGGTTGAGAGATCTGTCAGTTTTCTTTTTTTTTTTCTTTATTCAACTTTTTGTCACCATCTATAGAAAAGAACGGTGTTCCCATTTCACCTTTCCACGATATTCCTCTTTTCGCCAATGCTGAGAAGACCATCTTCAACATGGTTGTTGAGATCCCTCGTTGGACCAACGCTAAGCTTGAGGTAAGTTTCTATATTTTTGGACATGCATGGTGGTGCCAAAAAATACTTGATCTTAATGGCCAAAAAAATTTGTGTTTATTTTGGAAATAGATCTCCAAGGAAGATGTTCTGAACCCAGTTAAGCAAGATATCAAGAAGGGCAAGCTCCGTTATGTTCGCAACTGCTTCCCCCACAAGGGTTACATCTGGAACTATGGTGCTCTTCCCCAAACTTGGGAAGATCCCAACCAGGTCAACCCTGAAACCAAGGCTCGCGGTGATAACGATCCCATTGATGTCTGCGAAATTGGTGAGCAAGTTGCTTACCCTGGCCAGATCAAGCAAGTCAAGGTTCTCGGTATCATGGCTTTGCTCGATGAAGGCGAGACTGACTGGAAGATCATTGTCATTGATGTCAATGACCCGCTCGCTCCCAAGCTCAACGGTAAATACTTTTAAGCTTTCCCGGATATGTAATCTTTTCGGCTTTGAGGGGTTTAGATACTAAGACGCGTTCCTTTGTATAGACATTGAGGATGTTGAGAAGCACTTGCCTGGTTTAGTTCGCGCCACTAATGAATGGTTCCGCATCTACAAGATTCCTGATGGCAAGCCTGAAAACGTTTTCGCCTTCAGCGGCGAAGCCAAGAACAAGGTAATATATATGAGTGGAAGAGACGGAATAAAAACTTAATATGACGGAAAATAGGAACGTAACTTTTTTATTGACCTTTTCCCCCAACCTCTATTAGAAATATGCCACTGATATTATCCATGAGACTCACGAGGCTTGGAAGGGTTTGATCAACGGCACCAGCGACAAGAACTCGATTAGCGCGTATGTATTCAATTCTTTATTATCATTGGCTTAGATGACTGATTGATGTGATGGAGATTATATTGGCTGACAATCAACTTTGTTTATTTTCTGAACTTTAGTGTCAATGTGACTGTCGAAGGCTCTGCTTTCAAGGTCTCGCCTGATGATGCCGTCATCAAGAATCTCCCTGCTGTAAGCGTCTTTTCATATTTTTCAACCGCAGCCACGTGACATTTATCTAAGCTTGATTGTCATATTGACTTCGTTTATCCAACAGGCATCCAACCTCGCTCCTGCTCCCATTGATTCTTCCATCGACAAGTGGTTCTTCATTAGCGGCCAAACTGTTTAATAGACGGGATGTTTAATGTACATGAATGATTTTTTTCTTCACACAATAAAAAAAAAGCACAGTGGAGAAAACCTGAAAAAGAAAATGTTCCAAAAATACTAAGTGCGGTTAAAGCGGCATGGACTTTTTTTTTTTTTTTACTCCTCCCAATAAGCGAACTCAGACGGAGCAGGCAGCGCTCATTGAGCCGGGATAAATTTTCAGTTATTCTTTCCTATCCTCCTTTCTCTTCTTCTCTTTCACTTTTACTTCTTCAATATCATGTGGAGACGCCTGTCTCGTTCCCAAAAGCTTCTGGCAACCGCTGCTTCTGCAACCGGTGTTGGAGGTGCTTATTTATTCTACGCAGAGTCCCAACGTACTCGCCAAAGACATGCACAGTACATGGCAACCTTGAACGGCCTTCCAGTTGCCCATGCTGAGTCACTTCAAGCACATGCAGGTGTGGTCGAAACTGACATCAAGCCTCACGACTTCTGGGCTCCTCCTTCTCGCCAGGAAATGTTGAATAAGCTCAAGGGATTGGATAAAGACGGTCAGAAAGCCAAGGAACATGAAGAATTTGATCTTCTGATTGTGGGTGGCGGCGCTACGGGTGCCGGTGTTGCTCTGGATGCTACTACCCGTGGTCTGAACGTCGCACTTGTTGAGAGAGATGATTTTGCTTCTGGTAAGTGTGGTCATTCATAGCTAAACCCCTGCCCTTCCTATATTAATTTACACGGTATGTTCAGGTACCTCATCTAGATCAACCAAGCTTGTTCACGGTGGTGTTAGATATCTTCAAAAGGCTATCCAAGAGTTGGATTATGAGCAGTACAAGTTGGTGGTCGAAGCTCTTCACGAGCGTAAGATCTTCTTGGATATCGCACCATATCTTTCTCACCAACTTCCCATTATGTTGCCAGTCTACAAGTACGTATCTATGACTCGTTCTTTCTTTTTTTAATGCGGATGTTCATTGGCGGTCCATTTCTCTTTCCGCTGACACTAAACAAATTCCCATTGTTTTGCAGGTGGTGGCAAGTGCCTTACTATTGGATCGGCTGTAAGATGTATGACTGGTTTGCGGGTAGAGAAGCTCTTGAAAGCAGTTATGTGTTGACTCGATCCAAGGCCTTGGAAGCGTTCCCTATGCTGAAGAAGGATGAATTGGTTGGAGCTCTAGTGTATTATGACGGTAAGACATTCGCTCTTGAATTTTTCACAAGCAATTGGCCCTTGTATTTTCAAAGCCAGTCTGGCTAATCCTCAGTAACTTCCCTTTTTGGTAGGTCAACATAATGACGCCAGAATGAATGTTGCACTCGCACTGACGGCTGTCAATCATGGTGCTACCATGGCAAATCACTGCGAAGTGAAGAGCTTGACAAAGGATGAGAATGGCAACGTCAATGGTGCTGTGCTTTGTGACGTCTTTACTGGTGATGAGTGGACCGTGAAAGCCAAGGTAATTTAACGTCATAATCTGTTTTTCAAACCCGAAATTGAATTTATCCATGTTAATGTGATTTTTTTTATTGCAACCAACCAGGGTGTCATCAACGCAACTGGTCCATTCACAGATGGCCTACGCAAGATGGACGATAAGGAAAACTCAGAAATTGTTGCTCCATCCGCTGGTGTCCATATCATCCTTCCCAACTACTACAGTCCTGGAAACATGGGATTGTTGGACCCTGCTACCTCCGATGGTCGTGTCATTTTCTTCCTTCCTTGGCAAGGAAATACCATTGCTGGTACCACTGGTATGTTTTCAAATGGAGCGATACTTTGAATATCATCATAGAATTCCTACTCACGATGGACATCCTTGCCTTATTTAGACTCTCCCACTGAAGTGACCCACAATCCCCTTCCTAAAGAAGAAGAGATTCAATGGATTTTGAATGAAGTTGAACATTATCTCAGCCCTGGTAAGTTTTCTTGGCCATCTACTGATTTTGCTTTCATGATGTTTTGGTTAACACGAATGATGATTCAGATGTCAAGGTCCGTCGCGGAGATGTCTTGGCCGCTTGGTCTGGTATTCGTCCACTAGTCCGTGATCCCAATGCTACCAAGACGGAGGCATTGGTCCGAAACCACATGATCCACGTCAGTGAGAACAAACTCCTTACTATTGCTGGTGGAAAGTGGACCACCTACCGTGCTATGGCCCAGGAAACAGTTGATCGTGCTATCCAGGAATTCAACCTTAAGCCTACTCATCCTGAGTGCAGAACTGAAGTCATTCGATTGATAGGTTCGCACGCCTATTCCAATACTATGTTCATTAAGCTCATTCAACACTTTGGTATGGAGACTGAAGTTGCTCAGCATTTGGCTAACAGCTACGGTGACCGTGCTTGGGCTGTTGGAACCATGGCTGATGCTACCCACCAACGCTGGCCAGTGTTTGGTAAGCGTCTCAGCCCACAATACCCATACATTGAAGCCGAAGTTCGCTATGCTGTTCGCCGTGAATACGCCAGCACTGTTGTTGATGTCATTGCCCGCCGTACTCGTATCGCTTTCTTGAATGCTCAAGCCGCTTTGGAATCTTTGCCTCGTGTTATCGAAATTATGTCTGATGAATTGAAGTGGAGCAAGGAACGTCAAAAGAAGGAGTTCGATGATGCCGTTGAATTCTTGACCACCATGGGTTTGCCCAGCTCCAGCTCTCAAATCGTCTACCCAGTGACCAAGGACCATCACCCCGCCGGTGCTCCCATTGAGAATGCCAAGTCACATGATGCCATCTTCTCTAGAGCTCGCTTCCTTCCTGATGAGCTCAAGGAGTTCCAATCTGTTTTCAGCGAATTGGATCATGACAAGGACGGTCATTTGAAGGCCGAAGATCTTCCCAAAGTCTTTTCTCGACTAGGTGTTCCAGTCAAGCAGGATGTTCTTGATGCCGCCATCAAGGCTTTGGACAATACCAGTAACTCCTCAGTAGAATTCAGCGAGTTCTTGGAAATCATGAGTCAGGTCAAGGATATTGAAATCCGTCGACATTTGACTAATGAGAAGGGCGGTAAAATTAGTCTTGAACGTAGTGGTGGAGGTGTTTAAATGACCTGCTGGCATCCTCTTTATCTATACATTGTATTATAGTTTTTTTTGATTGTATTAAGAAATACATATACATTCATTCATCCAATTTCCTTCTGTCACGTTGATGTGTTCGATTGAAATATGTACAAATGCGGGAGGGGGGGGGTCATGCAAAATAAAAAAGAGTGAACCAATTCAATCGCACACCAACGGTGATACTACTGAAGCTTTCATGGGTTGATGTAGCTACAACCACCTCGGGCTCATATCCCTCTGTTGATTGGATTTCAACTGTCTAAGGAACAGAACAAAGAAGAATTTTTTTCTACAAGATTCTTTTTCCATAAAATCGAATTTTCGGAAGTTGACCCTGCTTTTCATACCAAAGTTGTCCTATCGACAGTCCACACAAAGAAAAGTCAAAGATGGACAAGCACATCTCTGATGATGATGACTTCTATACTGATGAAGAAGACGAAGAATGGAACGCTCCCATTACCGCAGCTTGGGGTGCCCCGTCGTCCGAGCAAGAACCTGGATCTGTTGAAGAAAATGACGGATCTGGCGACGTTAACGGTTGGCATCAAATTGCAGATCCCAACGCAAAGTTACGAGCAGATGGTGTGGGCGCTGGAAACCTACATCGTCAAGGAAAAAATTTCAAACCTGTGGACGAGTCCTACATTGTGAATCAGAGATTGGGTAAAGCTGCACCCAAGAAAACTCAAGCGAAACCTGTACCAGTCCATACGAAAGCGACACCTAAGGTCAGCATTCGATCTGTTTCTGGAAGCAAACCTCCTCATGTCATTTCGGCCCCTGAAGCGGGAAAGAAGGCTGCAAAAAAGGCTCGTCAAGCTGCCCTTGCACTTGCTGCAGAACGAGCTCGTGCGGTTGAAATGGCCGCCGCAAAGAAAAGACCACCTTCAAAAGTGGAGGATGTACAGGTTCAGTCAACTTGGGCTGCTGGTGCTTCGCTAGTCACAACGCCCTTCTGGGAACAGTCTTCTTCGATGTCGTCGGTACACGCACGACAACCACAGCAGCAAAACGAAGCACAAAGCGGGAAACCATCTCGAACTCCTGTCGCTCAAACTCAAAAGCCTGCCTTTACGCCTGCGCCAGCACCACAGTCAGCAAGTAAGTTTGGTATGCAGATCAAAGGTCTCGGCGAGAGCATGAGGAAACTGGAGATAGCAAGAGCTGCTTCAGCTGCTCAAGCTGCTGAAGATGCCCGTTCTTCAGCAAGATCTGTATCAACAGGGCGTGATGTTGCGGCCAAATCAAAAAGCGTTCCGCCAGAAACCAGGCACACCCCTAAGCCAGCAATTCCCTTAAACAAACCTAATTCAGCACCTCCAAAACTAAAAACAAAGCAGGAGCCAGTCCAGCCTTCTAAGCCAAGGCAACCAACATCCTTTACACCAGCTCCTGCTCCAAAACCAACCACTAGCACAAAGGAAATCAGTTCAGCTCATTCGAAGTGGGCCAACCCTGCTGCTGTGCCTGCAGCTATACTTTTCACTTTGAATATTGAACTAGAGAAAGGAGAAACGATGCCAATTACCATTCGAGCGAACGATGATCCTAGACAGCTGGCTGTAGCATTTGTTGAACGTTTCCGAAAGCGCAGCGGTGACGGAGCGTCCGTAAACAATAACAATGTTGTGGAAGCCTTGACCCATCTCATTCAGCAGCAAATTAAAATCAAGTCTGGCAAAGCGTAGATATCAAATCTCTATCGCTATGTCAGTCAATCTATACTGCTAATTTTTCATTCGATCCATCCTATTTCAACACTTATTTGTTTTAATTCGATTGTCACCAAACTGTAGATGATACCAAAATATATGAATGCATTCCAAATAATGGGTAATGTTGAGGGTTAATGGAGGTATTGGTGATACCGCGTAATTTCGCGATTTTAGTGATGTGAAAAATGCGTTTTGTTGAGTCTGACTGGCTTCCAAGATACACAGTGCCAATGGCGGCGACTTTGCCATTCCATAAAATTTTCTTCATTCACCGGACGATAGCCCTATCCTTTCATCTCATCCTCTTGCAGCCGGTCGTAGACTGCCTTTGTATCCTGAGAGCTCCCTGATGAAACGTCCTGAAGGGGCGGTATTTGTCGCGCAGTCGAAAGAGAGTGCTGAATAAGCACGCTCCATGTTAATAATTTCATAGTCATCACGACACGAAGGAAGTTTCTGTCATACAGCTTGTGCTCCGAAAGGGAGCGGGCTTCTGATGGCATGATCTAGGCTCTTGTCCCGTATCATGTAGTATTCGCGTTGAAGAAACATTTTTTCAATATACTATCGAAGGGTAAACGACACGTTACAAGTCAACCATATGTCGTTGGCTGTTGACCGCCTATCGCGTGTCTGGGCAAAGAGCATTGGTAGCAGTAGTTCATTTGTCACATCGAGCAGTATAATACGCAATCACTTACATTTGCATGAGCATACTCCTATCGAATATTCGCGTATCATTCTTGCTTGGTTATATACGAGGGGTTCGTATAATATAAACAGAAGTGGATGCGAAGACACCATGACACGCTTTGAAATTGAAGCAGCGCAGTGAAAAAAAAAAATCCAGACGATATTCGACGCGACAAGCGCGTCTGAATTTTTTTTTCTCCCTTTCTTTTTCCTTTTCTTCCCTTCCAATCGATGTTTGTCTATAAACGAGGTAATTGCCTTTGAACAACATACATAAAATTGAACCAGAGCGTGTTAATAATACTTGTTCCCTAGACGGTAGACGCGAGCGCGTTGCTTTTGACAAGGTATGGCCATTGATTGCGAGATTGAGCCAATGTCTCACAGCCATTATCAAATGACTAATCCACCTGCATTCTTCACAGATCACAGCTAGAATTAACAAGCTATGCTATGGTTTGGACATGAACTTTGTAGATCCCGTCGCCATTACCCAGAAGGTGAGATTTGCAAACCTTGTGCATTTGTAATCTTTGTGCACCAGTCAAAACTAACCTGGCGGAACCAAAAAAATCCATATGCTGTAGGTTATTTCCGGTGTCTACCAAGGTGTTACTACTGTGGAATTGGATAACCTTGCTGCCGAGACCGCGGCGTACATGACCACCAAGCATCCTGATTATGCTATTCTGGCTGCTCGTATTGCTATTTCCAATTTGCACAAGGAGACCACCAAGCAGTTCTCACAGGTTGTCGACGATCTTTACAACTATATTAATCCCAAGACCGATAAGCCTGGACCTATGATCTCTGACGATGTCTACAAGATTGTCCAAGCCAATGCTGAACGTTTGAACTCTGCCATCATTTACGATCGCGATTTCAGCTACAACTACTTTGGTTTCAAGACCTTGGAACGTTCTTATCTTCTCAAGATCAATGGCAAGGTTGCTGAAAGACCACAACATTTGCTTATGCGTGTTGCTGTTGGTATCCACGGAGAAGATATTGAGGCCGCCATCGAGACCTACAATCTTTTGTCAGAGCGCTACTTTACACATGCCAGTCCTACTTTATTCAATGCTGGCACACCAAGACCCCAAATGTCCTCGTGTTTCCTTTTGACCATGAAAGAAGATTCCATTGAAGGCATCTATGAAACGTTGAAGGCTTGTTCCCAAATTTCCAAGACTGCTGGTGGTATTGGCCTCAATATCCACAACATCCGTGCATCCGGATCCTACATTGCTGGAACCAATGGCTATTCTAACGGTATTGTCCCAATGTTGCGTGTTTATAACAACACTGCACGTTACGTTGATCAAGGTGGTAACAAGCGGCCAGGAGCCTTTGCTATGTATCTTGAGCCTTGGCACGCTGATGTCTTCGACTTTTTGGACTTGAAGAAGAATACTGGAAAAGAGGAGAACCGCGCGCGCGATCTTTTCTATGCTCTCTGGATCCCTGACTTGTTCATGAAGCGTGTTGAAGCCAACGGTGACTGGACTTTGTTCTGCCCAAGCGAAGCTCCCAACTTGCACGAAGTTTGGGGTGACGAGTTCGAAGCTCTTTATGAACGCTATGAACGGGAAGGCCGTGGTCGTAAGACCATCAAGGCACAGAAGCTTTGGTTTGCCATCTTGGAATCTCAAACAGAAACTGGAACCCCTTATATGCTTTACAAGGATGCTTGTAATCGCAAGTCTAACCAACAAAATCTTGGCACCATTAAATGCAGCAACCTTTGCACCGAAATTGTTGAGTACTCTGCTCCCGGTGAAATTGCTGTGTGCAATCTGGCTAGTATTGCCTTGCCTTCTTATGTTATCAATCGTGAAAAGTACGACTTCCAAAAACTTCATGATGTGAGTGGGCTTTTTTGATTCATACAGTGTGAGATATCGGTATCCTTCTCCGATACTGACAATTATCAATTCCTTTAGGTCACCAAAGTCATTACCCGTAACTTGGACAAGATCATTGATGTCAATTACTACCCTGTCGAGGAAGCACGTTACTCCAACATGCGACACCGACCTATTGGTCTCGGTGTTCAAGGTCTTGCTGATGCCTTCATGCTGATGCGATATCCATTTGACTCTGCTGAAGCTCGCGAACTCAATATCCAGATTTTCGAAACAATTTATCACGCTGCTCTTGAAGCTTCTTGCGAACTCGCTCAAGAGAAGGGTACTTATGAAACTTATGCTGGATCACCTGTCTCAAAGGGTATCTTTCAATATGATATGTGGGATGTTACCCCGACTGATCTCTGGAATTGGGATGAACTCAAGCAAAAAGTTGCTAAACATGGCGTTCGCAACTCGTTGCTGGTCGCTCCAATGCCAACAGCCTCCACTTCACAAATTTTGGGCTTCAATGAATGCTTTGAGCCTTATACTTCCAACTTGTATACTCGCCGAGTTCTTGCTGGTGAATTCCAGATTGTCAACCCATGGTTGCTCAAGGACCTGGTCGAGTCTGGTCTCTGGGATGATACTGTTAAGAATCAAATTATCTCTGACAATGGATCCATCCAAAAGGTTACTTCTATTCCCCAAAATCTCAAGGATCTTTACAAGACAGTGTGGGAAATCTCTCAACGGGTTGTTATCGACATGGCAGCGGATCGCGGCGCCTTTATTGATCAGAGTCAGAGTCTCAACATCTTTATTGCCGAACCTAACTTTGGCCGTTTGACCAGTATGCATTTCTATGCCTGGAAGAAGGGTTTAAAGACTGGCATGTACTACTTGCGAACCAGACCTGCTGTCGACGCTATCAAGGTATGTCTCACAGGCTTTTTACTATTGATCCGCCTTTCTCCGCCACCTTCATCACTCACTTTTTGTTTGTTTTCCCTTAGTTTACCGTTGACCAAGCTTCCCTCAACCAAACCGTGGATCGTCTTTCTCTCAAGGAGTACAGCCAGAAGACTCAGGAGGAAAATGAAGCTGCTATGGTTTGCTCTATCGATAACAAGGATGCTTGTGTCAGTTGCAGCGGTTAAGCATCTATAGCGATCCGCATGGCTTTCCGCCTTCACAACCCCCCCCCCCCTCTTTTTCTTTTGCCTCCAACATACCGTTGCTTTCTGCAATCTAGCACATTTTCTCTTTCCTCTTTTATGTTTTTATTTGTAAATGCCGACCGACACACCCACGCATCCACTATAAAGTGATCCTATTTTGAAATTCTTGTTATTAATAGCAAACCATGCCATTAAGGCTATAGCTCTAAATTGGAAATTTCGTCATGGTCCAAGTCGATTCTGTGGTATAGCAGGGTGGATCAATGAGCCAAAGTGAATTTGAAAAGAAGACGGTGACTACAAACCAACACGTACCTTAACATCATGAGCTTTTTAATTTCAGTCACGGTCAGTCGCCAAGTAACAGGTCCAGCCTTGCTACCCCAGTACTCATAGATTTCAGATGGCTAAAGGAGAGCAGAGCATGGGAAGGAGTCAGGGACACGATCGGCCATTGATTGTGAAGAATCTATTTTTTTTTTTTTCAGCACGTTGAATGAACTTACCGTTTCAAAACTCAGCACCGTTGCCGTTTGATTCAGACGGGTCATCTTATCTCGGGTAGACCAGTCAGTTAGGTTGGATAAGTAATGGGTCAAACTTCGCAGGTCTTTGTCGAAGCGTAAGGCACCCAGTTGATTGAAGCGAGTTTGAAGGACGATTTTTTCCCACTGCTTCGTTACAGCTGTCACCATTAAATCAAGCATATGTGCAAAGTTCGGTTCAGTAAAAGTGCGTCGGTATATGTCGATCAGCTTGGAGAAACCTTGTGTGAATCGTCGCACGAAAGCATCATTTGAATCCGCTTCGTTGTACTCGTCCTCATCTAGTACATACTTGACATCCCGATAGGCCTCCTGGAATAACGGTCGTACACGAGGTTTGAGGGTTTGGCCAAAAAGTTGTTCCAGTCCAGTAGTCAGTCGCTTTTTCATACTATCTGACAAGTTACCAAGCTGTTTCAATGCCTTTTCGAGACTCTGGTATCCTTCACCTTCGATGAGGTTGGTATCTGCATGATCTAGTGCTTCTTCAGAAAGGCGTTGTATGTACAATGAACTGACGTCCAGGTTGTTGAGGACAACCATATAAGACAATTTAGCTAATTCGACAGCTTTGGAGTTGCCTGGTTCGTGTCCGGTGAATGCAGCTGACATTTTGCGTTGGAGAAATCCAATATATTCACTTTCAATGATCTTAATGAGAAGATTGATCATGGAAGTGATGGTATCGAGGTGAGCTGTGGATATACACCGGCGGGTCACTTTTTTCAATATAAAAAAGACATCGTCCACGCATGATGATGTTTCTCCCACTGCACTGTCGTATTCGTCAATGCTCATGGCCTGATCGTAAACCAAATTAGATTGTTTTGAATTTTGAAGATATTCATAAACCAAAAAAGACAAGTTACGTACCATGTTCACACTGCGGCGGACCAAATATTCCTCCATAATGAGATAGCTATCTAACAGATCAGAGACCCGTTTGCTCAGTCTGGACATCACCAGAAGACCATCTGAATCATATTGCTTGCGATTAGTATCCTTCCAGAATTCCTCTTCGTTGGGTATGGCTTCAAGTTCTTCTTTTGCACGAGCACGAAGGAACCGGTGGAACAATGCACTACGCTGACTCATGACAGCGAGTTCGTTCGAACTTATATCCAGTTCTCTGGGATCAAGTAATGGGTTAGCCAGAGTAGGATCTGGTGACTGGATGGATGGAGATGTGGTGTTGGACGGGTTGACTCTCGAAAGGGTAGGAGATCTTAGCTGAGATAAGCCGACGGTGCGAATTTCAGATATTCGGCGATCAATTTTGCGTTCATTTGAATAACGTACAAATATCCGCATGCTTTGGGTATCGGTTTCTTCTTGTAGTCGTTGAATGACATGAAGCATACTTCCAGGACCATAGTGAGCTTGGACCATGGGTTGGTGCTGATTTATTATGAGAGCCACGTTCTCAAAAAGCGCTGTGATGGTATCGGCGTAAAAGCTTGTGCTGGGAACTTTTTTGGTTGTTTTTGGGTGTTGAAAGTGGGGAGTAAGTACACACGAGTCATCTAGGGGCAAAAAAAAAAACACACACACACACAGCCATTTCCCAGCAGTGAACTGGTAGGGATGAGCGCTTACCTTTGTCAACCCGCAAACTTTCGGAGCCTTGATCTCTAACCAATCCACACACAAAATTTGAGTATCTTTGTAATCCTTCCTTGTGACAACCAATCAACGGAAACAGCTTGAAGTATCGAGTAATTTCCTTTTGGTCCCGGCTGCTAACCGCCATGTCAAATTGTTTGGAGAAAATGTCAAATAGCGCAGCCTTAACGTCAGAAATAGTTTTGGTAGGGTTATCTGGATTCTCTGACGTTGGTACGGTGTACTCCGCAAAGGAACCCTCCAATATGGATCGATCGACGCCAAATGATTGATGTAGCAACGTGGCAGCATCGTCGTAATCTCGGCGTAACATTGCATCTTGCATACTGGTGATACACTGCTTAAGATCCTGCACCTCTTCAACTTGATGAATGGCTTCTTTGACACGGGACTGGCAGAAGGCACATGTCAGCATGGCACCCAAGAAATTTTCTTCTCGAGAAATAACGTTACCTGTTCCAGATCTAATTTTCTCACTTTGTCACTGACGCGTTCAGCTAAAGAGGAAGTACCACTGATTATAGTCACCATGCGGGATCCATCCGTTTTCAACTTGGAAAGTTTAGGTCTGTGTTTTGGGGGGAGAGTTTAGCAGGAGGGGGAGGTCAGTACATGGAAAAGAAGCCCCAAAAAAAGTTAAGATAGTCCATTACTTCATAGAGCTCAGCTGATAGATAGTGCCTTCCAAGCGAGATCGGTTATCCAGAATGACATCTAATCTCGCGTCTATGGCATTTTCTTCTGCATCTAATTTTCGTAGACATTCTCTAATGTCGTTGATGTTGGTGAGCAACTTGTAATCTGAAGGCGTCGGTGTGGGTGGTAACTCCGGTGAAATGGCCGGCATGGTAGGATTGGCAATTGTCAGCTCCAAGCAGGTTCCTTGTTGGGGGGGGGCAAGGCTTCAAGTGGTGTGTGTCGGTGACTGCGATTTAAATTTGACGGCGATCTTTGACCATTAAGAGCGGCCCACCTCTGACGATCTCTTGCCATGTTGTACCAATAACTGGTAGTAAGCTTCCCACATCTATAGCGGTTATGCGGATATATTTGTATTCAATGTTATGTAGCTAGGTATCTAGTCATGAATGAATCTTGCCACCATAGAATAGAAACTATGGACAAACCCACAAAAGAAAGGACTAGCAACCTGATCCACGTGTGGGGCAATTTCTTTGATTCAACAAGGAGAAAATCTTTTTGAAGTTTGAGGTTGTCTCGCGCTTCTCCTTACAAAATTGGATTGACTCCTTATATCTATCATTATCTTTTTCTTTTCTTTTCTTCTTTCTTTTTGTTGGGCTCATCTCTTCTCAATCACCCTCATCTCATGTCGCGATTCAAGCAACCCCCACCTCACACCTCCCCACCGCCTAGTCCATTATCACCAACTTCTCCTCCACTACTTTCAACCCTCACATCTCATTTTGTCCAAGCGTTGCACGACTATATTCCAACCAATTTATCAGCTGAAGATGCTGAGAATTGTCTATGTTTTTCTCGTGGCAATATCATTGAAGTCTTGGGCAGAGATGATAGTGGATGGTGGGATGGATCATGCAATGGAAACAGGGGCTGGTTCCCTTCAAATTATGTTGGCATGATAGGAGAAGCCGTCCGCACTGAAACCTATTCTGATGAAGAAGAGGATGCCGTAGAAGAGAACAGCAGCAGTAGCAGCAGTAGCAATTCTGACAGCCTTTGCAGTAACGAAGACGTAGGTGGATTTTACGAATAATTTAGCATGGCTTTGTTCACAGTATGACTAACCCATTTAATGTCTATATTAGCAACATATCTCGCTGGTAATTATTCATAGTGTCTCTTTTTCTGCAACACCATAATTAGTTCGGGATGTCAAATTAATGGTGGTTTCTAATTGTGTACTCTACCGTTTTACAGGCCCGATGTCCAGAATTAGTCCTTCCGTCACGGTTACAAATGGCACGGGCGCTATTGGCAGAGCACCAACCCGCAAAGAAATCAGAAAGACGTCTACATCATCGCCGTTCAAGAGCCTCTCATCTCCTGGTTAGCTGGGATAATCTTATTAATCCCATCATACAATCAGCAAGCTTGTTAGCAGCTGCCAACGACCCATCACTCTATCTGTCCGATGTTATCTCCGCTGTCAGATACTTGCTAGCTTGTTCTGGTGCAATGGCAAACGACGCTCCATTACTCGACAGTTTTCCCGAATTAGCTGACCAACGAAGAGCTGTCCTATCCTGCTTAAGTCATTTGGTCATTCAAACACGATCTCAGGCTGACTTGGCCAAATCAGCCAACGAATTAATAGAAGTCGTCAAAGACTATGCGGCTGTTGCACGAGAAAGTGGCATGGGTAATCCTGCGCAGAATGGAGGTGAATTCAAAATAGATGACAATAATATATCGGCAGCCCTCAAGGTTGGAACACGAGAGAGGACTATAGTGGATAAGCTGGAGGGACATCGCATCAATGTTTTTAGCCTGTTGGACGATATCACGGCGCATGGCACTATCAACTTCGAGAAAAGAGCAGAGATTCTGGAGATGACAAGAAAGGCTGTCGAGGCAGTCCGAGCCTATCTATCCGTGCTGGAACACGACCTAGGATCGGAGACAGCTAATGTTCAAGAAGAACCTAATATGGTGTCGGTTGTTCTGTCGAAGGAAGCCATCTATACAGCGGCGACCAATCTTGTGACAGCTGTCAGAGTGGCTTCTTCCCTATATGGTGCTTCCATGGACGAGCAGAAAGAAGACAATGAGCACGTGCAAACTAGTATAGAACGTGTTCGGGTTGCTATTCTCGACTCTTTACGAGCCATGCGATTTTTGGCAGATAACAGTCACGACGTCAATGTCAATGATACCAGTGCAAGGGAACGACTGGAGATGTCGGCAAGCCTCCGGCGAGCACAAACATTGAGTTATCTGAGTCGGAAAGCCACTAGTTTGGATGTTCTTAAAGGTCAATATTTGGAAGATGTCGAACGAGAACGTGGTCATACTCCGGATTCAAGCCTAGATGAAGACGATCTACACCAAGTCCAAGCTCAGCTGGAAAACCATGCCACTTCGGAAGGTAGAAAATCGTTGGACCAAGCACAGGCCTTAATTCAAGTCGATGCACACTTCGCCGTCAAGGAAATTGCTGCCAGGCAACATGTTGCTTTCGAATTGGCCGACGATGACAAGATGGAAACCGAAGATGCCTTTCAGGAACCTGAAACCGAGGAGATGGAACAAATTGATGCTTTGGCCATAGGCGATGCTTGTAGTTTGGATGACGTAGTTGGTCCTTGTCGTCCTAGCTTACTGAACAAATCCAATAGTTATAATCCACCTCAAGCATTGGATATGACACATCGACCAATAGATCGTTCCATTTCCAATGAGGATGTCAGCGAGCACCAGCGACATTCATCTTCCATCAAATTCAATGATGTTCGTCATTTTAGCGGAAATTCATCTAGAACAAGTGGAACATCATCCCGATTATTCCGACAGTCACTTCGATCATCTATTGAATCTTACCATTTGACTCCTGTAACTTCTCCAGAACCGATGAGTCCTATCAGCGATGTGGATTCCATCACCTTCAGAGTGCATTCTAGCTCTCGCTTGAGTGATGTTGCCAGCGATGGTATGCCTAACTTACCAGAGGAGGCTAACTCTCCTCCTACTATTACCTTCAATGAACGTCCTTATAGTCAACAGCCACAGCGGAACACAGCTTATAGAGACCAACGTTCCCAACAGAGCTTGTCATTGCCACCACAAAATCTTCGGGTTGCCAGTAGCAAAAGTACACCTACGGATACGATATTGCGTCAGGTTAGACGTTCACGTGGGATGAGTGTTTCCTCTCTCAAGATGTCCCTTAGACAGAACAAGGAAGACGACTCTCATAAGCCAATGCCAAACCGTGAGTCAAGTCATTTCAAACCACCAGCTCTCCCTTACCTACGTCGAGCAAGCAGTTGGCGTGATACCGACCCTATCATTCCACCTGCACCAGAGGTAAAGGAACGCCAAACAAAGGAACCAGAAGAGGTCTTGCCATGGTTTTTGGAACCCCAAGCAATGGATGATGATAATGTGATCTTCAACGTTGAAGGACAAGTCATGGGTGGCAGCTTGAAAGCTTTAATTGAACGTTTGACAATGCACGACAAGGCAACCGACATCACCTTCTCCAACGCTTTTTTGCTCAATTTTCATTTGTTCACATCTCCAGAGGACTTTTTTCAATTGTTGAAGGAGCGCTTTTCCATTCAACCCCCTGGTGACATGCCTCTCTCTGAAGGCGAACTCGAACTCTGGACCAACCGCATACAAGTTCCCATCAGGTTGCGAGTGTACAACGTGATCAAGACTTGGCTAGAAGGCTTTTTCAGTGCTGAACATGACCTCAATATGCGTGATCCTCTCATGGAGTTTGCGGCCGACAGCATGGCCAAGGCTATGCCAGGCCCGGCAAAGCGTATGGTAGAACTGATCAACCGTCGTTTCACCTGTGGTTCGGAGGGACAATTGCAGCAACAGCAAGTTCTTCGTTCTCGTCGTGGTACTATTATTGAACATCAGCAAGCACAACAAAAGCCATTGCCACGACCCAATTTGCAAAAGACAAAATCCTATGGAAGCTTGAACTTTTCACACAAAGCCTCATCTATCACCGGATCATCTTTGTTCAACCTTACCATGTTTGATGACAACAGTGACTCGTCGTTGACCGCCCCACCTCCCACACCTATCATTTCAAAGCATTTACGCCAGCAACTGAAGAAGTTTGCTACCGATCAAGATGCTTGGCAACAACTTAATTTACTGGACATTGAGCCCACTGAGCTGGCTAGGCAAATGACACTCATTGAGAACACGTTGTTCTGTGACATCGCGCCTCAAGAAATGCTTGGCCAAGAGTTCAAGAAGAAAGTCGGTGTTAGCTCAGCCATTCACGTCAAAGCCATGATTCAATTGAGTACGAGAGTAACAGGCTGGATTGCCGACAGTGTGTTGGCTGAAAAAGAAGTCAAACGACGAGCAGCTGTCATCAAGTACTGGATTAAAGTCGGCGATGCCTGCTTACAATTACAAAACTATAATACCTTGATGGCCATCAGGAGTGCCTTAGACTCAACTGGCGTTTCCCGTCTGCGACGTACTTGGGATCTCCTTTCCACCAGACACAAGAACACACTGGAAACTATGCGAGGTGCCACGGACACTTCACGTAATTTTGCAAAATACCGACAACGCCTGAAGGGAGCTATTGCTCCTTGTCTTCCATTTTTAGGCGTCTACCTCACTGATATGACTTTCATTGACGATGGCAACTCCAACGTTCGCACAACCAGTGCCGGCAAGGAACTCATTAATTTCGACAAGCATATCAAAGCCACCAAAGTGATCAGTGAGATCCAGAGATTCCAACTCCCATACAGACTGGTTCCCGTTGAGGAGTTACAACTCTTTTTACACAAGAGTTTGGATGCAATTGATGCCAATGATCAAGAGCTGTATACCCGTAGCTTACGCCTGGAGCCTCGTGAAGAGGACGCTGAAACTCGTAGCGCTACTAGTAGCGAGCGATCCTAGTTCCCAAGCTATTCTGAAAACCCCCCCCCCATTACATTCAAACACACACTCACACACACACACATATACCGCACACGCAAAGTTTCAATACTGTAATCAAACTCTTTCCGCTGTACAGATTTCGTTTCATTCTGATTTCACTACTCAAAAAGCTGTTTTTCCATGTTTTTTCTTCCAGTCTCTTTACTTTATATACCCTGACCGTTCACATTTTTTTTTCTTTTTTACAAATTGCAAACAAAGATATACACGGAGAGCATTCGGACTCTCGAATGAGATACTTTTATATATGTATAATCTTTATCAATGTTTAAGAAATTACTGCTTCTTGGACAAGACGGTTTGCACTGCTTTGAGTACTTGTTCATGAATGCTAGCATTGGAAGCAATCACTCCCTTGTTCTTGGCAAGAGTGCGACCGACGGAAAAATCGAGCTTGTTACCGTTCACATCAGAGATGGCGCCACCAGCCTCAGTTACCAACAAAGAACCGGAAGCATGATCCTGCATCCATGGTTGTTAGTTTAGAATTCCAATGTTAAAGCCGAGGCTTGCATTTTACCAAGTTATACTCACCCAGATCTTTTCAACGTAGGTAGCACTGGTGGGAAGTCTAAGATAAATATCGGCATCACCGCGAGAAATGGAGCAGTACTTGGCTTGACTGTCCATACGAACAGGTTCGCGGGTGATTCCCAACAATTGAGCGATTTGTGCAGAGTCGCTATGTGAAGAGTGACCTGACTCCACAGATTCGCAGAAGGTTGCTTGTTGAGTGGAGTTAATATCTGAGAACTTGATAGGTGTCTCGTTGGTATCACTGAAGGCGCGTTGGAAGGCGCCTTGTCCCTTGACAGCAATGAACAAAGAACCACGAGGACCATCAGGCTTGGAGGCATCAACGGGCAGGTTAGGGCAACCCATGACACCCAATTGCACCTCACCGTCGACAATAAGGGCAAGGCAAACGGCGTATTGTCCACCACGCAAGAAACCCTTAGTACCATCAATAGGGTCGAGAGCCCAATGACCTTTCGGAAGGTGGAAACAGACAATTAGACGACATGGGTCGAACGACAAAAGTTATATCTCCAAGTTCTGAACTTACGACCAGTAGCACCACCGGCATAGTTGCCTCGGTCAATGGCTTCCAGGAGCTGAAGTGATGTTAGTTTTGGTGATATGAAGTGGTTTCGTATGACGTGTAGCCGGCTCCTTACTTTGTCTTCACTCAGCTTCTCGGACTCGCTAAAAACGCCATTAGTAAGCTCAAGGACCTTTTCACGTAAAGCCTTTCCTGCATCGTCACGCAAATCCTTTGAGTCCTCCTCTCCAACAATAGGGTCCTCAGGGAAATGCTCGCCTAAATACGTGTTGACCACAGCCTGAGCGGAAAAGTCGGCAACTATTTTTCCGTTCTCCGTAAGAATCTCGTCCAATGCAGAATTGGTACAGCACAATGCAGCAGGACTTACCAGTTACTGGTGACTTATCATTCTTTGTGATAGTTTCGCCGGAGACAAGATTCTTGAAGACTGACTGGCACACCTTGCTTGCTTGAAGGACTGCTTGAATGGCAACTTTTCTTTCTGCTGCAAGTACTGTATGACATGTTAAGTTAGTGCTTGGTCACAGAAGGTCCTCAGTGCCTTGATCTCCATATGATATGTAACCGATTACCATACCTGACATTATGGGTTTGCTGGAGAGAATAACAGCTAAGCTTTGGTAGGCTATGAATTGAAAAAGCAAAGCGGGGAAATTTATCTGCTCCTTATTGGCTGATACGTTATGGCGCAATGGCACGTAAATCTTGCTAGCGCACTGAAGGTTTTCAACATGTGCGAAAGGAACGGCCGCGAATAACGTTTCCTGGGGTTCTGTTATACATTTAAACAACGTCTATATTAAAAATTAATGGATATAGCTATCATTAGTACATCTGGCATGCCAGTCTGCGTAGCTTTAAAGGTTCATTGCGTTTTGATATTAGATGGATGTAGTGAGCGGAGGTTTGATCATTTTGAAATAGCACCTTCTATGCCAGCGTTTGCGTTGCTTCCTATCGCCATCCAGTCATTGTCTTCTTCAACCTGTTGCATAGTGATATTCAAGATGCATGACTGCAGCCTTTCATTCGAAATAGTCCTTTTTCTGTTGTCTAATGCTTGATGTGACGTCTCGTAAACACCGTACTCAAAGGTTAGCTTGGCAAAAAGAAATATAGGATTCGATTAATACAAATCTATGATTAATGCGAAAAAAAAGACCAAAAAGCGGTTCTGGCCTTTTTCCAATATTGCCACTAACACAATTCGAGCATGCAATGCTTTTGATCAAACAAAGGGGCCCAGCAGGAGCAGTGCAAGTCTGTGGTGATAGGGAGCACAAGAAAACCACATAGGTACGATGTCGAAAACCCGTTTTTGATGTAGGACCAAACACACGAAACTCGTTATAACGACAAAAACAACGTTGCATTATATCATCTGATTTTTATCCATCTCTTTTGTTAACATGCAAGCACAACAAGCTACCTTCACTTACTAACCGCCCTATTACCTCGACACCAACTCTTTGGTAGATGTCACCAAAACTGATTAATATCCCCTTTTGTCCCTTCGCTAAATAGTAACAACCTACTTTCTCCTGGCACGTCAGGGAGGGGACCTAGTTGAGCATTCATATTCTCGGATGACGATGTGATTTTCATCCTTTTTATTCGCAGGCAAAAAGACCCTTAAGATCGACCTGCACTTACAACTAAAGTTCGCGCTACTAGGCGCTGTCAACTACATATTTCGATTCACGCACTTACATACAGCTATATGTTAATGTACGGCCGTTTAATACGACTTCCGGGGTTTGTCATTCTGTTGCAGACATTGTCCTCTACTGTAGCCACCTCTACTCATGACCTTCAGGGTAAAGTATGGCTGGATTGAATCCTGCATACAATGATAAAATATAACCAGCAATGAAACACCAACATGTAGGATGCGGAAAGAAAGGTGATCAGGATACCATATGCTCTCCCCATGGTGGAACATGGACCATAGGAACGGCACAAAATATCACTTGGAATCCAACGTAAATGGCTCTCCAATCTTGTACCATGGAATCGTTGCATTGTTTGGTTTAATTGACATTTAATATATACAGGCATTCGATATATGTCGAAATGGTATGTTCAGCTCCACTTCTATTAGATGTACAATTTATGCCGGTCTCTTGACGCTAAGTATTTGTAGAACAAGATCAACATAACACTTTCAAGCATTGTGAAATTTCAACCCAAAATATTGAAGATCTGGCGCGATATTCCCACCAAATCCGGGTATTTGCCAGTTTTTTTGAATGATAGCTTTGTGCCAGAAATCCTACCGGCTGGAGGTGAACCCAAGGCGTGGGAGGCCTTTATCAATATATCCAGCATTGACGCTAGTGGTAAAAACAAGATATTTCCACCGCCTTCTGCCTTTACACTAATTGGTACTCCATGTTTGCAAGCTTTGGAACTATGACAACTTGGAAACAGTCCCCATTACTCACATTTAATCCGTGGTTTATAGAACCTGCAAAACCTTTACAACCTTCGCCATCATCTTCGTCATCGCAGGCGGCTTGGCCATCAATACAGCCTTCGATTTCTTTTGGTGGTGCTAGTCAGGATAATAAGAGTTTACTGAACAATAACGACACGGGTAACTATTGTCTTGTTGCAATAGCGGCAGTATTAGCCGCTGGTGTAGTTCTATGCGTCATTCTTGCAGGATGGTGCTATATTCGTCCTCTAAAGAGTCGGCAACAGGGACCTGAAAATAATGGTATTTATACTCGCGACATTGGGGATCAACACCCTACATTGATATTGAGTTAACGCCCAGCATTCTAGCCCCCATTGAACAACCTAGCGCGCAATTTAAAGAGTTTTCAACAGTAATAGGGTCTGAAATATCAGGAACGAGCGAAGGCTACCGTTCGTCTCATTATACACAGTTTAGTAATGTATATAGTGACGATTCTATAATTCCACCATCTGTGCCGCCGACGGAAAGTACCAGATTACCTGCTCGAACCGCTAGAATGCTCCATCGCCAGCCTGGTAACAATATGCAGCCTCTATCATCTGCTGACGCTGTCATACTCGGTAACATGTTCCTGCAGAAATTGAGGAGGCCCGATTGGGCAACGGATAGTCAAGTAACCGATCAAGATAATGGGGAGCAGTCAGTATTTGGAAACAAGTTAAAGAAACAGTTGCTAAAAGATCCAAATCCACAAAGTAGTCGTCGTTGATGTTACAAATTCAAGAGCAGAGACACAGAAATACCAATTACTATTTTATCAATGTACCCGAATATTAATCTCAGAGCCTAATCCATCCCCATCAATGGCTATGCAATACTCTTCAACAAGCTGTAGTCTTGATAGTACATTTTCTTTTATCAATAATATTGATGCCGTCTCGGACAAAGCTGCATATCTAGTTCACTAATTCACTAAATAAAAAAAGTGAAAAAATTTATGTCAACATCGAAATGGCAAAAGGCAGCATATGTTTCGATTGGAGCTTTATTAGATGGATTTATTTCTAACGAATATATTTATATTCCACTATTAGTCGAAAAAATCAAAAGGAAAAAGCTATCGTAAACACCACTTTCAGAAAAAGTAGTCTGAACGACGATCCAGGGAGCGACTTGCAGAGTTTCAAGTTACCAGGGAGGAGTGCCAGGAGACCCTTGAATAGATGTTTACGGTAGTGATCAGTAAAGGGATACAGATAGGATGATGTAAAAAAGTGAAACGGTATCAATATAGACGCCTTGGCTTTAAATAAAAAACGGGAGTCGTTTGAATCCTTGTGATCAGTAAGGTTGACATGCAGTGGCGAAATACATCTGAAGTAAATTTATATGCCACACATCCACTCTTTAAAAAACGTCAAGGTATGGCTAGTGCCCACCAAAATCATTTATAAGATCCTCAAGGTTCCGTGATTTTTATATAAAATATAAAATAAAAAAGAACTCCATTTGCATACAGTTCCAGTTAGCAATATAGGTTCCTTTTGTCAATAGACTTGCTCAACATGAAGGTAATATGGTGCAAAAAATAAGTGTTCAGACATAACGGAATTAATGCTGAATTTTTCAGGTGAAAAGTGAATGACGTAAACCCCAGCGAAGATGTCCGAGCTCAAAATATTATTTCCCTGCCATTGTATCAAACAGGCTGTATCTACGATGATTTCGCCAGCGATCAAGCATTCTGTAAGTGGTTTGGCATTGAAGGCCGTAATTACTTGCTGCCAGCACGTTACTTACCAGGATTACTTTACAGCTGTCGACTGCTGCTGCAGGTTTCGCACTCGCTACCGCTGTGTCTCGTCCTGTTGCATATGCTGAAGAGCGTAAGCAGAAGGTCAGCTATAATCCTGCTCAATAACATATTTCACATTTCGACGTGTTGGACTGACATGTCAATTTTACGTTTAATGTCAAAACTTTTTCTACTTATTGCTTACAATGGGTTTTAGCTGAACATTTACGACGAACCAGAAGCAGAAATCGTTCTTGTTGAATCACCTTCACGATTGGAGGAGAACGTCGCCATCGCACAAAAATACGTGAACGATACCTATGATGAAGGAGTGGTAAGGAGTGATAGCAACGTGGCATATTCAAGATTGTTCATAAGGGGCATGGGTTAACTGATGAATATTCTTAGGAACAATTAAATCAAGTCCAAACAAGACTTCAGAGATTCGAAAGTAACGTCAAGAGTAAGCTTTGCCTTCCATCAGCTTGTTCATCAGCATAAAAAAGACACGATTCCTGATCCTAAATTTCTGTTTACATAGAATGCGTTGATGATACTATAGCGCCAGGAGAATATGTTATGCCTAATGCTTTGTATGTTGGTGTTGCTGCCTTGGCCGGTACCATCGTCTCTCGCAACCGTAAGTTCGATTGAGTATGAACAGTATGTGCAAATGCATTGATTAACGGACGGTGGGCTCATTCCTTATCAGGCAACGTTGTCTTGCGCTTTGCAACATCCACAGCCTTTGCCGTCGGCACGTCATATTACTTGATGCCAAACACTACCCGCAACATTGGTCAACATCTTGACAGATTGGAGAGAAAGTTCCCCCCTCTTTATGGTGCTCATCAGCAACTGAACGAAGCATTTGGCGATGCACGCAAGCAAGTCGACGATACTGTCGCTCAACTCACTGGTGCAGCATCCGAAGCCACGAGCCAAATTTCCAGCAAAGCTAAGCAGTTGGAAAGCGATATTTCCAGTAAAGCAAATACACAGACCAGCAAATTAGAAAGCACAGCTTCAGAAGCCCGAGAGAAGTTTGATGAAGTCAAGGAAAAAGTCGAGAACATGTACTCTACTAGAGTGAAGGTATGTTGAACGATGCAAAGTACATCTACTTGTTGATGATAAACTAACGACCATTTGTTTTTTCTATTAGCCTGCTGTTGAAGAGACCTTGAAGGGCAACAGTAAATAGACATACATAACATCACTCACTCAAAATGTTTTTGTTTCCTTGTAATAAAATCCTGCAACCCCATCCACAGCTTTGGCATCGACTTTTAATCTATTTTACATCTCCGTCATGGCTGTCAGCTGAAAACCTTGGACACCGTCAATTTTTTTTTTCTTTTTTATTTCAAAAACAGATTCTTTTATTCTACACAGGATGCTGCTAAATACAACTTTGAATTCTTGGAAGTGGATGATATTAAATTTAACCGGGAGGAAGCATAGAAGCGTCAACGCCGTTGTCATCTTCAATGGCGTGCTCTTGTTGTGGTTCATAGTGATCCAGAACGGGGGATCTAGGCATAGCCATGGCGCCTGTAGAAAGGGGATGAAAAGTTATTACTGAGCTCATACATACTATGTGTTGCAAGCTTGCACTACGAACCTGTTCTGGAGGCTTCCAAAATACCAAATGGCTTGAGAAGTTTCATGAAAGAGTTGATTCTGCTGGGCTTGGCGCAAAGCTCAATGATGACAGAGTCGGAAGAGACATCAACAACCTTACCGTCGAAAAGACGAGCAAGTTCGGTCAAAGCACGGAGGTGAGAGAAGGTTTTTCGCAAGTGAGAAGATCCAGAACCCTAAATATAACCAGGATCAGTCAGGCTGGGCCCCTTCGTAAAAGAGAAAAATTGAGTGTGGAAATGGACATACCTCTTCATCATCATCACTGATTTCATGCTCATGATCTTCCTGGTAGGTGTCAGGAAGTTGCTTGTGAAGCATTTCGGGGCCAAGGATGGAAGTCTTGACAAGCAAAAGCTCCCTCTCAACCAATTTTGTGTTTGTGTAATCCAGTACAGCCCACACAGGCACCTATACAAACAGACGCATCAGAACTATTCATACTACTGATGCCACCCATTGGTTTTTTTGTCTTTGTTAGATAAACACTTACCACATCCTCTAATTGTCTTCGTGCTTGCTCAATGGGGGTGTTTTGACCCTTAAATACGATGGTCATACGAGAAAGATCGGGGACCTCAGTGTTGGCGACGACCAGGGAATCAATGTTGAAACCTCTTGCAGCCAAAACACCAGAAACTCTGCTAAGAACACCAGGCTCATTTCGGACAAGGCAGTTAAGAATATGGCGTGTTTCTGGTCCACTGGCAGGTCCAGGAGTGTTATAAAGAATGTTATTGACAGCCTCCTCTGCTGATGGCTGTATGGTTGGAACGAAGGGAAGTTGTCGGTGGTGACGGTTTGCCTTCTTGAATGCTAAACCAGACACGGATGTCGTGGAGTTCTTGGCTGAATAGTAGCGATGGAACGTCGCGATCGGCATACCTGGTGCCATACGAGGCATAACAGATCGTGTCGTGCTGGCCAAAGTCTATCATAGGAGAGAGTTACTTTCTTGAGTCGTGATAGTAGAACAAGGAACAATAGCTTACCAGACTGCGACCAGCGGCGATGGACATTGAGCGCAACATGAGAAATAAGTTTTAAAATAAGCCTGCACAAGTTTCTCGAGTATTTATTTACACTGGACGAGTCAAAAGTCAATGTGAATCAGACAGAAAGCTGCTTGGTGATTGGGTTTCGGGATACAAATCTCATCTGATCACATGCTCAGAATTGCTTCGGTAGTGGCCATCACCACACAGCAAGGAAAAGGTACCTTGCAATTGACACAAGAACCAGAAGTAGTGTATTTATGGTTGTATAAGTTTATTCAGTCGTAATGTCCATGGAAAAAACTGTCGTCGACATATTCCAGAATACGATGCCTTGGAAAATCTCGCGTTCATCAATCTAGCGCGAACAAGATGAGTGATAGCTTATGCTTTGTATAGTGATTGAACGTCATTAAAGATGAGTTTTCTTTATCACAATATGAAATGAAACGCGCATTGGTTATTAGCTTGAGCGGGAATAAGGTATTTGACAGCTTGCCATTATTGACGGTATGTGGAACCGGCTAAGCCACCTCTGAGTCAAACCAACTCAGTAACAAATTTCAACAAGACCCTTCAGTTTGAAGTCAATCTCTGGAATAATCATGTCAAGCCAGGACGATTTGCAGACTCTTGTACTGACCACCCTTGACAAACAAGGTGTGATAGAAGACACAACCTATCTTAAAACCGCTGATGGTTCTCCAGTCGATCAACTTGCTGTTCTTGGAGCTTTGAATTCATTGCGCTCCAAAGATGTACGTATCTCGAAACATATGTCTGCCCATTCTTGTTCATAATGGAAGATGGTCGACGTCTATACGCAGAATGCCAGCACTTAGTGTCCGGTGGCATTCTCTTTGCGATGGCTCGAAAGTTTGAGATAAATTTGTTCCATGACCTACTCGACAAAGTATAACTGACCCTTTTGTGTATCCTGTTAGATGGTTGACTACAAAAGCATTGAACGGGAAGTATGGACATTGACTGAAGAAGGTCAAGAGCTTGCTGAATCCGGAAGTCACGAAGCTCGTGTCTTTGATGCTGTCCCTGCCGGCCCAGAAGGTATTACCATCCCCGATCTCCAGGTCAGTACAATATGTCAAATATCCTGCGTTTGCCACCACCATCACTTATGTTTAATTTTCATAACAGGCTAAGCTTGGTAAGTCGGCCAGCATTGGTCAAGGAAAGGCCTTCAAAAACAAATGGATCAACAAAAAGCCCCCGAATTACCTCGTCCGCATTGTCGATAGCATTGTTGATCAGACCAAGATTGATTTGCAACAACTTCAATCTACCGGTACACTTCCCGATGCCAAACTACTTGCCGACTATAAGAAGCGCAAGCTTGCCGACAAGCAGTGAGTGATATGCATAATGTATTTTTGCATGACTGTGGCTTGCGTACTGATGTTACTGGTGTGCGTTTACAGGAAAGTGTTTGCCTACAGTGTTTCAAAGGGCACTGACTTCTCATTGGAGATCAAAAAAGAAGCTACCGATGTTACTTATGAGATGCTTCAAAGGTGTGTTAACCGTGTGTTCCGTAAGAAACAGTTTGACTCCAGTCACTCACACATGCCTACAGCGGTGAATGGAAAAATGCCAACTTCAAAAAATACAACTTCGACGCTGTTGGTGTTGCGCCATCTGGTGGTGCTCTTCATCCATTGATGAAAGTTAGACAAGAGTTCAGAGAAATTTTCTTCGAAATGGGTTTCCAAGAAATGCCTACCAACCGTTTCGTAGAGTCCAGCTTCTGGAACTTTGACGCTCTTTTCCAACCTCAACAGCATCCTGCCCGTGATGCTCACGATACTTTCTTCATCAAGGGTAAGACGTATTTCAAATGGTTGGCTTATATAGTCAAACTTTGATTTTGTATTTGGTATCTAACCTCCTGCGCTACAGATCCCGCTACAACTGATAGATTCCCCAAGGATTTGATGGAGAGAATCAAGGTTGTTCATGAAAATGGTGGTGACACCGGCTCTATCGGTTACAACTATCACTGGAAACAAGAAGAAGCTGAGAAGCTGATCTTGCGTACTCACACCACTGCTGTCAGTTCATACATGTTGTACAAGCTCGCACAAGAGACCAAGGATTCTGGATTCCGACCTGCTAAATACTTCTCAATTGATCGTGTCTTCAGAAACGAATCCGTTGATGCAACCCATCTTGCAGAATTCCATCAAATCGAAGGTGTTATTGCCGACAAGAATTTGAGTCTTGCTGATCTTATTGGTTTCATGGATGTCTTCTTCAAGAAGATGGGTAAGTAGTAGGAGCAAGCAAGCGGGACCGGTGTCTGACCAGTTAGACCATATTGTCGTACGCATACACTGACGGGTTTTCTCATAGGTATGGATAAGATTAGATTCAAGCCTACATATAATCCCTATACTGAACCCAGTATGGAAATCTTCTCATGGCACGATGGCTTGAAGACATGGGTTGAAATTGGTAACTCTGGTATGTTCCGACCAGAAATGTTGTTGCCTCTTGGACTTCCACCGGATGTTCGTGTCATTGCTTGGGGTCTTGGTCTTGAGCGACCAACCATGGTCAAGTATGGCATCTCCAATATCCGTGATCTGCTCGGACATAAGGTCAACTTGGCTTTGATTCACGATAATGCTGTTCCCCGACTAGACAAGAAGATGGGTAAGGAATTGATCGGTATCAACTTGGAACAACCTGCCGAAGAGAGCACCAAAGAAAAAGTCTCAGCTGCTGTTCAAGGACTTGTTAATAAAGTCGAGAACATGGTTGTCAACTAGATTTGAATATAATAAAATCATAAAAGCACGCATATATTATATATATCCAAGAAGGCTGTCATGTACGCAGTGGAGAGACAACAATGTTGTTATATGTAATCATAGCACAGCTGAGACTGACATTACATTTATTGTTAGTGAGAAAAACAATAGCAATTAATACCATAGTATAATGTAAGAAGAAAAACCAAAATTATAATTATTCACAGTATGCGCAGCATCTGTCTGTGAATCCTTCGTAGTCATTACCCCACCACAGTGGGAAGTTGTAAACATTACCGTTACCACCGCCGAAGACGATAAAGGCAAGCAAGAATCCCATAACTGAAGTGGCACCATCCAAAGCAGCGGACAAGAGATAGTTGTGCTTAACGAACCAATCACGCTTGTAACGCTTGAGATAGAATTGGGACCAAACGGAAAGAAGGAAACCAAAGAAGAGCCACGAAGAAGTGGAACCGGGGAACATACAGAGACCAACCATAATCAAAGGAGTATTGATATAGTTGAAGCCGACCTTAGGCCACTTCCAGTGCAAGAGGTAACCGGGGATGGGAACGAAAAATCCAATGACAAATCCCCACAAGACAATGTAGTATTGGGAGTCAGGGCCATACATTCTATAAGGACCAACAGCACCCCAGGTAATGGCAGCAGAGTTAATGGTTTGTGGAGTTGCACCGTTCCAGATGTTGTTACCGTCAGGAGTGAGCAAGATAGCAGCTTGGCTGGTGGTAATAACTTTGTTAACGACATAGTTCATGACGGATCCAAGAACAGTACCGAGCATCTGAGCGGTGAAGATAGCACGGGGAGCAACCTTCAAGTAGTGACCAACTTTCAAGTCAGAAAGCATTTCGGTAGCTTGCCACATGGTGTTGAATCCAAGAGTCTTGAAGTACATGTTGGCAATAGGCTTTCCGGGAAGAACAAAACCGCAAAGCATTTCAGCGACGACATTAAGACCAAAACCATTTCCGGAAATAGCAGTGATGACACCCAATGGCAAGGTGAGAAGAGTAGACATGAGAATAGCAAACAACACACCCCACCATGGAAGGAGAGATTGATTAGCGTAGGCGAGGCCAATGTTCAAGGCAATGCCGCCAACGAAGACGATATAGTACCACCAAGCAGGCACTTCCTTGTAAACGGACATGAGTCTCATATGGATATCTTCGGCGAGATTCTGTTTTCTTGCACCACGGAATTGTCTCCAGATGTCCTTGCCATAGAAGAGAGCAACGTGGGTGATGGAAGCACTGACACCGATGTTAAGGAAAATGTAGGAAGCGGCGAATGATGTGGCGAACTGAGGAGGACCCACTTCAGCGTACAGTGTTTCGTTCAAACTGTTATCAGCGTTCAAAACGGAAGCCTGAGGATAATGGATAGTGCTACCATCCGTTTGGTTGATGGTATACAAACTCAAAGACAGGAAAGGATAGGCTTGAGCGTTCCAAACGTTGGCATAGTACATGACGGGAATCAAGATCATCTAAAAAGGTACAAGAATTTAGCTCGCAGTAAGGGAGTTAAAAAAAATATGGTTATTGGAAACAAAGAACTCACCGAGAGACCCATGCCAACATACCAGTTTACTTGAGCCCAGAAAGGAGTGTAAAGGGCACCAGCATTGTAAAGGTATTGCCAATCGAAAGAGAAGGAGAAAAGACCTAAACCTTCGTTGACACTGGTACCACCAAAGAGTCGTTGAAAAAGAACAGAGTCTTGCTTGGCAATACAGAAGATACTGAATCCACCAAGAAGAGGGAACATGTACTGAGGAATGAATTCATAAATGAAAACAATGCCAAAGACAATGAAGAACCAACGGAGCTGCTTGTATCCTTGTTCAGGAGACTCGTTCCAGGATGTCTTCAACAGCGAGACAATGGGCAACTTGTTGGGCCAGATCATAGCTGCAGGATACACCAAGAAATTACGGTACAGACCAGCGATACCATATCCTACAAGTTGAGTGGCCAAGACAAGGAAGAGACCACCAGCAACGGAAGGTTGTTGGACATAAAACAGCTGTTGGGCAGAAAGAATCCATGTAGCATAAGCAGAAGCATTGGCGGAGGTTGCAGTCACGGTAGCGATGACATGCTCCTTTACGTTCCATGGACCAGGATTGAGCCAATGAGGCTTTTGAGGCATGAATCTAGCCCATGTCAAACCGAAGAACCAAGCGAGCAAGACCAAGAAAGCAGGGTAGATAGTCATGTTGATAGGCTTGAAAATATAAAGCTGATTGACAGAAGAACTGAAAGCAGCAAGCAACTGGTGATAGAGTAAACCATGTGGAAAGGTTAGTCAATGACATGTAACATTTTATCATGTAGAAACAGATGGAGTACATACCAGACCGATGAGCAAAGCTCGAAGAGTCAACGCTGGCATGCTGGGATCATCTTCTTCAAGAATAGACATATCGGCGATAATCTTCAAGTCTTCTTCAATATCCATGCCACCAGCACCATCTCCAATGACTTCGTGAGCGGTGAGATCAGCAACATCGGGATTGTGAGAATGGCCATATGCTGCAACGTTGGTCAAGTTGTCTTTACGGTCAGCATAGTATTGATCCAAGTCGTCCAAGGCTGCCTTTTCGTCTTCTACAACTGGTGCAGGCTCTGTGATGGCCTCCTTTTTGGTAGACTCGTCAAACGACATCTGGGAAGAGGATGTGCTAGCAATGTGTGAGGTGATGGTGGGATGTGAAGATGGATTCATATTTATAATAGGCTTATCAACCGGAAAACGCCATCTAAGCAGTAGATTGTTGCAGATGGACACAAATTGCTATTTGAAACGTTTCTTTCCTTTTCAGGACTTCCTTGAAGGGACTGAAATCACCTGTGTGCGATTCTGGAGCTCTTTGATAGACTAGTTGCAGCAACCTGATTAGGGAACTCAAGCTCAGTATGACCAATTATTTCCTTTGAAACGCTTGTCTATGTGCACAGATCATTCCGCTTTAACTCGCAAAAAAGTGGAGCGCGTGATGGGTTTGGCAGCCTCTAATTGCCAATCTAGGGATTTATAGCCAGGTAAGTTCATATTCGTTCGGAATAAACGTATGATGGCTGCTGCTTAGATCCTATTCCACCATCGATACTGGGTGGGTGATCATCAGGAAATGGCATCCCTCTGAGAATCGTAAAGAGTATGGGTTTATTCAGAGGCAGACATCACTACACCTGGGTAATGACTATGGTGTACGCGTAACACCACCCACCGGATAAGGTATAGCAAGCGAACAAGTTTTGCAGTGAAAGGAGGACCATACGGAACGCTGGGCTGGGCTGGGTTGAGTCTCGATACGACTTCTCTTCCATTCATTCCCATGTACAGTAAAAATTCACCTTGAGGGTGGAGACAGGAATGGCTATGGCTACACGAACCCACTAAAATACCTTTCAAAGCTAGCAACAACAACAATCGCTCTAGGAGTAAAAATTCTTACAGATGCATGTAACGTGTGAACTATCTGTAGCCTGTAAGCGCAATCAGCGTCTCTAACATAGCCCTATCTGCGGACAATTAATTACATCTGATGTAGCTTCTTGATTTTCCGATCAAGCATTACAAACCATCGATCCATTATCACAAGTCATATAGCTTTTAGTCTAATCACGTTTACATTTATCGATGAAAGAGTCAAATTGCCTAGGTACGGCGACATGATGCTATCGGACATAGCGGCAACGTTCAAATACGCTTCGTGATAGGAAGTCAGAATGCTGAGAAAATAAAGGTGTAACCAAATCCTTGATCTCTATTTAAGAGTACAAGCGTGCTGGGGGGAGTGCGATACAAGAAACTTTGACACGGGAACTTGGTGCTTGGGAACTCTAAAAATTTCACTCCATGGGATTGATATCTATTCTATGGTATAGCCTGTCCAGTGTGAATTGGCCAAACTGCGATTCGGTGAGATAAAGGTTTTTTTCTATAGGTTCAAGTTCAAGCCTTATCATGAGGATGGAAAAAAGTCCACTATATGTGTCTATCTTTGTAGAACAGCAATATGTATTTGAAAACATAGGGTGTGATGCTACCGTGGCAAAAAATAGTGGAACATTTTGTTAGTCAATATCTTTCTGTTCTGAAGAGTGTTATCTTGTATTCGCGTGATCCAGAGAACTGCGAAGTTGGTGACCGTATTATTTATCAAATAAGGGAAATACTGAGAAAAACCTATTACAGCCATATTGGGAACATATTGCCCATCATGGACGCCGCTGCTTGCAAGTTGAAATCGAAGGTGAGGAGAGCGAAATGATTCGTTCTAGGAGCTGACAGTGCGTTTTATCATCCAGTATCTAACAGCTTGCGACAAATTTCAAGAAAGTGCGCAATCCATTCAAACCTAGTTAGACATACGTTGTGGCACCTTCACATAACACCGTTTAACTACATAAAAAGCATGCAGCGGAAGTCAGTAGGTGTGAGTGGCTAAACGGATGAAGCCGACGTATTTCACTGTTTGCCATATATTTCTATATCATCCAGCGGCTACTTGGACAGCCACCTTTCCATTTTCATGTCAGTAAAGGCGTTCATAGACATTGTAGGTGCTACAGCATTGTATCACCTTCATTCCCATCTCACATTGGTGATGCCAAGACTGCTAGACAAACCTCTGAAAAACAAATGCACACCATAGTCTCGTATTCTCATGAAAAATTTTGCTTGTTCTTTATAATTGGTAAATGAAAAATCTACAGTCTATACATTGTTGTTTTTATTTCTTCTTGATCGAAGCTCTCTTGCCTTGTCCTAATCATAGAAAAAACTTTAGTAAGCGCTAACGAACTACTTCGTAATATTGAGATTATATCGCGTATGTTACAATACCTTTCTTTGGAGCACCCTTTCCTCGACGCTTTCTTCGGGCAATTTCATCCAATCGTTCCTTTTCGTCAGTGTCGATGAGATTGAGTTGTGGAAATGCTGCCTTGATGTCACGGAAGTGTACAAGGGGTTGTGGATAGTAGCTGGACACAGTGGGTCCAACTAATCTTTCGCGCAAGATTTTGTTGCCGGAGCGAGCCGCGGTTGGGTTGTATACAGTGCTGAATATCTTGCATGCTGTCCGTGTGAGTTTGGCCAGCCTAGCCGGCGTTGGTGGGGTTGCCATTGGACCTGTAGGGAATCAAACTTGGTTAGAAGTGTCAAAAAAAAAAAAGCGTAAACAAATTGTGCACGTGATACCAGATGAAATTCATTGGGATTCCGATCCAGAATATCAGGCACAGGCAACAGCTTGTTCAAGTAGATTATAATTTAATGTTATCGTAAACATAGTACCCTGATTTTGATGTTCAGGCTAAAATTGCAAGATGCAAAGTGAACAAAGCTTCCATATGGCAAGCATCGCATTTGGCCAAAAATATCAAAAAATAAAGAAAATGAACTACACTAAGACTACATTATCAAATGAAACCATAGCTATTAAACTACCTTGCAAGTTAAACAATGCATTAAATAAGTTCCAGGTATCTTTTCGTCTCAAAGTCAGTGACAGCTGTTTGCCAGAGTCGCCATTCGTGCTGCTTGACTTTCGCATAGTGGTCAACAAAAGAGTCGCCAAGCACTTGTCTCGCAACAGAATCAGGTTGAGACATTTGTTCGTAAGCTTCTTGAAGAGTTCGAGCCAGTCTTGTTCCGGTTGCGTTGTCAGCTGCTGCATCACCGCCAATTGGAGCAATTGGAATTTCTTTCTTATTGCGAATACCCCAATGGCCGCAAGCTAATACAGCGGCAATTGCCAAGTGAGCATTAATATCGGCTCCACTAACTCTCTATTGAAACGAAATGATGAATATAAATGGCTATTTGAATTAGATGTGAAGCAGATACGGGGCAAGAACTAACCATTTCTATTCTGGTCGCTGATTTGGAGCATGATGGTGGAATAATGACTCGAATGGCTCCGAGTCTGTTGTCGATACCCCAACTTACAGTAACAGGAGCCCAGTAATTTTCGACAAGGCGCTTGTAACTATTGACAAAATGTTAGTCCCAAACTACAAAGTCACCAAAAGTGGATTGACTGGACTTTATAGATAAAGTGGCTTACCTGTTGACTGTAGGTGCAAGAACGGCAAGTATGCTTGGCAAGCCTAGAAGAATACCTGCTACGAAATGCTTCATGGTCTGGCTCATTCCATCTTTGCTGGACTTGTCCTCTGGTACGAAGACGTTATTGCCATCTGTGTCTTTCAAGCTGAAATGGATGTGACCTGAGCACCCCGGAAGATCATTCCACGGCTTGGCCATGAACGATGCAATGAAACCATGATTAATGGCTAGTTGCTTTATGGATGTTTTAAACAGGACAGCTCGATCGGCCGACTCCATGGCATTATTGTAAGCTAGTGCTGCCTCAAATACACCAGGTCCCGTCTCTGTGTGCCATCCCTCAATGTCAACTTTGAAATCTCGAAGCAAATCATAGGCCTCGTCATAGAATTGCTGATTTTGTGTTGGACGTAATAATGAATAGCCAAACATGCCTTGTGTTAGTGGGGTCAGCCCAACATAATTTTTCTCAACCAGACTTTCCGGAGTTTCTAATATACCCGTCATTAGTGGTGGCTCACGGTTCAACAATGGTAATTGAGAATACAAGATAACGAACCTTTAAAATTGAAAAATTCAAATTCAACACCACAGTATGCTGTGAGTCCATCCTCTTCCAACTTCTTGGTGACTTGTCGCAGCGTTGATCTCGGGCAGCAATAGAGTGGGTCGAGCGTCTTTGGATGAAATAACTCTACCAAGAAAAAGGCGAGATTGTTCTCCCACGGTATACGTCTAAAGCTGTTGAGGTCAACCTTGGCCACCAGATCGGAGAACCCAGAATCCTCATCGCTGAACTCAACACCCGTCATGTACACCTTGTCATGTATATCCCATCCAAATATGACCGAGCAAAACCCTTAATGAGACAAGAAGCATATATGGGTGTAAGTTGAGTATGAAATTACCAAGATGATCAACTCGAATAGGCAGGCTTACCGAAGCCATCCTTGAGGATGCTTAGAAACTTGGACTTCTGCATGACTTTACCACGTAGGACACCGTCAATATCGACAGCAGCAACTTTGACCTTTGCGTCATTGTCTAGTTCCTTGGTGATGTTGCTGATGAGTTTCTCTTGTGTGGTCGCCATTTCAAAGGGTCAAATGTGAAAAAGGGCGATTGAGTGTTGAATAGACAACTAGTCAGTACTCGATAAGTAGACTGGCAAGGGAGGGTTTAACGCCTTGGGGGTTTTAAGCCAAACTTTCACAGGCTGCGTTATCTGTGACGCATGTGTCAAGCGCTCATACTCCGCATTTGGATCACCAGAAAGTATCATCAGGGCAATTGTGTAATAATAACATCCCCCTTCTTAACATTATTTAATGAATATAATAAACATAGAACTCTCAAGCAATGACCAACTTGACGCTGGAGAAAAAACCATTATAATGTACAAAATTTAACCTCGCTTGTATTTCTGAAATAGGTATAATGGTTAGTGAAGTCATCTTAACATTACACAGATCTGTCAAACTTACCTCAACACTCTGGAGTTTTTGTCCTGGGTCAATTGTATTTCGAATACCAACGAGAACATTGGCAAATGCTTCAGAGAACCCTATTAGCGGTCGGATCACCGCCACAGGCACGGCCCTAATGACCGCCTTGGCCGTTCCGTGAGGACCTTCACTTTCTTGTATCTCCGTAGGAACAGCAAGGACGGTGTGTGCTGCTGATTTAATATTTTTGCTCAGACTATGGTACGCATGCTGTAACCCTTGCGATAAATCGGATGGCTGATCTGCGAATTTGCTAATAACTTCTTGCGTGTCGGAATCGGAATCATTGGGTCGCCGCTCGTCCGGCCTCGTATCGAAATCATCGTCATCATGCGTGTCTGCGTCATTGGGCATGATGGGCGAGAAGAAATCATCTGCTTGTTCAAGTATGACTTGCGTTCCAGCAGCTAGGCGACTTCCAATCTTGATCGCTTCCATGGTAGTTGCTCGAGCAAACGATTGTGTTCCTCGCTGTAGACCTATTTTGAATCCACACAATGAGGGGTTAATGATGCTGTAATTGTGTTTTACCACAAACACATATGCAAGAAGTCATTAAAAATACCTCGAATAATTCGTCCATCCTTTCTATATTGTTCTATTGGTAGGAGAACGAGATCTGCAACCCCAGAACCGATGTTCACGACAGATTGAATTGATGATACGCCAGTAACCACGTTTCCCAGCTGTGTATCACGAATATGTGGTAGCCAATGATTCAGCACAGCTTCCGCTAGCCTATCATATCCTTTGATACCAGTCAGCCTGACATGACTGAGGTTCATTTCTGCTGCATCCAGGTGAAAGAAGTTCACTATTTCTGCAAATTGTCCTTCCTTCAAGCTACCATAGTTGACGTGTTTTGGTCGATAATCCACCTTCATAATCACAGGGTATATTTCAACGTGTTCTGTTGGAACATGAAAGAGATTAGAAGAGGACGTGTGAATAGGAAAAAGCACACGGATTTTTAGGTTAAACTTACGGAAGAAAGTAGTATTCTGCGTTCTTTGCTTTCGCTTCGAGGAACTGCGTACTTCCGGCTGAACCATCGGAGTAGATTTGAGAAATTTGGCATCAAATGAGAAAAAGTTGATCAAGAAGATGACAGCGTCTTGATCAACGTAAAGCCGCATAGGTAATATACGAAATTTCAGCCGGTGTTCTTCTGCACTCTCCGATGGTACTGGTCTAACACTTGTTAGCTCAAATCGAATCATATTGGATCCTCTTTCCCGTGGATGCATATCTGATCGCATATAAGAGAGGAATTTGCGGTACATGGAGGTTTTGATATGGTCCAGTATCTCAAAATCACGCACACTTATATACAAGTGTGATGCAAGCTGTCCAGTACTTGGAAGCAAATCGAATTCTACATTGATTTGTTCAAGTCTGATTTCGATCCTTGCCGATTGGGATCGAGTATTTTTGGTCCGCCGTGAGCCTCGTCTTGAACTGCCTCTGGGATGAAGGCTGTCAGGCGAGCTAGCAGACCTTTGATGATGCATAGCTGGCCGTTTACCATCTCTTACATTGGAGTTATAGCGGAACTGGGTGTATTGACTTGTGGTGTCACTAAAGTCTTCCCCTATATAGCCAGCTTCAGAGCTTGCTCTTTGATGTGATAGCCTGCTGGGATCGTACAGAGGTGAAAAGTCATCTTTGAAATGGCTAGGTGATTGAACAGGAGATCCATGTCTTTCGGGCTCCTCAAAAGTTGGCGAGTGCGGTTGAGCTTGAGGAACACTTGGGCCACTGGAGTAAGATTTGGACGGCCCTGATGGATGTTGCGCGAAATACTGTCGAGTATGCCGCCAATCGTAACCATCGTAAAGCTTACACACAACTGTAAAATCCTTCAGCCTGATTCGTTTTATACTGTTTGAAATATCCACTCTAGGCTTCTTGGGTGCATTTGGCTGGTTGTTCGAGAAATGTTTCTCATCGAGTACAAAGGTAGTAGGCGCATCGTTTTCATCCATAATGTGAATAATGTCTTCATGAATTGGAGTAGCGTTTTGGCGTCTCGGTTTTCTTGGAGGGACGATAAACATCTCTTCAAAGTCCTTGCTTGGCGAGGCACCACGACGGTTATCAGTCGGTGACTTGACAGCAGTGTAGTATTCTTCCACATACTCCATATCATTCGACACTGTATTTGTGCTTTCACTAACTGGCGTATCTTGAAGAACAAATGCTTGTTCATCCAAACTCGCAAGCATATTGGGAGTATTCACGTTCAGAGTAGTTTCGTTTGGAGCGATGTCTTCGTCAGATTCCTCGGATGGCTGATCTTCAAATGGCTGATCTTCGGATGGCTGATCTTGCTTAGACGAAGCCGTTACAACGGATATTAAGTTCATAATAGTAGGAAGAGAGTCTTTGCAGACTTCGATGCCCAAAACATGGTTTGTCAGAGCAAGGTCTAAGGATAGCTGTTCTTCTTCCCTCATAGCAACTGAAACATTAACTTTCATATCTCGCATAGCTAGGCACCGCGCCATGCCGACGTTTCGCCACCAACGGGAAGCGCTAACGCTGTGCCCCTTTAGTCGAGTGACGGCATCCATTTCGCTTAGCTCCCCACGATCGTCACAGATATATAGGTCAAGCGCACGGGTTTGGCAATTGACCGAGAGGCGTTCTTGATTTGGAAACACTTCAGTCACCACCTATCAGAAGACTAGTTGGTCAGATATGAGCCGTCTTACACAAAATGTACAAAATAAACAAACCTTCAGTTCATCTAGAACAACTGCAGCAACCAAAGGGTTATCTGATGGCCTGTATACAATGGATGTATCACTGACTGTGACATAAACTTTGATGAACGTATCAGGAGGGTCTATGATGTTCATCTGTGGAGTGAAGTTCAAATCAGTAAGTGTGGGAAGCTGGAGAGATTGTTGAAAGCTTGTATCATTATTTTTACCGTGGATGGACCATTCTGGAACTTGACCAAGTTGTCGATGAATGAAACATCAGAGTTATAGTTGAACTTGAGATTGGAAATGACAACATTGGTGGTCTTATCTTGCACATTTTCAGCAACATTACTCTGTAGTTTTGTCATAAGTGCTATCATGGGTGCTGTGTACTATATAAAGGATGTTAGTACTCGAGAGCCAAAAGCTTTGAAAAATGGTACTACAAACCTGAAGGGATTTAGGGATAGTTCTTTCAAGCAACAATTCTACTTCATTCTCAGACTTCACTTCAAACAATAGTATCTCATCAATATCCAGCGTTGTGATATTTTCATCCTGTCAAGTATAGTGAGAAACTAGTATTGATCTTATAAATGACATTATCAAATTACTACCATACCTGACCCAAATTCCTTATTGCCGCAAAATATTGGAAGTTGGACATAATTGCGTCGTACGTGGAAATCTTTTTTGCTCCATCGGCATCTTCTTTTTGATAATGAAGAGTCCATTCAGCTAAAATAAAAGATGATGGCATCATTACATTGATCTGTGATAAGCATCCATAAATATGAATCTCACCTCTTTGAAGACATGCCATGATCGATAACAAGGTGGGATTGCTATTGTTGGGAGGAGGTCCAGGAAATGATTGGGTGCCGTTTTCAGGTTGATCGAACGAGGACGTGCGATTTTGGAAATCGTCTTGATACTCCGTTGTCGTATTTCCTGAACTCCTGGGCAGATTTTGACGCTCAGTGACATTTGCATCTTGCTGATCATTTTTTGTCGCAGCTAAGAATCGTGGCTGCCAGAGAATCAAGTCGTTCTGTATAATTTGAACACGATCCCAGGTGTCCTTTGCAAGATTCATTCTAGTGAGGGGCAGATTGCATTGGACGGAAATAATCTGAGAACAATGAATGCGTAAGTGGATTGTGCGGCCGATGATAAAAGGTAGACAAAAGAAAAGCTGTAGACATCTTACCGATGATTCAATTGAAAACTTTTTAAATCGAGCAGACAACTCTGATTGCTCTTCCCTTGGTATATGTATTTTCTCCTCCTCATCTTCAACGTTTTGATCACGTTTCAGATTTTCGAAGATCGAATATGGTATGTTTTGATCTGCTGAAGGATCGAAAGCATGAAATCGATTGTCGTTCTTCGCTTTTTCAGGTTGTGGTGAAGAAATAGCGATGTTGACTGTCGTCAATCGTTTAGAAGGCGCTTTGCCTATCGCAGTAGTGGTTGGTAGCTCTAACGGAGGTTTAACCATAAACCAACAGGTCGGTTCCATATCTGCAAAGCGTGTGGTCAATTTGATTTCTCCAATGAGAATAGCAATGAAAATCATCTCACCATTCGCTTTCTTCAAAAATATATTGGCACTTTCGATTTCAAACTGAATACGCAATTTTTCTGCAAGCTGAGGGGTATCAAATGCGCCTGGCGATCCAATATGCAAATAATCAATGTCTTCCAGTGGCTCAGTTTGTGGAGGAAAAGCTGACTGCTCGTAATTCGTATTGTTTTCCAATCCTGTATTTCGAGAACAAAGCTTTCGTATATCAATTATTAAGAAGTCCTCATGTATCAGTTGAGTCGTTTCTCCTCTGGATTTTGCGTTCGTCATATCAGGAGTTAGCAGTATAATTCTTATAAACGGCAGTTTGATGCTGTGATTTCTGATCACACTTTTGCTATTAGGTAACTGTTTGAGATCTGCGTATATGTCATCCTCACTGGTTTGCCGAGGTATTCTACAAGACTGCAAGTGAGCATTCTGAAAATTTTGACAATTTATGAAGAGAGACACAAACCTCCTTTGTGAAGCGCGACCCTGCGTTACGGAAGGTATATCTTCATCAAATTTCTTTGGTCGATTGATAAATGCAAAAGCAAACTGTTCCAATCTATCAACCATACGTATATCCACATTCAATTGCAATGGCTTTGTCTCCATTGCGATCTCTGAAAGAGAGCGCATTAATGATTAACCCTTCCCTAAAGTGTATCATATAAATCTCACTCACCTTGTCGAGCAGGAGAATCAGTTCTTCCTTCCCATGACTCAATTTTGAATCGTAGTGTGTCTTTTTTCACGTCAGTTTGTGGAAGCTCTGCTAGGCTGATCGTTGAAAAGCCTTGATCACTTCTATAGGTCTTTGGGATGTTCTCATTAAATCGCAAGACTGGGTTGTACATGTCATATCGTAACCTTGACATTCCGGGTAATTGTTGCTGATTATTGCTGCGGCTAGCCAGCCACTCGTGTATAGAAATGTCGGAAATACGAATGTCTAGCGCGTTCTTGGGAGGCATCACTTCCTCAATTTTATCTTCAGGCATTGGACTTCCCGGCGTTCTACTTGTTCGTGACCTATTTCCAGATAAGTTCACGGCGCTTAATGAAGACCAATCCTTGAAACGCAATATGAAGTGGTTTAATGAGATCTTGAGGTGATCGGTATCGAGCGATTCAGGACTTGGGGCTGAGAAAAATCCGGGTGGTACGGACGTCTCATTCATTAACAAGTACAAGTTGGCAGAGTTAAGCGAAAACTTGATTTTGACTGGTGCTGCTTGCTTTTGATGATGCAAATTTGAAAAGCTCATGATATTACTTGTATTTCCGTAATTAAACTCTGTCATTGGATTGGTATTACGTGGTGAACTGGAGATTGAACCTGCATGTCTTTCTTGTCTCCGTCTTGCATCAAGTGGTATATTATCAAATCGCGAATGGGTACGTATATTGGTCTCGAATCGTTTTTCCTGACCATGATGCAGTGGTGATTGTCCTTGGTATATGGGAGGAGATTCTGGGGTATCAAAATCATGCATACTCGAATTCATCAATTCCTCCAAGTTCTCAGTATCTTCATCCGAAGGTGATCTCGCCATAGTATCATGTTCTTGAGCTGCTTCACTTTCAGGACTGTTATTTGTCGAAGTTAGCATTTCCAGAACTTCGGTCATCCAGACTACCTGTTTTGGAGATAAAGCTATGCAGATAGAGCTCACAAGCACATCCAGTTGTTTCATGCTCAGCCTACTTTGATCCTGTATTGCCGATGACCACTCAGCCGGTGGACCAGACGCAAACTTGAATCTCAGCCAGTTCTCCTTGTCAACTGTTGAAAATATCAGCGCTTCATAATTCAAATCAACTGGTATATTTGGCGATAATCGTGATGACTGTTGCGGTGTAATGGATCCACTGAGATGACTATCACCCAATGCACTATGAAACATGCTAGAGTCATTCATCTCTGAGTCGCTCTGATCTGATACCAAGGAGGATTCCTTCATCAATGTTCCGAGGTCAGGGTTGCTTGCTGTAGCAAACGATTGCATAGAAGCCTCTAAACTCGACCGAATCCAAATAGTGGGAGATGTCACAACCAGAATTTTTATGGATTCATTCACGGCGGGTGGCAGCAATATGCTGGATGCTTGCATGCTTACGTCTGGAGGTGATGGCTCCCTGCTGTTACCGTCGGATAATCCTGGTGTTTCATCAAAATATGAAATGCTGGGTATCTGAATGTCGAGAAAATAGTCGTGGATTTCATTTGCGATTGTATTTGAATTGATATTTGAATTGTTTTGCGCATTGAGTGCTATATTTGAAGTATGATGAAGTCTCAAAACCGAATCAATCACTTTGATTTTGATCTTAGCAAGCATTTTGTCAATAACTTTTGTGATGACTTGTAGTCCTTCTAAATTTGCGTCTTGTTGATTCACGAAATCCATGTTCGGTGACTCCGCTGAAGAAAGGTGAATTGATTGTCTGAGTTCCTCATCTTCATTTGGCGGGACTTCAGTTTTCAAAAAGTCGCCAGCAAGGTGCATCGAGGTGGATAGCATGGGTTCTTCATCTGTGTGTTGCTTGTCTATATGATTCAAGAGTGTTATTGTATGGCATGGAGAGCTGACATTAGGTCTTTTGTATGACACCGTACCTTTTCTAGGTCTTTTAGCCTCTGGTTTGAATGTTAGGCGCAAACCCCGCATTTCCAGAACGATATCACCGCTCCAGAAATTAGACCACGGTAATGATGCAGTGATTCCTCCAATATGGCCTTCTGTTATCGTAAAGGGTGTATCTGCCAGAATCTCATCAAGTACCTGTGACAAATCGAACAAGACCATGAATATCGAGATAATACACAACTACAAGCTAAGAGTATGGCTCACCTCTAAATTGAGATCCAAATCCCTCAATTCAATGCAGCCATTGACAAGTTCGACATCAAAGTTCTCAAAATCGAGCTCTTGTGCTAGAAAACGCCCTATAGACTTACGCAAAAGGAACTTGTATAGTCTTTTCTGGATGTTACTGGGTATTGCAAATGCAGTCCACCCGGAAGATAATGCCTGCCATGCCTTCATTGAAAGATAGCAATCCGGTGTAATCGCAAGCACAGATAAATAAAGTCTATTGGCGATATTACAAGTTAGAGTTGACTGGTCACCTGTTGGTTCAGCTGCCAGACAATCAGCCAGCAGGATGCCAGAAATATTTCATGTACAAAAATAAAGTATTTCTGTGAAAAGAAACTTAATTTCATCATTCAAACGCTTTTGCGAAGAGTGCAAAGATCAAAAGTATATAGTCATTCTTGTTTGGCTTAGCACACTAAAGGGTTATAAAGAGTGCTTAGAAAACACTAATAAACGAGGGTGGATCCTAGAGAATCGTCCGCTCCACGAATGTATTAGCAAAGTAAAGTTTACTACGCCAATTATTTACACCAATAGAATCCATCTCGAACGATGACGTAGTAGTCCTGTTCAGTCCCACTTCCCCGTGCACGCGTAATTGTTCGTGCCTGTCTAACCTTTCCAACCGTCAGAGTTTCGAATACTGCCCAACATGCAACGAATGGATGTTGACCTCGATGTACCTGCCTTCCTCAACTCAGAGAAGCAAAATGTTCCTAGCAATCTTCAGCATTACTACGTAGACTTTGAGGATCTTTATGACAGAAAGTATGTGACTGGGCCGTTATTAGACTTGCTCGACTTGAGTTTTCGTCCTTATACCTTGAAATTTTCAGGCTTTGGCATCAACTTACACAAAAGGTTCTGGAATACTTAAATGAGCCTGAATCCGGTCCTTACCAGATATCGCTATTCCAAAAGTTCGTTGTCGATTGGGAATCCAAGATCAACAAGCTCTCTCTCGTATACATTGGTTTGACTACCGCACGAAAATTCACAGGTATGAGTCTTAGAGCCCATGAGTGATTTGTCTGCTTAAAATGTTTCTTGCTGACATATGTGTACTTGTAGAACTGCAAGATTCGGTCAACTTCTTGTCTGAAATTATCACAAAAGTTGACACCCCCGAGACGAAGGATGCATATGTGTACGCGGTGATGGAAGCGGCATACTTCAAGTTGTTGATGGGCCAAACGGAAGAAACGAAAAAGGCGATTGATGAGTGTGAAAAGATTTTGGATCAATTCGATAGCGTCGAAACCGTCATATATGCCTCATTCTACCGCGTTAGTGCAGAATACTTCAAGGCTGAAGCGGACTATGCTCAATACTACAAAGGAGCTTTGTTATATCTCGCATGCATTGATATCAACAAGCAATTGACAAAGAAGGAGAGGGAAGACCGAGCGTTTGATTTGGCAATTGCAGCATTGCTTGGTAACACCATATACAACTTTGGTGAATTGGTGAGGACAAAATGTTCATAGTTCGGCCGTGTGAACTACTAGCGTACTGACAATTTTTACAGCTCATGCACCCTATATTGGATTCCTGGACCGGCACCGAACATGAGTGGCTGAGAACGCTTCTATTTGCTTTTAACGCTGGTGATATCGGCAAATTCGAGTCATTGGCAGGACATTTCAGTGAATTGGTAAGACCGAGAATGGTTGAGCACATGGTTTCTCATATTGCTGTTTGACTTGGTTACTCATTCTACTCAAATGCATTAGCCTGTCTTACAACAAAACCTGGATTCCCTTAGTCGAAAAATCTGTTTAATGTCTCTTATTGAAGCTGTGTTCAAGCGATCAGGAGATAATAGATCCATTCCATTCTCAGACATTGCTGCAGAAACCCGCCTTCCCAATGACGAGGTAAGATTTATTAAAAATACAGGATTCCGTCACATTGACTGGCGCTAATCGGATTTTTTTTAGGTGGAACATTTGGTTATGAAGGCACTTTCGTTAAATCTTATCCGAGGTTCAATTGACCAGGTTGACCAGACTGTAAATGTCACTTGGGTCCAACCCAGAGTTCTTGATAGAGATCAGATTGATGGAATGCGAAAGCGACTCGATATCTGGAACAGGGATGTCAACAAGATTGCAACATTTGTGCAGCAAGAAGGTGGTGAAGTCTTCGCGCAGTAGATTGAATAATGGAGATACATAGTTGTTCGTAAATAAAGCCTCTTCAGTGGTAGTACTGATATCAATGTTTGATATGCGTAAATATACGGAAACCTTGCGTGGCAAACGCAAGTCTGTTTATGAGATTGCAATACCACAGATGACATTGAACGTACCAAATAATTACTGCAGTATGTTTGCCATGCAGTGTCCAACTTCATATGTTATTTGCATGGCTACCGCTTTGAATTATGATTTCAGTCAGCGGTGTTAATTTACTGTCGCTCAACCCTCCACAAAAAAAAAAAAAAAAAGTTTACGTCTCAGTGCTACAAAATCTGTATGCATTGTTAGCCCTCAAAGAAACAATGCAAAGCAATGATCAACTAAAGACTGTAAATGAAACTGAAGTAAGCCTCAACTGAACAATCTACTTACCTGTTGTCGCCTACATTTTCGTCGCATTAACACGGATTCTTCTTAATGAAGGATAAAGCAGCGTCTATAACTGTCGAAAACAATAATTTAACGAACACAACTAACATCACCACAAATGCGGAAGAAGAGGTCATTGGCCAGATCACTTTGGCCGGATTGCGCGTATTAATGGTCCGGAATCAGAACCAAATCATATACAAGCTGCCCGACAACATGTCAGTACACGAATTGAGTGAACAGCAACGATCGTTACTCATGGCAGAGATCGACGCACTCCATGCTGCCACTATGGCAACAGCTGCTGCAAGTACTGGTATGGCAGGACAGACGGCGAACAAACCAATTGCACCAAAGCAAGAGGGTTCGTTAGATATCGATCAAAGGTATAATATGACACCTACATCATCCCCTTCAACCTCACAGCCTCAGACACCGCAAAGCCAAGAAGCAAAGACCACCAGAAAATACATCAAGACTGGAAAGTATTCCAAAAAGAAGCAGATGCAGCAGCAATATCAGCAGCAGCAACAGCAATTTGCACAAGCTCCACAGTATAACCAACAGACCAGCCCAGCCCCTATGATGTTCGTTCCACCCACATCTACAGCAAATATCGCGGTCCCAGCTCCAGCGACGAGTGCCAATATGAACGCAAGTGCGATTACAAATGTAAATACAAGTGCTCCAAATACTCCAACAGCTCCTGTTGAAAGTGTTTATTCAGTGTCGTCAAATAAGCACATTTATAAACGATTGCCTGAAGAGAATTTCCAGAACCAGGAAGTGAAAGGAAGGTAGGCGCTGATCTTCATTCTGTAGGTCGTGTAGCTATTGATCGAAATATAATCTAAGCAACCCTTCCTTTGTAGAGTGGCAATGGCCCTACAGCATGACCATATCTCCGTGAATACACCTGACATACACAAGCCTTTTGATTCACCAGAGGATGCAATTGCTCGACTTCTTCCATACCATGTTTACCGCATCCCTCAAAGGGATCTTGCCAGCACAAAAGATAACGATGTTGAAGGTCAGTAGTGATACCATTTTGACATACTATAAGACTAAATCATTTTTAATACGTATTCATTTCAGCAGATGCATTAGCGATGCAGATATTTAAGCGACGAGCTGCCTTGTTTGAGAAGTTTTCCAATATCCTTAACGCTGAAGCTAAGGTTAGCAATTTGTCACTGAAATAGTGTTTAAACTTATGCGCATATGTAGCATATGTAACTTACCTTACTCAATATGAATAGAGCCCCTCAGCATTAGCTCTAACAGTTCAGGCAGAGCGACATCTTTCTACGGAGCTTCGAACGCAACTGGTGGAACAGCAAGCTCAATTTGCAGCTGAGCAGGCAGCCCAACAAGAGCAACTTAGAGCACAAGCCGAAAAGGCCCGACTTGCTATGCAAACTACACCATCAGCCACTGGGCAATCAACACCTCAACAGCAACAACAACAGCAGCAGCAGCCGCAACAACAACCACAACAATCGCAGCCGCAGCAACAACAGCAACCTCCAGGTACTGAAAATTACTGTATCACAGATCCATTTTGAATATTTAATAACGTCAAATTTTCATTTCAGTGGATGCTCTTGCACAAGCAGCAGCACTTTTTCAAAGTAATCCTCGACTCGCTAGTCAATATAGCCAACTTAGTCCTGAACTTCAACAACAGTTGCTTCAGCATAGAGATCAACTTGCAGCCCAAGTCCGAATGATTCAACAGCAACGGGCAGCGGCGGCGGCTGCGGCAGCTACATCAACGAATAATCAAAAGTCGTAGATATTGTATTATAATTCTGGTTTTACGTTACATTAATAGATGATGTGTGAAAGCTACATGTATGAATATGGAAGGAGAAGGAAATGAAAATGACTAGAGAATAGTAAGGAATGCAGATGTTAATTATAATGCACGGTTCTATATGGTGAATGTGATTTTTTGGCGGATATCTCTGATTGATGCGCCAAGGTGAACGATGTAATCACCCTTTGAGACGACCCACTTTTGACTTTCGACGTTCCAGTAGCTAATCAACTTGGAATCAAGATTGAAGGTGGTTGTCTGCTTTTGGCCAGCTTTCAAAAACACCTTTTCGAAGCCTCGTAGAATCTAGAAAACACTATATTAGATAACAGTTAAAGATGGTCTCTCATCATGTACTTATATATCTACCTTGGATGGTTGATCGGCTTCGCTTGGGAACTCAAGATAGAGTTGAGGTACCTCAGCTCCGTCCACACCACCTACATTTTGCAACGTGACGTTGACCTCCACATTGTAACCCTTCTTGTCGATGGTGACATCGGTATAGTTGAATTGAGTATAGGAGAGACCGTAACCAAATTCAAACATGGGATCTACATGCTAAATGGACTGCGTTAGTTTACTTCCATCCGTCATATAACAAGTTGTACTCTTACAAACTGTTGTTCGTACCCCTGACTCAAACCATCGGTAGCCCAAACGAAGATCTTCTGTATACTTGATATCTTTGCTCTTCTCAATTCTAACGGGATAGTCACTGGTGGCTTTGGCAATTGTATATGGCAAGCGTCCAGACGGGTTAACGTCACCAAAAAGTACATCAGCCAGAGCGTTACCGGATTCTTGACCTGGAAGACCAGCCCAAACAATGGCGGAAATATTTGGATGGTTAGCCCATTCCATATCGACTGGACCGACAGCGTGTACCACAACAACGGTTCTGGGGTTGACGTCGGCAACAGTTTTGATCTGAAGAAGCGATATTAGGAGAAAGCTAGACTAGCAGCAGTATAAGTTGGATGCCAATAATTACCAATTTCTCAGTGTTATGCCACAGTTGGAGATGCGAGCGGTCTCCAACGTTCTCTTCGACTGTGACAAATTCTTCTCCTGAATCAGCGTTGGCAAATACCAGTGCAACATCTACTTCAGAAGCGACTTTGGCAGCGTAATCGTAATCGTAATCATCAAGAGATGGAATAATCTTGAATTGTTTTCCTGCGCGACTACTGATACCATCGAACGGCTACATCAATGAATATAAGTATGTTAGATGAGACCATGGGTAATGTAAATTGAGACAAAATCAAAAACTTACGGTGACCAAGTACGGGAACTCTGCAGTTCCAGAACCCCAACCAATTGCAAGAGTACCACGGTCGCAACCTCTATCTTCGCAAGAGTTTGGTCCGCTGAAATACGCGAGAGTAAGATGTTAGGAAGTACACTTTCTAGAAGAAATTTCACGCTTTCGAACAAGATATATCCGTACCCTGCATTTGCTCCGGCGTCATCACCGATGACTCCCAATCTTTTGATATTTTGCAATGGTAGAGTCTTCTGTTCATTCCTCAGCAAGATAACAGAAGCAGCTGCTACCTGGCGAATAACCTGAGCATGTGTTCCTTGAACGTCAACAAACTTCTCAGGAACTAAGTCCCAGCTGTCAAAGTTGGTCTCAGGATAGTCCTGATGATCGACGGGGGGTTAACTTCAAATAATCGATGGTAAATGCAAAATCAAAAAATAATTTATCTCACCTTGTCTTGACCAGCCATGTACCAAGTAGATAGTACTCTTACGGCCATATCATTCAACTATGAGAACAGTACGTCAATTCAGATTCATGTTTAAAATCTTAGTAATCGTCGTACTTACCCTAGAATCCTTAACTAGTCCATTAACAACAGCCTTTGTCAAATTCTTTCCGTAGTAGCTGTCACCAGAGTGGAATTGAATATCTCCAGGCATTGTCATATCCTTAAAATCACCAACAAACAATTAGGGAAGACTGGGTATACGAAGGACTTACCCAAATGTTTATAACTTACCAATCCTCCGTTGGCACTTGGCAAAGTAGACATGGTTGCGGACCAATCGCTTTGCACAAAGCCACGGAATCCGAGTTCCCCCTTGAGTAATCCGTTGATGAGTTTGTCGTTTTCGCACGCATATGTTCCATTGACTTTGTTGTAACTGCACATAATGCTTCCAACTCCAGCTTCAACCGACTCACGGAATGGCCACATGTATAACTCATGCATAGCACGATCACTAATGTAAGATGAATACTGGAATCGATTATAGTGTTAGTTTAATGCTGTGCAGAAAGAGAAAGGTCAATTTTATACAGCTTACAGAGTTTCTGTTTGTCTCCTGTTCGTTTCCAGCAAAATGCTTAGCCGTAGCAATCTTAATGGTGAACCGTATCAGTTATCTGCTTTCTTTGATCTTCACAGGCTCTATAAAGGGGAACTTACGACGCCATTCTTCTGGATACCTTTGACTGTCAGCGAAGCAACAACACCGACAAGGTAAGGATCCTCTCCTGCACCTTCCCAGTTACGACCAGCATAAGGAGATCGCATTCTGATGTGTGTTTGTTAGCAACTGGTTCTCTATCTTTTCAGGTATGGATAGAGTGGGAAACAATAATACTCACAAGTTCATCATAGGTGTCAAGGCCACATTCTGTGGAACAAAAATGAGAATATTACATATTGCCCTACCGTTATGATCAGAACCTGTCTTTGTTCTACTTACCACACCCTTTGCTCTGAATTCTTCTCCCAAGGTTTTCGCTCTGTCGTACATAAGTTTCTTATCGAATGTAGCAGCTGTGTTGATGCCAGAGGGGAATACAGAAATACCCTTTGTAAAACGGATTCCGGCTGGCGAGTCTTGAAGGCAGAGTCCAGTGAAGTTAAGGCGTGGGATTGGTGGCGTGTTACCTAGACAGCGACCCTCTTGCCAACCCATACCCGTTGTAATATTGACTTTCTCCTCTATCGACATTTTCGAGACCAAGGATCTGGCCTTTGAAATGGCACTATCCCATTGCCCGTTCGTATTCAATACATAGCTGCAAGGAAAAAAAATCGTGTCAACGCTATGCAGACTTTAATGCAACTTTTTGCTTTCTCTTCCTACCTTGATACTGGAGGAAGAGCTGTGGCTGCTGGTGAGGCGATTTCTGAGACGGCCAACGGAGATTTGATCCGTTGTCTAGGTAGGGCAGTATGATCTTCGGCATAGCTGACACACTGCGTTGTATAATGTTCGGTATTGTTAATAAGGGATGATAGAAAGAGTTGGGCAAGGCTTGCTAAAAAACAAAATTCTTACAGTGGATATGTACGCACTAGACGCAACACAGTGATGACCAGCAGTGCAACAGTTTGGGCCATAATAGCCAACACCTAATTGAAAATCTCATCAGTGATAGATCAAATGATAAAATATTTAATAGTCTAAAAAGTACCTGCACATTGTGCTTGTGGTTGACTGCAAGAAGTGGCATATGCAAAGGGTGAAATGCTTAAAGCTATAGCTAGTGAAATGGCTGAAACCTTCATGATTCGTACGTTTAGCTCTATGAGGCAAGTGTCAAAACGTAGAACACAAGTCGATCTCTTTTGGCCGTTCGGTACAGACGTGGTATATAAAGCAAGTAATAAAATTTAGATTTTTGAGAATTTAATATATTCGCATTTCACTGCTTATACATTGGTAATATTACTTCACTCACTTCGTGCAGAGTCCATTTCTAGCGACGAAGGTTCTCAATTTGTGGAGCAGTCGTTTCGATATAGTCAGTTTCTCAATGGTCTCCACCACTGTATTGCATGGGAATACTACAACCAGGTGGGTAACACTATGAAATCATCGACTCTGCCCCATATATACGCAGCCGTTCTTCACCCACTCATGACGACCGACCAGTATTTGGTTACAACAGCAGCACATGCCTTAGCGTTCACATCCGTAATAAGTGGAGACCAATTTATATTTTTAAGCTATGATTGTAGAATGATAGATTTGTTCTAGACATAATATTAATCGAATGGAACTTAATTAAATTCTTCTATGGATTCTAATTTGTGGTCTATCACTTCAGTTAGACTTTCGGCTACTGCAATTATAGTCATGCCGTAGGAAGCTATATTGTTCCCTTCGCTTGAAATCACTACATAAGTGTATGTTGGTAGGGACTAATGGCCACAGGTCACGACGGCCGTTTTTTTCCTTGTATTCGGAAAATTTTCTCGATTAGCAATATCCACACAACCCAACAACTTTATTGTCTAGTCTCCACCACATCTGTGTACCCCGCGGGGTAAATAAAATCGCTTTCGTACAATTTCTATAGCATGGTGTCTCAATGAATAGCGCTTTTGTGAGAGCCACGAGGGCTTTGTGAACGTGAAAAAAAAAATTTGTTCGGTACATATTGAAAGGCTCCAACGGCCACGAGGTATCCCAGGAAAATTACCACCAAATCGTAAAAGGCGATCTGGGGTAAACCCTAGAAGGGTATCCTGGTTAATTTTCATACTTCATACAAGCCACGCGATCACGAATGCCTTTAGTATATTCTTAAGCTAGATGAAAAGATTGAAATCATAGAGGTTTGAAGTTTAATGTACATATGTTCAGTTGTTTGGTGACTGCTTAGAGTGATATTTTCCGGAGAGTTTGAGCCCAGGCTATAGTGTGGTATCATAACAATACCGTCCAGTGCTTGGAAACGGAGTAACGACGTACAGTAGAAAGTTGCGCAGTGTAACTTTCACGCGCCGTAAATGAGATCACGAGCACCGGCTCGAGCTGAGACATAATCACGATCTTATAGCATTAAAATAGTCGATTGACTTGTTCCATACGGGTTTGCTACAGTAAGAGGGAACAAAAGTATGCTGTCAAGCAACATCCTGATGTCAGTTATTTCATTAGCTATGTTAACATCAGCTCTTTTGTTTAGACACCGGCAAACACTGTGGCTCACCCTGTCAGTGTAACATTAATGGGTGTTTGTGTCGGCATGACTTCGCCTATACAAAGTATTTCCACGCATTGAAAGTTGATGACTCCAATGTGGGGTCCTCCAGGGAAAGGTATATAAAGCCAAGCTTGAAGAAACTTTCAAAGTTACTCGTCACTGAATAATTCAATCCGACATGAAATTTGCCTCTCTTTCTCTTGCTTTGGCCCTTGTTGCCCCCTCCGTTCTTGCACAGAGCTGCTCTCCAAATTGGGGTCAGTGTGGTGGCATCGGCTGGACCGGTACCACCTGCTGCCAAGCTGGATGGGCCTGTGTTGGACAAGCTGGCAACCCATATTATTCTCAGGTAAAAAAGACTTCTGATTCACTTTTACTTCCACTCATGGCAGTGCTAACTTTGATTATTAGTGCTTGCAATCTTCTGGAACTACAACCACTGCTGCCACTACAACGACATCATCTAGCAAGACCACCACCGCAAAGACTTCCACCACTACTACCAACAGTCCTACAACCACAACTACCGCTACCACGACAACCACAAAATCATCCACGTGAGTTTGGAAGACATCTGAAAAGTCGCATTTTATTGAGCATTCAATTAATTTTCTTTTCTCTAACAGTACCACATCCTCTTCTGCCACTTCTACTTCCACTGGAACTACTGGAGGTGGTAACGGAAGCAACCGTTAGTAGCATCATCAGTATGGATACCTAGCCTTGTAAACCATCTCACCTTTTGTTATGTCATACAGCATACGCCGCCGGTGCCTTCTATGCTGGCAAGTTCTACGCATCCGAGGTCGCCACTTCGGTTAGTTCATTTTGAGTAGCTGATATCACCGGCAAACACGTAAGCTAACTCATTCATGATCGATAGGTTCAATCCTTTACCACTGCTGGTGATGCTACCGACGCTACTAAGGCTGCCAAGGTTGAGAATATCAGTACCGCTATCTGGTTGGATAGCGTTGCTAAGATTCCTACCATCGCAACCACCTTAGACGACGCTGTTGCTGTTCAAAAGTCAACTGGTGTGACTCAAGTCGTTACATTCGTTGTCTACGATCTTCCCAACCGTGACTGTGCTGCTGCTGCTTCCAATGGAGAATTCTCTGTTGCTGACGATGGTCTCACCAAGTACAAGGCATACGTTGATTCTGTTGCTGCTGCATTTGCTGCTTATCCCACCGTTAGAATTGTCGCCGTCGTTGAGCCCGACAGCTTGGGTAACCTTGTTACCAACTCTGGAATGTAAGCGAAGCTTTCTGTCTCTTACAAAACGGATATAGAAGAGAAAAACTAATGTTTACATTTATACTAGTGCCAAGTGCAGTGAAGCTGCTGATGACTATAAGCAAGGTATTGCTTATGCCATTCAAAAGTTGCAGTTCAGCAATGTCGCTTTGTATCTTGATGCTGCCCATGCTGGTTGGCTTGGCTGGCCAAGCAACTTGCAACCTGCTGCAACCTTGTTTGCTCAAGTCTTGGGTATGGCAAATGGCGGAACTATCCGTGGTTTCGCTACCAATGTAGCCAACTACAATGCCTTCAAGGCCACTACTCCTGATCCAGTTACCGCAGGATCTAGCACTCCAGACGAAGCCAGCTATATCGCTGCCTTGACGCCACTGTTGCAGAACCTCAATGTTCCTGCCAACTTCATTGTTGACACCGGTCGTAACGGTCAGCAAAACATCCGATCTGCATGGGGTGACTGGTGTAATGTTGTCGGTGCTGGTTTTGGAGTGTAAGTTTGATAGTTCGTTTGGTGCGATTCTAATGATTACTTCAATGCTGATATTCATATTCTCTCTCTAGTCGTCCCACCACTAACACTGGAGTAGCCAACGTAAGTATAAATGTCGATCTTCATGCATTTTTCTCCATCGTCATACCTACAGCTTTTCTAATCTTAACGCTTATGCCCTATAGGTCGATGCTTTCATGTGGGTCAAGCCAGGTGGTGAATGCGACGGTACCAGCAACTCTACCGCAGCACGATATGACTTCCACTGCGGTCAAGCCGATGCTCTCCAACCTGCTCCTCAAGCCGGAACCTGGTTCGATGCCTACTTCCAGATGCTCGTCAAGAATGCAAACCCAGCTTTGTAACGAAATTACTGCTCCCCAAGACATTATAAATGAACGCTTATTACATCATATGGATAAAAGAGATAGCTTTATAAAAATACATTTTCATACAATATGTCAAAAATAAATGAATAAGCATACAAGGTATCAAATGTCATAAACATGCCAACAAGTCTACTTCGTGTCAGCAAAGAGGGTTCAAATTCATGATGTTACAAAATGAAGGATACATTTTGTTTTACAAATGATATTATGTTCGAGGTACCTCTTCATCGCTTCTGGCGGAATGTATAGATTCGTCCGTTTCAGTGTTCTGCTTCTCTTCTGGGGCTAGTTTTCTGTTATTTTTTGCCTTTCTTCCTTCCAGAATGCCAAAGATGAGATTTAAAATCATTAGGATATAAAGCAAAACTCCTGTAGCTGAATGGAGGACTACTAAAGCCAATCCAAGCTTTGTTTTGGTGGCAACATCGACGGCGAATACAGTTGCGCATGTTACGAGCAAGGCAAATCCTATGACCCGAACCAAAGACATGATGGATTGGAAAAAGTTGGACTTGATATTTGGATAGGGTCGCACAAATATAAGGGCAACCAAAAATAAGACTTCGATGCAAAGGTTCGCAATGGCTTGGGCTTCTCCATTGCTTGAAGCTAGTCCGAGCACCAAAGCTTTTGCAATGGTATACACTAGCATAGGAAGAAAGAATAGGTAGTCCACTTGTCGATATGATGAATATAGGTAGCCATACCGCAGAGGGTTCAAAGTATTGGTGAATAGCGTTTCTGTACGAGCAGCTTTGAGAATAAAGAAGGTAGTTGCAAATAGCAAGATAGCATAAAGCACCAATATCACGCAGGCTAAAGCAGTTGAAACTGTTGAGATAGGGTTGAGGTATTGGTAGCACGCGTAAGTAAGGATGGGAGGTAGTGCCATTAATGCCTAAAGCAGGGAGAGGAAAATGTGAGCCACAAATGTACACAATATAGATTTCTTTTAAAGCACGCAGGTACAAACCAGTCTAGAAGCATAACCAATGTAAAGCCAAGGCCATTGCACAGCGTATGCTCTCAACTTCTTCCACTGTAGACATGCCATGATCGCTAGAAGGCCGATTAAAACCCATAGCAAGAACATCAAAACCGTGAGAAGAGCCAATAACAGAGCAAACACCAATAACGTTCTCAAAAACAGATAATGGGTAGGTAAGTTGAGAGCTTCTGCATAGGCCTTTATGCCATCAACTGTCGCATTGGCTGGTGTGTCCATGGGCAACACCGCGTCCCGCTTCATAATGTTAACCAAGTGATTGATAGTGCTGGTAGTCTCGTTCTGGCTGGATCCGCCTGATACGATATTGTCGATAAACGGTACATTCATTAGTCCCATGGCCCATCCAAAGTTGAGGGTGAAGGCACGATAGAGTTCAGGATAGCTTAAACTCATCTGACCCGTGTAGGAAACATACTGGAAGAAGAGTACGACATCGGTTACCCGCGGAAACGATGTGGTCGAAACGGCTGTATCAAGACTACCATCTCCAAGCAAGGATTTGACGAACGATATTAAGCCGTTGACGATAACGCCAATGAGAAGTCCTAAAGATAGCCACTCTGCCACAGGAGATTGTAAAGAAGCCGCCCCTGGGCTAGCCATGGTTGTGACTATGCATAGACTTTCGTTACTGACTGCCGGTGACTTGATGGTGACTTTACTTTGCAACCCTAGATCAGGGAGTCCAAATAGAAATGATGGTATTTGACCGATAATGCTGGAGGGGAGCGTCTGGTTGACTGTGATGTTGAACTGAGTGTTGGGTTGGATAGGACATAGAAAAGGCTGGTTGAAGCTGCATAGATCGAAGACGGTGCTGTAGACAGGAGATCCATAGAGTAGAATAGTTAAGCCTGCAGTTGCATTTGGCAACAGTCGGTTGCTTTCACCGTCAGTATAAAAGTATAATGTATTGGCGCCTACGTTATATGTCAAGTTGAGCTGATATAATTTGATGTCGGTGGTTTGATCACAAGCCTGAACTTTCTGCACCGACAGTACTTGGGCAGAAACCGGCGGTGCGCATAGACAAGCAAGTAAAACTACTCCCCAAAGTACTTTTGCTTTTAGATTCATTACGAGAAAAGAAGGGCCTTGGCACGGAAATACCGCAAAGGTCTACCCAATATATACCATTGGTTGAACCACTTCCAATTGAAGCAATCAAGGGACAGCGTCATAGAGTTAAGTTGGCTCCAAATCCGAATATGGAAATACCTAATTGCGTGCCGGAACATTTTTATCTCAAGTATCGTAACCGTATCACAGCAAGAAGTGAATACGGAAAGGAATAAGAGAAGAAATGGTGAAACTATATGGTTATTTTGCCTCACAGGGCGATCGTTCAAATACGAGGGACAAGGTACAAAACCAAGGGTAATGGCTGCTGTTGGGTCTAAATTTTTAAAAGCCAACAGAAAAGGAAAGACTGACGAGCTCTGCTGGTTCTTTAAACAGCTACGATTCTGCATGTCATCGAACGAATCCAACTCGATTAAGCCAAAGAGAAGAGCTCCTTCATTGACGCTCACCTCCAGCTCATCTGGGCTTGACCTTCATGCCTCGCCGAAATGGTCGAATGACATAAAAAGTCCTCCTATCACACAAGTCGAACAAAGAAATGCCTTGGACACAACCATAACAGCCCGGACGGCTCCTCCACCGGGTAGCATACGGGTAAGCGAGAAAGTTCATAAAACATATATATCTTCATGACAACCATTCACCCCCGAGCATTTTCCAGATAATCCTCATGAATGTCTTCCTCAATGTACCTATCAAAAAACCATATGTCGTGGTCACGTTTGAAGGTAAGATAAGGATCAGACAATTTTAGAGAGAAATTAATTCAATCTTCTGACTGTATGCTGTCAGACAAGGTTTACCAGACATCGACATCTGAGGTAGCTGAGGGCAAATGGAACGAGGGATTTGAATTTCAAATTACATATCATGCACAACTATTTGACACCATTCAACTCGACTTATATGACGAGTCTCACATACTCCTTCCGGACAAGCACGTTGGGCGTGCAGAAATACGACTGAAACACTTGGAAGGGATGCCTAGTGTATTTACAAATTATTACGAGATCTGGGAAAAAAAGCAAGCGTCTAGCAATGTTTCAGTAGTGAGCCAAAAGCGGAATTTGGCTAGCAATATAGGTGCCATTCAATGTCGAATCTACTATCACTACCAAGATGCCAATATCCAATCATACGATCCACATAGTCCTACTTCATCCAGTAATATGCCCACCAGTCCAAACGGCAAGCCGCGGAGAACATCGGTGAGCAGCACATCGCTTGCCGCTCAGTCCACCGCTATGTTGACAGATCAGCAAATTGGAGACGAGTTTCGGAAACAACTACAGCTTGAGCGAAAGGCCAGTGATGATAGCATGCATTTTCAAAAATATGAAGAAAGTGATGGCCAGTCAGGTCCTGCTAACGAAATGGGTGCAGATGGCATAAGTCAGGCTGCATCGGAGGATCAAAAGTCCTGGTTTTCAAATTGGTTTGGATCCATTATACCCTCGGCATCGAATTCTTCCAAAAGCTCGCTAAACGATAATACCAACGAATCAACTATGGATGAAGAATCAAACTCTTCAATGCTGGAAACCATTGGAACGTGGGCAACGTCAAAAGAGACCGGCGCTGTGCTCAAGACCATATCCAAGCTACTCTCTGCCTTTGTGAGTCACCCTCGTTTACAACCAATTCAAACTTACTTATGCTAATTTTTGACGGTATGACATTAGGGTCAAGGATTTGAACTATCTAATTACCAAATCTTAACAGGATTTGCCGTACTGGAGAAGTTTTATTCCGATCTACCAAGGTAAGCTTTCTATGGCTGACATCTTACATGACGTTCCGCGTCTACATTATTCACACATACATGCGGTTTCTTAGAGAACGAACGTGGGATGTTGTAAATAATCTGGAAGATATCGACCTTGCTTCAAGGTTCTGGTCATTTGCTATTGCTGCTTGTAAGTTTGTCAATTCTGATATCCAATGGTCTCCCTTTCGTGCTTATAAAATATACATTGTAGATGGCTGGCGAGGAATACACTTTATGGGCAAAGGCAATGGTATATGGGCAGACGGGCTTCGCAATCAATCCGACATGCTCAGTGTCGTGAATTTTCTCAAGATATCCAACGAAGACATGCTGGCATATGAATGGCGCAAAACTGAAGTATTCAGACCATCTTATTTCATTGTCAGGGACAGGGCTACCAACTCAATTGTACTCTCCATCAGAGGCACCATGAGCGCGTTCGATACTATGACGGATTTGGCGTGCGAATATGAACAGTGGCGAGGCGGGCTTGTCCATTCTGGTTGGAAGGCGTCTGCTCAATGGTTTTTGAGAGAGGTGGGACCCAGTCTTATCGCATATGCTAATGTCCATTCCACGTCAGCCTTGTATATTGTTGGACATAGCCTCGGATCAGGCACAGCAGCCATACTGACCATCATGTTACTTGACTATCTCGACGAATTCCGAAAAGACAATCCTGACTTCGAGATCAAGTGCTTTGGGTATGCGCCGACCTGTGCCATGGATCTTCACTTAAGTGAAAAGTACAAGGCCCATATCCAGAGCTTTGTGTTTGCCGATGACATTGTATCCAAGCTAAGTTACGGCTCCATGCTTGATGCCAAGGCCATGTTACTTGCCAGCGCAGAAGCAGCTCAAGATTTGGGGGTTAGCAAAATCTTCTGGACTACGACGCCTGAAGGCGAAGAATGGGAGCAAGCATTTCAAAATATTGCTGAAGTGCGCAGACGCTGTTTGGAATCCAACGACCACCCCAGGGTAAGCATATTATTTTCCATTCACCCTGGATTTGCAAAGCCAGTTCAAGGGTATCCTAATTGAACGAAACGCCTTAGTTGTATGTGGCCGGTCAAGTATTCCAATTTTGGATCGACCCAGCACCAGGAAAGGACCCTATCCGAATTGTTATCGAAAGGACGGATGCCAAGAGAGTGTCAGGCGAAGTCATCGTGCGACGTAGTATCCTTTTGGACCATATTCCGACCAACTTTGATGTGGCGTTTGCAAGAGCTAGAGAGGCGTTGATGCTAGATCACTCCAAACAAACAGATCAAGGCCACCTTGATCCCTCCATGGAGGAAAGAACTGGAGAGATCCATCTAGACGATCATGTTAAACAGACTAGCCGTAAACAGAAACTGCCACCACCAAAACAGACTTCCATCATGGACGATGTTTGGAGCACCTTAGCAAGAGTAGGACTTGCAGGCACGACTCACCGTGAAGGCGGTGAAGGGCATGCCATAGATGATACAGAGAAAGAAGAGAGCCATAAAAGTGAAACAAAGGCCATAGAATAAAAGTAGACCGGGTGTCACTTACCGTAATACATATTGCCTTCAAAAAGTATGGTAATTTTGTCACCACATGCGCATTCAAGCACATTAGAGAATCTGCATGCACATGCCTAAAATCGGTGTAAGCATGTGGCCTTACTTCGCCATAGATGCCATTGTGAACCCAAGCCAAAAGACCCACACCCACATCGTGTCATTTTCAAAGCGTACATAATACATTGTCAATTAATAAACTACATTGGCCGTAAACTACCATTTATCACCTCATTATACTGTGACGAAGCTCTCAAAAATGCAGATGATGTAAATCTTTTCGTGACGTCTTGCCTGGCTCGCGTAAATGGAAGCCAAAAGAATAAATATCGTTGCTATTACATTTGGAAGGTAAAAGAATGATATAGTGTGGTATGGAAGCAAAGACGGTATGCAGCACCCCATGGAAAGGGAGCAAATTCAAACAGTTAAGCGCACGTACTCTGTCGCGCGGATTAGGTTTTTTTTTTGTTCGGTTTGGAAAAATATGGATTTTATTAAGTTTAATGGCTGGCTCGTCGTACTCATAGAAGTTCACGCACAACTACTCACGAGGATAAATGCCTGTGAGAGGGGGACAGGAGAGAAAAGGTCAGCAAAACAATATGTTAAATAACCAGCTGAATGCGTCCAGCGCCACTCATATCACTCGTGTGTAATCTCAAAGGATGTTATGATCAGATTTTGTGCTAGAATAATCCACAGCTTGTATTTAGGAGTAGCGATTCATAATAGATCATCATATACTACACATCCTTTGGGGGCCACAAGTTTATATGTGTATAAGAGAAATAAAGTTGCCTTACCAATTTTTGCCAGTAGTGAGAATGAGAGAAAGGAATAAAAAAAAGTAAACATGAAAAATACTTTTTAGAGAGGAGAGCCGCTGCGGCTGAAATGGAAAATACCGGAGTTGGAAGCATCTCCGCGCTCCTTAATTTTGACTGGCTACTCCTTCCCAAAAGCTGGCTTCCAAGTGGCCAGTTTGCAAAAATCCTTTCCTCAGGTACGAATAATATCTTCTTTACGGCTGGGAAATGGTACTAACCTGGAAAAGCAACTAGAGATTTGCATCCTAATTGTAGACATTGCCACTGCCGAATATGGCAGAGTCGAGACCGACGAGCGGCTAGACAACCTGTGGATGTAAAAACTGAACCACTTGGGTCGGCTGAGTATTGGAAGATCCCCTGTTCAACTTCAACAGGCTGTGTAAGGAAGAAAGGCGCTCCAATGCTCAATGTCGATGATGCAAGTGGATGCTTTCCTGTATTTAAAACAAGCCATGTACTTTTTCTCTTTTATAACCAATATCACCTTGGCTGTTACGCAGATCCTCTTTCCATTTGCTGTTGCTTTTTTTTCGCTTTCCTTTCAAAGTTTCGCTTGCTTGCTTGTACTCTTTTGAAAGAAACTTTTTAACATGGCACTCGTGCAAGTGCTTCAACATGTCTGCTCTGTGTTGAGCAACATGGAGGTTCAAACCTATGAGTTTCAACCCTTCGACATTCCCCACTTGACCGATGAAGAAAACGAAATGGTACATCTCACAAACTCGTTATTGGACAGACTGGCCCGAAAACAAGCTAGTCAAGATCGATTTGAAAATATGAAAGAAACTGAGCCTCCATCAAAAAAAATCCGCTTCTACGAATCTCCAACCGCCACCGCTATTGTGCTCACTCCTGAGGAAATGAGATATCAAGACTCGCAGGGTCGAGCCAGTTGGATATCAAATAATGGAGCTGGATATTTCGGTATGGTTTTTTTTTCATCTCTAAACATGGGGATTCTTTTAATTATTTTTTGGCCTATCTTCCAAGTAATGGGTAACTACCCACCCCATTTGCCCATATAATTTATAACGCCGCCTATGTAACACCGACCTCATCTCTTCTCTAAACTTCTCTAGCTTTGCCAACCAGTGATGATACCTCATCCATGGTATCGCCGCCAGAATTAATTATGTCTCCGCCTGCTTCCTTTTGTTGTACTCAATGTATTCAACAAGCTGCTGCTGTCGCCACGGAAATTCGGAATGGTCGATTGAATTGTCGTATCAGCTGCGATAATCATGGGGCCTCATCTCAATCACAAGCTCTTAAGGTTGCTGTTAATGCTATGTCAGATCACTTGGAACGAATTATTTTGGAAATAATCCGCGTCGTTCGCGAAGCTGCCGTCGAGGGCAAACTCGGTGGTCAAGCTATTGTTGACAAAGACGATGCAAAGGGAGTCTGGAACCAAATGATTACCAACCTTAACGTCATGGCCCGCAATCACAGTGAACAAGTCCGAGACATTGCTGAAGTGTCAACAGCTGTAGCTTTGGGAGACCTTAGCAAGCAAATCACAGTTGAAGTTACTGGCGAAACACTACTACTCAAGAATACAATCAATACCATGGGTAACTTTTAAACAATAATAATTTAGAGCTCAAATGGTTTTCTAAATCAACGCTAACCACGAAAATTATTTATTCTATTTTTCCTTCTTTGGGTAAAACTTCACAGTCAACCAACTCAATCTTTTTGCCTCCGAAGTGACTAGAGTCGCTCACATGGTGGGTACAGAAGGCACTTTAGGCGTTCAAGCCAAGGTTCAAGGCATTGGAGGAACATGGAAACTACTCACGGATAACGTCAATACCATGGCTGCTAATCTAACGGCTGATGTCCGAGATATTGCTACGGTCTGTAAGGCAGTGGCTAGAGGTGATTTAACCAAGAAAGTCACCGTCGAGGTAATGATTGTGGACCCATTGGGGAGCACTTTTTTTTTCTTTTCTCTTGTGTTTGTCGCCTGACTTGATCATTCATTCTGAAAAAAAAAACAAATGCATTGCCTCTCATAGGTCAAAGGTGAAATACTAGAACTCAAAAATACTATAAATACAATGGTCGACCAACTTCAGACATTTGCAACGGAAGTCACGCGTGTTTCACTGGAAGTCGGCACCGAAGGAAAACTAGGGGGTCAGGCTGTGGTGAAGAACGTAGGCGGCACCTGGAAAGATCTAACTGATAATGTCAATCTTATGGCGTCCAATCTAACGAATCAAGTGCGAGACATTGCTATGGTGTGTAAATCCGTGGCAAGAGGAGATCTATCACAGAAGGTTACGGTCAACGTACAAGGAGAAATTTTAGAGCTGAAAAACACAATGAATACCATGGTTGAACAACTGCGAATGTTTGCTGCAGAAGTCACTCGTGTCGCCAACGAAGTCGGTACAGAAGGCAAACTGGGTGGTCAAGCCGTCGTAAATAACGTCGGCGGTACCTGGCAAGATTTAACCGTTTCAGTCAACACTATGGCGGCCAATTTGACAGCTCAAGTGCGTGATATCGCCAATGTCTCCAAAGCTGTCGCTCGTGGTGATTTGACCAAGAAAGTTACTGTCAATGTTGAAGGCGAAATTTTGGATTTGAAGGTTAGTAATGTTTTGCGGGGTTGATAGTACGTCACCGTAAGGGAAGGTGAATTTCCTCTGGCATATATTAATGCATGCCCGCATATATAGGAAACCATCAATACCATGGTGGATCAGCTGCAAACCTTCGCAACCGAAGTCACTCGTGTTTCTCTAGAAGTCGGTACAGAAGGCAAACTTGGAGGTCAAGCCGTCGTAAAAGATGTCGACGGTATCTGGAAGGATTTAACCAACAATGTCAACATTATGGCTTTTAATTTGACAACCCAAGTCCGATCCATTGCTGAAGTCACCAAAGCAGTTGCCAACGGTGATCTGTCCAAAACTATTTCCGTGGATGTTGGAGGAGAAATATCTGATCTTAAAACAACCGTCAATATCATGGTGGAAAAACTTCGAATGTTTGCAGCCGAAGTCACTCGTGTCTCTAAGGAAGTCGGTGTTGAAGGCAAACTGGGTGGTCAAGCGTTTGTACCATCGGTGGGTGGAACTTGGAAGGATCTGACTGACAATGTCAATATCATGGCCAGTAATCTTACCACTCAAGTCCGTTCCATTGCTCAAGTTACTAAAGCGGTAGCCGATGGAGATCTCAGTAAGAAGATTGAAGTAGAAACGAGAGGCGAAATTTTGGATCTTAAGAACACTGTCAATAACATGGTCGATCAATTGAACGTCTTCTCGGCCGAAGTGACCAGGGTTGCCAAGGAAGTCGGTACAGAAGGAAAACTCGGTGGTCAAGCTGTCGTACCATCCGTAGGAGGAACATGGAAAGATTTGACTGACAATGTCAATATGATGGCGGGTAATCTTACCACTCAAGTTCGTTCCATCGCTCAGATCACAGCCGCTGCTGCTGAAAATGATTTCTCTCGTCTCATTACTGTTGAAGCTTCTGGTGAAATGGACAGGTAAGAATTAACAAAGGAGCACTGGACGTTATCAACTTGGCTTTCTCATTAACCATGTATTTGAATAGTTTGAAAACGAAAATCAATCAAATGGTTTACTCACTTCGAGATGCTATTCAAAAGAATACTCTGGCTCGTGAAGCAGCTGAACTAGCCAATAGAAGTAAGAGTGAATTCTTGGCCAACATGAGTCACGAAATCCGTACCCCAATGAACGGTATCATTGGTATGACAACGCTCACTTTGGAAACAGAATTATCTCGTCAACAACGTGAAAACCTGATGATCGTCAGTTCTCTTGCGTTAAACCTTCTTACTATCATTGACGATATCCTTGATATTTCCAAGATTGAAGCAGGAAGAATGACGATTGAATCTATACCATTTAATCTACGATCCACCATCTTCTCTATTCTCAAGACTCTGTCTGTAAAGGCTAGCAGCAAGAAATTGGATATGACGTTCGATGTTGACTCGGATGTACCTGATCATTTATTGGGAGATCCTCTCCGTACAAAACAAGTCGTTATCAACTTGGTAGGCAATGCCGTCAAATTCACAAGCGAAGGAAGCGTTGATGTTCGTGTTTGCGTAGTAGGTGATGCTGGCATCACTGATGGACGAATCACGCTTCAATTTTGTGTCACCGATACTGGTATCGGTATTCCTGAAGATAAATTATCATTGATCTTTGAAACATTCTGTCAGGTAAGGCAATTTGAGTGACAGCTAATTCCGACTTCATTGCAACTAACGGATTTTTTGACAACGCTGTTATAATAAACTTAGGCGGATGGTGGTACTACACGACGATTTGGAGGTGAGAATTTTATTAAAATTATGACAGCAAGAACCACCAAAAATAAAATAAAAAAAATCACTAACCCCAATGATGTGTTATTTTTAGGAACCGGTCTTGGTTTGACTATCAGTCGAAGATTAGTAGAACTGATGGGTGGACGATTATGGGTAGAGAGTACCTATGGAAAGGGATCGAAATTCTACTTCACACTGCCAGTCGCCGTAGGCAGCAACCAGTTTGAATCTCTAGAACAACGGCTAGCACCGTTCCAAGGACGACAAGTTCTCTTTATTGATAGCTTGGGATTACCGGAAAGCAACACTTTCATGGAGCAAATCCAGCAGCTTAAATTACGACCCGTTCGTAAAACAAACGTTCAAGCAGTGGCCAAACATACCATCCCTGGAGGAACGGGTGGACCTATTTTGCGGGAGACGGGTGACCCAATTGATATGATTGTTTTGGACGAATTATCGCTTGCTACCAAAGTTCGGGAACTGAGCCATATTCGCTACACGCCCATTGTGGTGGTCGCCAAAACGTTACCGCCTCTGAACATCAAGATGTCCATTGATCTGTCTATTGCCAGCTACGTCAATGCCCCTGCAACACTGCTAGACATATCCACCGCCATGCTTGTCGCACTGGAGAGTAACGCCGCTCTTCAAGGTGATTCTTCCACATCTGTCCCACTCACCATTCTTCTTGCCGAGGACAACATTGTCAACCAAAAGCTGGCGACTAGAATATTAGAAAAGTTTGGTCATAAATGCGAAATTGTTTCCAACGGCAAACTGGCCGTTGAAGCTTTCCAGAACAAACGATTTGATTTGATCTTGATGGATGTCCAGGTACACATGAAAAAAAAAAAAAAAGGGTGGTGGTGGCGAACATCGTGCATTGCAAAACTGAAACCTAACGTATTAACCCATCTTTGCAGATGCCCATTATGGGAGGATTTGAAGCAACGCAAAAAATTCGAGAGATTGAACAAAATGCTGCTACTGGAGAGCGGATACCTATTATAGCGCTAACGGCCCATGCTATGATCGGAGACCGAGAAAAATGTTTATCCATTGGAATGGTACGTTTTTAAATTTGCAAAGGCACAGCTAAGAGACATGACACTAATATACTGTTTATGTATTAAAATAGGATGAATATGTTACCAAGGTAAATATCCACATTTCAGAAGGTGGAAAGAATGATTCAAAACTAACTCCGTTGTACATAGCCCCTCAAGTTCCCTGAACTTATTGCCGCCGTCAATAAGTTTGCACCCAACCGTCAATACGGTAGTCGTAATGAAGAATTCGGAAACATTTAATGATAACAGCAGTGAATTGCTTGCACTTTACATTTTTAAAAGCAATATCTTAAAAAGAAGAAAAAATGATAATAATTATATCAACCCATGCGCGTGGTTTGAATTAGTAGAACAGCGTGCACTGAAGTCCCCTTTGAGCATTTTTAAAAGACGCTCTTCGAGCTTAGTCATGTCATGACGATAAACTCAAGATGGGAGAAAAGTGACCGAAGGCATCCAACGCAGGAAAACAACCCATCGCGGTGTATTGGGATTTGCCCGAGAAGCATGGCATATCCTCCCTGAGTTAATCGGGAAGTATGATCCTTAAGTGGAAAGAAGCCGTGTCGTCGATCGGAGCAATCATTTGTAGGAGGTGTGCCGGTTGAATGAAACCGGATTAAGTCTATCTGAAGGACAGGAGTCAGGCAGGGTTCCTTGAAAGAAAGGGTGTAAAATTGTTTGGAACGAAACATGGTATCAGGTTGAAAGTCCCACTAATGATCGCTGCTTGGAAAATTTAACAAACAGCGCAAAAAAAAACTGCATAAGCGAAAACATAAAACCAAAACCAAATAGTAAGATGAGACATTGACTATCAAACACGTGTTTCAGGCTATTGTATTTTTCCCTGTTGGCAGAAGGAGGTTGTTGATAGATGCTGATGGATAGGATGTGACGAAATTCAGTAGGACAGTGTTAAGATGACGATGGAGTGCTTGAGAGAGAGTAGGGTTTTGTTTTTTGGCTTGGCGGTGCTCAACAGGCTTTTTTGCAAGTCCGTCTTGTCCGAGCCCAATTTTTTTTTATGAAGAAAAAAAAAAAAAAAAAACTGCGAAAGGCACACCGATAAATTGTTCTCCCTCGATCGCCTATCGCTTCTTTTTCTCGTCTTTGTCACTGCTTAATATCAGATGCAGTCTGTAATGGAAAAACCATCCTTGCCTTCCATCAAGTACATCTTGGGAGATGCTGATCCCTTGCTCGACCAACACCACCACCCTTTACCACCTCCTCAACCAACTCACAGTACGTCCTTTTTTATATTTATTCTTTTCTTTTTTGTCGGTGGTGGCTAACCCTGTATTCCCCAGCTTATAATCCTTTTGATCGACAGCTTCCAGCTACTCCTCCCGCCTTACCTTCCGTCTCGCTAGAGCCCTCTCGTAGACATACACACCATCGCCCCTCTAGGTCTGTTAGTAGTATGCTCGACTTTCAGAGCTTAACACTAGCGCCACCTAGTAAATCACCTGAACTCCCCCCGTTCTTTGCCAACAGTGACCGTATTTCACCCCCATCATTTCAATCCAGTCCATATCTGTCCCCTAACAATATGGCTTCGTCGTATAATCCTAGAAGCAGTCATTCACGATCTTTATCCGAATTCTCACATCCATACCCTCAACCCAATCGATCTCCCCCACCGAGAGATCAACCCCACCAACGTGCCATTGGCCATCGACGAGCTGTCTCAGCAAATACGGTGGATTCCATGTTGAATCCCAAGCCGTATAGTTTGGCTCCAAGACCTTCATTGGCAACGGATAGCCCTTCTTTCTCATCCACTAGTTCACCAACCGATCCTTTTGATGATTTGGATTCCGAGGAAGACAGCCGATCGTCTTCACCTCCCACATCATCATCAACGAGCAATAATCGTTATGTGTGCCCTTATTGTTCCAAGGGATTCTCTAGACCGTCTAGCTTACGGATACATACCTATTCTCATACTGGAGAAAAACCATTTGTGTGCTCGGAAGATGGTTGTGGCCGTCGATTCAGTGTGCAAAGTAACATGCGACGTCATTTACGAGTTCATAAACTTGGTAGACAAGTCAAGAAAACAAACAACAACAACAACGCATCACCTCAGCCAGCGAGTGATGGCAATTGAGTGAGCTCTGGCTCTCTGTACATTATTCCTTCCTGTCACTGCCATTTGTACATCTCCCACGTTGTAATTTTCCTTGTACATTCTCTGTTTTCCCAATAAATGCTCAATGGAGTTGGTAGCTGTGAGAATGCTATCGTCCCCCACTTTTGTAAAAATAGATTTTTTTCACTTTGGAGATATTTTTATATTCTCGCCTTCTACCATCGACACTTCCTTACTTCCTGCGAGATAGATTACCCATTGTTCAATCAATATCAGACCAATCCATCAAGAACTATGTGCCGAGAGACCAAAAAAAATTCATCGTGAAACTTTATTGTCATGTCCTTTTTTCTCGGTTTGGTACTTGTCCTTTTCGGGACCGACGATTCTGTGCCTTCTTTCTTCCGAAACTGGCAAATAGGTTTTACCCTCTCTCCACCCCGCTCGCTGAGTATTTCCGCAGTTCGCGTTGTTTCGATCGAGCGATGACGACCAAGGAGAGGGCGGGCGAACATGTAAAGGCGCTGGGCAAGCAACGCCATTGCCACGTGTAGTGAAAATAAATTCAGTAATGTGCCACAAGCCCCGCTGAACCCTTGTGCAGGCACCGGTGGCGCGTGGCCATTCAAACAAACACTTCGTCACAGCACTGACCATTCCATCTGGGAGGATTCATTTTTATATATATTTTTATCTACAAGCGTTGCATTGGTATTGTTCTCCATCATGACCGATGGTCATTCATTTCTTCTTCTTCTTCTTCGTCCTTGAACTTCTGCTTGTAAGCCTTGAGGTTCTCTTGTACACGCGCAGTAAATTGGCGCTGTTTAGGTTCGATAGAAGGTTTGTCGGCGGAAATCTTTTCCATGAGAATCTTGGTGATCTCTTCTAGTTGCTGCTCCAAGCTTTTGCTCGACATAAAATCTTTAAGCGTCATGCCGTTCACGAATTCGGTGTCAAGAAGATGAATTCTCGGTGCCTTGTCCTCGTCACTTTTATCGTGCTGAGCAAACGAGTCCACCATGTCTTGTTCGAGGCTGGCTATTTTCGATTCCAGATCGTCCGAATAGCCGTCCAAATCATTTTCGTCCACCCAGCCAGCCTTTGTCTGCTGGAGATCTCCCTCATCGGATGTTGCACCTTCATCTGAGGTGGAATCTGACTTTTTTTCAACATGTTTGTCCACAACAATATGAACGTCTTCGTTCATCTTCGAAGGGTCGGCTGGTTGAGCCGCCTCAATCTCTTGGTATTGACTGTCGGAGACGATGGGATCACATTGAATGCGATGAATGTCCTGCCTAGCCCGAGGAACAAAGGCTATATCTTGGCAGAGTCGCGGAGTAGCAATGACCATTTGGTATTCACATGTTGCAAATTCGTGCATAGAAACAATCTCATCTTCGTTTTGCATACTGCAATGGAACTGAATGCACCAGTAAACGGCATGCGGTCAGTTTCAGGCCTTTAGTAATAACCTCCATCCCATGCAATTCAATTTTACCTGAATGTTCACTTCTCTAGGTCGCCCAGTCAGATCACATTTATCACCAAATGACCATCTTTGAGAAAGATAGCTGCGCTGCCCAAAGGTGTGTACTTCAGTCTGTAATAAGACTTCCTTATTGTTCGCTTCCGCTACTTCTGAAGATGGAATCTTCTTGTCTCCATTGAATCTTCCTAAAACATATTCTATTCCGCCAACGAATTGCTTGTTTTCTGGATCACTTCCCGGTGGAAAGACATGGCCTTGTGAATTAGGTGGTGCATGGAATTGCTTAATATGCTGTAAATGGCAATACTCGTAAGCCCAGTATGACCTTGGCTGTAGAGAGAAAAAGTGTCAGTAATGTGCCTTGGTATAAAAGCTACAATGACAGCTGCTTAACTGACCCAAGCGTAGATGCATTGATTGTATAAGGGTGCCAAAAGCTGTAGGCCGCGCTTCTTGCGTTCTGCGTCACTGATCTTGATTTCACTTTCCTCTTTGCTTGTGTCGCTCGTATCACTTTGGATGATCGGAATCTGACAGAGATAGGACTGTCCCAGCTTACTTTTCATCACAAGATGAGTCTACTCAACGTAACTACCAGTCAATACCACTCGTCCTAATCAACTCAGCCTCATTTTTGGTTATCGTCAAACTTACGTGAGCGTCTTCTGATTTGAAGATGCGTTGAAGTTGCTGCGAGGGATTTGGAAGTTCGGATTGATCGGTGAATTCGGCCTTCAAAAGCTGTTGGGCTGTTGAATTCGAGATTGGATTTTGCCCAAGTGAGATGCTATACATGGGGTGCGCGAGAACATCTTCATGTACAAAGAAATTGGATGCAAGGGCCGTACTGGCAAGTACTGTCAGGCCAACGACACCTTTTATCAGCATGGTTATGGGAATGGGTCGATAGAAAGGCCGTGCCAGGTCTGAGGTTTTTTGCATAATGGCTTGTGACGTGGCATCCAGTACGACCGTTCCCCTCATTACTGCCCATAAAGGCAGACAATGTATCTAAATGACTTCAAGGTATATACTGAGCCAACACTATCTTTTTCGTTACGCACATAAGTATCTGTACTCAACTGAATGAACAGCATACCTTCCATGTAAAAGTCAAACAATCGTGCCTGGTAACCAATTTCTTCCCACGTCAAACCATAACTATATCATTCTGATAGAGAAAAAAACTTTAGACATTTGGATAGCGTTCAAAAAAACAATGAGAGATATTGCCTCAATTGCGTCATGTCCTTTGTGTTGCAAGCTTTCTTCTAAGAACAATTATCCTTAAAGTAAAAGACCCCCTTCAATTCATTCAGTGTGTTTATGATATATTTTGCAATGCAAAGCCATCTCAGGTGGTCCATGAAGGGACAGGCCATGACAGCAATATCCATTACCAATTTTCTCATCTCTCATTATGCTCGTTGGCATCTGTGCGCAAAGCAGCTAACCACTACAAAGACAATATGGATACTGTAAATTGGCAAATCACTTGTGTACCTCAAATAGAATGAAAGACCGTTGATCTTCGGGTAAGAAATTTTGAGCTTCCAGTGTTCAGTATTAGCTGAGGAAGGCAGTGGTGAGCGGTTTAGGCTTTACCTGAAGCACTCATTCTGTTGATGGCTATGAGGCGCTTCACCGATACATGCCGAAAAGTTCGGACCCACGGCCATTATCGGTTGATGATAGCTAGGGCTAAATGCTGTATGCTTCGTCCACCAAAGGCACCGCACAGTACCACGGAACTACATAGACCGTGATATTAATAGTTGTCATGCCCCACGTTCGATGAAGAGATACACATCATCCATAAATATTTCTTGTGGCCTTCACACAGAATTCCCATTCATAGTGATGTCCACTACTATAGAACACATCCTACAGCCATACTGAACCACGACATGGTCTACTCACGATGAAACGATGGTAGGAAGACAGGCTCGATTTGAAACCAGCACTAAATTTAAAAAGAGTTTATGGCAGGTATTATAACACTCGTAACATACTATTTATGCGTCTACAATGGTTCCTGGAGCCCGTGAATCTTTTCTAAGGTCCGTCATCAATTGCTTCATCCTGCTAACATCTCGAGTGCTGGAGTTGGACTTGAAATCGATTTCGCGTGAAATACGCTCCCAAACAGTGCCAGATGCCGCCTTTTCGCGTTCCTGTTGTTCATTCTCTTCCTTTTCTCTGGTTTTCCATGAAAAAGGTTATTAGTCAATATAACATTTCTGTTGAACATGCACCAGAAACTAAATGTACTGTACCTGTTGAGATCAATAGCCTTCTGTCTCTTGTCGTTATAATCTTCATAGAACTCGTCGATTGCTTCACGTGCCTTTTGGACAATCTGATGCTTCTTTTCCTCACTTTCAGCATCTCTTTCGGCGATGAGTTCCTTTTGCTTTTCACGCCACTGCTTAACCACCTCAGGTTCAACATCCGGGATGGTGCTGGCGTTGATAAATGCCTAAAACCGGGAGATTTTACAAATCAATCACTGTTACATAACCGTCGCCGCAAACGATAAGAGCCTTACCTGAGAAGTTTCAAGTTCTTCAGCAGCAGGAAACTCATTTTCAAAGGCAGAATAATCGCCAGCAGGTGTAGGTGAGGTGTATCCGAAACTAGCAGCTGGAGGGCTAAGGATGTTTTGCGATGATGGTGAAAAAGCTCTTGATTCTAGCTGCTCAGTTGGAGTGACGCTCGGGAGCGGAACTTGGTTAGGTGCTGGTGAAGAGAAAGATGGAATGTCGTTGTTGAATAAATCGGCATCATCTCCCAAAGCAGCCTTCTCACGAGCAAGGAAATCAGCGGTAGGATCCTCCATGGAGGAGTTGAAGTCACCAAAATCAGACATTTAGGTTACAAGTAAAAGCAGAGCAAGGATTTGAATGGTTGGTACACGCAGTTTAAGTGAGGGGGAGCCCAGCCAAGCGCTGAGTTATGTCACGTGCTCCATGACGTCTGTGACGCTCTGTTGTATGTTTTCAACAAAAATTCCAACTGCTGGAAAACAAGTCTCATTATACACTTTAAACATGTCTGCTCAACCACAGTTTTCCGAACAAGAACAGCGCGAACTTGCTTCTTTCTTGGAAGCCGAGAATGCCAAGGCTAGAATTCAGGTTGGTATACGGGATCTTGACTCGATCGTAGTATCATAGCTAATCCTCGTCATTCACAGCAAACCGTCCACACTCTCACCGATACTTGCTGGGACAAGTGCATCAGCAAAGTCAACAACAAATTAGATCGCTCTGAGGAAGGTTGTCTTTCCAACTGCGTCGAGCGTTTCCTTGACACCAGCTTGTTCATTGTCAAGCGTCTTGAAGATTTGAGAAACTCGGCTGTTTAAACCCTCCGTTTGAGAGAATATACATACACTATTGTCAGCAACATGATTGACACACTATCAAACAGAAAAAAAAATAGAGACTTGGTTCAATAAAATACGAAAATCCATTCACATGTAGTGTTTTCTATAAATACTGCTATTTTCAGCCTTTCAATCAATCAATCAATCTATTGTTGTTTTTTAATTGCTCGTCTACGTCCACCAACTTTTGTACCGAGTACAGCCATGGGTTCAGTCTTTTTAGCCTTGGGTTTTTTCTTGCTCACTTCAAGTGATGGCAGAATCTTTTCAGCATCGACGCCCTCAGGTTCTGCGTCTTCTTCTTCAACAACTTCGTATTCCACGACTTCATCTACTTTACCCAGTGCGCGGTTTACGAGTCTTCGTGGCCAAGCAATGAGGAAAACGTTCTTGACGCTGGGTTTTTCCACCCATTCAACATTCAAATCAATGCGTTCCTCTCCTTCGGGATAGAAAACAATATACTCATCAGATTTGACTTCACAGCGCAAAACGCGTTTGCCAATTTCGAGGTAGCTGCGTCCTAGTGTGGCTGCGCCAACGTTCTTGGTAGCTCTTGTAGCCATTTCAGATCGTGCGTCTTTAACAAATTGTCGAATACGTCTTTTCTCCTGGTGATAGTTGATCCAAGACGCGAGATGCTGTAATCCTGCAGCAAGGACAGCAAGGAAGATCACAACGGTGAAAAAGCCGGGTCGCCATCTTGCATAATAATAGCCTGTTCCTCTCCATTTAGGTACTCCATTTTTGTAAAAGAAGTTGTATCTCTCACGCTTGTGACCATCACGAAGGATAGACACAACTTTACCCAAGCGAGCAAACCGATCTCTTTGCTTAGAGTCTCCCTTGTTCTTGTCTGGACTGTACACGGTAAACAATAAGTGTGTCATTCAAATGAGTATCTTCCATATCATGTAGTATACCACTATTGCACTTACTGCAATTGAAGAGACAATTTTTTGTACGCTCTGTTGATTTGCTTGTCGGTGGCAGCTGGCTATTGGACGAGAAGTTTAATGATGGCGTTGCCTCACTAGTAGCAGAACAATTGGCAAACACACTTACCTCGATATTCAGCCAACTGTAGAAATCGACTTCTTTGCCTTCGATTTTTTCCAGTTCATCAACAAGATCAAAAATTTCATAGTCGCCTGTACCATTCCAAGTGTGAAGATGAGAATCGTGGTTCTGGCAATTCCATCCTGCTGATCAAAACTTGCGAAGCACTTACCCTGTTCCCAAGCCTTTACTTGTGGTGCCAAGAAGGTCAGTACCAGCCAGAAGAGTACTAGCAACAGACCAAGACGCCCAACCAGCCGACTGTGGTGATTACTGTTCGCCATTACGAAAGGTTACCGCGTTTGAAGGGGCCAAAAACTTGGTGTTTAAAAAATCTGGGAAATTCAGTGACTCCGATCAGGAGATTGTGATACCAACACTGCATTTTTTCATTATTGATCTATCTGGACCCCCAAGCTATGTCCTCTTTTCAGCAACGTACAACTTGAAGGCTAAAGGAATTGCTTTGCCATATTACTATCACATAAATGGTTTATGTATTTCGCTGCTGCATGAGTCAGATCTCATCGGCCACACAATCCCATACGGAACGTCAATTACATAATAAAAACTAACAATTGTATTAAACCTTTTCATTATGTCTAATAACTCTTCAAATGAACTACCGCAGGGCCAGTCTCATTATAATCAAGCTTACTAATGTAATTTTTGGGATCGATGAAAACAAGCTATGGGAGGATGAAAGTACATGGCAGAATAGTAAGTAAAGGCAACGTCTGCAATCTCGACCCCATAAGTCATTTTGTATCCTTTCTTACCTTGGCAACAATAAGACCTCCCAGCCATGACGCATATTGTTGGTATTTAGCTTCCTTCAACACTGTAAAATATTCAGGTATTCGAACAAATTTGACTGATCGAGGTTGAAGATCGCCAGCATTGTCTGACACTGGGTTGAATGGAATCATCTCCGATTTGAGTCGTCGTTGGGCACCAGACATCATGCTACCTCCTCCAGTAAGCACAATGTTGTCCATGAGTTTAGGGCGAAGCTCGAGGGGCTCGCAATAATGTACAGCGGTTCGAATCATATCAGCTAATGACATGGAATCAGAACCAACAAGAGATGGGTCGAATAGAGGGTCGAATACTCGGTGTCGATAGCGACCAATTGTGAACTAGTTAAAAATAGTGTAAGTTCCTTGCCACGCAACAAGTTGGATCAACACTATACCCTGTATATGCAACTACCTTTTTCCCTTTGTATTCTATTTCCTCCCGATCAGGAATCTTCTTCAAAGCATCCTGTTCCTCCACGGCATCCACAGCAGCAGGTGTATCCTCTTTTGCTGCACTGGGTGTTGAGACGATAGACGCTGGTATTTCAACCGACAGCAAATTCTCTTCGATTTCATGGCCAACAAGAACATTGCATACACCAGGCAACTCCTTGACATATCTAGCAAACTCTTCGTCCAGCTTGATTTCTTCTCCAGATTCTTCGCTGTGCTTTTTGAATTCGTTGACTAGAATATCATCATTTTGCATAGATCGCAACATATATGCCGTGAGCTCCTTTCCTGCTACTGCTGATGTAAAATTGGATTGTAATTGCAGGCAACTGTCGACAGCTATACTGACATTGGTTGTATTGTGACCAATATCCACCACCAATCCAGTAACCACTCCGCATCCGTATAATGCCATCAATGGCTGTGTCGCGATATATACGCCTGGTGCATTGAAATTCTCGAAAAAGATTTGAACTAGTCGCTCAAGCTGCTCTTTCGTCCATGATTGAGGTACAGTCAGAAGCACAGGGCTATCGTTTCGCGACTTCTTTATCCCAAGTTCTTGGAACAGAACGTGTTGCCTAAATGTAGAATATAAATCGTCAACGTCAATGCAAACCTAGCAAGCTGGAAAGTCATTACTTACAATAAGTTTTCTAAATCCTCCCAGGAAGTGATTTCCTCGTCTTTTATGGGATTGTTGAAGTCGGCATTGGAAACAATCTAGAGAATAGGTGGTTCGGTTGTCCGGTTTAGCACGTTGGTATCTAGTTGTCATTGCTGCAAAACACGTCCTTACCACAGACGGCGGCTTATTGGTATCGTTTGCGCCAATACCAGCTTTGGTAAGGTAGGAGCCAAGGTCAATGACAACGAAATTTTCTTCGCGAAGCGTTAATGACATTATGGCAGCGCGACGTGAGTTAAAGACGATTCCGGCCTGCTCGTCGTTTGCTGGACTGGAATTCCGTCGCTAGCACACCGCTAAGCCACAGGGACTCCATCATCGACAGCCCATTTCCCTTTCCGCTCCATCATCGACTTTTTTATACGATCCTCCCTTACTCTCCTATTTCCACTGGATATCTTCTGCTTACATTAACGTCCTGACAAGGTCCATAGGGATCAATATTAAAAATAAGGAACGTAAATTTTTATTTACACGTCTGGCTTCGTTTTACAAAGCCATTGAGGTTCGAATGGAACATTGACCAGCTCATCACAAGATATCTTGCCAAATTTCTCGAGCATATTGTAGCGATCGTCGAATTCGACCATAATATGCTGGCATAGCAATAGTTAATATTTTGTTCGAAAATAGATTTTTTCTTTTTCGCTGCTGCATAACTTACATATGATGCAGTACTTCCACCAATCCACTGCAATACGTTATTGCCGTTGGATAGCCTACTTGTATGAAACGCATATCGGATGCCTCGTACGTTCTCCGTTGCATTAAGTCGATCGCAAATATCCTCCACGGCCAGCTCAAACGCATTTGTCTGTCTATGGAACACCATCATGTATAGCATACTACTAAATATCATGATGATTGGCTCCAAGGCAATGATCATAGTGAATCCAGTGTAGTACCATATCACAGCCGATACTGCCGCCACAAGGAACCAAATGGAAACGATGCCGGCTCTCCACCATTTGAGCTTAAATAGCGGTGGTGCTGCCCTTGCGATGGCTCCATTCAACAAACAGACCGTTGACATAAACTGATCGTGCGATATCTGGAATGAAATATCATGAGGTAGTCTGTATCACAACATGAAAGAATGGATAGTCAGTTGCTTACATATCCCTGGAGCTCTTGGGTATACCGCGCATCCCATTCACCGTTCTTCAGTTTTAGTTTGACGAATTTCATTAAATATAGTGTGGATGCTGTGTAGGACGCAGTGTCCTTTCCTGAAACTTTGAAGTATGCGTAACAATTATTTACAAGAGTAACGAGAAAAGATGTAAGCACAGCGCAGTAAATGTAAGAGTTTGTAGGCTGAATATTTAATTTGTCGGTTATTTGCTCACTCATGTGGGGACAGCAATTATGGATCAGAGATTGGGATGCATAGTACATAATCTGCCCGCCAATGTATGATCGATACCCGTAGTTGTTTTTTAAAATCAATAAAATGCTCTTTTAAGGTTGAATTTGAATACTTGCCCACCTCCCTGGAACGTAGGAGATAACTGGATCGCAATGACCTCTAAATTTTTCGTCATAAGCATATCGAAACCATGCGTATCTATGCTAGCTACAAAATGATTGCAACCCTAACGTCGCCCTCTATACATTATTTCATTGCTATCTTTTTTTGTGTACATACTGTAAATCAAAAAATTTGTCGCTAGCACAACCATGCCGACTAAGACATGACATTGTAGAAATACTGTTGATAAGTCATCCTCCAATGTTGATGTTTAGATGATAACTCGATGTGTATTGTATGATCTTTTCAGTTAGCATTGGTTTCATCTTCACCTTGCCTAGTAGCCATTCTATTGTTCGCTGTTTTTAACGAGTGCATACGCTCCAATCGTAAAAACAAGCCATAAGGGATGCACAATGATAAGAAATATCAAATGTAACTTTGAATAGTGATATAAGTAAAAGGATGAAAAAAGAGTTGTGGAATGGTCAACTTGAAAATAACCATGACCGAAAAGACTGGAAAGTTTGTGTTGGTGTGTACAACCAAACTTGTCCAAGAATTCACCTCAAACAAACTAGCCACCAGACAAGGTTTTCAAGGTCTGGATATTTTTATGATATTGATTGATTAAGATGAGATAAGGCAAGGTAATGCATTGGTCGTTATGTTCGATTGATACATGCCTACAAGCCGACCTCTTTATTCGACCGAACTGTCTCAAGCGTCTCTGGCTGGAAAATGTTGTGACTGCAGCGCTTGTCGCTCCAGGGGATTTTCTGTGAATGACCGCACTGTGTGACTTCCAACTTTCCCTACTAACCGCTCTTCTGGTCTTTCTTGGAAACATGAAAGCATTGACTTCAGCGACCGCGGATGAACTCCTCAGCCGCTCAGATAAAACAAAGGCCGTGTTTGAATGCGATGTAAGCCCAAAATTACACCTTGAATGTCGCCTGCGCACAGTATAATAATGTCAAGTAGTTACCGCAAACGAATCCCGCTCGAGAGGACGACGGGGACCACTTCTTTGCTTGTATAATATGTCATGAAGATACCAAGAAACCCACCGACGCGTGTCCATCAGGGTAAGTAACCAGTAACTCGAGAGAGGAGCGGTCATTTATCCTTTTACATGTATTAATACCATGCTGCCAAACTCAGTTTATTACTTGTCAAGACATCCAATAGCGGATTAAATATGGTCATTTCCGAAATGCCGCTCTGTCCTGGTGTTCAGTACGAAATTTGTAAGAAGAACTGAAATTATTTCATTATGAGCATTATGCATTTTAACTCATTTCACTCTGGGCAGCTCAAACATCGATCAATCAATCGAATGGCACGAAAGGAGTACAAACAGGTAAGCACACAAAAGAGTATGAATTGTGGGGAACATATTTGGCATTAATGTTTGTTGTCTTTAGCGTCCCTCATCAAAGTAACTATAGGAAATGACACTATTTCTTTAATTTTTCGCGATAATAGCAAAATGGCCAAGTTTGTGGATGAGATACGCAACAGAATTCGTCTCTCGGGTAAGACTTTATTTTACGTTGGCTTTGTTCGCAACACAAGCTATTTTTCTAATTATACAATAGAGACGCACCATTTTCAGCAGCGATCACATTTTAGCTGGCTCGCATACACTGACAGAAACGCATCAGCTACACCCGTCAGTGGTAGCAGTGCATCAACCTACCTAAAACGGTCAAATACCGATTCTATAGTTGAATCAAGGACTTCAAACAGCAGTGTTGATGAGAATACACTCCCTTATACTGCTCTTCTACAGCGTTCCAGCACCATGAGATCGACCACACTGGATATGGATGTAGTAAAACGATTTATACAGCGGCGCGATTCATTTGAAGTTAAGAAAGCATGGCTCTCAGCACGCATGCGAGATAGAGAAGACGAGTTCGTGGATTGGCAAGACATAAGGTCTGTGAAGACTGTACGTCATTGTGGCCTACATTGCGTTCTATTCTAACAAATTTATTTCCATTCATATAGTGTATTCGCGGGTACTTGGAATGTACACGGAAGTACTCCTGATGAATCTTTAGCACCATGGTTGCTCGGTAACGCTACAGAGGACGAGAAGGCTATTGAGCCAGATCTCTATATCATTGGGTAAAAATCTTATTTTGAGCTTTTGTCAATAATCAGAATCTGCGTGTTTCTGACACTCTTGTGAACGCTACATTGTCCTTATTGGAACTTTGCTCTTTCATTTTTGGCGGGATTTGACACTCCAGTCTTCAGGAAATGGACTTGAGCACAGAAGCATACCTCTGGACAGACCCAACTCGTGAAAATGCTTGGTGTGACGCAGTTATGGGTGGCCTAGGAAACAGAGCTCAAAAGTATACAAAGGTATGTTCCTGGGTATGAAACTGCGCTGTGATTTGGAACAGAGTTAACAGTTCACCATAGGTCGCGTCTCAACAACTTGTTTCGATGTTGATCATCGTTCTGGCTAAAGAGTCCCTTTCGGAGCATATCTCTGAAGTGTCTACAACATATACTGGAGTTGGTTTACTAGGAGTCATGGTTAGTACCTTTGGCATTTGACCAGGTGACGATGAGATTCTGATAACAATACGTTTTTTAGGGCAACAAAGGATGTGTGAGCGTTAGATTCCGTCTTTTTGATACTTATATATGTGCTCTGGGTAGCCACTTGGCAGCTTTCATGAATCAAACCGAAAAGCGCAATCAGGATTATGCCGAAATCTGTAAACGCCTAGTGTTTCCGAATGTACCAGACGAGAAAACCGCTTATGCTACATCGTTGTGGAACGACGGTGGAGATGAAGGCGTCCAATTTATTGAGAATAGCAACGTTGTGAGAAATTGGAATATGCAGAACTCCATTTTCCATTCAGAGTATGTGCGCTTATCGAACAACAGACAAACTATTTGTGCTATGTATGCTAATCGGCTTTTCCTCAATATGTAGTCATTTGATTTGGGTTGGTGACTTGAACTATAGAATCAACCTTACAGAAGCAGAAGTCAAGGCTGCACTTCAAAGGAGGGACCTGAAGTCATTGAGCGAGTATGACCAACTGAACATTGAGCGCAGCAGCGGACGCACATTCCATGTCTTTGATGAAGGCGAAATCGACTTTTTGCCAACATACAAATATGACGCAGGCACTAACCGATATGATACAAGCGAAAAGAGGCGTGCCCCGGCGTGGACAGATCGAGTCCTTTGGCGCAAAGCGAGAGTACATCTTGAACCTCATGCTGAATCCGGTCATCATTCGGATATTCAATTGACATCATACTCGAGTTGCATGGATATGATGATGAGTGATCACAAACCTGTGAACGCTATAATGCATTTGAAAGCTAGGAAGATTGACATTGAGAAACAAGCTCATACCAAGTCTGCCATTGTCAAGCTAGTTTCTGAACACAAGGACGACAGAGGACCTGACGGAAGAATATCAAGCTCATTTGTTGACTTTGGAGATGTACGTTTCATGACTCAAAAGGAAGTTTCCATCACCCTCGAGAACACGGGTCAAATGGTTGCCAGTTGGCATTTCATTCCCAAGCTTGATGAAACCGTCATCTGCAAACCTTGGTTACAAATTAGTCGTGTCACTGGCGTCCTTGGACCAGGTAAATATGAACGTTGTAACTAGAATGAATTCGTTGAGATCTTGATTATTGATCACTTGTTGTCCTTGTCAACGGTAATTTTTTCATAGGTGAACAAACTGTCATTGACTTCCGCATTCTGATTGATGCAACGACCGCATCCACCTTCAATAATGATGAGGACGATATCGACGATAAATTAATTCTGCGACTTGAAAATGGCAAAGATTTCTTTTTGGTCATCAGTGGAAAGTATATACCAACTTGTTTCGGCATGAGCCTCGAGAAGCTTGCTCGGATGAAGTACGCAGTGAATTCCCCAGAGAATGATCGGTCACAGCGATCCAGTAGATCACCAAGCCCTGAATCCAGTCAGAATGGATCCATGCCAAAAGAGATCTGGAGAATGCTGACTTTCTTGTGGAACAAGAGTACGCTACAGCTTGTAAGTCCAAGTCTACAACCTCCTCTGTGTTTGTATGCCTTAACCGTTGACATGCTTCATGATACAGGATGGCCTGTTTTTGGAGAGTGGTAATCTGCTACTGGCTCAATATATTACAAAATGTTTAGACACGGGTGATAACTTCGATAGCTCCATTTTAATGGGACTGAAGGAGGACGATGAAGACGAGGAACCTACTACTTCGTCTCCTCAACTGGACGCACCAAAGACAGATCATAACCCTCTGGCACGTCGACAGTCGCGAGAGGAGGAGGAAGCCATCGAAAGTTTGAAACATACTGAGGAAGCACCGAATACCCTTGAAGAACAAACTGCCAAAATGAACGTTACAGACGACGACGACGATAGTCAAGAAGTTAACGAAGCTGTCAGCCCGACTATTGGAGCTAACTCCATGGTAGATGTACTTATTGCATTCTTACGATTTTTGCCCGACCCAGTAATTCCCGTCACCCTGTACAAACGTCTTCTTGATGGCACCCTTAACCCTAATGTAGACCAGGTAAAAAATATCGCATACGTCCAGTAAGGCATGGTATTTTTCCAATCACTGACTCGTCACACCTTGTTTTTTATACATAGCTTATTGAACACATGAGCGCTGTTCATCATAGTGTGCTTCTCTACGTTGTTAATTTCCTTCGGGATGCCATTAAGCATAGTCCTGAGAACTGCGTCGAAGAAAGGACGTCGAAAATCGGTAAGTCTATAGTTCCTGTTAACACAGAAGAAACTATTGTGATGGCGGCTAATATGATACTTCAGTGGACACCTTCGCGACTGCCTTGATGCGTCCTCCAGTGAACTACAGTGACCGTAATCCGAGATTGACAAAGCAAAAGAAGCAACATGTCATGAAAGGCTTATTGGCATAATTGAATCATACGCCTGTGATATTTCGCTTATTTGCTCCATTGGAGCATATTAACTATTAGTCAATTTGATCTTCAACATCAGAGTTATATTATTAAAAATGTACAAAAGCTTTCGAGGATTTTATTGTTGACATAATTGACAGAAAGTGTGAGTTGTTTACTTGCGAGCCTATTTGAAATGTAGGGTTAGATAGTGCAATTTACCAACGACATTACATGATACCACAAAATATACCTTAAGCTTGCGGACGTAGAACTCAAGTTCCTGTCCTTCCAAGATGTAACCGTCGCAGCGGCCAGATTGACCGGGGCGGGAAGAGATCTTAGCTGTAAGATGACGAAAGTAATGACATTTAATATTGCAACCATCGTACTACTGTAAAAGGATCAAAACACTAACCATAAAGACGACCAGCACCGAATTGATCATCAAGGAGAGAGTCAACCTGGGCATCAGCCTGGCGAGAAGCGACCTTACGTTGAACGTGGTTGGACTTCTTCTCAGCTTCAGCTTCACCACCCTTCTTCTTGCCCAAGGTCTTGGCGTAGTGAGCCTCATACCATTGACGGAAAGGAGTAGCATCAACTTGGATGACAGCACCCTTGACGAGAGTGTTAGTGCGGACCAACTCGTTGTTGGAAGCATTGTACACAACGGTCAAGACACGGGTCTTGCGGGTGCAGTTCTGGGAACCCCAGGAGAAGTTACCGGCATCAAGGCGGAGAGCACGGTACTTCTTGTTGCCACCACGAACGCGGACTTCGTGGACACGCTTGGGACCAAGCTTGGTGTTGGCAGCCTGACGACCCAACTCGAACCTAGGAAATGGCGTGAAAGTATGATTAGCTTATGTTGGAAGATTGCCCTGAGAATATAAATTGTATTGATTGGGTTGAGATTGTAAGTGTTCGAAGGAGGGGTCGATGATCGGCTGTCCGAAGGTAAAATCGAACTTTGCGGATATTGATAGTCAAGCAGGTTGATTCATCGAAGAGTTCGAAAAAATTGCTGGAGCAGGTCAAATCTTTGAAGTACGCTGGTTATATTCCTGGAATGTGCTTATAGTCGAAGGCCGTAAAATGAATCGTACATGAAAATATAACTCTAGATAACATACTTTCTCTTCTTTCTGTACTGAGCACGCTTGGCACCAGTGGCACTGAAATTGAGGTGAGAGAATTAGACAATTTGTTTCTTTGCTAAATTGAGCATTCGATGTCCACTCGAAGCTTACCTTCTCTTATGCCTGGAATCTCGACTAATACCTATAACATATCATCCATCCATCATCCATCTGTTAGTGATCGATCAATTGACGTTTCTTCTCTGCTCTACGCCGATGCTTACCCATGGTGAATGAAAGGATAGAAAAAGTTAGTACCTTGGAGTGCTTTTGAACGCCTCGATTCGATTCGGCACGTGACTACTATGAAATTTCCATTTCGCTTTTGCGGTGAGTGTAATATGTTTTGTTCATTTGCTATTCAGCAACGCACCTTATCTTGAGGTTTTAGAGATGAAGGATTACGTAAACTCTTCCTTAAAACACTTTTCAACTAAATTGCATAAGATTGATATGCTTTACCGACGCAAAATGATGTATGTAACTCGATTTTGCATTTCGATGAATATTGTGCCTGAACATGGCTATTGTGAAAGACAGTCAGGATAAGGAAGAGCTTAGATTTCACTACAATAAGTAAGCAGTACATGAAAAACAATTCATTATATTGAACGACATAGAACAAGGTATATGCCATTGAGCGAATATTGTGTACCATGGAGTTTCCTCTAGCATGGAATTTCGATAACGAGTAGAGGATTTCTATTACTCAAATCGTTCCAAGAAAATACACAGATTCTTGATTCATTCATGTAGCTCATGGGTATAATATGCTTATTTATGGTCGCAAGCACTGCATTCCGTAACTTACTTCATTATTCTCAAAGCAAGCCAGAGCCCATTTTCTGGTCAAAAGTGTGACTCGCTTTTTACCAATTTTCAAAATCAAGTTGACAGCAAAAATTGTTTGGCAAGGTTGCGTTGCAAAAACAATACAGAAGAGCGTTGCAATGTCCCATTCAGTACACTTATTTCGACACATTCAAACCTCTCAAGTCATTGTTAGCTTGAAGAAGGCTATGAAGGCATGTTTTTTTCTTCATTCTGCTAGCCATTGACAACTGTTCCTGACTCGTAATCTATAATGTAGCCTTCACAACTAAACCAACTTGATGCCGCAACACAACCCGTCCGTCTTAGAAAGGATTTGTGGCGACCAATGGTCTCCATTAACGGATTCAAGGACCAAGAAACCGCTCAGGCTGTTACTGACGCTTTGTTGCAACGCTCCGAGCTTCGTCAGCTGGAAACTATGTTTTCTGACGAGCACTTAAAATTGGCCAAGCGTTATCGTGGACCAATAGAGCAGGATATTGTCGAAAAGTCCTTAGTTTCATTGCGCGAAGCTCTCGAAACCATCGTCCCAAGACGCCACACCGAAGATTCACCAAAGTTGACTGCTTTGTGGGAACAACAAAAGTTCGCCGATCTCGCCGGTGCTGGAGAAGAGAATAAGTGGCCTGAATTTGTAGAGCACGGACAGCTGGTTTTGAAGAGAAATCGCTTTGTTAAGGAAGCATAGAAATCTCAATCAGTCACCTATACTCAAGCGTGAGCATCACCTAAAATTTTTGCAACTCCCAGCTGCTCATAATGGACTCCATAGACCTCTTGTACATGTACATCACTTTGCCTCTTTCTTTTCTACACCTTTTTAAAAAATACAATAACCTGAATATTTAAAACCAGGAAAGCTCAAATTTTGTACGTTTCGATGATAGAATGAGCAATAACGGGTGGTCGTTGTCGACACCCTTCTTGATTTTCCGTACAGGACATGTACGGCGTTTTGAATGGTAAAGGGAATACGTACGTGTCGCTTACGTGTGAAAATATGCTACATTGCCGTTTATTGACAACCTGATTTTGGTTTATCAAGCAAACAGCATATTACTTTCCATTTTATCAACATTTTGATTGTTCAAATTCTCTTTTCAACCTTTTGTTCTTTTCGTTGCCACGTACCTTTGAATCTTCATGCCCAATGAGCAAAATCTCTGCTTTCTTGAGGGGCCAGCCGGATGGGTTCCGTTTGACAGCGTACGGCTTGATGAACCGTTGATAAACGCCTTTACAGCCCAAATAACATTTTTCTTGATGGTAGGTGGTGGCATTTCCAGAATAGGTTTTCATTTTCTAGACTGGCAGCCGCACCATCTGCTGATGACGAAAACTAGTAACTTGACTTCTTATGGAAGAAAAAGTATTAGGTTAATTTGATGGATAACTCGGCGTTTTCCAGACGTCGGATAACAAGTTCGATGTCTTTCAGAGACTAATGCTCCATACATTGACGTCGGATTTTGAAAGTACATGGCTTCTATCAGCTTTCAGCCCAAGGGTCTTGACTAAGAATCAAGATATTACAATTGAGACTTGAGAGAAAAGACACTGATTGCTTATTAAATTGTATCGCGGTTTTCAAGTGTCAAGTCCAACGTTAATACAACATCTATCATATCACGTTGTTTTGCAAATCATTCACCAAGTAGTTCAGACCTTAGCCAGCAACGTGCGTATCTTTACGTTGGATTGATTTGTCTCTATTCTCTACTATTCTATACAATTATTTGTGACGGTTTCATATCACTCTTCATAGACGGGTATGGTTTCCACAAACGTTCAGCAAGACGAAAGCTCAACTTCTTGAAATTTTTGTAAAAAAAAAAAAGGTGTACGTCATCACATCTTCCACAGCACACAGCCATAAAAATTGCAACTGCCCACAGAAAGTAAAAACTACATATCTTTCTTACCCACATGTCCGTTGTATATTACAAATTTAAGGCCGCCAAAGATCAAGACTTCGACGTTTATACTTTTGACGGGACCGGCACTTCAGTCTTCGATCTAAAGCGAGAGATCATACGTGCGAAAAAGTTAGGAAAAGGAACTGACTTTGATCTAGCGATTTATAATTCACAGTCAAATGAAGGTAAGGAGAATAGAGTTAGTAATCCAACCAATCTTATGCCATCACTCTTTCCTTATCAATAAATATTTGCCATTATTGTTATCAAAGAATACAAAGATGATCTTTTTACCATTCCGCGCAATACCTCCATCATAGTACGACGATTACCACCATCAAGACCAGGTAAAGGTACTGCTCAACGATATGTCAGTGGCGCGATGCCAAATGATGGAAAAGGTTTAGGACAAAGCGGTGCTGGCGTATTACGATCGGGAGCTCCGAATAATGGACCAGGAGAACGCTTTGGCTCTGGAAGAAGCAACGTATTTGATGCGAGACAGCAGCGAATGCAACAGCATCAATCATCACAGGTCCAACCCATGCATTTACCTGCAGACCAACAACAGCCATCTGCAGATCCAGCACCTGAAGACGACTCAGAAGAAGCGAAAATCAAAGCCATGTTCCAGCAAACAACTGATCAATGGGGACAAATGCAGGAAAAAATGGCAGAGTAAGTACATCTTTTCATTTAATTCCTTCGTCTCGGTTAATGTCTTTCTTGTCAAGCGAAAGCTGTTATTACCTTTTGGCAACATCCTTTCGTTTTTCGAGTATACTCTTCATAGCATACCTACAAGTCAACTGCGTATGAAAATGGTATATATTTTGGCCATCGCACAATGGACAAGCTATGTCTGCATTGTGTGTTAACGAAATGATCTTATATGGTATATTGATTGTGGTTGGTGGGCCAAATGGACTATATCATATCATCCATCATACGCAATTGCGCACCATCTATGTATTGACAAAAACAATCGCAATTGAAAGAAGCATTGTATAAAAAATATAACACATTTTTTTACCGCTTGACAGAAAGATATTGAACTACTTTTTGCATTTGTGTTGGATTATTCTGTACAATTGATTCTAATTCATGATTTCCTTTATTTTTACTTTGCGTCAATTCCAGGCAACAATATATCCCATACATGGGCCGTGGAGGTGGAGCAGACTGGCGAGGAGGTCGTGGTGGACGGGGTGGTAGTCGTGGTGGGTTCACACCTGGTGCCGGGCGAGGACAGGATCCCAACAACGCAAATATGCCACAAAGAGCACCACCGCCAAATTACATTTGTTTCCGGTGTGGTGAAAAGGGTACGTAGACAGGGATGCAAAGGATATTTGTAAGAGGAGAGCTACATACTAATTCATTTCAATAGGTCATTTTATCAACAATTGCCCCACGAACGGTGACAAGGAATTTGACAAACATCCTCGTATTAAGCGAACTACTGGTATCCCTAGAAGCTTCTTGAAGGTTATAGAACAACCAAAGACGGTGGTTCAAAGCGGTACTGGAGGTGTTATGGTTACTCCTGGGGGTGACTTGGTTGTAGCTGAAGCAGATTCGTAAGTATTTCGTAATGCAATGCGGTTAGATATCAACGTTGTATACATATTAACTTCTACCAATTGTCTTTTTCCTACAGGGTATCCTGGCAACAATATCAAGCCAAGTCATCTGCCTTGGGATCTAACTTGAACGCCGAACTTGGAGATCTTATTGACACAATACCAGTCCCTGATGACCTACAATGCCCAATATGCTTAGGAATATTCAAAGAAGCAGTCATTACACAGTGTTGCGGTACAAGCTATTGTGATGAATGCATTCGATCTCATATGCTGCTTAATGATCTCAAATGCCAAGATTGTCAAGAAGTCGTACCAGGTGGTACCGATGGTCTCATACAAAACGTTGATGTTCGACAACGAGTAAACAATTACGTACGAGAATTCGCTCGTAACCAGATGGCGAATGTGGGAATGAAACGAGGTGCAGAGGAGACCGATCTAGAAGAATCTGAAGAAGCAATTAGCAATGAGGCAAAGATACCACGAACGGAATGAATGATGCGATCATCGCCTGTGAATCGACAACCTGGAATCTTCCACAGATCTTATTTGACTACGTAGCTATGATCAGTTTCATAAAATGTAAATTTTTGTTCTTCGTTAAAAGAAATACAGCTAATGTGAAAATCCATCGCTTTCTATAATTGAATATTTACGTATTGTTTAGCTTTATGCCCGCTGAGGTTCTAGAACCAACGATTTCAATACATTTGAAAAATTCCCAAATTAGTTGGACAATCCTTTACGAAAATGTGTGAAGAAGGCAGACCACTTAGCGAAAAGATATGTTTGTAAGGATTTTAAATTTGTTTCACAAGAGGCACTTAACCTCTGCATGTTGTACATCTCTTGAAATGATCAGCAACATACATCAAACAAATAAGAAAGTTCACTAGATTTGGGCTCGCGCAAGCATCGTGATGTCTTGTGAGCCTATTGACGTGAATTGGGCAACATACACGTTTAGCGGCGGGTACCTCTCAATTAATTTTCAACATGAATGCGCAGGATATGTATTACTTCATACTTCCAATAAATTGGCTAGAAGTTCTGTTCGTTATTTCACAAAATTTTACAGTAATACAAACGATTTTCAATTGTAAGAAAGGGGAGAAGAAGGGATAGGAGACTAAGTGTTCGTGGTGTCAGCTACAAGAATGACAAGAGCAGTACATAAGATAAACGACGCACAAACAAAGCTGATGAGAAAAAGGTAGTGTAGGAGATTATCGCGATGATTAAGCTACTGATTGGTATTATCATTTGCTTGCGAAGCCGTGTCTTCCCGAGCTTGCTTCTCTGCCGCCTTCTTGTCAGCGTCAGAGGTAACTTGCAACTCTTCATTGTCAGCCTCATATGTAAGGCCAACATCCTTCAAACCGGAAACCGCCTACCACATCATTAAATTATTAGGCGCTGAAAAAATTTCTTTTTGATTACAAAAAATGGGCTGTAATTAAGATATGGTACTGACACTGGGTTCATTGTCTTCCTCTTCGACTTCATTACGTTTCGCTTCGTCATGCTCTGCCTTCTTTGTTACAGCGCTTTGGCAACGTGAAACCATCCAATCACGCCATTCATCTTCGGTCTTGCCATTGAGAATACCGACGATGACCACAGTCATATTGTCGCAGCCGACACCACCGATTTCGCTGTTAGGTGCCAAGCAATCGTCCATCAACTCTTCACAGATAGCCTTGAGAGATTTCCTCTGTCCCAATCCAGCACGAACAAAATCTACAGCTTCTTGATTCGTCTTGCAATCCCAAATACCTATTTGGATTTTTTTGTTTAAAACAACATCAGATCAGTCTCCCGATTTGCATACTAAAAAACTTGCGGTGAAAAAAAATGACAATTGTATAGACGGCTTACCATCACAAGCGACTATCATGAACTCATCATCATCTCCGAGTATGTGTTCGATGATGTCAGGGTTGGCTGTGAATCATTTTTAAACCAGTGAGATTGAGATGAATGAACTACTAGAGTATTTTAAATCGACGTAGACTTACCTGTGACAATCTGCTCTGTAGCGGGCAAAGAGTTGTTCTGTTTGAATTCAAAATCGCCAATGGCTCTTGATAAAGCGAGATTACCTGAGAAAGAAAAAATATTAGACATCCCATTTTCAGTTGGTTTCAGATTTTAGTGATGAATACACCAAACCCACCATTAACACGGCCAAACTCAACAAAGCCACCAGCAGCAACAATTCGTGACGATTCAGTGCGGTTGACGGGCTTATGGTCGTAAGAGAGAGGTTTGCATTTTCCGTGAATGCTAATAACAGCTCGAGAGTCACCTGCGTTACTCTGTCATGTAAAAACAAACACCGTTAGTTATCGATGGCAACGCATAGACGACCAGAAAATGTAACTGACCACTAAGACATGGTTATCTTCTGTGATTAATGCAACAACCGCCGTACAACCAGATGTATCGTTTGCAAATTCCTTGTCTAAAGAAGATGTTGGGGTTGAGATATATTTTTCTCTTTTTTGGGATGTGTGGTTTGTCCACATAAAGCGAATTCTTTACCTTCACGCAAATCCTGGTCGGTTTTTAAAAAGCCATCTCTCAATGCGTTTTCATACTTCTTTTCAGAGAATGTTGGTTCGTCTAAGACTTTCTTGTGCAAAAATTGACCACAGTACTTCGCAACAGCAGCTCCTGGAAATGCGCCAATCAAAGAAAGAAGAAAAAGGATGTGGTACCGTTGGGGGTAAGCTTGTGGAGTACGAACTCGCAGTCAGGACTTGAAAAAAATCTTACCTCCATGACCATCAAACACGGCAAAAAAGCTTGTACCGGTACTTTCGAGGTTTGGGATCGTAGTATGAGCATCTTCCATAGCTATTAGATAGGAAAAAATCAAGTCAAGGATTCGTTAGGTAGCCAAGCAAGCAAAATAATTGAGTGACCGCGGTCACACGACGTCCACAACCAAAAACGCTCCCGATGTTGGCGAAAAGCCATTACTCGAAACTTAGCATTGCTTCCGTGATCGTAGAACAAGATGATGAACAAGATCGTTGGAGGATCACTTGAGGGTATGCTAATGGTCAAGGTCATGATAACAAAGTGCGAAGTTATATATAAAAAGGATACTGATGCGCCAGCCTTGCATTTCTGAAGCTCCATAAATGACACGAGAATCACCTCCGTCGGTGGAGTGTTTTTCTACAACGGGCTCAGATAGCGTTTGTCCCATATTTTTGAACGTGTAAAGGTAAGTTTTGAAATTTATAAGAGAGAAAGGATTGATAGACTTAGAGGAGCTAGTTCACACCCAATGCCATGCAGCTGCCCCAATTTTGTATGATGTCACACATTGCGAAAAGCGCGAGTCAAAAAAAAAAGTTAGACCACGTAAAAAAAGGGTTTCTATCGATCGAGTATTGGCTGGGCTTCTATGGTTTGAATGTAATCATATACATGGCTACGTTGTATACTAGAACTCGGCAGATCTTCTATCATCCGACTTATTCTTTTTATAATAGCTTGCAGTCCTCGAAGATCCGTTTGTGATTCGGGTGCATCGCTTACAGGTAAAACGTCTTTGCAGCATACTATTCCGCTTCTTGGTGTACCGCCGTAGGTACCGTCTAGCACTCGGGCCACAAACGATACCATAGGATCGTATGTTCCATCTGCCGTCAAATAGATTGTGGAGTCCTTTTCGTTCGAAACCCGCTTTATAAATAGATTTTGTAGTTCCTCGTCATCATCCTGAATAGATTTTTCTTCATCCAAGCTAGATCGACGATGGATGTACATGTCATTGAATAATGATTCTTCCAAGTTTCGCATTGTGCTATTACTCTCTTCACTATCGTCACTTTCATATATGTCAGTTGGGATACCGCGCGACGAATCATCGGAGTAGTTTTGTCGAGGATCTGTGTTTTGCCGTGGTCGCCTTCGTGGTGGTGTATAATGTGTTTCTATCTCGCTATCTTCATCGCTACTGTCATCCTCAAAATCCGTTAAGAGCTCTATGTTACGCAACAAGAAATGTGTGTGAGCATTCACACGATTTTCGCTGGGAGATTCGTTATCGTATAAGCGCAGGGTTGCCGGAGGAAGAAGTAGTCGGAGAAAGTTTAGACGAGAGCGGAAAGGTAAGTGGATTGTCTGAGAGCCTTCCCTGTCCCTCTGTGGAGATTCTGACCGAATGTGAATTGGCATGGCCAGCTGTGCAATTGCAAGGAGGCAAGCAGGTGGATTTTTTGGTGAGGCGGGCGCTCAAACTTTTTTTTCTTGGAAAAACTATGTGGAAGGGAGGGGTGCTTTTAACTCAGAGACTCGTATTCGCTCACGCAATGTTTCAGCTGACGATATACGTTGTTACAACTGTATTTGGTACCAAGTAATCCATTCGATGTTAGCTGCATGTAGGCGACATGGCTGCAAAAAGTTGATAATACTACCGTTAATGCGTCATTCGCATCGATCGTCGATACGTAATGAATCTGGGACAGGCGGTTACAATTATGTCACATATCTTGCTTGCTGCGTCTAAATGATGATCCCTCTTTTTCATCGAGTTGTTACTGACTACTGTAGTCTCCGCAAATATAGTGTACTGTAGGGTAGGGGAGCAGAATGGTAGTGCTTATGATTGAGCGCGTGAAGAGTTACAAATACATTCATATATAAATGATGCGAGCTGCTTTGGATGAAATTTTATTGATCTTATTTACGAATTTGAAATGAAATTTAGCTGGTGATTTTTTTGTGTATGTAGTAGTTCTTTAGAAACCTCCACGACCTCCTCTGAAGCCTCCACGAGATCCTCCACGGGGAGCACCACGAGAGAAACCGCGTGAAGCACCTCGGGGTGCTCCTCTTCCACCGCGGGGAGCACCACGGCCACTGAAGCCACCACGGCCACCTCCTCGGCCACCACCTCTCTTTTCTACCTTGCCTTGAAGACCGGTAGGCTTTGAGGCTAGTAGTAATATTTGGTAAGTCTGTGTCAAATGATTCATGATAAAAAAAAATTAGGTATGAAAATTTCCACTAACCTTTACCAACAACCTTGGGCTTTGGCAAGAATCGCTCTATGGGAAGAAGTTTGTCGGTGCCAATGTAGAACTTGTCACCAGCAGAGTAAGATCCAGCTTGGATTCCATCTTGAGTCTTGACAGTGAAATATACTTCGTTCAAAGGTCCGAGAATTTCGTCAACCTTGCCGATTTGTGTTTTATTTTCAATGAAGATTGGAGCGTTGAAGTAAGGGATTTTTGCGTTGATAGACTTGCAGACAATTTCACCTTCGCAAGCATGCATGAAGCTGCCCATGGCTGTGATATTACAAAGTTAAAATTTTAATTAGTTGCTGCAGATGTCGACCAGTCGAGCGTCATATTGGCGGGTGTCACTTACGAACAATTTCATCAGGAGGACCTTGTTGGAAACCACCTCCGAAGCCACCTAAAAGAGAGGAAAATGTCAGTCAAGTCAATATCAATATTGTATATACGTATTGGTAATTGATGTTCTTACCTCGGCCACCGCGGCCACCGCCTCTGGGAGCACCTCGGAATCCTCCACGTCCACCACCTAAAAGTGTTTTTTGTTAGATATATGGCGGGAATTGACGGTCTAAGTAACATTACATACGTCCACCACGATCACCAAATCCTCCAGAGCCCATTTTGTTTAGATTATAAAAGTTGGAGACTGTGTAAGAGGTTTGCCTAAGCGTTGAATAGACTTTTGATACAAAATCAAAAATGTTTGCACCTTGTGGCTTAGATTTGAAAGTATTGTGACTGCCATCTTGAGAGCACCAACCCAATGTGAGGGAACTCATTCACCTCTGGTAAAACAGCTCCTATTATTCTGGTAGCAAGGAGATATTTTAAAATGATAAATACATACTAATGTCATTGACTGAAAGGAAAAATAGTGAAAGATGATGATTTACTTTTTAGCGAGTCTACCAATAGTCTTTACTTTATCCCATAAAGAATGTATAACAATCGAGTTTCTATGGTAAAAGCAAGCCATAAACTTCAGAATTTTGACTTTATCGTCAGCACCACGGCTACGATACTAGAGCCATCATTTACCAACAACCACGTTAACTATTTTTCATGAGCTGAAGAAATACAGCATTCAGTTGGTGTTCAGCTGATATATAGTCTAATGCAATTGGATTAGTCTGAAGAGTAGTTATGTACCTTATTGCCCATTCATTATATCTTTTTGAACGTTTCCGGGCATGTAAAAATGTTACTTGAATTTGACTATCAGTGCTTTTAGCAAAGCAACCTGTAAAATGCACTCTTTCCTAATGATGAGTCCCTGGTTCCAATGTTGTTTGGGTTGCACTACCCTGTTTACGCCTTTATTTTATCACAAATGAAAATGAAGGTGGTACGTGAAAATCCCCACTGCGATCGGGGGACATTTGATGACGTTTGAGGAAATTTCAGCTCCTGCCAAACTGACAAATTTCACTTAACTGTTGTTCAGTGTACCTGTCTATTAAACTTGCTATAACAACTGCCCCTCGGTGCACTGAATACTACATGTCAGATCGTCGAGAATACTCACCTCCACGTGGAGGACAACGCTACTCAGAATGGTCTGATGAAGAATACCCACAAAGTCGTGGCCGCGAGAAATTCAGGTCAGAACGGGGTGCGGACAAAGACAGAAGCTATTTAGAAGATTACGAAAGAAGAAAGAGATCAAGGCATAGCCCATCGCCTCCAGAAGGTATGACATCAGTTTAACAGATCCTGCCTCTAGTTTTCCTTACTAAACGCGGAATGTGCGCTTGTAGATCGTCGATACGGCAGAAGACGACTATCTTCATTCTCACCAGAATATCGCGGCCCTTCACGTTCGCGCTCAGATCGCCATAGCCGTGGTCGTGAACGTGAGAGAGATCAAGATGGAGATCATTACATTCCAAATTATGACCGTGATGGCTATGCCCCAGCACCGAAGTATAGTCAGTTGCCAGAAAATACTATGCAGTATGGTTATCCAGGTCAGTGAATTATGAGACCAATGTAGCGTATGTTCCGTAACTAGCATAATGACAGCTTGCAATAATGTATGTTCAGATATGCAAATGCTCGGATGGCAAGGACCTGGTGCTAAGTATGTTGATAATGGTTATGCTTTATGCACGGTATTATGAAAAGCTTATACGGTCATTTGTTATAGCAGCCCTACCGTAGACCCAAGTCAGTTGGACTATTTAATAACTTTCAAGCAATACTGCGACTATATTCGAAGCACAAACCCTCGCACTCACTTTGACGATGACGAATATACAAAAAAATATACTGTATATAAGGAGAAGTTTAACGCTAAGCAGCTTGCCACCTTTTTCGAACAACAAAAGGATAAAGAATGGTTTCAAGAGAAATACCACCCATCACTGTCGAAAAAGAGAAAAGAAGAACTGAAGCATTTGAAGCAGCGATACTACAATCAATATCTGATCGACCTTGAGAATGGCAAATATGATGATGTACGATTCGATGAGCCAGAAGGTGGTTTTAAGCAACAGGATACTCAAATGTCAGGCACTGCTGAGGGAGAGGCAAGCGAAGAATGGGAACCAAGATTGATCATCAAAACTGTTCCTCCCACAATCCCTCGAAATAAAATTGTTGAAGTAAGTATTTGGGCATTGGAGGATCAGCAGGCTGCAGTATTTTAACAATTTATGGTAGATGTGTGAACAAGTCGAAGGATTTGATTATCTTGCCTTGTCCGAACCCACACCAGCCAAGAAGTTTCACCGGCTTGGTTGGATCAACTTTAAGGAAGGCACTGATATCAAAGCTGCGTTTGATAAACTCGATAATCAAAAGGTACGGAATGGCTACAGGTGGTACATATCAACGCAAATGCATTAATATACTTACCTTTCCTCATTAGATTGATGATTTTACATTCCACTTAGCTATGAACAAGATTCAGTCCTCTCAGAATCGCGTCCCAAGACATGCGCCAGAAATTTCAAATACCACCGAGAGGATCAAACTGGACTTGGAACGGGCGAAGCAAGTAGCAAAAAACTTGGAATCGGAATTGGGAGACAATGTAAATGGCCTGGAATTGGTTGAAGTCAGAGCAAAGCGTTTGTTAGAACAGCATGACGAACGGTTGCAAAATGGCGAAAATGAAGAGGATCCCGAAGGTTCAAGCAGTGAAGAGAAAGAGGAAAGATGGAGAATTAAGCGACAATTGGATATCATTCTGACATATCTCAGAAATGCCTTCATGTTTTGCTACTATTGTGGACTAGAATGCGAATCTTTTGACGAGCTAGGAAAAAAATGTGTGGAACCACACTATCGAAAATCTGCACTACTATCAGGGGAAGGAAGTGGTGACCCCAAAGATGCCAAGAGGGGTAGGGTTCTAGAGCTTTTTAGTTCTCCAATCGTCATATGTATGATATCTAACCTATTTGTTTTAGTCGCAAGGTGGGCAGAGAACCTTGATCAGAAGATTGATTTGAAGATCAACACCCCCGATGACCGTACGCTGGAAAAGATGGGCGGCAAGGTGCTCCAAAAGTAAGAACTTCATAGTGCCATATGCCTCAATAATTGATTGTATGCTGATAGCCATCTTTATAGGGAACTCGATGCATTTGTTGAGCAAAATGTGTTGAAGGAACACGATGCCAAATTCAAGTGTAAAGTCAAAGATTGTAAAAAGGCTTTCAAAGGATATGGATATGTTGAAAAGCATATCAACATGAAGCATCCAGAAGAGGTTGAAGCTATCAAAGCTGAAGTGGAGTTTTTCAATAATTATGTGCTGGATCCGAACCACTTGCTTCCAACATCTGGTCAGCAAGGCTTACCATCCGGCAATGTTGCCGGACTACCTCTCAACACATCATCTGCCCCACCGTTTATGATGGGAGTAGGTAATGGTATGCGAATGGGAGGAGGGTTTACACCCGTGCAAGCGGCGGTAATGGGAACGCCCTGGAATCAGATACCAAGAATTGGATTCAATGAACAAAATTCATGGTCTGTTATGCAGCGAAGAGGCTCACGGAATAGCGCTTCAGATATGCACGGCCCTGGTGGCGTGCCAAGCGGCGCAAGGTGAGATGATGAACCACTTATACAAAATGTATCAATGCACCCAGTTACTAATCAAAATTTTAACAATAATAGTCTTGATATGCCGAAAGATCCACGCCAAGTGACCTCTTACGTAGATCTTGATGCTCCTGCTGAAGGTGACTCAGAAATGTCTTTTCTCTAGATAGTAAACCTCTGTCGGAAAAAAAGATCGCTTGACATAGTAAATACTATCAGTAATATGTAAATGCAATTGCAAATTGAAGAAACAATGGCACTGTAGTCATAAAGTCAATGTTGCCCTTCATTCCCCTTTTTATGACTATCCTCATCGGCAAAATATAGAAACCTTGACCAGCTCATTCTATCAACATATTCAATTTTGAATGCAGTGAATTACAGCAGTACGGTCGTCAGTCGTTTCAGTTATGATGGTATCTTGATAAATCCTTTGTCTTACTTATTAGCATGGTCAGCGTTTTGCAATACGTTTCTGTATGCTGATAACAACATGCTTATCCTGTGAGGCCGCCATGAAAAAAAATAAAAAAGAGAAGGGGGTGAGTAGTTATAAGCGTAGCCAACCGTTCGTATAGAAAAAGGTATTGTGATATTAGGCTTTTTGACAAATGCTTGATAATTTGGTTTTAGTGATCGAAGTAGCAAAAATTTCAATTTTTGGACCAACGTTGAATTTGATGACGTCAACCATAACTTCAATACCATAGCTTGTTCCAAGTCCAAGTTGTGAAGTGTGAAGATTTGTACATTGACATGACGGAGCACGAAAGCACGATTGACCTCAATCCAGCGGCGGACGAGATTATCGACGACAGCATGGCAGTAGACGATGGTATGTTTAGTTTGCTTGGGCAAATCACGAAAGGATCGACTTCCATTCATAGTCATGATCAAAAGACGCACCTGGAACGTGAATTTACATTAGCCTCAAAACACATAATACTCACGTTACTTCTGATCAATAGCCCCTGCTGTAAAGAGAAAGGGAAGAGGATTTGCTTCTACGGCAGGTAAGCTCGACTGTTTAAAATTTGAATCGCTTGATCTTAAGTGAAATCTTAACGATGCGTTTTCTTGACAGAATCCCGCGTTTCAAATAAATACGACAGCTATGATCGTATGGATGAGGACTCAACCGTCCAAGTTTCTACAAATGCTCAGAGATGTAAGCGCACATATTCAGGAACATTGAGCTTTCGCCATTTTTGCTAATGATGTTCTTTTATAGCCGTCGAAGGTTGGATCGTCGTTGTTACCGGCGTGCACGAGGAAGCTGATGAAGAGGCTGTTACAGAAAAGTTCGCAGAATACGGAGAGATAAAAAACTTGCACCTTAATCTCGATAGACGAACAGGTTATGTTAAGGTATAGGAGAACGACCGATGTGTTTAATGAATTCTGGATCATGGATGCTTACATTTCATTTTGAACTTCCATTGTAGGGCTATGCGCTAATTGAATACGAGACATACAAAGAAGCCAAAACAGCAATCGACAGCGCCAACAACACCCAATTCTATGAACAAACCATCCACGTAGACTTCACATTTGTACGACCTCCAGAAGGTTCCGGCAGACAACCAGACCGTAGAGATAGTAGAAGACGTCAACGAAGTGCTAGCCCAGGCAAGAGATGGTAATTTGTGCTTAATGCACCATCTTCGGCAGCAATATCAATCCGATAACATCGAGTTGCCATATTACAATTAAAAGACAAAAATAAAAAATTACTTCTGTATCAATGACGTCGTCAGGATTTCAATGTCCCTCACACTTATAAGCTCTAGTGCAGAAGTGGTTGTTCAGCTCACAGTATAACAAATGCGCATACCTGCACAAGGTCGGTCATGTTACAACCTTTTACTCCAGCAGCATACATACGAGTACAGCTTTTAAACTTTTTATATGAATTACAGAACAACCAGTATTAGAAAGTCTCATAGGCATTCGACATCGGCTATCGGCCTTAAAAAAGGATAGAGATTCATATGCGAAGCCCGATGTCGTCCTCGGCTTATGGAGCGATACAGAAAAGCAGATAGAAAAATTGTGCGAGATACGCTCGGAAAACATATGGAACTCTGATAGCAGAAATCGACTCAATGATGTTCTCGACGACGTCATGTCTCTCTTGTCGCTGTTCTTTATGAGCATAGGCAAGACTAGAGAGATCCCCGCTGTATACGCTCAGCTAGTGACCGTCAAAGTAAGCGTTGCCGTCATAACCGACCCATTAATAGGTTTATAACATTCATTTCCCATCGCTATAGCAATATCTTGATCAATTGGTTGAAATGGGTGTCTACACAGAGGCATTATTAATTCCAACTGAAGGAAGATTAAATGACATCAAAAGTATTATAGACATGAATGCGGACAAGCCAGAAAGTACGCCAGCGGTAACTAGTCTTGTGCGACGAAAGCTTTCAAAGTGCAGTAAGTTATCTTTCTGAAAATTCCTTTTGGAAGCGTTCGTCAGTTGATTATTTCTATTTGCCTTCTATAGAGGAGACGCTCGCCACATTATTTGCCAACCTGCATGAAGTGTCACCTGATTTGTAAGTTCGCCATTTGAGCTTATAAACGACACGACAAACAATGACTGACGGTATCAAATTGTAGAAAACCCATACAAAATGAACTTGTGGAGTTGCGCCGACAACTTTCTCTGTTAGCAGGTCGAGCGTGTGGCTTTTCAGATGTCGATATACAAGAAATCCAGAAAAGGGTTTGTGGTTTTATTAATTTGAACAGCACGCCATTTCGGACTGAGTTAACACTTGCTTTCATAGTTGCGAACAATTGATAATACGAGAGTTGATGGCAAATTTTTAGCTCCAAATGGATCTATACCTGCAGGACAAGCCTTGGTGGTCGGCTTATTGGAGCAGCTTTTCGAGGAAACACATGATTTGATGGCCTCGACAGACAGCGTATCGGAATCTCTTGTTCCCATAGCAGAAAGGCTGAAGGAGATCAAATCCAAATTAGAGCGACTATCCTTGACCCATCGATGGACTCTTCGAGAAACGGATTTATACACATTTCAGGTTCGAAACTTAACTTGTACTACATGTGTCTAAATGGACATCAAACTCACTCGTCATTGTAGCTTCAATTACAGGAGATCGAAAAATTGCGAGTAGGAGGCAAATTCTTGGATGCTGAAGGCAAAGTGCCTGAAGGCCAGGCTTTGTTAAATTTCTTGTTGCGAGCATGCTATAGGCTGATGTCTAAAATGCTCAGTGAAAGTGTTCCTGTCGCTGAGGCTCTCATGCCAGTCTACAACCAGCTCAGCACAGTTAGGCGATGTCTGCTGGAAGTGAACAAATGGGGTGCACCAGATTCTGGTAAGTACATACAGAATTCTACTCAACTGACATTGGAATGAAAGGCTTACATGGCTTTAATTGGCAACCACAGTCCGCGAGCTATATCCATATCAAATGAAGTTGGCAAGCATCGACAACATGAGAGTCAATGGTACATTTTATGACGAAGATGGAATGATACCGGAAGGACAAGGATTATGTGTAGCTATTTTGAACGAATGCTATGATATACTTCATGATTTAGTCTCTAAAGTCGAGGATGTGGCCAGCGATGGCAGTGACGAAGAAGGGGAGTGAATGTAATGAATACGCCAAACTTAGATCAAGCTTCGAATTGGAATAAAACTTGTACTATCAATAATGTTTCATCATACACAAAACGGAAGGAATGAGATCAGTTGAGAATTTATTTGAATGAGACTGGCAAAAACTGGTGTTTTTACGCAAAAGTTCATCTATAGAATTCTTTAGTCGAAAAGACCTGTAAACGAGGAAATAGTAAAGTTAGTTTATACCCAATTTCATAGACATACATGGAGAAACTCAATACTAACCGAAGCCCATATCGTCATCAGACTCCTCCTTCTCCTCTTCCTTCTCTTCAGCAGCGGCTTCCTCAGCGGCACCACCAGCAGCAGCACCACCAGCAGCAGCAGCGGGGGCAGCAGAACCAGCGGAACCGATGTTCATGAGGAGACCAGCAAGGTCTTGGCCAGCGAGGGCCTTGGCGTAAAGGGAGAACCAGACGGGCTCAACTTCGACGTTAGCGGCCTTGACAAGGGTGGAGAGCTTGTCAGCCTACAACCGAAAAAAAAGGTCAGTTGAAAATGTCAGCTTGTGTGAATCAAATCAGTGTGCAAATTTTCTCGTCGTTGCATCGGCATTTCGACAATTGCGGTTTAATGAAAGGTTGTAACTCACGGTAATCTCAATACCGTCGTCCTGGAGGATAAGAGCTGCGTACACAATGGCGAATTCGGCAGACATGTTGGTTAGAAAGGAGGAGCTTCTTTGGGTGCGAAATTTTTGCCAATTTTAAGAAAAAAAAAACACGGATTTGAAGAGCACGTGACCTGGATCAAAGGTGCATGTCGTTTGAAACGACCATCTTGTCCATAGCCGCAAAAGCAGTTCAAGAATCCATTCTATTATGAAAAACATCCATAAATTATGTGTTCCTGTGGCTAACGGTATTTTAGTCTCAAGAAGGACACCAGTGGTAATACTCAGTTAGTGTATGGTAACTTGGCAATTACATAGTCTTGGCTTCAATATCCATCGACAAAATAGTATGTTCATTTAACATTTATAAGGATATAAAATTACATAAGAAACGACCTTCTATCTTCGACACTCTACATCACTGCTACGGTCAGAAAGTGGGTTCACCAAGGCAATCCATAGATGTCACAAAGACTTCGTTTCTACTTCATATTGTTGAAAAGAGAGTTTGTCATCTTCAATACTTGAATCTACTGCTGCGACTTTTATTTCATATATCAGGCTTCATACAGCGGAGCCACCTTCACTGTATGCTTAGACAAGTTTAATCTGTGACGTACTGCCAGATCAGCGTTTTTACTTCAAGAGACAAGCGTAATTTTCTGTATCCTGACAGAATCTACGACTTTATTCATTCCTAAACATCTTATGGCCTGTTTTTCAACTTACTATTGGGGGTTACTGTTAACAAGCACAACATTTACTACGTGGTGAAAAACTTGCGTATCAAATATATGCCATTTGATTGGTCGGCGTCATAAATTTCCCATTTTGACTTTCGTACAGGCCCAAAAAAGATAGCTCTTCTGCAAAGGCATCGCGATAGATCATCAAACATGACTCAACCAGTTCACTCCGTTCTGTTTGACTCCAACGCTGATTCCAACGCATACTATAACCAACAAGCTGCCTCTGGAGGAGATAACTTGCAATTCTATTCATCATCTTATGGCGATAATTACAATGCCTCGCCTTCATACTACGGCAATGCACCTCCCGGCCCGCCAGCCAACATGCAAAGTGGTAATAACTTCGACTACAGTAGATCCCCTGGATCTTTTTGGAGTGCATTTGGAACAGGTGGATTCGATGATGAGCCTCCGCTAATGGAGGAACTTGGCGTCAACTTCCAGCACATTAGAGCAAAGGTGAGATTCAACTTATTCAGGGCATTTGCATAAACCCACAGTCTAACTTGTAATAATAGAGCATGGCCGTATTGAATCCTTTTAAACCTGTTCCATCCAACATTATGGACGATGCCGACATGGCAGGACCTCTGCTCTTTATCCTTATGTTTGGCGTTTTCCTTCGAATCACTGGTAAAAGCCATTTTGGATACATCTATGGTGTAGGAGTGCTTGGCATGGTGTCTATCTTCCTCATCCTTAATATGATGAGCCAAACTGGTATTGACTGGTCACGGACAGCGAGCGTTTTGGGTTACTGCCTACTACCTATGGTCATGCTCAGTGGATTTAGCGTTGTGCTTCAATTAGGAAGTGCCATTGGATTTATCTTGTCAGTCGTTAGTATTCTATGGTGTACCTTCTCAAGCTCAGGCATGTTCACGAGTGTTTTGCACATGAATGAGCAACGCTTTTTAGTCGCTTACCCTGTAGGTTTATTTTATGCCTGCTTTGCCTTGATGACCGTATTTTAGAGGTCTTCGCTTTTCTTTGAATGTATATAATACAATACCGTGATCGATCAATAATACAGGCAATAGATGATTTTAATCTTCGCACTGTTAAAACCAGCACACCACGATTTGAAAACAGAAAAAAGTGCTTTATTACAGCATTGAATTTATAAATGTGAAATAATCAGTCACCTCTTCGTCTTGGCGATCGTGATCTGGAGCGTGATCTTCGTGGTCGATCCACGTCTTCGTAGCGTCGACGGCTGTAGCGATCCGCTTCACGATCCCAGTCAGCATCTCGGTCATAATACGGACCTTGGCTGCCACGACGATGATTGTCCCTGCGATAGTCGTCTCTTCGTTCTCGATCAGAATATCGTGAATGATCTCTGTCCCTACCTCCATCTCTGCGATCTCTCTCGCGGTTGCGATCACGTCTGTCGTAGCCTCCTCTGCGATCGTCTCGTCTGCCAGTATGACGTGAAGTGGACTTCATTTGGGAGTTATCATTAAAATCAAGGTACATATATATATATGTGTATTCGATGAAGAGTGTATCACTTACCTCCATTTTTTCTAAAGTGTCACGAATTTTTTGGTATCCTTGATGCTGCTTACCGGAGAAGTGAGAATCCAAACGGTCTGGCGCATCTCCTGTCACAAGAAATGCTCCACAAATTGTGCAAACTTCCATTTTCTTATCTGAACGTGCGGCATTATCTGCTTTCTAAAAATTTCATTCAGATTAGGGATAAAGTACAGGCGGAAGCTGCCATTCTAGAAGCATATAACTTACCTCCTTCAGTATGGCATGCTCAGCTTGGAGTCGTTCGACTTCCCTGGTCAAGTCGGTAGCTTCCTGTACACGACCTTCTTCTCCAGCCTCTTCAATCTTTCAAAACATCAGGAAAAGTTAGCTACAATCAACCATTAAAACTGTTATCATTTCTTGTCATCCACAAACCTTTGCTAAAAGATCTTTGATTTTGACATCAAGCAAGACTAGTTTTTCTTCTCTTTCACCTTTAATGGCCTCAGTATGCTGCAGAGAGCAAGTTAATATTTTACATATTACATGTTGAAATTCTTTGAAACTTAAGTACCTTGTCGTCCATGGATTGAATCGTTAATCTGCCTCGGCCTCGTCTGATTTTCTTATCCAAGTCATCGATGAGAAATGTCAGGTATTTCACAAAGTCCTGTTCATAGGGATATTTATATTTGTCTGGACTATTCTGGTACTTCTCCTTTAATCTGTCGTTATGAATTTTGTCGCATGGTCCTATGAAACAGAATATGTTCAGTGTTGGAATCACAGAATGACTCAGCAAATGGCACATACCTAGATCAGATTTGGTATTGGTGAACAGCGATGAAGGACAAAATTCGACCAAGTAATGCTTGCAAACCTATTATGACGCATCGAAAGGTGTTAATAGAACAAAACATATCAATTATAATACTCCAAGTCAATAGTTGATTATACCGAATCGTCCCAAAAGTCCTTGTTATCAACATCGACGTACTGCGACATCAGCTCATCGAGCATAGCCTTTTGAGCATCTATTCAATAATCAGTACAAAGATCAGTTATTGAGTCATGATCTGAACGGTATATGAGAGAATAACTTCGATGCTTACCCATGTTGTCAAATCAGTGAAAGGCGCGATGATCTGAATCACGAAGCAGTAAGGTGAATTTCAATGGCCTCCTGGCACACGTGACGGCTCTTTCAAACCTTTTTTTTTTTTTTTTTTCTTACAGCCCGCCTTAACTCATATCCTACTATTCAAATGACACGCTACACTAAGTTAGGTCGAAAGCAGCACGTAGATAGTGGAAGCTGGGAGTCTGCCCCCTTGACTCCGGCAAAGGTTAAACACCCAAGATCCCGCGACGATGGAGAGCAAGAAGGTAGCGGGTCGGGACAGAACAGTGGAAACAAGAAGAGAAGCTTCTCCAAGCTGGATGGTAAGGAGTGACTAGGGCTGCTCATTTACAGGGTTCAACGTTATTCAAATTGTTTTGAATTTAGGCCAAGGAGAACAGAGGATGTCTGCTAATGAGAAGAGACAGAAGCGTAGAGCCGTGCAAAAAACCACCAATACGGTATGTGGCATCATTTTGCTCCAGTCACAGTGTATTTTTACTTGCAGCTAACGCATAGAATTGCAGATATGTTTTGCTTGCCGACAGAGGGGTCACAACAGCAGAGATTGTCCCAATTCAAAAGAGCAAAGCACCGGAATCTGCTACAACTGTGGATCAACCGAGCACTCATTGAAGGCTTGCAAAAAGCCTAGGAATGGGAGTAGGTGTCTGCCTCTAATGGGTTTTTATAGCCAAGTTCCATAATACTAATTCCCTTTTTTTTTTTTAGCCAAGTTACCTTTTGCTAAATGCTACGTCTGTGAAGGGACAGGACATTTGGCTGGCCAGTGCCCTAAAAATGAGAAGGGAATGTACCCTAACGGTGGCAATTGCCGTTTCTGCGGTAAAGTCGACCATTTGGCCAAAGACTGTAAAATGACAAAGGAGGAGGCTGGCACTTCCGTTGTTGGAAAGATTGACTTGTCCAAGGGTGCGGATGATGACGACTTCCACATCTTTGTTGAAGAGAAACAGAAACTTGGTGAAGAAGCCAAGGTTGAAAAGGAACTTGAAACATTTGTAGAGAAGCGAAAGCCTCAAGCAAAGAAGAAGGTTGTCAAGTTTTAACTAGACTCTCTACAGTTATCATTTTTTGTAACATAATATACTCAAAATTGTGCATTATCAGGATCCCATTTAAAATCAAAATTTTACAGTAGTTATATCAGCTGCTTTGAACCGAACAGGCTTATATTGCAGACTTGACATTTGCCTGGACAACTGTATTAGCTTAAAAAGAGTACGACCGTAACTTCAAATTTATAGGTGATATATATGCCTCGATTTGTGTTTGGAAAAGTTTGTCATGTATTTCCGAAGAATATGGAGCAAAAATGCAGAGTCAACTTTCAAACGAACAAAGAACAAAATAGCGGCGAGAGCGCAATAACTAAAGTAATTCACCAACTAAAAAAACGCTAATTTACAAAACCATGGCGCAATAGTACAAGAGTCGAAGTGTCAAAGCAGAGACAAATAAGTGGGAAGTGTTACAAAATGGGTTTGCATAAAAAGGGTGATGAAGAAATCTACTGCCGTGGCTGATTGAACTCGCTGTCCTCGTCAAAACCCTCGTCATAGAATTCGTCAAAAGTGTCCTCCCTATCTGATTCATCTACATCGGTATCCGTCGTGTCGTCATCCGCAGGTTCTGATTGTTCACTTTCCGGATCTAATCGAAGGTTGTCCATGGTCTCGCTGTAGATAGTTATTAGTTAGTATTACGCAGAATTTGATACAATGGTCTTAGATGTTCGCATCAAGTACCTCAGTTCTTCAGTGAGACTATAGTCTTTATGATGGTTTTTGAGCTTTTGCAGTTTATACCTTAGGTCTTGTGACTATGAATGAAGTAATTTGAGTTGACAGTGTCAGCAGAAATTATCTTTGAAATGCTCATCTCGAAGTATGATAATTTGACATATTATAACTAACCTTTTGAGTCTGCTGGTGTGAATCTTGTAGCTGCAATGACTCGTTCAATGAAATCATTCGTACTCGAGCGTTCTGAAAATATACGACGAAACTTAATTACATCTTCGACGAAGGGCAATTGTATAAATGCATGCTGTACTTACATTATTTGGGTCGTTGTTTGCATCATTGTTACTTCCCTCGGCTATTGAAGATTTTCTAGTCCTCATCATACCGCTAGAGACATACTGATTATTCGATGCTTGGGCATTGGCAAGAGCCACAGAGTGTTCTCGCCCGTTTTCTTTGTTTTTCAAAGTTAGTTTGGAGATGGCGTCCGTTAATGGGGCGTCATCAATATCATTGTCGTCTGACGGCTCTTGGATTGCTGTCTCTACTGGAGAAGCCTGGAAGTTTCCATCCGGTTTTAGTTGGGCTAAAAGGCTATCTATTACAATGTTAGTGGCACGTAATTTTTCGCCTTTGTCAGGTAAAGTAGCCACGATGGTCCTAAATACATATATTTTTTTGTCACAGTCAAAAAGTCAATATAAACAGAATGTTGATCTTGGAGTGAATGACTAAAGAATGTATACTTACGGATTTCCCAAAATGTGCGTGTTTTTCTTTCTGATATCGATTAACTCTGATTCTTGACATTGCTCCAAATCGCGGACATAGCCTGCTGACAGGCTGTGGTCTGAAGTTGGGTTGTTGCGACTGCGGCTCATCTTTGAGCCAGGGTTATTATGCACGAGATGTCGAACTTGGTTATGAAGCCTTTGTTCACTGTTATTTAGAACAGAAGTCGACTGCTGTCGTGGTCGTTGCTGTTGGCGCATAGGTATGGATACTTTCGTGTTAAGCTTTTTTTTTTTTTCTTTTGGTAAGGAAACAAGCAGAGCCTTGAAGAGACATGACTCAAAAAATCTCCGCCACTGGGTCACGCGGAGCGTCACAACTTTGAGTGCTCGGCATGTTTGAAGCAAAAAAATGATTGATATTGTTAAAACAAATGGTATTTATTGGTAGAAGAGCTACCATCCTCCACTATTTTAATAAAGGAAAGGGAAGAGCCTGAACAAAAAAGTGATGAGATTACACAGGAATGTTATAGACAGCCAGCACAGCAGATGCAAAAAATGAACATACCTAGCAGTTTCATCGGCGTAGGCCTGATAGTCAACGCCAAATCTTTCGAATAGCACTTCCTCCTCAACTTGAATTCGTCGAATTAGTGCATATGTGACCAGACCGGCCACAAAGATCAGAACAAACCAGTTTGTGGCGGCCAATCCGAAGCCAACCCATATCAACAATGTTCCCATATATCCTGGGTGTCTGATAACTTTATACGGACCATCTGTACAAATGAACCTAAGGAAAAATTGCGTCAGGGCTACGGGCGGGCACATTGTCTTGCAAAAAGCGAGTGACTTACATATCATCTGAAACAGTAAGATCAACTACAAAGAATTGGTTGACATGGATTGCCCAGAGTCGTAACAATACACCTCCAACCATCCATCCAAGGCCAACCCAGCCGAGGAACGACCACATATGACCTACGCCAGTAGTGAGCCAGATGGGAGCGAGTAAAGATAAAATGAAGCTGGTAAGCAAGAATCGGCCACTTCCGCGATCATCTTCCGTGACATAGCCGCTTTGTAAGTTACGAGCAGATCTCTCGCGGTTAACTTTGGCGAAATATGCGAAATCCGCGATTGCGACCAAGTAACTTAAGATCAATGCCACACCCATTTCGTACTGATGTCGAGTCGAGAAGAATAACAACTCCGAAGACGAACTTGGCACGAAGGACTACATTTGTGTGTCACTAAAAATGTTCCCTTTCAGAGACTAGGGCAGGAAATTGGGATTATTGCCAAATACATGCTAGATGTAACGATGTTACAAGGTGATATGCATTAAAAGTGTGTGAGAATTAAAGGATGTCAATGGTAGTGCGTGGTTCGTTGAAGTTGAATAAATTGAACAGGCAGTGCCATCTGAGTATAAACCCATGCTTGCCTAAACTCCTTATAAAAATATAGCGAGGGGAGAAAATGATCACGTCGCATGTCTTCAACTTTAGAACGCATACACACAGCCGTGGTTACCGTTCCCAGAGCAAATCGTCAGGTTGGCCAGTTAAAATTACGCCTGTGCTGCGAAGAGAAGCTGTCGTATCCAAATGGTATCTCGGCAGTCATTGGGGACCCGGCAGACTTGGAAGTGGTGCTAGATCGCAGCTGCCTTCCTTTGATCATATCCTTTTATTAGCTACACTATCTATTGACATATTTTATCACTTCATCTCCATCATCCTGGTTTATTGGCCTTGACAATCTATTTACTGCGAAACTAATATAGCATTCACGCCAAATGTCATAGGGACCTTCACCAGTATGGTGTGCAAGGTATTCCTGCGCCTTCCAAGTTATAAACAATGTCTTGTATTAACAATGCACTTAAAAGCGGCTTACAAAGCATGGCTTCACCAAAAATGTTGTAAGCAAAGAGGGAAATCAGGACTGGCAGAAGAGTATGCTTGAATGATTACACTGGGTTTTTTTTTCTTCTTAAGAAAATGTTAAAAAACAGCATCTAAAACTGCAGGGCAATTGTTCAAATCTTCTACTACTTTTACTTATTGGCCGCCGAACTGTGCATCAAATTCGGTGACAAGAAATGGAATACTACGCTCTATTCACTTCAAGTATATTTGGCAGTCAAATAATATCCTTTGATTACATTTAAGCACATTTGTCTAAATTAGTGTTCAATATGGCCATGGTCCTTGATAATTTCCATCACATATGCAAAACTTTCAGGTTGACAACGAAAACTTGGCCAAGATATGTATAGCAGTATCAAAAGCACTAGAGAAAATAATGCAGGACTTGGAAATACAATACCCTATGATATTCTCAGTGAATTACATTAATGTATGGTATGTTTAATCTATTTCTCGTGTCTTCCCTGAAATAATAAAAAATGTATTAATATAAATGCAAAGGATAGTATATTGACCAAAGAAAGAATTGGATTTGGTAAATCAGCAGGATCAAGGGTCTCATTGAAAAATTCCTTCAATTATTAGAGTCTGAAAGGTGTATCGCAGTATATGCCAATCATTGCAAGCTCTTTACTTCATATTGCCCATAACAGTCGATCGGTTGACCTCAAAAACTATGCTTTAACCCACTTTTCAGTAAGCTTACGTAGAAGCCACAAAATGGTTATAATTATGATTGAAATACATGAAACTAAGCTTCATCAGGGTAGCGATATATCACCTTCTGAAAGATGTTCCCCCATCAGCTCATTCGCAGCCTCAGAACAAAGTTTAATGATGGCCCTGTATCGAAACGTCAGAATGGGCTATGCTACACAAATCACCGTAAGTGCACGTTGTAACATCAAATTCATCCATTGCAATCTTAAGTGAATATCATGCAGAGGAAGAGGAAGAGATTCGAAACCCCCAGTGATGCTTCTTATGACGAAGAAAAGCATATATACGAAGAGCACGGACATACTGGCTCTTTACAGACTCAGGAGACAGAAACCCATCTATGCAGCCAGGAGCAGATATCGCCGGCAGATGACGTATTCGCGATTGCCTTCGCTTCTTCATTCCAATAACGTCAACAGAGCAAAAGAGAATAATGGCTTTCATAAATGATAATAATGTCTTTGACTTCAATGTGAATATGAATTGATTGAAATAAATTTGTACATGAGAAATGCACCTAGGTACAGTATATGTGATTAAGCCGATGACTGCAATACGCCTGCCTTTGTAAGTAAATCTACGAGCTGACCACTATGTTCCATTGCTGCTACTTCATCTCCTCCACCAATACTTTCTCCGTTTATAAAGACGTTAGGGAATGTAGATCTTCCAGTCATTAAGGTGAGCGCCTGCTTCACGTCCATGCCATCGTCTGTCAAAGAGGCTTACGTCAGAAACACATCGATGCAGCAAATTGTGATGGATAGCAAACTTACCTCTCAAGTCAACTTCCTCAACATGCATGGGAATCTTGTAGCTATAGGTTGCAAGAACCTTTTTGGCTTTCATAGAGAAGCTTCATAACAAAAAATGTTCGGCATCAGTATACTGAAGACTTGCGCATAGCAGGTTCATCTTACACTTACGGGCAATAGGACTTTGAGAAAACAAGTACAGGGTATCTTTGCATCAACGATCTAATCTCTGCTTCAACTGGCATATCACCCTCATCGTCATTGTTAGCACTCTCTTGCTTATTGTTGAGCGAAAGATCAGCATCGACAACCTCCATCAAGTCTCCTTCAACGGCAGCTATAGCAGCAGCATCTTTTTGGGCACCATGTTCACCAATTGTGTGATCGTAAACATCACTGGCACCGTTTGACTTGACTCTCCAGTTGCTATGGCCATATTGTGTAATCAACCAAACAGATCCGAGAAATAAGATGGAAGCGTATAAGATGGTGCGTGCACGACGACCCTTGAGGAAAGCACCTATGGTTGAAGACGTTGATCCTCCTGTAACTCCGTGGCGAGTATACTTTGATTCGTCTACATCCTGAGTGGATTTTGGCAAAATGGGTGGGTTTGGCACCATGTTGGATATTTTTGGTTACTGGTTAATGCCTGAGTTTGTCAGTGATGAATTTGGCGCTCTCAGGATTTTTTTCATTTTTCTCCATTGGGCTGAAGGATTACTGTAAAAATATCTGTTGATGCAAATATCGGTAAAACCGAAATATTTTGAGGTCTTCATTCTATTGGAAAAAAATTGATTCTTTATCATTGTAGATGCCACTATATCATCACGACTTTGATTTCATCGCGGGCAAACAAATGTGGATTTTCTATGGCCTGCTTGCCTTGAATCACCATTAGTTCACACTGGCGAATTAAACTGGCACTATCTGGTTTGCCTTCTATGTCCGACGCTTCTTCCCCCTTTTGTAATTTGACGTATTCCTTCTGTCTTTTCCATGTCTTCTCGGTGACCGCATTGAGCGTCAGAACGACCTTAAAGATAGCCTGAGCCAACGGCGATAGATCATCATCGCTTTCATTTGCAGTCTTAAGTTGTTCTGTGAGTCTTGCCACTACCAACGCTGAGAACATGTCTCCTGTACCAGTGAAATATCCTTGGAAAGTTGGGAATGAGACGAGAAACTGCTTCGTTTGGCCGTTTTCTAAAATACTGCTTCCAATGCACACCAGAGCCTTGTCTGATTGTGGGTTCACAATCAGCTGCTTAGGTACATCTTGTTGTGGTAAATGTACGGAAGTTATAATGACATGGGGAGCTCCCAGTTGATGAAGGTGTTGAATGGTTTCTTGTGCATCCGATAGTGTTTCAATTTTAGTGTTAGCCAAAGCCCTAAAGTGATTCATTAGCACAGATGGTTCATGCATGTAGCATATCCGCATATACATACTCTGCTTCAGTTTGATTTGGTGTAATGACATCGGCCAGTCCAGCAATAGAGCGATAAAGAGGAATCACTTCACTGCTCACGTATAAGCTACCATCATCGCCCATAACGGGGTCACATACTATCAAGCATTATAATCAGAAATCCATAGCTGCACAAGATTAAAATGGCTTAATTATAGCAGCCTAAACTTACCATAAATAACGCCTTTCCTGCTTTCCTTGATTTCGCGAATCGCCTTGACACATGTTTCCAGCGTTGCAGCATTGCCAATATAGCCTAACAAACGTTGAAATGGGTCAACAAAAATTTAAAGATACTATGACCGTGTATGATGATTTATCTTACCCGTCAGAATATGAGTATACTCATCCATCAACCCATTTTTTTTCAAACCATCAAAAAGATCCTGTATCTCTTCAGGGGAGATTCGCTTGCCTCCCCACGACGGGTAACCAGTGTGATTTGAGAACTGAAGAATATTCAGAACATCAACATCGTATCCTAGAGTCTGGAGCGGAAATGTTGCTGCCTTATTGCCTATGACACCATAGTGTTAGGAGCCGACGTACTTGTCAGGAGTGTAGCGCGATAACAAGTCGACTTTTACCTGCATACCCGGATACCTATAAGTCCAGTTAGAATTGAAGCGAGAATGCAGAAGCCAACTCAGTTATGTACTTACGACATGGGATTGAATGCTAAGCACTCTTTGGGAGGCAAAGATGTCAGCGTCAGTCATTACAGTTGTCTGGTAACTTCCTGCAGTGTTGGGCCAATTGCAATATTTCAAGAGTGGCCCAATGCCAGTCACATCAACCGGTCTTACGGGCTCAAATGTCATAACGAGGGGGAAGTTCGGTCATCCTAGCGAAGCTATTGATGCTAAAACTTTCTCTGAAGGAAATAAACAATGATCTGTTTTGAATTACGGCTGTAAATGACTTGCAGAATCAGATTCTTCCAAGCTTACTGCGATCTCTTCAAAAAAATGATCCATAAAAGTCCAAAATTGCTTAATACACCTGGCAAGTGGAAAAACGTTTTCCAGCTGGTGTTAAAAAAATTATCATTGTCACTTGGAAATAAAAGGGCAAATCTGGCGGATTATTATTACCAGCACGTTACGTTACTGTTGTAGTTAAAATGGTGCCGACAGCAAGGTGAGAAGCATTTTGAGACCTTCATTGGAATATGGCAACCTAGAAACTAAATTCTTGATATTCTCCTAGTCTAATGGAATCCATAGTTCCAATGACTTTCTGCCTCACATTCACTGCCGCGCATGCCGTGAAATGGGTGAGGAGAAACCGTTCAAAAAATGGTTACGATAGTATTGCCAGCGACCCGGCAATATCTAAGCCAGATATTCCGTTCTACGAAAAAACACTGCAGAGTATCGATCATCCTTCGCTGCTGAAGAAAATCAAACGTTCTGAGATTCTTGTCACGATTGCCACCGTTTTACAAACTCTGGATTATGCAGCACTGGTGACTTTGAGACTATTGGACGTATTCAATGGAAATAGCAATGCAGTTTCTGTGTACGAGTGGATTCGATGCGGTTCTCTCCTTATCGGCTGGGTAATCTTTTTCACATCTTAAATCCCTGTTTCATTCACCGATGTGCCACCGCTAACACCATCCTTTGCAGATATTTGCATCAGTTCTCATACTCTCGAAATCCGGCAACAAGCTTCGATCCCATAGCATCTTAGAATATTTCATTGCCTTTTTCTCAACCGTGACGGTATTTAGTGCCATCCATTTCCGAGAGGAGCTATATCACTACCTAGATCTCCAGACACCTTCGACTCAAGACAATTGGGTCCTTGCTATATCAGGGGCTATCCCTCTTGCTCTCAATTTGCTTTTGACGATTGTGGTTTGGGCTACTCCCTTCGAACTTGATTGGAAACCAGTTATAGAAAGTGGCCTTGGTTATTGTTCTGTAAGTTACCTATTTGATGGAGAATGATCGGAAATTTACATCTCATTAGGATTTTGCCAATAGGAAAATCGAGAAGTCAGCCCTGAAGCCACCGCTAGCGCGTTTCAGCAATTGTATTTCTCATGGATGACCCCACTTATCAAGCTTGGAGGAGCTAAAGCCTTGGAGTTACCCGATTTAGCTGAGCTTACACCTTATCTTCGATCTTTCAACGTATGGCACCAATTCAACCGCAAGCGATTCAACCGTAAGGGAAAGGAGCAATCATTGGGATGGAGAGTGGCAAAGGGAAATGCTGGAGATCTTATCAAGCAGTTTTTTGCTGCCTTGCTCGAAGTTTTCTTCAACTTTCTGCCTCCTTTCTTCCTGGAAAAACTTCTAGTCTTTCTGCAAGATACAAAGAATGACCCCAATCGCAATCTCGAACCAGCCTACATGTATGTGTTTGGCATGGTCGCCACCCTTCTTATGAGATCTATTTTCGTCAACCGCACCTTTTACTACTCCCGGTCCATGCAAATGCGTGTTGCAGTTCAAGTTAACAGCGAGATCTATGCCAAGAGCTTGAAGAGGAAAGATACCAGCGGTATTGTCGATGAAGACACGGCTGACGCCATGAAAAAGGATAGCACTGAAGACGATGACAAGAAAACGAAAAAGGCTAGTAAAAAGGAAGATGTCAAAGTTGGAACGGGTGTTGGAAAGATCACCAACCTTATGGTAAGCACTTTAGATATTACAGAGTGACGGAGACTCCATGTCTAATTGTATTTGTGTTGCGTTTCACAGGCAATCGATACCCCCAGAATTGGATATATTGTTGGTTTCATATATCTCGCGTACACTACTCCTCTCGCAATTATATTTGCCCTCTATTACCTTTACAATTTGATGGGATGGAGTTGCTTTGTCGGAATGACAGTTATTCTCGTCTCAATGCCACTCAACAGCTGGATTCAAAAGCGATTCACAAAAGTTCAAGAACGGTTAATGGCTGCTCGGGACAAGCGTGTTACACTCATGAACGAGGTAAGCTTCATGAATCATAATATACATGGATGTTTGTTCGACTGGTTAACAGTCATATTCTTTAATAGTCCTTGCAAGCGATTCGAATGCTCAAGTTTTTTGCGGTGAGATGTTGTATATGGTGAACGTAGGCGAGATGGCATATATTCTGATATTGCGTTTATGTAGTGGGAGAAGAGTATCTCGGAGAGGATTATAGCTGCTCGTCAAATCGAATTGCGCAAATTGGTTTCCATGTTTTTTGTGAATGCTGCATTTGTCATGCTATGGAATTCTACGTAAGTCAGACTAACATTGGATCATGCCCCTAGTTTTACATCACGCTTACCATTGAGATCGACGATAGCCCTATGATAGTTACCATTGTGTCGTACTTCTCGTTCACTGTATTGCAGAAAGAGAATTTAACACCTGCTATTGTCTTTACTGGTATCACTTTGTTCGAGAGACTAAGGTTTCCCCTCAACGTTCTCCCCGAAATCTTGATGGACTTGGTTTCTGCCAGAGTCAGCTTGCGTAGAATCAACCAGTTTCTCAATGAAGACGACGTACAAAGCGTCAATGATTTTCAAGGTCTGCATGATAACGAGGAACCTCAAATCAACGGCAGTGAGGACAGCAACAAAATCGGCTTTAAAAACGCAACCTTTCAATGGCACACAGATACAACGAGCGAGGAAAGGTCTAAAAGTGATGTGGAACAAACAGCTAACAAAAGCTTCAAGCTGCTGGATTTGGATGTCACCTTTCCGTTAGGTGAATTATCTATCATTTGTGGTTCAACCGGTAGCGGCAAGGTATGTCCTGTATAATCGATAGACTGTATGTGATTGTACACAGCTATATCTAACAGCTCGTTCTTAGACCTCACTTTTATTGGCATTGCTTGGAGAAATGGATGTTGAGTCTGGCGAAGTTTATTTACCCAAGAAGACCGTAAACGTCGATAATGCCAACCCTAACAACATTTCATATTCTGGAGTTGCATATGTTGCTCAAACTGCTTGGCTGCAGCACAAATCTCTGAGGGATAATATCTTGTTTGGACTGCCCTATGATGAGGAAAGATATAATAAGGTTATTTATGCATGCGCTTTGAAAAGGGACCTGGAAATTCTGGATGATGGAGATCAAACCGAAATTGGGGAACAGTAAGTCAAAAGTAAAGGTCAAGTTATGACACATGGATGGAAAGCTCATTACTTTCATGATATTTAGAGGTGTCACCTTATCCGGAGGTCAGAAGCAGCGTGTGTCGTTGGCCCGCGCCATCTATTCGCGAGCTCGGCATATCTTAATGGACGACGTCCTTTCTGCGGTCGATAGTCATACAGCCAAGCATATTTATCGAAATTGTCTTCGAAGCGACCTCATGAAGGGCCGCACAAGAATTTTGGTTACACATCATGTTCGACTTTGCTCTGGAGCTGCTAAATATCTGGTTAAAATGGACAATGGCCGAATTGCTTTACACGGAAAAGTTCAGGATGTTCTAAAGAGCGAGTTTCTCCATGATGTAGTCGGCGATGAAGGCACTGAGTTCGTCGAAGATGATGATGAAGCCATTGAAGAGGGTGCTATTGATTCAACTACAACAACGGTTACGGAAGAAAGCTCGTCTCAAGAACAAACCATCAATGCCGAAAACACAGCATCTAAGAAGCCGGTACACACTTTGATTCAATCCGAAGGTCGTGAGCGTGGACGAGTCAAGTCTCAGATCTACAAAATGTATATCAACGCTTCTGGCGGTATCCCTTATTGGATTCTCATCATCCTTCTCTTCTGTCTTGTTCGAGCATTCAATGTGGGTGAATCACTTTGGCTCAAAAGATGGGCGGATGCCTACGCTACTGAGGAGGCACCCACAACAAATAATATTATGGCAAACTATATGCACACGCAAGAAAAGGAAGGATCATTCTCCAACTATTTCTTTACCATTTCGCAGAACCCTACAAACTTTCTCTTCATGGGTGGCAGTCGAGCTAGCAATCTCACCACTTTGAGCGCGGATGAGCCCCAATCTGTCGATTTAGTTTATTACCTTGGAATCTTCTTGCTGATTGATTTTTGCGCTGTGATAGCAAACGTTATCCGAATGTGGGTACAGTTTTATGGTTCTCTAAGAGCAAGTAAGATTCTGTACGAGAGATTGCTTGATACGGTGTTCCGTGCGCCTATACGATTGTGAGTAGATATGCGTACTTTACTTTATGCCTAGGTCTTCCTGGTATTTAACCGACGATTTGATGTTCTCTTTCAGCTTTGATACCACTCCTGTTGGGCGTATCATGAATCGATTCGCTAAAGATTTTGAAGTCGTCGATGCCGGTATCACTAGTCGCCTTGGTTCTGTCATTCAAAATTTGATTGGATGCTTGTCCGTATTTGCTGTCATCTTTACCGTAACCCCTGCTTTCTTGATTGCTGCCGTTATCATATGTAAGTCATAGTTGAACGATGCTATAAGATATGTACAGTTACTGAACTGTCGTCTCTTTAGGTGGTATGTTCTACTCGGTCGCGGCTATGTACATCCGCTGCAGTCGTGAACTCAAGCGGCTGGACTCTATCACCAGATCTCCTATTTATTCACATTTTGGAGAAACCCTAATGTAAGTGTATCTAAAGTAACATGACTGATCCATGCGTTCTTTCAATGAAACCGAATACATTAACCACGTACATCAGGGGACTCTCTACCATTCGAGCGTTTGGTGCTGAATCTCGGTTTATGGATGAAAACTTGAAAACCATTGATGGCAATATCAGACCATTCTGGTTCTTATGGGGAGGCAACCGATGGCTTTCTGTGTAAGTAGGGCGATGAAGGGTTCAATCTTGCAGTTGTACTATTGTTACTCACTATTATAATACTAGCCGTGCCGATATGATAGGAGCGGGCATTACCTTGATTACTGGTGTCCTTCTCTTGATTCGCATCAGCGCTGGATACATGGACGCCGGTCTGGCCGGTTTGGCACTTTCGTGGGCTCTCCAGTTTGTTCCACAGGTCAATTGGCTCGTACGTAATTATACACAAGGTAAGCCTTACGACCATTAAATGTTTATATGTTTTGCGGACGATATATTTATAATGTACTCTTCAATAACCAGTGGAAATGGACCTTAATTCCGTTGAGCGTGTACAAGAATATTTGGAATTGGAACAGGAACCTCCGACTATCATCACCAATTCACGTCCTAGCGCAGCTTGGCCCACGGAAGGATGTGTCTCCGTAAACAATCTCCACATTCGTTATGCATCTGATCTCGAAACGGTGTTGCGTGGCATTACATTTGAGACAAAGCCAAAGGAAAAGATTGGAGTCGTTGGCAGGTTCGTATGCATGTGTCATGAAAACGATGAATTCAAACCCTCTCTTACCCTTTTCTGTCAAAATAGAACTGGTTCTGGCAAATCTACTTTGGCAATGTCGCTGTTCCGATTTGTAGACCCTGTTGAAGGTTCCATCGTCATCGACGGCATCGATATAACAACGATAGGCACAGAAGATCTTAGATCGCGCTTGACTATCATCCCACAAGATCCCATTTTGTTTTCAGGCACTATCCGATCTAACCTTGATCCATTCAACCAGCATGACGACGCTGTCATCATGGAGTCGTTAGAGCGTGTCCATTTACTTAAAGACTCTGGTATTTCCACTCCTCTTCGTGACGACTCCTCTTCAGTAACGCCGGTAGAAGAGAACAATGTCACAGTGTTCAAGAACTTGGATTCAGCCGTCAGTGAAGGTGGTGGTAATTTCAGTCAAGGTCAGCGTCAACTGCTGTGCTTAGCGAGAGCTTTATTGAGAAACTCAAAGATCATTGTTATGGATGAAGGTGAGTGATCTCGGAGAAAATTTTAGCATATAGCGAATTGCGAGCTGCTTGCTTACACATCTCTTTTTTTTTTTTTTTTTAGCTACCGCCAGTGTAGACTTTGCTACGGATCATAAAATTCAAACTACTATTCAAGAAGAGTTTAACAACAGCACTTTGTTAACTATCGCTCACAGACTGCGAACTATTATTCAATACGACCGCGTGTTAGTCCTTGGTAAGTTTAAAGCGAAAATTAGTTTCGGGTTGTGAAAAGTCTTCTAACGTGCTTGCCTATATAGATCATGGTAAAGTGATGGAATTCGATACGCCACATAGTCTTTTACAAAAGGAAGACAGTATTTTTAGAGACATGTGCTTGAAATCTGGAGAGCTGGAGATCCTCATGCAGATGGCACAAGAAAAGGAAGAAAGTGCTGTTGAGAATTAGTTAGGTGTCATCTAGCCAAATCAACCTCGCCAGTTGAAAGTATATAATTTATGTGCATTATTTAAACAGCATAGAGGAATAAATCACTACTTATATCACCACACGTCTCATGGCCAAATTTGACTTGATGTCAGAACTACCATTACAAATACTTTTGGGTCCAGAAAATGAATTATTATGTTTGAGATATGGATGGAAGGGTTACTTATGGTACAGCTTTCTAGTGCAAATCACTTGAGATTTTTGATGAAGAAAAAAATATAAAATATCAACAACGCTTAGCCTATGGCTTTTGAACTCCAGGTTCAACGACTTGATGATCAGCCCCATTGGAGAGAGCTTCGTTTGGTTTGTCTGCAACAGGTGTTTCTGCAGCATCAGCAATTCTTCTTTCGGCGAAAGGTCCATTGTAGCGGGGCAAGATGTAATGCTTCATAAGGACAGCAAGAATAGCACCAGCGAAACAGAATGTAGCATTGGCAATGTTGCCTGGAATGTATCTTGGACCGTTGGAGGCAGGATACAACTGAGCTCCGTAGACTGAACTCAAGTTACCAATCATGTTCACCAAAGCAAGAGAAACAGCTCTCTTCTCCTTGGGGAAGTTGAGTGTGTTACCAGTCCATGCCAAAATGATAGAAATTGTACTCCCTGAAATGCCAAAAATTAATATTTGATGACTTCATTACCGGAAAAAAACTTTTATACTTACAAATTCCACCAGCACACAAGAAGAGAGCAAAGTATCTCGCAGCATTGCTCAAGGTAGCAGCACTGATGATAAAGCCAACCATAGCCATAAGCATAGGAGCAGCAACGTGATAGCCACGCTCCTTAGTGTAATCGGCATGGAAACCGTTGAACAAAGCCAAGATAGCGGCAAAGACATATGGAGGTGCAGTCATGAGTTGAGCCGTAGCAGAAGAGTAACCAAGGTTGGCGACAATAGTTGGGATAAAGTAACTGATGGTTCCAGCGCAGACATCGAGCATGAACAAGAAGATAAAGAAATACACACGCCAGTCCCGAAGGGCCATGATGACATGGCGGAAGGAGAACTCTGATTTGCCATGGGCAGGTTCTTGACCATCGAGAATGAGACGAGTCTCAGCAATGCGGATTTCTTCTGCGGACAACCATCTGGTAGTAGTAGGGTAGTCGGGCAAAATGAAAACGGCAATAATAGCCACGACCACTGTGATACTGCCCTCAATAATGAACAGCCATCGCCATCCAGCAATACCTCGGGCACCATCCAAACCATTAATAATACCATAGGCCTGATGAAAAAGGATTAATAAGAGAACATAAAACTATCCATTTGTCAGCGAGATACTTTACCATGAGACCGCCAAAGGCGCCAGAAACGATACTACCGCAGTACAAGATAGACATGCGCTTAGCTAACTCGTGCTTCTTGTACCAAGAGGATAGCAAGAAAAGACAGCCTGGGAAGAAACCAGCCTCAACAATACCCAAGAAGAATCTAACAGCGAGAAGACCAGAGTAATTTTGTACTGCTCCAGTCAAGGCAGAAATGATAGCCCAGCACATCATAATACCAGGGATATAGATGGAGGGGCGAGAGTAAGCCAGAAGCAAGTTACTTGGGATTTCCAAGAGTAGGTATCCAAAGAAGAAGATGGACAATGCCCAGTTGTATTGCACACCAGAGTCCATGTTCAAATCAGTCAAAAGTCCAGCAATTTTAGCTACAAGCAAAAGGCGGGGCATATTTAGTATGTCTGTCACAACAACATCACATTTTTGATGCAAAAGAAGCTCACCATTTCCAATACTTATAACGAGTGAAGAGGTTCGGAAAGTTAGAACGTATGACCTTTTGATGTCTTTCTCCATGACCTTCCTATCACTTACTTTGTGCGATCGACGTAATTCAAAATATACATAATGATCAGCATAGGAAGAATACGTAAATCAATTTTACGGACCAAAGCACGCTCGGCTTCAGGCGACCAGTCAGGCTGACGACCTTCATAGTGGCTAGCGGTCACTTCTCCAGATTCAGTTTGCTTGAGATCGTTGCTATCCATGGGAAATGCGAGAAACAGGTTGCCTATTTCCAGTATGAATCCTAGGCCTTTTATATCACAATCAGGACCTCCAACCCCACAGTTGACTAGCGAGCGGGGATGCAAATTTTAAGGTTCTTACCTTCACCCGTCATTCAGTCGACGGTTTAGGATAAAAATTTTGCGCCTGGGTTACCCGCCAGCCAGGAAGAGTCACAGTGCAAACACATCGTTGTGACATAAGCGGGTTTCACTGATTTCCCCATTTGACCTCTCAACCAGTGAGGTTTGCGCTGCGGGGATGTCAACTAGAAAAGGAAAGCAAAGCTAAACGAAAGCCAAACCCGCAGATCCTGCCAGGGAAAAACGGCAATAATAAAAGTCAAATGGAGGGGAAAATGTGGGATATCATGGCTGCATATCCGCGGGTAGAGACGCGAGTTGAATATTGCTGGCAAAATGTATTCTATTATTTTAATGGCTAAGATCAAATAATTTTATTTTAATCCCAGTATTTAATGGTACCGTCCCAACTACAAGTGGCCATCTTCGATGTTTCATGAGGATGCCATTCAGTATTGATAACGACTTTATCGTGAGCCTTGAATTTTCTATATGTGGGGAAAAAAGGTTGATATGTAAGTAAAATCTTTGAACCTTTGCTAATGCACGCAGGCCCAAAAAAAAAGGTTTTTTTATTCCCCGTAAGGCTCTGAGCTCAAATGAATGCAGCACTTACTTGATAATACGGCAGGTTTTCCAATCCCAGCACCAAACATTACCATCAGCGTCACCACTAGAGATGAACCGTCCATCTGGAGAAAAGCCTGGTTGACAAGCATAACCAGCAACGGTATGGCCAGCGAAACGCTTCTTCCTATTTTGTCTGAACCGGTCTCTTGCTCCAAACACCAGTATTTGATTGTCCAACGAGGTACATGCCAACCATTTTCCTGCGGGGTATATGTTAGTGACACTGTGTGGAGTGGAGTCCTTGATCAGAAAGAGATAGCTTACTATTTGGGTGCAACGCAACAGCTGGCATAGAATGCATGTCAGGCTCAGCAACATATTTAATGACAACAGGAATATCAAATTCCCATGCGCGGAGAGTCTTGTCGTCGGACGTTGAGATGAAACGACGATTGTCGTCAACAAATGTCAAAGTGTTGACGGCGCCTAAATGCTGGTCATACTCTTGGGTGACTTCTCCAGTGTTGATATCAAATTGGACAATTTTTTTGTCAGCACATCCTGCCAAGAAGATGTGTTGTTTGTCTTCATCTGGATTGAATTTAACGGTATATGGAATTTTGCCAGTGGTAAATGACTTGATGCATTTGCCAGTCTCAGTGTCCCATAATTTGACAGTTTTGTCGTAACTCGCACTGAGGAATCTTCGGCCGTCATTGCTGAACGTGATATCTCTGACCGCTTTTCCATGCCCCATCATAGTTCTCAGACATTCTCTATCGTGATACACGTCCCAGATCTATGACCAGAAAAAAGTTATTAGCTTATTGAAAAAATATGATGGCACTTTTTCGTTGGCAACCGGGGACGTACCTTGATCTTATTGTCCATACCAGCACTAAGCAGAAGATGTGCACTCTTTGGCAAGAATCGAATAGCCGACACACCCCGCGTGTGGCCAGACCAAGTATGTATGCATCTTTTGGGGATAAAGGATGCTTGTGTTCCAGGCTCGCCAAGAAGGTTGACGTCCAGATCTTGCGGTACAGCCATGTACGTCCTTCCCAGATAATCCCGCTCGGCTGCTCCGTGGAAAGTTGTCTTTTCTTCGCCAAATGGAATTTCCCCAGCTGTCTTTGGTTGTCTGGTCTTTGCGTGCATAGCAGAAACAAATTCCATTTCTTCGTCAGTTGGGCGAGCTGCTTTGCCGATCTTCTCGTTGTCATAACCGGCCCAAGGTCCAAGGTATGCATTATCACCTTCTAAAACAGAAGGATCACCCTTTGCCTTTCTCCTTTCTTTCATATTCTGGTTTGGTCGCATGTTCTTGGGTACTGTGTCGTATATAGTTGCTCCTCCCATTTCAAGAGCTTTGTTGACATCGCCAATATACCCAGTTCCTAAAATACCACCACCAATGCTACCATTGACGCCGGTTGAGCTAATCGAAGGATCGCGTGCATATCCATAAGATTCGAATGTTCGAAGTTGTGTTCGGAAATCCGTTTCATTCATAGCTTCTGCCTCAATGTGTCCAGTCAATACATTCTGCGTTGCCATTTTCTTTTGTGTAAACGGATTGTCGGGTCCAAGCGTAGGCAACATCATGTCGCTATAAGGAATATTGACAGCTACTTCTGTGGTGGTGGGTGCTGTGTACAAGCGCATAGCATTGGTGTTCTAATAAGGGTTGGCACAAGAGCCTGTTAGATCAGATCACAATCCGCTCTGCCTCGACTGGATCAGTACTTACTTCGCCACCAACATCGGGTGCACTGTTTATCTTAACAGCAGAAGACGTTCCTCTGCTACTGTTTGTTGTTGAAGGACCTTCCTCGTCACTGGAGCCATAATTATTGAGTGAATCCATACGGCCAAAGTATAATCCTTATGGTTGAGTCGCCCCGACAATAGCTTTGCGCGAAAGGGAAATCAAAATAGCAAGTCACGTGCTAGGATTTTTCTCGAGCTCGCGGAGGATTTTATATCCTAAACTTCAGAGTACAGTTAACAGCAATTTATTTCAAAAAAAAGTTTGTACATTATACACAGTTCATGCTATCATATAATAAGATATTATCCGAGCTTAAGTAAGGGATTGTAAAGAAAGGTCATCTAATGGCGAAGTTTGCCGTAAAGGAAGAAGTGGTATCAATGGATAATGAGGGAAGTATCATAGAGTCCTCAAAAGGAAAGAAAGGAAAATAGATTGTAAGGAGTGATAAGATTATGCTTTGCCATTAACAAGTGTCTGGGACTTGGCTATTTCGTTTGCATTTGGAGTCATGTTGGCCAACCAGGTAGGAGGGCTAATGCCAGTTTGTTCACGCACGGTATCGATAAGAGGAGGGAGAGACTTGTAGATATCGGCAATAGGATTTGACTGTGCTTTTCCATCTTGATTCCAAACGGTTATCTTGGGGTTGAGACCCTTGATGGCGTTGGCATTCTCCTTGGCCATAGCCTGGAAGGTACCACGTTCGACCATCAAGTAGTTGAGAGCAGCATTGGTGTCGCCATTGAAAGCACCGACCAGCATCTTCAAACCATTAGCCTGAGCAGCCATGACTTCTGAAATTGCTTCGGCTTCCTTTTGCTTCTCATACAAGTATGCATCGGCCTTCTTCATTTGAGCCTCAGCAGCCTTGGAAGCTGTAATGAACATACCTTCAGCTTCTTGTTGCTTCTTGAACAGTTCAGCATCAGCCTTTCGTTGTTGGTTGTAGAGCTCAGTATTAGCCTTTTGCACGCCAACTTCATATTCTGCCTTCCATTTAGCAACAACATCAGCACGAAGTCTTTCGGTTTCAGCAAGTTGACGTTTCTCTTCATAATCACGCTGAAGCTCAATTTGACGGGTACTGGAAGCTTGCTTGGCTTCAATCTTGGCGGTTTCGACTTGGCGATCAAACTCAGCCCGTCGAGCTTCAAGGCGAGCATTTGCTTGACTGATGGCAGCTTTCTTCTCGTTTTCATATATGACGGTATCGGCTTCAATACGACCCACTTCTTGGCGAGTCATACCAACTTTTTCCTTCTCACCAACGTCACCCTTGAACCGGGCATCAGCCACATCAATCTTAGCTTGGTTAACAGCACCCTCTATCAAACAAAGGAATTGTTAGAACAAGTTCCTATGTCATCGTTTTTGTTCCCTTCCATGCTGTGCTCTTCCACAAGAGTTTATCCACACTACCCCATATTCATTATCAACATACCTTGTGTCTTCATCCTCATGTAAGAAAAGTATTCAGAGCCAGGGGTGTCTTGCAGGGACTTGATGTTTGTATTGTAGCAGTACAAACCACTGATAATAGACCATTAGTCTCATGCGCCTTAGGAAATAACCGATTCTATTCCTCAATACTTACAAGTGATCCAATTCGCTCTGCACATTTCTAATGATATTTTCCTTGAACGCTTTGCGATCCTGCCATCCATGATTAAAGTTAGTATTGCCCACCAGACTTTTGCACACATGCCAATTCTTACCTTGAAAATCTCCTCCATAGACATACCTGCGGCAATGACACGAGTTTCACCTTCAATGATACCCTTCACCAGCTCGGGAACATTGGACTTTGTTCTTCCAGTCATCAGTCTAGCGTATTTCACCAAACTAGGAAGTTCGATCTTGGGACCAATAGTCATAACAGCGGGCAGCAAGAACTCCAACTTTTCAACCGACATTGCGTGCAGACTCAACTCAAAATTGTGAGGAGTAACATCGAAATATCTACAAGTAACATACTGTTGTCAGAAGTCGCTCCGTCCGCCCAAACCTAGTCAAGGTTTATATGACTTACTGGGCAGTTTGGCCAGGCCAAACCATACATTTCTTGCATACTTGGATATCGTCAACACCGAAACCGGTCTTGACAACGTATTGATTTGCTTCGGCGACTTTGTACATAGGGGAAAGGATAGGATAACGATACTTTGGAGAAAGCCACCACAACAAGCTTAAATATAATGTTTGAATTATAATTTGAATCCCCGAACTGCGTGAATATTGCGCACTTGCGCAGTTACGTGCAGCAAACAAAAGCTGAGCGCGCGCCCATCCATTTCCCTCGGAGACACGCGGCTGGATTATCTTCATCACTTTCACCCTCAACCAGTTACACTGATATGATGAAGACATGATCAATTGCTTTTTTGAGCACGTACGTTCTAGCTGTCGACCAGCGTAGACTAGATATACCGGTCATGACCTGGTGGACGTCTGTATAGAATATGTGGAACGACTGCATGAACTTGTTGTCTGAATCATTTCAACTTTATTTTCTCGAAAAGGCGTTACAGCAGGCAGTTTTAGCTTCTTCATCGTGGTCTTGTCAAAGTGTTACTCGGAAAGGGTGTGTAAATATTCATCCGCCAGGGTAAAGAAAACTGCTTGTGCTTCTTGTGTTCAGGATCGGTGACTGCCAACTTATTTCCGGCTGCCCTTCGAAAGAACTTTCTACAGAGTACGTAGATGATGGTTCATCTTTCGTTGGCACAAAAATATAATCGGCAATAGAGGTTTGCGTATAGATGCTTTGCCACTCACTACGCTGGCTGGCTGACTGTCTTCTGGATATTAATAGAGCAAAAACTGAGCAAATTTACTGTGTAGGAGGCTTGTGGAACCGTAGTGCTCGACCTCAGCCACGATGCCCATCAAAAATATTGACTTTGCAGAAAGAATTCCAGAGACTTCTTCATTTACCGGGGTAATCAATGCATGTTTCCTTAAGTTGGGTTACTAGATGTATTGAGTTGACCTGCAAAGCCTCTTCCCGTGATCTCGCTTCGCAGCAAAATTTATTGTTACTGGGGCCGGAATCAAACCCACAATTGAATCTATAAACTGAATATGCAAAAATTATGATGTTTAGAAAAAATAGAAGGATAATTCGCTACAAAGACTTCAAAATCTCTCTAGCTTGTTCAGTAAGCTCTGGCTTGCCTCCTTCAACAGGAAGCTGGAATAGTTGGGGTACAAACTCCTCTCCATTGCTCTTTCTGTCAGCCGCTTTGACACGCTGCGCTTCTTCAATTGCATGCTTAACCTTGGTCGCTTGATTGAAGTCCTTGGCAAGGATGTTTTCTGTCACATCTTTCCAAATGCTGTGTATATTGAAATGTGAGCATACAGCACTGCAAGCCGGGAATAGCCTCAAAAAATATTGCTTACCGACGACTCTCCATCTCTTCTTGTTCTTCAATGGGTTTGACCTGCTTTGGCATGACTTCTAGCTGAGTGAGGTCGATTAAAAGGCGCTTCTGACCATCTGGGTATATAACATGAATCTGAGTTCTCCATGATCCTTCTATTGTCGCTAATACATCAGCGGGGGGGACATTCTTTAATTTGTTGATTGTATCATTGTTAGGGTCGTATGTAAATATTAAACCGCGCAGCTCAAACTTCGGCTTGCCGATCCATTTCTCATCTTTGTATTCCACAATAGCCTTCAGCTTTGATTTCGGGCATGTCATATAGCAATTGTCGGAGATTGTGGCATAGAGAGAAGCTTTGAGCCAACCGTTGACGGATGCCCAGGGGTGCGTCAATTGGTATTCCTCGTTATCTCGGTTAAGCATCCTGACAAAAATGCCTAAATTCTGATCTCCTGGACCCACTTTGAACGCTGATCATACAAAAGTCAGTCAACCGTGATTTGTTTCTGCCAATAAAATGCGTCACTTCACTTACAGGTGCCAGAGAAACGGGCTGAGATGTGGTCGATACCTCGTGCTTCCACACCTTTTTGTTCACAAGAGTAATAAAATCCCGACACAGGAGGATGGTGCGAAATCTGTCAAAAAAAAAAAAAAAAAACCGTCAGCCCCTATGGATACCTCCCTTTACTTGTTTGTTTATGCTCACCTGCTCGTTTAAGCACTTGACACGGATATTCCCCTTGGATTCACTCGCAGTAGACGACGCCTGTTGCCCTGTACTATCCATCTCCTCCTCAGATACGTCCCACCAGCATTTGAAGGTTTCTCCCAAGATGGAGTTGTAAGGCTTAATCAGTTTTCCAGATACGTACTTGAGCTCTTTCGAAAACCACCAGCGAAGGACATTGACCATGCGTTCTAAGGGTTCATCGGAATCGGCCATACTTTTTGGCAGGGGTTTAATTCATGTGAAACCAAGCTAGTAACGACGTAGACTAAAAAAAACCTTACGTTGAAAAAATATCGGGTCGGTCCATATAATTCCAGTACTCTAAGTTTCCCACAGGAGCCAATAAAGTAGCAGGCAATGATATACGCCTAAACGTATGGATTAGTGTCGGTATCTATAAGGCGTTGTCGTAGTGTAAATTGTAACGCACTACTCTAGTGCAAAATAGTAATACTTGCAATGCTAATATGTCCTTGACACCGATCAGCTTTCTGAGAAGTCCAAACATGACCATGACTTGATTCGGTTGTGCCTCTGTCTTTTCTGTCACTAGGCCGGTTTGTACGTTTTTCAGGTCGACGGAAACATCGTCGGTATCTTTCAATGTGTGGATCATAATATCGTCGGATTTGTTGTGGGTCAGGGCAGCTTTGGAGGACTTTAAAGCAAAGGTGGAATCTTGGCGATCTTCAAGTTTGGTCATTTGGGGGGTTGAAATGTGCGAATGGTGAAAACTGAGAGAAAGGCAAGAGACGCTAGTTTGATCACAGGGACTGGACGGATGGTAGCCAAACAATTAGCGAGCGTTAGCTTTTCCCAGCGTATGATTGGGCGGGGTGGTGCAACGAACAATGGGAACCGGTTTTTATGTAAAATTCAATTGAAACCAAATTCAAAAAAACAGTGTGATGATCCCAGGCTCTATGATTTGAAGACCATGGCGTGAGGAATGAAATATCACATCATAGTTTTTGTTTTAATACATGTTGATCCTATGGATAAGCAGGGTGAATTATACTAGCGAATGAGTGAGTGCTATGTCCTACCTCACCCCTTTTACCCCGCAAAAACCGACAGAGCATTGCACAAGTTGGTGGGTCTGACGGCCGACGCCGCCACATAAACGTTTAAAAAGATAAAAGTCATAGTAACATTACTTCACATGCCTTGAATTGTCACTCGTCATGACTAATTACGTTTGTTCCACTTTAAGAGTCCCTTCGTTTCAACGGATATGGAATGGTCATGACGAATCAATAATATAAGTGCTAACCATGTCAATGGTCTCCTTCCTTTCTACGTCTCTTATCACACGTCAAATTTTTAGTTTTCCTATTCTTATTTGTTACTCGGGTGCAGGCAGGTAAAATTCATTTTCGAAAATAAAAATATGAGAAGTACTGCGACCGAATTAGATGTGGTGAGTGTCAAAAGAGAGAGAAAGAAAAAAAAAATGCTGTTATGATAAAAGTGAAAGAAAGGGGGAAAAAAAAAAAAAGTAACAGAAGAAACAAACATCGTCTTGTTGAGATTCAGATGCTGTGAAATTGGACGACTTGGTTCAATATTCTATGTGAGAGGCAAAAGAATGAGGTATCTTGTACATGACTTGGCTCCTCGTGCAAGCATACTTTCAATTCAATGAAATGTATAGGGAGCTTTCGGATAAGAGATCATTGCCGCCAACCTGCATTCAATTGCATCAGAGTAAGAACCGCCTCCATTGGGTAATCACCATTTTGGTTAGCTGGAGCTCCTCCGTTTGGTGCGTTTGCTACATGAGACGCCGACGTTGTTGGCGTAGAAGAAGCCTCGGACACAGCTAAACAATCAAAAAATCGCGCATGGTCAGAGTTGGGAACTACTTTACACGTCGGAAAGCCCATATAATGTCAAACTTACATGGATTACCATCACCAAGCTCGTTGCCTGTTGCTGAGTCGCCGGTAGCTTGTTCGTTGCTGAATGACTGCATTTGTGAACCTTCAAGCTGTGGAGCAGGAGCTTGCTGCAATAACTTTTCAAGCAACTGTGCTGATGTCAATTGACTAGTTTCTTGTTGTGCTTTGATGGCTTCTTGCAGGTTGCTATTTAACAGCTTTGCAGTGGTGTTGGGAGATAGGGGAGCCATATTACCAGCTCCCATGTTATAATAGGAAGAATTTTGTAATTGAGCAAGGTCATTGGACTGCGCTGAGGATTGTAACTGATCCGCACCAGGACTGCCACCCACTGAGCCGTCATTGTTGATAGCTCCGTTCACAGCATGTTTGCGAATTTCCTTGTCCTTTCTCTTTGCTTGTCTCTTTACAAATTCTCTTTCGATCCAGCTTCGCTTGTGTTCACTATCTCCCGCACCGAACAATCGAATGGCGCGTTTGTTGACACGACAACGTAAATCATTGTCCTTGTCTAAAAAGGAGAAGGGAAAGTTTGCATTGTTAACGTTTACATACGCTAAATCAACCACGTAGATAAAGTACTTACTTCTATCCTCATTTTGTTCGCGCCATCTCTTCTTTCTCTCTCGGTTCTCAGCCCTCACCTATACGCATATAAGTAAAACGGTCATGGCGGCGGTCATTGGCAAATGAGGGTTACCTTCTCACTGATTAAAGACTTTCTGTACATGTCATTGGAGACTTGTTGCTGAGATGCTTGTGAATCCATGCCCGCCGAAGTAGCAGACGTAAAGTCAACTGGATAGTTTCCGTTATTCGCCTGGGTCATGGCCGCTGCTGCCGCTTGGGCGACGGCTTGTGCCTGAGCAGCGCTGAAATGGGCTTGGTAATCTTGAGGCAAGTCCAATTGTGCAACATTACTAGTGGGGACTTGAGTATCATTTTGGTTCTGTTGCTGAACAGCAGGAAGTTCAGAGAGGTCAGCGACGTACTGAGCAGTAGCTTGCGCTGATGTCGTGAGCGCCTCTTCTTCTTGTTTGGTAAGCATTGGGTAGGACATTACAAGTTGAGGAAGGGCTGTAATGCTGAATTAAAGCACAATGAGGTATAGCATAAAATGTCAGTCAAAAAGGTTCAGATTAAAGTACAGGCACTTTAATGACGATGATTGTCGGTACTCGTCGCTGGTACTGCCAAAGGACGGTTCGAAATGCAGTCGCGGGACAATTACCTTTGGGAGAAACAGTCAAGACAGTGGAAATCAGCAGTCGCACAAGCCCGTTTTGCAAGGTAACAAAGTGGCAAAACTTTTTGTGACTGTTGATTTTTCGCTCACAAAAAAGTGGGTGGAAGCCCTAACACAATGGACCCCAAAACCCAATAGACCTTTACACACGATGGCTGAACCAGAGGCTACAGCATCTCATTCCAATCACCAACACCACGACGAGGAGGAAGATGAGATTTTACATGAAATTCCAGTCTATCTCTCTACTAAACTGGCTCAAAACTTGTATCTATTCCAATATCCTCTCAGAGTTTTGCCATTTGCACCTGGAACGGGTCCAGCCGCAGCTCGAATCAAACCAAAATCCCAACTTATAGAAGTCGACCTTCCCATTGATACCCGTGCACCAACGTATGACAAGGGTCGAGGTGACGACTTTGCTTCCGGCGTAACAGGAGAGAAATTCAGGACGGTGTTTGATCAGGAGGATGAAGACGATTACTCTGGTCGACCAAAGAAGCGAACCCTTTTAGACAAACAAACACTAGGTTCCACCCTTATACCTACAAAAACAAAATACCTTGTTGGAGTTTTGAAAGACAGTGAGTCCACAGCTATATATATGGATAGATTTGTATAGTATGTGAGTAGTAACCAGTCTTTTGTAGAGGAACTTCATGTCACACCGCTGACAAACACTGTACAAATGCGGCCCACACTTTCGTATATTGATAAGAGCGATGAGAAGGAAAGAGCTTCGGCGAAGCGAGCGCAGCAAGAAGAAACGAAAGAGGAACAAAGCAAAAGTGCTGGCAAAGCACAAACCGTGCAAATGTCTGTTATCAACGCTGAAAATGAAAGTACCCCGCGCAAGAACATGTATTCCATGGCTACGCGAAACGCAGATGATGAGGAATGGGTTAAATTAGAATACTTTGACGAAACGGTAAGTAACACACGTCTTTGTGCATGGATACCTTTCGTAAAGGTGTTGTACTGACCTTGATATTTTAATTAGACTGTCGCGGCAGATGCAATGTATGGAGATCTTTTTGCTACGAACAAGGAAAGCTTGGTACCAACATCAACCAGCGAATCCTACGCAGACAGTATCAGTCCTGTGTTTTGTGACATCTCATCCTGATAACAAGGAGCGCAACGTACCATATTCAAATAAACAATACATTAATAATTTGTATATGGTTTGCCTGTTTGTTCTTCAAGTTAGAAATGGTGTGCTGAACTAGAGTAAAGAATAAAAATCAATAGCACCGTTAAACCAGACAGATGCAGGTTCAATGTTCAATAACTGAGTTTCAAACCAGTCTTTGATCCTCTAGCGTCGCAAAGGTGTTGCGACATGACCCTGCGCTCCCAACGCTCCATTTACATAGCACTTGTTGCGTTGCGTTTAATATTTAGCCTTTTACCAAGTTATATCCAACCGGATGAATATTTTCAATCGCCGGAAATCACAGCTGGGTGGGCATTCGATCTAGAAATCTTTACTCCTTGGGAATTCAATCCTACCTTTCCAGCTCGTTCCATACTTCCACCGTAAATGAGTTTTCGAAGCACTCTTGTTTATGTGTTTATGTGGTACTGAATTCAATTTTTTCTTACTTTCAGCTTAATTACTACTGGTATCCCGTTCTATATTTACAAATTCGTGCTGCGATTGACGTATGGTGGTTTGGATCAAGGTAGGAGGACATGATATTCTTATATCATTGCACGGCACGATATCACCATGGAAAATTATGGTTTCCAATTGCTAATTATCAATTCTTCGTTAAGATTTTGTGAGCGGAAGGCATCTCTATATCTTGGAGCGACTGTCTTTCTTTTTCATGTCATTCATCCTCGGTAGAGTGCTTCAAAATAGTTAGGATTGAGCGGACGACAGTCGGCTCATACACTCTCTATTTCAGATCTCTGTATATTGAAATTATGTCGGCTATGCAAAATCAGTGCCTTGAGGTCTCTCATTGTACTTTCAAGTTCTTATGTTATGCTCACCTATCAGTGCCATTCGTTCTCAAATTCCATAGAAGCGTTAGTCCTCGCAGCCTCCATCACACTACTTTTCGTATCATACCCCCTTGATGAGAAAGCAAATCCCTCGGTAAGATACATATATTCGAGCAGTCCTTCACGATTATGTTTTGATCACTCAAGTTTTTCTTGGGCGAACCAGAAACTTGCATCCTTCGTGCTGGGTATTTCGCTCGCGTTTGGATTATTCACTAGAATCACATTTGCCTCATTCGGCATTTTCGTTGGAATTGCATACCTTTACATGGCATGGAACCGATCCTCCGGTCACAGGTTCGTAGCCAATACTGCGAGTGATTGATCTCTTCTTGGATACCACTTCTAATGGAGAGACGTTTTACTACTTTTGATAGCTTTCAAACATTTCTATTCAATCTATTTCCCTTTACACTGGGTCTGACCTTAAGCATTGCGACGTTCACCGTGGTTGACTCTATCTACTTTGGAAGTTTGAAGGTCTTGTTGCAGGGCTCACAAGACATTACATTTGATTTGCTAAAAGCCGCAATTGACCCTACTCTTTGGTCCAAGGTATCAATCCAAGTGAGTAAGCTTTGAGATCTTGATACCGCCGCGCATGTTCTAATAGTTCAAACCATAATAGGGAAAACTTACAAGCACTATATTCAACAACATTATATATAATGTAGACAAAGACAACCTAGAGCTACACGGGTTGCACCCATTCTACTTGCATGCTGTCGTGAATGTGCCGCTACTCTTTGGTCCGATCGGATTGTGGGCATACTACAAACTATTTACGATCAGAGGTCTGCCAGGGAAAATGGATATGGTCGACATGGGTACAGTTCAAACGATGAATGAATCTCCATTGTAGCTTCTTTCCGGGAAGGATGCGTATATTAACAGTATCATGTTGTAGTTATGGTGGCATCGATGTCTACAGGCTTGTTGTGTCTTAGTGCTTTCCAACACCAGGAACCAAGATTCCTCTCCCCCATGTTACTTCCTGCCGTCTTCTTATTCACCCGACACACTCAAAGACTTTCGCGCACTTTCTGGGTAAGTGAATGACCTGGCGCAGGGGGTTTTGACTGAAGTGGTATAACATGATTGGTAACAGTGTCTGATCTAATGAACTTGTGTAGATCATTTGGACTTTGTTCAACCTAGTGTTGGCCATCGTGTTTGGATTGATTCATCAGGTATGTACAGTTTGGCGTGTCAAGCTGCTCGATGGTTTACATACTCAAATCTTACATGCCATCAGGGAGGAGTCGTGCCTGCTGTCATACATGTTGGGGAACAGAGTAAATATATTGATGGATGTGACCTTACTTTCGGTGCCTACGCCATCTGTGAATCTGCTTCTGAAGACACCAGCAATATTACAACGTTATCAGCTGGAAACCTATCACTGGTCACCAACTTGGTATTTTACAAAACCTTCATGCCTCCCAGGCATCTAATAGCTTACCCACATCACTGGCGAGGTATGTAACTCTCCAGACCATTTCTGTTTACAGTATTCCAATCACTTATAGCACCACATCGACTCAGACTCAGCAAACATTGTTATCAATGTGATTGATCTTGCTGGAGGGCCGATCGACAAAGTCACTTCAGTCCTGGAGTCTCAGACGTACATACCTAGAGCATGGATCCCTGAGGATACATCCAAATCTGTATTCGTCTACAAACCGAGCACCTACGCATTCGAAAGGTAAAAGGTTGCTTTCTGAACCTATGTCACGGTGAAACCTCCTCAGTAACGATAGTCATGGTAATTTATCTCGCGCGACTTAGGACTTTGCTTATCATGCCAGGCACAGCCAAACCGCCAGTAGAAAACCATCGTCTGCAGCGAGTAGCGCAATTCTGGCCCCACGTTAATTTCGACGATATTGACAAAGTCATTGGGGCTCCCTCGTGGGAGGCCATCAGCTTGAGCGTCTATCTCCTAGTGTCTCCCCGACATGCATAAGAACCACCAAAAGCTGAGGTTGCAACAGAGATCATATCTGCGCATTAATATTTATAATAGATTTCTTTTTCTCTTTTTTTTTTTGGGCTTCCTTTGTAATGTACCACAGGGGATAAAAAAATAATATGGCGGCTCAAGTTAGTTGCCAACCGATAAAGTGGGAAGGAATAAAAAAGAACAAGGGGGTCAGATGTACAAGTTTATGAAATGCTGAGAGAAAGAGATGGTTTTGATCTTGTTTTTCAAAAAAGAATAATGACTTGCAATGGTTGAGGGGTTGTTGGGAGAGGAGAATGATAAATGGTAAATAAAAGAGTGGTATCGTCTAGAGTGGACGGTTAGAGCCATTACGAGGTGGTGGAGGTCTGTATCCGCCGGGAGGTCTCATCTGTGGGGAGCCCTGTGGTACAAAGCCTTGTTGAAGTTGAAGTGGACGCTGGTGTTGCATTGGTGGGGCACCAGGTGAAGGAGGTGGTGGCATGGGTCGGCCCATGGATTGTGGTGATCGCGGACTGGACATTGGGCTCGAGTAGCTACTAGGACCCCATGGTCCAGCTGCCGCTGGCACAGGCAGGTTCGGATTAGCGGTGGGTCGGTAGCTTGGGTAATAACCACCAGCTTTACCAGATCCCTCCTTGGATGGATCAAAGTAATTGACGGGTGAACCAAGATTATCTGCTGTGTCCATAGACAGTTCTGAGGCATTATCCAAAAGTCGTGCACGCGATTCGTCCTCGCCAGGCATTACGTTATGAGAAAAGCCGGAAGGAAGAGGGGGTTGGTTCTGTTGATTACGGCGCTTTCTTTCCTGACGCTTGTTTGCCCGAATTCGAGCACGTTCGTGTTCCTCCCAACGCTTCATGGGGACCTTGGAAGGATCAAATACACCATCCGTCTTTCCGTGGTCGTCGCCTTTTCCTTCGCCAGTAACTTTTCTTGTCTCACCCCATGAGAAATCGTCAAAATGCCAGAAGGAATACACCGGCAACACAAAGTTCCAAATGGGAAGAGCACAGAGATACACACCCATCCATGCGACATAGATCCACTTCTTAGTAGTGATAAGAATCAAAAGAGCAGGTGAAAACAGGACGATGATGAGCAATATAAGTGGGACGGCGAGCACAAAACTGGTGATGTGAGTTCTGGCCATGGAAATAATCAAGACCACAGTAAGGATAATGGCGACAGGAAGAACCAAAGTACCGATAAGATCCATCATAACGACAAACTGCATAGAGAAACAGAAGGTACCGCAAAGATTTCGAACCAGGACCAATTCAAAAAGGTTATGGATAGTTGAGTTAATCCAACGACGTCGCTGGGAAAGCAGCACCTTGAATTCATCAGGGACGACAGTTTTACAGACCTAATAGAACAGAAATGGCATTAGTAATAGGAAGTGATGGCGTTTAAACACGAAAAAAAAAACGCATTGAACATACAGCTTGGGGAGTGAACACCATCTTGCGATGAGGGAAGTTTCGAAGCATGAGAGTGGTCAGGAAACGATCTTCACCAAGAAGCAAAAGATTCTTTTGATGAAGGGTTTCAACGGTGTTTTGCGAATATTCTTGAACAATTTCAGGTTTGGTGATGATGGGAACCCAATCACCGTCTCCTTTTCGTGCCTTAAGTCGATACATACAGAAACATCCAGGTAAACAGGTAACACCACCAAAGATAGACTCGAAGCCCTTAGCCAAATGATGGGAAATGTAATATTCGTAGACTTGAATGGCTGTCACCCATGAATCCCTCTTGTTTGCGATTTTCGTTTCACCACAAAGTCCCATAATAAGGTTATCGTTGATCATACAGTTGATGAGAAGGCGCATTGAAGATTTATAAACTTTGGTATCGGCATCCACCTATAAGCCATTGCGGTGAGTATTGGCTTGCTTGTTTTAAAACATAAACGAAAACATAAATTTAAGCCTCTTACCATAAGACATAATTCAAAGTAATCGGGTGTCACATGCATCAATCGTTGTATCTTTCGGAAAATGTCATAGTCCAGTGGAGTCATACGGTCGTTGTAGGTAACACGACTGAAGAAGTTCATCAAGATGAGCTGGGAATCACGTTTACCGCGGTTACCGGGCTTAGGTTTGCCTTGTTCATCCGGATTTCCACACTTGACGATCAGCATCATGGGCACTTTGTGCTTTTTCGTCACTAAAAATAAGTGTGGCATTGGTTAATCAGCCCATATATGGTGGGGTCCCACACTCAAGCAGCCTCGCACTTACTGTAATGACCAGCATACACTTTGGCACAATTGAATTGCTTGGCACCGGCAGCAACCGCTACATAGGGCATGGGCAAAGCTTCACGGTCGGCTGGATTGTCAAGGTGCATCAAGGATAAACAAATATCGGGAGTCGAAACGGTTTCACCACTTCCAGTAATAATACCATCGGCAATGACGAAGAGGAGTTTTCGGTCATCGGGATAATCAGTGGTAGCCAATGATTCGATAGTTCCCTTAATGGATTCGAGACCTTCGGAGTAACAAGTAATCAGCAAAACAGTGAACAAGTCGTTTCCGATCTCGACGGGTTTAGTAAGAACATCCGGGTCCTGTCGATTGGTCCAGTTACTAGCATTTCCCATCTCCATGGTATTCTTAGGAAGAAGGTTGACGGAGCTGGCAGAAGACTTGAGAGGTGGAGGTGTTTTTGACAACTTGCGAGAATAAAACCAGGCAAAGATCATAGCCATGAAAAATCGAGAAAGAACGAGACTGAGAATGATCAATAGTGAGAAGTAAAGGATAAGGGATGCAGCAAAACAACCGGGGGTTGACTTGTCGATATGACCGGCATAGTATTTCTGGACTAGACAGTCGGTTGCAGCTTTTAACTCATCGTTACGGAAAAAGAGCTTGGTTGCGTCCTTTCCGCCTTCGCCAAATGTTGTATTCAAAATAGAGCGAATCACATCATCCAAAGGATCGTTGGCAATGGGCTGCGGGTGCGCTTTCATGTAAGGGTCCATATTTAAAACGTTTCCGTCAATGACAAAGTAGTTGGTGAGGTTGGCGGCGCCTAACTGGGTCCAATCAAATCCAACTTGACGAGTGGTATTCGTCAAACCGTACTTTGCAAAGGTAGCAGCAGAGATAGCATCCAGGACACATGTATTCGCACTGCAAGGATCGAACGTAACAGCGGTAAATTTAGCAGTATTGGCATTACCAGGGTTGGTACAAGCGCCAATGTTATTGCCATGATTAGCAAACAAATAGGTGATATCGGTTCCAGGTACAGCTGCCAAGGCGTAGAAATTGGCAGTCGCTGTAGGTTTCGACTGACTAACGTTGAACTGCCAACCTTCAATACCGACCAAACCACCTAGACAAAGTAGAAAAAATGAGTACAAAAGGCCCACTTTCGTTTTTGTGTATATATTTGACAAAAAAGAGTCCTTACCAGCAGTAACGGTATCATTATAGTGGGCATAATGTTCCTGGTTATTGGATTGGTCAGGCGGACATAACACGACGCTGAGTCCGACGGTCAGAAAGGCGACCAAACCGCCCATCATAGCGATGATCATACACAGGGTGACCTTTTCTCGCCATGCTTGTTGCATGCCTTTATCGGTTTTACCTATCGCTTTCAGCATGGGAGAGAATGCCCAAAATGTGAAGATGCGCGAGATGATGACCCAAGGATCAAATGCACTGGACGATTCTTGTTTGCCGGTCAAAAGCGGTGCTGGTTCTTGGTATCTGTCTGGTCGAATCAAAGTACGTCCACGCTGCAGGTTAGAACCTGCGCGGGCAATACTGTTGTGTCCAGGTACTATTCGTCTACTAGGTGCTCGACCTAGTGTGGGGCGACGAGACATGCCGGGGTTGGGTGGACCACCACCATAGTTCGGGGGATGATACTGATTAGGATCGCCCGGATAGCCTCCACCCACTGCGCTTGAATAGGTGACTGCACCAGGCATCGATTATAAGTGGAAGATGAAAAGAATGAAAAGGCTGTCAAAAAGAAGATGAGGGTGAGAGTCGGTCGGTGCGTAGTAGAAAGATTGGACGACGATCCTTACGGCTAGCAGACAGATTTTGTATATAATGGATAATATATACGATCTTGAGCGTTCGAAGGTATTTGTCCTTTCAATTTGCTGAAGAATGAAGGGAGAGCGCTTATTGAACACACAATTAGAAAACAAGGATTGTAAGGGACTCTCTTAAAGGAAAGGGGAAGGGGAACAAGCAAAGGCAGTAATTCCTACGCTGGTTGTTATTTTTTTTCTTAACACTTGCGGCCCTTGAACGCGATAATTGCATCTTCTATAGGGCTTGAATATCCGCTTGTGCTACGTGCCTGAGCTGCACTCCACTCTGGCTGATTCTCTTCCTTCTATGCTCCTTGGTATTTCTAGCATAGCATAGCATACCACACCACATTACATACTTTCTTCCATCCATCCACGTTCGATATTGATAAATGATCTACCAGTGGAAACGGAGTCGCGGGGGAAGGCCCACGGATAAAAAAAATTATTGGCTAGCGGTTTTAAAAATAGGCTTCAACAGGTCTCGACTCGATTTGCACGACCGAAAATCCGTTCATTAGCCAATTTTTATTTTTTTTTTATATTCCTTTGAACCGTTTTATTTGATTTTTATATTTTATGGAATGGAAGGAGGCCACTGTATTAAACGAAAGAGTGGATGGTAAAATGGATGTGTGAAGAACAAAAGAGAAGCGGTTGGAGACGATCACCAAAGGGTCTCTTTCTTTTGGTTTGGGTGCTGATAATCTACAAAAGGTGTCAAAAAAATAATATGCAAAAGCGATGGTTCCATGAATGCGTGGTTCTGACTTTTAGTCTATGGTTTAACGCCTAGGGTTAGCTTGATACCCATGCTCATCAATTCGGTGGTCAAATAACGGAACACATATGGAATGGCTACCACATCAATACCCTTGGAAGTATTGCATACTCTGCACTCAACATTTCGTCGAGATGACACAGATGAGGCCACCTTCGTGGAGATGGGCGATACCAGTGAACCACAAAGTCGACAGACGTGTGCCTATTTTTGATAAAAAAAAAAAAAAAGAATATTAGCCAAAAGCAGTAAAATGGAAACATATTCAATCTAGTGCCTTTACCTGTGAATAGTCTGAACAATTCATCAAGCGATCTTGCAATAGGAAACTGACACCGTGAGCTAATAGAGAGTCGCGCTCCATCTCACCGAAACGAATACCACCGGCTCGCTTACGACCCTTGACAGGCTGCATGGTCAAGTTGTGCACAGGCCCAGTTGTACGTACTTGATACTTGTCGCTAACCATGTGTCTCAATCTCTGGTAGTACACAACGCCAATGTAAATGTCCATCTTGAGTTCTTCACCCGTAATACCAGAATACATGGCTTCGTTACCGTGGTAATTATAACCAGCAGCAAGAAGTTGTTCTCCAAAGTAATCGGCAGCGGTATTTTGTTCATTAAATTTGAACGGGGTGGAATCTTGAGCAATACCATGCAATGCTCCTGCTTTACCCGCCAAACTCTCGACAAACATACCAATGGTCATACGAGAGGGGAAAGCGTGAGGGTTGATAATAACATCAGGTTGCATACCTGATTCAGTGAAAGGCATATCCACAGCAGGCCATTTTTGTGAGCAAACACCCTTTTGACCGTGACGAGAGGAGAACTTGTCACCAATGATGGGAGAACGGGTAATACGAAGCTTGATATGAACCTTTTGCAATTCCGTGGACGACGCATCATCGCCAATCAAACGGACTTCATCGACCAAACCATCTTCAGGACCCTTGTATTTCTTGATAATGGTTTGACCAGTGGTTTCGTCAACATAGGCACAGAGAGGATCGCCAGCCTTGAGTTGTACACCAATGAACGGTAAACCATCTTCATCCAACTTTTCTCGGATCTTCTTGTTAACACCGCCAGCAAGTCCAAAGTGGTGCATAATGGGTTCTCCGGTGACACGGAGGTCACTCAAATCGACGACTTCAGCCTTATACACCGTACCATAACCGAACCCTCGTTCGTGAACAGATTTGTTAAGAATCATAGCATCTTCCATATCGTAACCGGTATAAGAGATGACGGCAACGATAGCATTGGTACCGTTAGGGAAACCGTCGAATCCATAAAGGTTATGTAGATCAGGACGAACAACAGGCGTTTGTCCACTTTGAAGACGATACATCTTGTTATCTGTACGGTGATTAAGTGCTGTGGAGGGGGTACCCATGGTTTGTTTACCCATCTGACATTGGTACATGTTACGGGGTGACTGGTTGAAGTCGGAGAATGGAGTCATATTGGCAACAATACTAAGCACATTGGTGGGTGTGAATTCAATATGAGTGCTGATACCAGGAATGACTTCATCCTGCAAACATGCGATATCCATATAGACTTGTTCAAATGAGCCAATCATATCGGTGTTACCGTTAGCCAAGTATTTGACAGGTCGCATCATACGAGCTGGTGTGGAGAAAAGATACAAGCCAGGGTATTGACCACCATGGGAAGTTGGGACGTAGCCAATCTCAAGATCAGCAGGGACATTGTGTTGACCAGTAACCTTCCAGAATCGCAAGCTTTGAGAGACCTTGAGTGCTGATTTGATACTACACCATCCAACAATTTTACCGTCCAACTGTACACAAACGTAATCAGGTCGATTGATGGTGTGAAGAACAGGTTGTGAAACACCAAGAGAAGCAAGAAGGCGTGGCATCATGGACACATCCAGTGGTTCATTGACGACCTTACATTTGTGAGCCAAGTGATTCAACAGACCGCACGGGGAACCATCCGGAGTATGGACTGGACAAAGGAAACCCCATGCTTCTGGAAGCAATTTACGAACCGTTGTGGTCTTGAGTTCAGCGAAGAAAGCACCACGATGGATACAACGGAAATGTGAGATGTATCGGTAAAAGTTAAGCTTTTCAGCCACGATGGTGTATCCGGTAGCTTGTTGCAAATCCAAACCAGTGTTAGACACCAAGTTGCCGGTAGCCAAAAAGTAAGAGAGCTTGCCTCCCACATCGCTTGGAACTTTTGTCATTACGCCAGTGAAGTATTTGTCTAAGAATCAAAAAGGGTAAAATGAGTATGCATGATTTGTCTGTTTTTCCAAAATCTACCTTGTTCCCGATGGCATCTAGAAACTTACTGTTCATAAAGTCGACCTTGGAACTCTTCAACCGGATATCGGTACGAATTTGAGCCTTGATGGAGGAGAGCCAGTCGAACAATTTCTCCTTCAAAATCATACCGTACAAGTGACCTCCAAGTAATACTTCTTGATGTTGGGGTGAATCCGGGTTATCTTCACAGCATTCGCCAGATACAAGAGAATACAATTTTCGGATCATGAACACCAAAAGGTTGAACTTATCACGACCCTCCTTCAAATGTACAAGTACGGCTTTGCGGAGCAATTCTTCACCAACTTGAACATCTGTCATGTCTTCTGCAACATCCATTACGACTCTGAATTTGTCACCCAAATATCGAAGGCAAGATTCTCGAGTGTATAGATTGTAGACCTTGAAACTTCTCAGCAACAGTTCAATACGGTCGGTCAAGAAGGTGTTCTTGGTATCACCTTGGCAAAGAGCATCAAAAATTTCTTTATCAGAAGTGTCGATAAGAGCTTTCAAAATCATAATAGCAGGAATCATGTATTCTTGCTTTCTCCAGGCGAAACGGATCATAGCGTTTCCGTCAGTGAGATAATGCACAGTGTTTGTGAGAGAGGTTTGGTCGGGACGTGTGCAACGAATAGAACAACCATAGGGTGAGTAAGTTGGACCTCTGTTTTGGAAAGAGTTTCGGATAATAGCGACAACGTGGTTACGACGAGGAACAATCAATAGACGAATGATCTTTTCGATACCGTTGACGATAAAGTAACCACCCATTTCTTCTGACTCCTCATGGCGTTCGACGAGGCCTTTGGAGTATAACCCGTAAAGGTGACACTTGTTAGATTTGATCATCAATGGAACCTGGCCCAAGTCCTTCAATTCTGTGTTGACGGGACCATCGTTGAATCTCCAGTTGATGGTGGCTTGAAGTCTGCCTTTATAAGTGATCAAACGTTCTCTGCATTCGGAAGGGTATATCTCGCGGTGAAGAGAAGTGGTATCTCTAACGTTAACAGCGGGTTTTGCAATGGAAATACCCTCAATCCAGTAAGTGATTTTGTTGCCAAGACCGTCTTCACCTACTCCATCGAATACAGTTTTATGTCCAATGTCCTTTACGGCCAGGTCGAGCAATCCGGTGTCTCCATTGCCAAATTTCGTAAGAGAGTCAAACGATTCCAAATGAGGTTTTACAACCTCTTGAAGTTCTGGAGTTCCAAACTTCTTGTTGGAGGGATTCCGGAACGCTTCCTCTCTTTCCAAAGTACGGAAAGTCGATGGCATTTTGAGGATAGAAGGTGAAGTATTAACACGTTACCAATTTTTTTTTTTTTTTTTTGCAAGCGAGAAAATGACTGCTGTCGAAAATTTTCTTCAACTCAGACAACGTCCCCAAGCCACTGAAATTTGACCCTCCTTTGCTTGCGCGACAAGAGAGCGTTTCACCCCCATCCAAAAGTGTGTTGCCTACTCGATATCAACCAGAAGTAATAAAGACGGTATACCAGATGGAAAAAGAAGTAAAAAATCATGTTCATGAAATGAAAAGATAGTCTGGGGTATAAAGTGATTTGTCATATCTTGATAATTTGGCAAGCAACAGCAAAGTTAAACTGGACGACTTTCAAAAGTGCTGGCTGAATTATCTGGCATGATAGACCACATGGATATCTATCACGAAGTAAGCATATTATGGACTTCTCTTGGAGGCTTATCAGCCTACCATATTACTGCCGTAGAGCAAAGCGTAGCACATACATTCAAATAGTTATTTCTCTTTCTGTTTGTTCTTTAGAAAAAAGTGGATTCCATGGACGCTTTATTTAACGCTTTTACATTGGGTTCCCTCCGTCGCCATTGAACGACCGCTGTTGTTGCTGTTGCTGCAACATCATCATCATCATAGCTTGGTAGTTGGCAAGATCAGTTCCGCCTTCTGCTCCAGCCATATTCATGCCATTCTGATTACCCATAAGCATCATAGGATTAATCATACCATTCGCTCCCATCATATCTGATCCGTACACGTTAGCCTGGCTAGTCATGGGGGACCCACTATTAGATAATGCGGTTGGTGACAAGGATGCTTCAGCTTGTGAGGCCATATTTGGTGTATTGTTTCCTGAATCTTGGTAAAGCAAAATGTGGCAAATTAATGGCTGCAGGTGAATTCGAACCGGTGAAAAATAAGACATACCTGGAGACATTGACATACCCATATTTTGTAAATAGTTTTGTTGTTTCATATAATTTTGTTGTTGTTGCTGCTGCTGTTGCTGCTGTTGTTGTTGTTGCTGTTGTTGCTGTTGTTGCTGCTGCTGCTGCTGCTGCAATTGTCGCAGCATATTCGGTTGATTGACGGCTGCGCCATTGTACATATTTCCACCGTTCATTTTCAAAAACTGTTGCTGTTGTAATGGCGTCATCTGACCTAATGACATTTGTCGCTGCTGAGGTCGAGGTTGCTGTTGCTGCAGTTGTTGCTGTGGTTGAGGTTGTGATTGCTGTTGCTGTTGCTGTCTTGCCTGTTGTTGTGCCATCTGCATCTGATTCAAAGGTGAACGACTTGGATCTGGTGTGCCTTCAGAGCTATTCACGCCTTCGAACAATGACTGTGCCGCTTGAGCAAGCGACAAGACGTTATGCATTGTTTGCGTTCTTGCTGGTGGAAGTGGACTGAGTGATGGGGGGACTGGATTTTTATTCTGCTATACCGAAATCGAAAAGTGATACTTTAATATATGGCGCTGAACACAAAAAAGACGACAACCAACACAAAAAGCGCAACTTACCTCAGCAGGTTTAACAGAGATATCGGCCATAGTAGCTAAATATGTTAGATTGGACTGTAATCGTGCCTGGTATCTAATGGAGCAGAGGCTATGTTAGGAAGATCAGGACCTAAATGAACATCCCACCACTGAGTGAGCCTTACAATGATAATTCGGTGGGTTGTGCATTAGGGTCTTGAGATAGTTCTACACATGCACGAAACAATTCTTGATTCAAGGCCAAAATCTATTTCGAAAATGATGAGATAGGATTCTCTATTACGAACCAATCATGACTGATACTCACTGCGGAGACTCGTTTTGCGTTAAGAGCAGTATCGTTTGCAGCAGGAGACTCTGTAAGACTGACAGACGGTTGTCTAGGAGTGCCTGCCGATTGCCGCCGTGCTTGCTCTTCTTTCTGTGCTTTTGCTTGTTGTGGACTGGTCATAGCTTGATTGGCCAAAGGTGACCCAAATCTTTGTTGTTGTGGCATGTTGTGCATACTTGGCGATGAGGATGCTGAGCCATATGTTTCGGATGCTCCGCTCTTTGCGCGTTGCATCTGCATTTGCGGTGAATCGTACGGCGATGCCGATCCCGCTTGCTGCTGCTGTAGTTGTTGTTGCTGTTGCTGCTGTTGTCGCTGTAATAGCATTGCATGCAGATATAGGTTTTGCTGTTGTTGCTGTGGATCAGCAACAGATGGCTGGCCTGAATAATTCATAATCATGGACTGCAATTCCGGAGGAATCCCTGAATTTGAGCCGTTATTTTGAGCATTGTACATGGTTAAGAATAAACAAAGATGTGCGTTCTGTTAAGAGATGTTCAATGGAAGCGTTGCTTGGTAGACGACTTTTTTTTTTTTTTGCTCAGTTGAAAAACCCCTTTCCTGTTGAGCAGGCCAGCAAAATAGTGAAGTGACTTTGAAAATTTTTGGTGGATGAGTGTCATTTTGACTTTACGGCACAAGTGTTCGTTCCCACTCAATGTCCTGAAATACAAACACGTCTATTGATAATCAAATACATAAACAAACTATATATGATCGCTCACTATGATGATACGGCTGGCGACACAACGCGGTATAATTTTAAACGTTAATCGCGGAGGAATAGGTTGCACCGTTCTTAATAAGGAACAATGGCCGTGCTCATTGTAGTCTCGAGACAGATCCTAGAGCACAACTAAACCAATATTGTAACAGCAAGGTTTTTATTTTTTGCGAAGCAAGACGTTAAAGTAACCAGTTGAAAGGAGGAAAAGAAATTTCGGAGTTGGCACCGAAACTTTTTTTTTTTTTTCAATTCATTATATAACACTAAGACCCTTTTTCCATTTAAACTCTGTTCTTTTGTTTCAGTACCATATAATTCAATCATGGCAGCAAAAGATGATGTGGAAGGGGTTGACAAGACAATTCAAGGGTCATGTGAGAGTTTCCACATTGGCCATCACTTTCAAACCAGTGCAAAGGATACTCCCGAAGTCGAAGAGGTTGAACATGTTGAGAAAATCACTTGGTTTGTGTTAGCACTAACTTCGTGCGTGTGCCTCAGTGGTTTCTTGTTTGGTATGTATTGGCTGGCCCAAGTGCTTTAGGTAACATGCGTAACTGACAATAGCCGCCAATTTCCTTTTTAACAGGTTTTGACACTGGCGGTAGGTTCACTTTTTGAGCAATGGCTAATTTGACCATTCCTAAAAACTCAACCCATTTTTCCAAATAGTCATTTCTGGAGCTCTGCAACCTATTCGCGATGAATTTCAGTTGAATGATGTACTTTCAGAACTCATTGTCGGTGCAACCACATTGGGTGCCATTATTGGTGGGTTGTTCGCTGGCTTTGTAAGTTTACAGAACTATATTTTGCCTGCTTTGACTGTAATTTCTCATCGCTAATACCACACTACCTCAGTGCTCAGATCGAGTTGGAAGAAAGGTAAATATAGGGTGTTTACAGAGATGAGCCCATGCTATTGCTAAACTGTGATATATTTCTTCAGCCTATCACATTGCTCTCCTCTGTTGTATTTGTTGTTGGAGCCATTGTCATTGCTGCCGCACCCAACTTTGGAGTTTTGATTTTTGGAAGATTGGTCGTAGGATTTGGAGTCGGTCTTGCTTCGATGATTGTTCCAGTCTATTTGAGTAAGTCTTCAATCCGTATATGTATATAGTGCGTATTTGGTATCTCACACACTAGTCTTGCAGGTGAAGTAGCTCCTCGTACGCTTCGTGGTAGACTGACAACAATTAATGTTCTAATGATCACGTTCGGTCAATTGGTCTCGTATCTCATTAATATTGCTTTTGCCAAGACGAATGAAGGATGGCGCTATATGTTTGGAATTGCTGCTGTTCCAGCTTTGATTCAACTGTGCAGTGAGTTGTCCTAAAGCAATGCGTCTCATGCCGTCACATGTGAACTTATTTTGCCCCTCCGCAGTCTTACCGTTTTTGCCAGAGAGCCCACGTCAACTGGTTGTGAAAGGAAGGACCGAGCAAGCTACCGCTGCTCTTACCAAGATCTATGGAAAGAGCGTACCAGAATTCTTCGTTCAATCCGAGCTTTCGCAAATCGAACAAAGTATTGAGATCTCCAAAGCCGGCACTTACAGAGAGTTGTTTAAACCATACAACCGTAAACCTCTCATCATCTGTAAGTAACCATTTCTCAGGCAGTACCACCACAAATGTATCTAATGTACCTCGATGTTTTTAGCATGTGCTCTACAAGCTGCACAGCAGCTATCCGGATTCAATTGTGCTATGTACTATGCCGCTACGATCTTACATATGGCTGGTTTCCGAGATAATTCGTCTTCGACATACTTCTCTATTGTGGTGTCAGCTACAAATTTCTTATTTACATTCATCGCTTTGACTATCATTGACAAGGTCGGTCGTCGCCGAATCCTTATTTACAGCATGGTGGCGATGATCATCGGCCTGTGGGCATTAGGAGGAGCCTTTGCTGGACAGCAAGGCTTTATGACACTTCAGGATAATTGCAATTATGGAACCAATTGCGCACGCTGTGTACAGGACTCTTCCTGTTCATGGTCAATATCACAAGGCATGTGTGCTATTACCTCCGGTCTTGATCCTGCCGATATCTTCCAATCCAGCACTGGTTGTCCTCCTCAAGCTCATGATCAAGCTCTGACTGGCATCTTATTTGCATCCCTCGTCGTCTATGTGGCCGGTTATGCTTTAGGTCTTGGCAACGTACCATGGCTTATGCAAAGCGAACTGTTTCCTCTCTCTGTTCGTGGAAAAGCTAACGGTATCGCAACTGCTGTCAATTGGGCTTGCAACTTGATCATTTCAACATCCTTTTTAAGTATGACCAATGGCGTTTCCGCGGCAGGTACTTTCTGGTTCTATGGTGGACTTTCCATCTTGTTCTGGATATTTGCCCTCTTTGAAGTGCCAGAAGTGAGTAGCGCAACATGGACGCGGGTACATGGAATTTCCTTTACTGAACTCTTTTTGCTTTTTTTTCTTTTCCCAATAGACTGCGAATAGATCTTTGGAAGAAGTTCGTCGCCTATTCACCAAAGAATAAATCCCCAACCACCATGGCATGGAGCCGCCTCAACCGATGTAGAACTCTATCTCACCTTTCTTTTGCCTATTGTCATTAATACAGTAATACCTTTTTAGCTTATTGAATCTTCTTTTAAACAGAAATAATAAAAGGATCCTCTGGAACCGATTAATACCATCATCAAGATAATATTGACTTTGAATGCATTAATTATCTAATGGCACTTTTCTGATTGATGGTGGTCTTATAAAGAGTGGCAGCCGCTTGATGAAAACAATGTTTGGCTATAGCCACAATATTCGTTTAGTGTGTTCAGCAAACAATGGCGTCAGAATGTGTATTTAAAATCTAGAGGGATAGATGCAAATTTTGGGGTTTATTGTATATATTAGCAGCACGAAATGTTCATCTAAAGAACCTAGCTATGCTTGGTTATATCTATGCCTTGGCAAGTGGGGCGGCTCTATCCCAGTTGTGATAGCCTTGGTTGATCTCCTGTTCGAATTTCTTGATGTTGACACCGCGTTTAACGGTTTGTTTGTCGCTTCGCTCAAGGTGAGATCCTCTAGGTAGGATAATCATAGCTTCTGGGTGTTGCACTTTTGACCATGCCATAACAGTATCGTTATATTCCTCTACTGCTCTCCAGATGGTAGCTCGAGCCTTATCTTCGTTCTCAATCTTATCCCAGTTCAATTCGACCATAAGAACAGGTCCACGGCGACCATGGCCAACAAGCTGGCATTCTTCAACTTCATCTAGAGGTCGAATGGCATTTTCCCAGGGAACAGGGTTAGTATTGAGACCCATAGAGTGGATCAACATCTGATCTCGTCGACCAACATAGACATATTTTCCAGACTTGGGGGGACATTCCTCAAACACATCGTTGGTATGGTATACACCGTCCGCGGGAATACTGATGTTTGCACCAACAACGGGAGGATCGTTATACAGAAGTTCATATTGGTCCCCTTCGATGTGTTCCCATTTGCAATGGTAGTCATTTGTGGCCACAAACGTATCCCAATGCTCCTCGGTTGGCTCATTGCGAAGTGGGAATATTCCTACTTCAGTGCTTCCAATCATGGTTCTCTGAAGACAGTAGAAAATGAATGTTTAATAACGAGAGTACTAAATTTTCGACAACACTTCTCGGTCGGCCACTTACAACATTGATTCCCAAGCCTCGCAGAGCATTTGCAACTTCGCTGGATAGCTTGCCTCCCCCAACCTCTATGGATTCCAGTTTACGTAGATAGTCAAGCTCAGGGCTATTATTTTTTCCATATGTTTCCAAAATCGCTTCAGCAAGGATAGGGTGAATGACAAGACGGTCGACGTTTGGAAGAACCTTCAAGCTATTGATGACTTCGGGAAGAGTCCTATGATTACAATCTTTGGCCAATGGCAGTGCCATGGATCCCACCATATGCGCAGCCAAAAGAGCTAAGGCGCCTCCCATTCCATGGTATCTAATAACAGCTGGTCATTATTACCTCAATTTCATCACGCTTTTTTTTTTTTTCGGGGCAGCTTATACTTACATGAGCCCTGTGGTCAGGGTAGTCTTACTAATGAACAATGGTGGACCTTGTATGTAAGATTTGTTTGTAATCCAGATTGGCTTGGGAGCAGAACTGCTAGTGCCTGAGGTATGGAAAATGAAGGAGCTATCATCTCCTTCGTTCCGGGTTTTATCGTAGGCAAATGTCTTGAGATCTTTCTTCAGCTCATCGACGGGATCAAATTCGATCATGCGAACAATGTGGACACCTTCAACTTGTGCAGCCAGACTTGCAGCGCGCTCATAGAACACATTATCGGCGATCAATACCTTGGCATCTACGCTTTGCAGCAGAGATACAATACCAGCATCTGAGTTCAGAGGACTGATATGTAGATAGGCATGCTGCAATCGCTGTGCCGCAAGACCAGTCAGCAAAAGTTGGATGTTGTTAGAGCCTAACGTAGCAACGACCAGAGGAGGGTGAGGTATTGACTGCGGTGCCGTCTTACTGACGGTATTATTGTCCGCCTTTGGTAATATTTCTGCATATTGAGCAGCCAAATGATCCAATAAGACATCAGTGTCCTTGTATGTCAACGACCTGTAATGAGCAGCATTGGTCGGTTCAGGGTAGTAGAACCAAGTGTGATCTGGTAGATCCTGGGATCGATATGTAAAGATTTGGTGGAAGGAAGTAGCCTTTAGAAGATCTGTTGAGCTAGGCATGATAAGATAAATAGTATTTAATTTGATGAGATCCAAAATTTCCCCCATTTATATGAAAAATTTGGCAAAGATTTTTTCGGCCCGCTAGATTTACCCGTGAAATGCTACCATGGAAATCCCAGCAGGTCTCATTACTAACATATAGTTAGTTTACACACAGCTCAGACGTTGGCTAAGTGTCTAAACGCTATTTAGAAATCGCAAGTTCTACCGTACTGCAGACGGATAAAATTTTATCGCTTGTTGCAAAAATGGGACCACAAACGCTTGCTTCCAAAATGAAGTGAAATAGAAACATGATATCGGCTTCCCATCGGTAACACTGACCATCGTTTAAGTTCTATGATAATGCTTTAGCCAGGCGGTTGCACATTGGGGGGTAAGCGAGGACGTAATGCTGTGAAATGGCGTCGACCGTCTCACAGTTTATGCAGTGACTTTCGGAAGGTTACGCGGCAAATATGGAACAGATCCCACCGCCATGTGGTGTCATCCTCCCTTACATTCGAGCCCTCGATAAGAGAGAGGCTCAGTAAAAGACAACATGCCAGGATTGGAGACCGAGGCTGTGCAACATTTGCATTAACATGCAATATGTAATCGTTGCTATTCCTGCAAACCTGTTACCTCAAGATGCCATAAATGTCCTAAATCCTACTTCGGATAATCCTGAATGTTCACTCAGCTTAACTCAGTCAAAGCTGTGTTGCAATAGCCGATGCAACATAACCGTCGATGATGTATAGAGTGAACATGGCAGGCTGGTGAAAAAAAAAATTGTAATAGGTTTCAGGTGAAATTTCCAAGCATAGAAATAGCGAAAATGAGCGTCATTATGCACGTTGTTGCAAAGCTCCTAGTGAAAAACATAAATAAACCCCAAGCCAACCCTAATTTTTTTTTTTTTTAAATGTAAGATGATTGTTTATCAGCATGAGACCTGCATATGTACAACTTGATGTGAGAGAAAAAAATGGAAATGCTACGCTGGTATGATTACCCGTCAATGCCTGGGAAGGAAGTTTCGGCAGTTCGTTGACGGTGACGTGGGCGAGGAAGGTCAGATGAAAAGCTTTGTGGTGTTTCTGCAAGAATCGTTTCAGTATGGGGAGACGTAGTGATGTTTTGTGTTGGGAGACTGTATTTGATATCCAAATCTTGAAGCGCATCCTTGAGGGCATACATAAAGCGAGTACGTCGCTCCCAACGTTTGCCACCATCTTGCCAGTTACCCTTATGCTCGATATAAAGCAGCAGATTCAAAGTGTTCAGCTGAACGATCTCATTGATTTTAATATTGAATCCAGGCTGGAAGTCTCTGGAGTTGACAGTCAAAAATTCTTGCAACCGAGTAGAGAGTTCATGGATCTTCTCCGTTGGGGTGTTGAAGTGAACGTCGATATAAATGGATTCTCCCATGTTACCAGAGCGACGGATGTTGTTGATGAATTTTGTCATAAGGACAGTGGTAGGTGCATTAATCTCTTGACCGTCTGTTCGACTGAGAACAAGAAAAAAAACCGTCAGGGAAAATTGCAAACAGGACCGACCGACCCACCCAAAAATGCGAAGAGACTTACACAAAGGTAGTGGACATGATGCCCATGTTGGCCACCAGCAAAGTCTGTGTGTCAATGACAACATAGTCACCTGCATCATAAGGATGCTGCATGGGAAGGAAACGGGGGTCAATAGGGGTCCTTAACCTGTATGTACTCAAAAAAAGTTACATGCATAGACTTACAGTGACGAAAAGGAAGAGGATACTCTCAAAGGTATTCTTTGCAGTGTTGCCGAAAACGAAGGCAAGAGCCACCAACGCGGATCCGAAGGGTACCAAACTCTTCCAGACATCGACGCTAAAGATAGTCAAGGTAGTAAAGATAGTAGCAATGGAACTGACCATCAGCAACATAGCATCGACCTTTCCAAGAGCTTGGCTGGTATCGCGAACGGATTGTGCTAGAGCCTTTCTTTCCTTGTAAATGGACAACACGGTATCACGCATTTCTCTACGAGACAGATCATGATTTCCATCTTTGTCGAACACAGCAAACGCTTTTTCGGCTTCTTCCACAGTGGCGAAATATGGCTCAAAATCTATCAACGTCAATCTCTTCTTGTTGGGACCAAGTGAAGTAAACAATTTGCGAGCGACCTTCTTTGCAAAGTCTTCGGAATTGATATCAACCTTGGAGTCTTGAATGCGAGATCGTGCGTCCGGAGTATCTGTCAATACGATATTTTGCAATTTCTTTTGTAGTTGGGAAAAGACCACAGGTGTAGAGGCAGATGAGCGCTTGTTAGGGGTATCATGATCGCTGTATGAGTAGTTGTGAGCATCATCGGTCAAGTTGCCTTGGTCGTAGCTGGAATAACGAGAATAGGCGGGTCGACGATTTCGCATACCACTTTGGGAAGCGGAGTTAGGGGTATTGGTGTTGGTACGAGATCTTCTTTCCGCTTTACTCAGACGATCCAAGACTGTGAAAGAACAGGCAATAAAAGCATCAGTTTTCTGGACCGGCTCTTCGGAGTAAAAAACATCTTGTACTCACTTTTCAAGGCATATCGATTTTCCTTGAGACGATCATTGTAAGCAACCTTGTGGAATTTAATGGCTAGCGAGGATACATGAGTCAATCAATCAATTCTCCTGAATGACTGGGAATGTGAATGAACTTACCAATAATTTGCACAATGCCCTTTTGGATGAACAAAAACACCGTAAGGAAGAAGATGGAAGCGAACACTTTCCAAATAACGTCAGTGTAAGCCTGCTTTTGCACTGACTAAACGAAGAGTGTGGCGTTAAAAATCTGCAGCTGTCACTATTCAAATCCTGTCACCCAATCGATTTTTTCGGGGGCCCAGCTGGAAAGGAAAACCATGAATAATTAATTACCTGAAATGGGACTTGCAGCAGGAAGGCCCAACATCCCCAGTTCCAGGCAGCTACCAGTAGAATCTTGAGATATTTCTTCATACTCATATAGTACTAGCGAAGTAAACAAAAAAGTTAATTGACGGATTTTAACAAAGGGCGTTGCACGCGCCTCCGCCATCAACCCTGTTATCAAATCCCGATCTTATCCAATTACCTCGAGCTGTGATTTGACCATCTCACTTCTTCGGCCCATGAACACCTTCACCCACATACTGACGACAGAAGGAAGAGCTTCTACGAAGATGGTAGTGAACCAACCAATGATCCACATGATGGCGGACCAATACATCCAGCATTGGACATTGTTTCTGATATTCAAAAAGGTCGGTGTCGCTTCCTCTTCGGCCGAAGGGTACGGAAGTAAAAAGTGTGCGAGCATGGCAACGCCCACAAACAAGCACGAACCGACAAAGCCGATGAGAAATCGCTTGGAAAAAGGCGAGAGGTAGTGCCAGCAGCATGGTCGCTGCATGACCGATTTGATCTTTTCTCTGGTAGTGCGACGTCTTTTTGGCTTTTCTGCTTCGTTGGGATCCGCATTCCAATCAAACTCGCTGTCACTGGAGAGGACACCATCCGCGACCTCCTCTAGTACAGGTTCCGGTTCGGCTTTCTCGCTTATCGTATTAAGCTGCTCCGGTGCTGTTTTGGACCTGACCATACCGAGGTCGCCCTCGTTTTTTTCCTCCACCTCGGCTCGAGTTGTTGATACGCGCTCTGGAATTTCGTACTGACTACTATTATAACTATCCATTGGGATAGAAAAGTAAGGGTCTTCCGGTTTAGGGCCAGGATCTGTTCGGTTTTTGATTTTCCGGTTTCGAAAATAAGTTGTCATGTAATACTAACAGCATGTTGGAGAGGCATACTCACTGTCCATGAGACTCTCGCTCTCCTCAAAATCCTGTAATCTGACAGACTTGCTTTTGTGCATATCTTTCAAAGTAGAAGAAAAAGTGTGGAAAGAAAAAGAGGGTTCCTCAGTCGCTAAATATAGAGGGCTGGAGCGAACAATTGATTCGACAAGTCACAGAGCAATAAAAAAAAAATCAGCAACGTTGCAAGAAGGACCCAGAACATCACCAGTCACATTTTGATTTGTTGGAGTCGGGGAGCTGATGTTAGCTGGTCCGGTCCCCCTTTCTTTCAACGTTCTCGCCCTTTTAAAATTCCATCTCCCCCATTCTCCACCTTGTTATTGCCCTTAACTGCATTGTCCACACGCTCTCAGCCAAACGAATCGCTTAGCCGGAAAACCTTTTTGAACTAATGTATCCGATTGTATAAAGAACATTTCCGCCAGTTCCAACCTCCCAGACTAGTTCATTCGATGGACGTAATCCCAGTTCTAGCACTACTCTATATGCGGTCATATGAAGCCATTCTACTTGCCACGTGAGGTTCAAGGCATGCCAGTCGATCGCTCATGCAGAGAACAATCGCACTCCACCCAAAAATATCACGATAGAGTGGTGCAAGTATTTATGTGCTAAAGTTTTCAAGGTCTTGCCATGCTGCATCAAATACGGTTAGGCGTCAGAAAGAAGGATCTACGTTCCGATGCTTCCTTTCGCTTCCTCATTGCATCATGACAGAGCTTTGCCAAGGTAAAAAAAAAAAAAAAAGGTTTTTAGGTCCGACAAATAGCAATAAACATCATACCGCTGGCATCTCAAGCATGATCACTATGGTCGCTTTGAATTTTTTGCCGTAGGAGACCGCAAGTATATACCATCTTCTTCATTGAGCCTTGTATGATAGAGAAATAGTCAAATTTGGTGCAAATTTTGGCATGCATAAATTACCTCTGCTGGCCACGCACCCTTTCATGCGGGCCACTAAAACGCAGTATGCCATCATGCCAAGGTAGGACGCCTCTATGTAAAGATGAATGGTCTAGCTACGTCAGCCTTTACAGTGGCGAGAGCCTTTTTATTTTGTAATTTCTTTTACGCAATGACTGGTATATTTTGCAGATCTAAACTGGAACCGGATGAAGTAGGGAGGCAAATACACCAACATGCACAATGTATCTGATAACAACCTTCAACTGCTGGCAACTAGGTTTTTGGAAATAAATACCTAATGTATGTTGACGGTACCCGCCTGCATATAAAGCTTGGGACAATGATAATGGACTTTTTTAACAGCGATATAAATAACTATATTACAGCCACTTTTCAATATGGAACAAGAAGTGTTCAGGGTGGAAAGAAGAGGTTATGTCTTTGGCGAGGCGTGATGGATTTTTCCCAAATTACCTGGTTGTGACCCCTAAACTTAAAATTTGTGGTCCAGCTTTATGAAAAAGCTATATGGGCTGATTCTCTGGCGTACAGATTTGTAAAGGATTCTAGCTTGATAGTTATTCATCATGTCGTTCGCACTGTACGACGGCTTTAAATGCCACCACCCCACCAGCCCTTTTAGACAAAATCGTATGAATGTGAACTTCTTCCACAGTTTGCAATAAGTTTGGGAAAAATAAGACAGTACTACCCCCCTTTTCGTTTATTGTTTGTATTGTTCCATGCATTGCGACTCTTACCTGAATGTTACCGATTTATCCCATGTCAACCATGACAATTTAGACTAAAAACAGTCCCATATTCAGAATAAGAGCCAGTATGCGCTCTAATGTTTAGATTCCACATCCCAACTGAGGTGTGGTCTCGGCTCATGCGCGGAGAGGACAATCCTCATTTTGGCTTTGAGGCTAACACTCAGAATGCAGTTGCACAATACAAAAAAAAAAAAAAGAAAAAAAAAAAGGTGTAAATTACAATAGGATCAAATGGTAAATAGAGTAGGGTGGGGCCATTAGATCAGTGAAGCCCATCACTCCAGCCATCTATGCACTCAAGCAGCCCGGCCGACAAGATCAAACTACAGTATTCAACTTCTCATACATCTTATGATTCAGTCCTTTTTCACGCTTGCAGTCATTTACATTTGTGAATTTCAATATACCAAGCAAGCGTATCTCGATATAATACATGATTATAGTTACCACCGAAATTGCTGTCGCATTCAATGTAGCTCTTTGGTATGCTTGTGGTTTGTAAGGCTTTTTTTTCCCACATAAGGTCCACATTGACTTATCAAATACCAACTGCCATGGTGGTGTACGATGGTTGATCACAGACGTAGATAAATGACTTTGGACAGTACGTTGAGCCATGACGTATCAATGGTTGAACTAGCGAGGCGCTTGTAGCGAGCGGAAGGCATCCCATCAGGGTATATCGAATTTATATTCTTGGCAGTGATTGGCTACTGACAACATGTTCCTGCGGCGTCAATCCAGTGATTTTCAAGCCCGCTTGTAATGGATCGTTTGTGTGTAACAAAAAACGCAATTAAAAATTTGATGAGACGAGGAAATGCGAAAAGGTACTTTTGAGCTTGCATCCGTTTCTCACCTCTTTCTTTCCTCTCTTTTCTTCTTCAACGTCACCTCTATCAAAGTGTGTGATATCACCCCTTCCATTCATTTTTTTCTCTAAGAAGCTCATCACTGTTTATAATCAAACATTTTTTTTTATTTTGCAATCTCTTCCTGTGAATAATTAGTGTTTCTCTGATTTCACAAAACTCTGTCGTTACTTTATACACCAATATTCCATGAATAAGACCCCGGTATGAATACCAGCAAACCTGAATACACTACAACAGTCAAATCGACGCAGCCATATAATTATACGCCACCTATGCCGCCTTACCCCGACGACTCCAAAGCAGTAGACTCGGAATCTTTTAACACCAGCAGCAGTAATCAGTCTGAATATTCACGCGATGGCGGTAGACCCCTGCCTTCCGCCATTGTTGGTAGTAGCGGCAGTAATAGCAATGCGTCTGGTGCTACCCCCAAAAAGCGAACACGCGCTACCCCAGAGCAACTAGCTGTGTTGGAAAAAACCTTCATGACAAACACGTCTCCTAATTCACGAATGCGTAGTAACCTTGCTCAGGAGCTAGGGATGACTGAACGAAGGTACTGTTCAAAGCATGCATATCATTCGCCTCCTGCTAAAAGCATTGCTAACCACGTTTTCCCATCAACCACGCACATTTTTTTTTTCAACGCTTACTTTAATGGTCCCATCATACTGGACACAACCCCCTCATTCTAATGATCTTCCGCTGCCAACCTCCTTACTCACAGCATCCAAATCTGGTTTCAAAATCGTCGCGCCAAAGTCAAAAATATGGCGAAAAGAGCAGCCATTTTGCAAGAAGAAGCCATGAGAGCACAGTTCATGGCAGCATCCGGATACATGCCGTTTTATCCGCCGGCCTATCCATCTCGACAAGGTCATCATTATCGGCCACCTGTTCTTCCTCATCACTTTAGAAGGGCGCGTAGTAGTTCTGATGTAATGGGAGCTGTTCGTGAACGAGCAAGAATGAGAGCGCATTCAGTTGGTGGAGGATTGCTGAATCAAATGCAAAACGATATGATGCCGCCACCTACGGCCACTCCATGGTCTTCGCATTTTAGCCCATATCATCAGCAGCAGCCACATTATCAACCGCCGCCACAGCCTTCTGGCCCCGAGATCGACATTGCTGATAGGCACGTCATGTTAGGTACGCATGTTTTTGGTTTAAAGATATTCCTGTCCAAAAATAGGTCTCTACACCTTTTTTGCTATAGAGGTTTTCTCCTTAAACAGCGATCCTCGGATTCAATATTAACACACCTAAAAAAAAAAACCAGATTCAGGCATGTCACTGGATTTCTTCCCCGCCAGTACCTTGACGATCGGCACGTGGAAGAGGATGAGAATTCAATCTGCCGATCTACTGTGCCATTATTCGCTGCCATTGCGTCGTATGATATGGCATATTCAGGAACAACAGCGCTTTAAAATTGAATTTCCCTTTGATGTAATTGATCGCATTGTGCTTGTACAGGATGGTGAGCTGGGTCGCATGGACATTCAAATTCGGGATCCCATGAACGCTGTGGAATTCTATATGGAAACTGGTACTCTTGCTGATGGTTCTATTCAATGGACACAATGTCGAGATTTCACTGAAGGAAGAGAAGCTAGCCAGCAGCTGATACACAGCATAGAAGGCCATGCTATGGAACTGTCAAAACAACTCACGCGCCTGGCGTCTGTAGAATTGAATCTCGGGCCCAGAATGATTATTGACAGTATTATTCCTGTCATGGACGATCCTGCTCGAGATATGTTTTTGACCCCTGGCCCATCCTCTTCCATGGAGCCCGAAGGTTATGTTGATACCACATCCACTCTGTCACCGTCTACTACGCCTACGCCTACACTAGTCGGCCCTTACTCTCATGATATGGCTTATACAATCGATAAATCTCACCCCTCCAACCTTCCTACTACATGGGACTACTCAAATACCTCGGTTGTTCAAGACGCTCATATGCCTTTCACTTATGGGCCACACTATACATGAGATGGACACGCAAATCAAACTAAGAAAGAAAACAACATTCCATCAAATCATCTCACTTGCCCCTCCCCCTTTTTTTTTTTCTTTTCTTCTTAATCAAATCTGTGCACACTTTCTCTCCTTCGTTGCATTGCCTGTTCTTTTATTCCATTGCGATATACCATCTGGCTGGGCTGGAAACCACATCCCCCATCATAGCAAAAAAAGAAAAAAAACTTATACTGCTGTGAACGAAATACACATGTTCTTTTATTCCTCACATAAAAATCTTCTCATTGGGTCTGATCTATTTCAATAAACGACGACGCGTATCAGCAGCCAACATTTTTCTCAGTAGGCGCGCGATTTTTTTTTTTCCCTTGTCTTCGGCCTCCAAGTCTGTCTTCTACCCTAACAAGAAGTTACATACTTATCAAACCCCTTTCCCCGAAAAATTCAATATGAGAGAAGTCGTTAGTATTCACGTTGGTCAAGCTGGTGTCCAGATTGGTAATGCCTGCTGGTAAGTTTTATGCAATCTGTGTCATCCCATCTGTTTCTCCAAAACTCATGCCCGGGAACTTGGATCCCATTGTTACTAGGGAACTTTATTGCATGGAACACGGCCTTAGCCCTGATGGTTTCTTGGCACCTGATGCCATGAACGATCACTCAGCTGACACATTCTTCTCGGAGACCAGCAACGGAAAGCATGTTCCTCGTACTGTGTTTGTCGACTTGGAACCCACCGTTATCGATGAAGTCCGCACTGGCGCCTATCGTCAACTCTTCCACCCTGGACAATTGATCACAGGAAAGGAAGATGCTGCCAACAACTATGCCCGTGGTCACTACACCATTGGCAAAGAAATCATTGACCCCGTCATGGACCGCATTCGTAAGTTGGCTGATAACTGTACCGGTCTCCAAGGTTTTCTTGTCTTCCACTCCTTCGGTGGTGGTACCGGTTCTGGTTTTGGTGCTCTGTTGATGGAGCGCTTGTCAATTGATTACGGAAAGAAGTCCAAGTTGGAATTTTCTATTTATCCCGCCCCTCAGGTTTCCACCGCTGTCGTTGAACCTTATAACGCCATTTTGACTACTCACACCACTTTGGAGCACAGCGATGTATCTTTCATGGTCGATAACGAAGCTATCTATGATATCTGCCGTCGCAACTTGGATATTCAGCAGCCTTCTTACAGCAATCTCAACCGTTTGATTGCCCAGGTTGTCTCCTCCATCACCGCCTCTCTTCGTTTTGATGGTTCTCTCAACATGGATTTGAATGAGTTCCAGACTAATCTTGTCCCTTACCCTCGTATTCACTTCCCCTTGGTTGCCTATGCTCCCATCATTTCTCCCTCCAAGGCCCGCCACGAATCTCTCTCCGTTGCTGAACTCACCAATGCTTGCTTCGATGCTAACAACCAAATGGTCAAGTGTGATCCCCGTAACGGTAGATACATGGCCTGTTGTATGTTGTATCGTGGTGATGTTGTTCCCAAGGACACGTATGTAGTTTTTATATTGGGAGTTGGTTTTAGGGGAACGGCATTTATCTAACTTTTTATTTTTTTCCATCATTTCACTTTTGCTTTCTTCAGCAATGCTGCTATTGCCAACGTTCGATCCAAGCGCACTGTTCAATTCGTTGACTGGAGTCCTACTGGTTTCAAGATTGGTATCAACTATCAACCTCCCACTGCTGTTCCCGGTGGTGATGTCGCCAGTGTCACCCGTGCTGTCTGTATGCTTTCCAACACTACTTCTATTGCCGAGGCTTGGGCTCGCCTTGACCACAAGTTTGATCTTATGTACGCTAAGCGTGCTTTCGTTCATTGGTATGTTGGCGAAGGTATGGAGGAAGGTGAATTCTCTGAAGCTCGTGAGGATTTGGCTGCTTTGGAGAAGGATTACGAAGAAGTTGCCATGGATTCTATGGCCATGAGCGATACCGAAGAAGTCGAAGAATATTAATTATACTGCTATGACACCATCCCTGCCATCTTATCCAGTACAGTAATAATAAAAAAACCCTTTTTTTCAAACGAAAAAATTGGCGAGCTTTGTGTGCAAAATGGTCCCAATTTATTATCTGCCCCCCACCATATTTTGGTCACCATTGCACAAAAAATTGGCTGACTTAACATGATCTACCGAGCTACTCAGTTCATCATGAAAGCAAGGGAAAACATTGAGACCTCATAATAAATAGATTTCACCAACCAAACCGTTGCCTCACATTGAGAATAGTCTGTACTCTTCTGCCATCACGTGTACCAAATAACCTTTTTTGTGATTCCGCTGAGACAAAAAGGTACCCCCAACCGGATCTCAGCTTTGCATCCGTCAACTGTCCAAATGGCCCAACTAATGACTTCATCACAACTTCGCATGCCTCTTACTGTTCGTCGAATACTACGGATTTTAACCGATCCATACTTCCTGTCGTTAGCCATTCCAGTCTGCGTTACAGGGACCGTATATGGAGTTTGGAAGCTGTACTGGCGAAGAAAACGTAGGTGAATTTAGTAAACGAATGACTGCCTGGGATAAACAGAGTGGGGTAGTATCGTTGATATGCCCTAAAAGCGAACGATTGGTATGTTGCTCGAAAAACTTGGCAATATTAATCTCCCCACGAATTCTTTTCCACCGTATAGTTCCTCAACGAATTCTAGACCAGCACACCGTACAATACTTCAAATTGGTCGAAAAACTCCCAGTCTCTCACAACACCGCTATGTAAGTGCAGCCTGTGTATAGTATGATATCAAGCTGCATCGCTCTGACCCCCTTTTTGTCCCAGTTATCGGTTTGCTTTACCATCCAAGACCGCGGTCCTCGGTCTGCCAATTGGACAACACATTTCTCTAGTAGTGGATGTAGATGGAAGAAGTGTTTCAAGAAGCTATACACCTACCAGCCAGTTTAATACCCAAGGACATTTCGATCTTATGATCAAGGTAACTCCCGTTTAAATGCGTGCCTTGTTTGCCGTGCTTGCTGACGGATAATCCATCTTCCAGTCATACCCAACTGGAGCGGTCTCAAGTTTCGTAGCAAAGCTAGATGTTGGCGACACTGTAGGTGTGAAAGGACCAAGAGGCGCCTTCACATATACACCGAGAATGGTGAGGGAATTAGGCATGATCGCAGGTGGAACAGGAATTACCCCCATGCTTCAGGTAAGCTTTACGACCAGTTTATGCATCCGAATGTTCCTTGGTAGAGAGATATTCACCGAACCCTCTTTCTTTCATGCTAGATTATTCGCGCTATTCTGAGCAACCCTCATGACCCTACGAAAGTATCTCTCATTTTCGCAAATGTGACAGACGACGACATATTGTTACGAGAGGAGCTTGATGAGCTGGCAAAGCGACATGACAATCTGAAAGTATACTATGTATTGAATAATCCTCCCGAAGGATGGACCGGTGGAGTGGGGTTTGTAACGAGAGAGATGATTGAAAGATGGTTACCTCCGCCAGCTAAAGATATCAAGATCCTACTCTGTGGGCCGCCTGCAATGATGAAAGCCATGACCCTCCTCACCAATGAAATAGGATATGAGCCTACTAGACCAGTTAGCAAACTGACAGATCAGATATATTGTTTTTAGATTGAATACTTGTCATATAATTTTGAACCTCATGTAACGAATATTTTGAGAATTTTCATCCTCCATCTTTTTTTTTTTTTTTTTTACGCCTGTGCTAAAATCTTGATATACAGTTCGGAGTTTCGCCATCTCTACAGTTTCCTTTATTACTACAGCTTTTTGCAACAGCAATGCTGCGATTCACACCCCCTAATGTTCGTCGCGCGGTCAGCATGCTACCTCGTGGCGCTTTAGCCTATAGGGCTTCTGCTTCAAAGGCTGCTCTCCCTTCCTTAGCTGTGTCGCTCCGTCGCTATGCCACGGAATCAGCTGCTCAAGTCGACACCAAAGGACCCACCAAGGTTGTCCACTATACTGTTGACAAGTATCCCGGTTACGAACGAGACACCCGCTTTAGCCAGGTAAGGGCAATCATAGGTTAAAAAATAACCTCTTCGATTGCTTCTGACATGATCAACTTCTCTAGCTCTCGCCTGACCATGTCGAACACTTCAAATCCATTGTCGGTGACAACGGTATGATTTACGACAACGATGATGATCTTTTCGTTTTCAACACAGATTGGATGAACAAGTATAGGGGAAAGTCTAAGTTGGTTTTGAAGCCAAAGACTACTCAACAGGTCTCTGACATCATGAAGTATTGTAACGAAAACAAGTAAGTTTTGCCCTCCCCCACCTCCACCTCGAGCATATGTTTGATAACTAAATGGTCTCAAGGTTGGCTGTTGTTCCACAGGGTGGAAATACTGGTTTGGTTGGCGGCTCTGTCCCCGTGTTCGACGAAATCGTTCTCAGCCTTGCCAACATGAACCAAGTCCGTAGCTTCGATGCTGTCTCTGGTAAAGTACCATTCCCCTCGATGTAAACATGTGTGGTTCGCGAAGTGTATATATTGATTGCGTCTGTAGGTGTCCTTGTCAGTGATTCTGGATGCGTTTTGGAAATTTTGGACAACTACCTTCATGAGAAGGGCTACATTATGCCTATCGATTTGGGTGCTAAGGGAAGGCAAGTATCGTTCACCTATCATTACTCTGTTATCATAGGTTAACAGTCTAGTTTCTTTACAGCTGTCATATTGGCGGTAACGTAGCAACAAATGCAGGTGGTCTGCGATTGCTTCGTTATGGATCATTGCACGGAACCGTCCTAGGCTTAGAGGTTGTGTTGCCTGACGGTACCATTCTCGAAAATCTTTCCACTCTACGCAAAGATAACACTGGTTATGATCTCAAGCAACTCTTCATTGGATCAGAAGGTACCCTCGGTGTCATCACCGGTGTGTCTATCTTAACACCTCGTAAGCCCAAGGTAAGACTTCCAGAGTGATCTGATATTTCAAGCAAAGGTTGAGGAACTAATAATGACATCCTATCAGGCTGTCAACGTTGCATTGCTCGGTGTCAATTCATTCGAAGATGTCCAAAAGGCTTTCAAGCAAGCTAAATCCGAAGTGTCTGAAATTTTGTCTGGTATGTTGTAGTCGTAGCAGTGTACTTGGTGATTCGTTGCACCCCCCAATCTTTTATTTATTTACCAATACCTCCCAGCATTCGAGTTTTGGGATACTAATGCATCTAAGATGTTCAAGAAGCACAGTGATGTGAAAGGTGCTCTCTCCGACGAGTATCCTTTCTACGTCCTCATCGAGACCAGTGGTTCAAACAAGGATCATGATGATGAAAAATTGAATGGATTGCTCGAGAACTTGATGACCGATGAAGTTGCTCTTGATGGTGTCGTTGCTCAGGATGAGACTCAGATCCGAAACTTGTGGTCCATGCGTGAAGGTATTCCTGAAGCTCTTAGCAAGGAAGGAGGCGTTTTCAAATATGACGTTTCCCTTCCTGTGCCCCGCCTCTACGAATGTGTCGAAGACATGAAGAAGCATCTCACTGAACATGGTGTTTATGGAAAGGATGACTCTCCCGTTGTAGAGGTTGTCGGTTACGGTCACGTTGGTGATGGCAATTTGCATTTGAACATCGCTACCAAGACCGTCGATACCAAGATCATGAACATTATTGAACCATATATCTTTGAATGGGTTTGTAAGTAGACCAGCCTCTGACTGACTACGTCTTGTTACAGTATAAACTCATATCTTTCTTTTACAGCAAAGGAGAACGGATCAATTTCTGCTGAGCATGGTAAGTTATTATACACTTTATATTCCGTCCTTGTAATTTCACCACTCTAATGACTTGTTTCATCAGGCCTTGGACTTCAGAAGGGCAAGTTCTTGCATTACTCCAAGTCAGATGCTATGATACAGTTGATGCAGACTATCAAGAAGACTATTGATCCTAATGCTATCATGAACCCTTACAAGTATCTTCCCCAGAATTGAAGTTGTAATAGTGACTACGTCTAGTAGTAAACCGGATTTTCCAACACAATGTACAAAGGGTACACATTCAATAAAAAAAGCCCGCTGATTTGAATTTTTTCCCCTCCACCCGCTGTCAAGTTTTGTTGAAATCCAGCATTCACAGAATGGCAACTACTGAGACCATGAACGGACAGGAGCAGCACCCACATGAAATGACCGAGTATAATGGCACCCATAGACTGTTTATGCAGTCTATGCTATCGCATCGTATCCTGGAGGAATCTCAGGCCGAAGTGATCTACGAAAAGATCTGCGACATGCTCAACGGTAAGACTTCACGCGTGGTCCACCAATGACATCAACATTATACCTCAACTTTAGGTCTCCTTTCATATTTAAGCCGACAAAGCTGATTTTGGTGACTTTGTTGCTGTTATCAACAAGGAGATCTCGGATGTTGATCTCGCCCTGAGACGGACAGTCGATGAATACAATAGCAGTGCTATCATCGCTCTGGTATGACTATGAAATTCCAGATGAACCCTGTTTTCCTCTCCCTTTTAATTCTGTTCGTCATGTGTAGGTGAATACCAGAGGTGACGAAGTGGCACAGCTTGCAACAACCTATACTGCAAATGAGATTGGATTTTTCAAGCGAGTGGTAAGGCGCAAAGTTCAATGGGACGTAAAACACGCAAAATACTGATTCTCCCGGTGGTTGATGATCAGCTGGAGTTGATTGTTACCGCAGACGATGAAGCGTTTTCTCTCGGTTCCATGGCGGCTATACGCGAAGGTCCAAAACTAAAACCCGCCTTTTCACAACGAGAAACGGAGGAGCTTCTCAACAAGCTGGTAGCTGACAAATGGCTGATGAGACGAAGGTATCGATTATGTTCCGTGTGTATGAAGTGGCTTATAATCATGGGTGTATTGATCCATTCAATTTCTTTTACCGATATCGTAGAGATGGATACTACGTGTTGCATATGCGAAGCATCATTGAGCTACAAAATTATCTCAAGGAGACGTTTGAGAATGAAATTCACGAATGTCTAATGTGCATGGAAATTGTTACGGTGGGAGAGAGGTGCAGTCAAGGTCGATGCGAAGTTCGATTGCATACACACTGTGCAGCAGGTTACTTTCCGGAGCAAGACAATGGGTCCGAGATCAAGTGTCCGACTTGCGGGACTACTTGGGCGAGGGATAATACCATCGGCACAATTAGACAATGATTCTATGTTCAGCACGAACAGGATCAAATGTCTTTTCAGAACCAAGACACGAAAGTAGAAACCCTCTCATCATTGTAAAAAAAGACATCCCTACACTCCACTCCATTTGTACATCCCTCATTTTTTTTTTATAACCATTCTTAATAACTGCCTCGTATTTCTACGTACGATAATATCTTCCACTACTGTCGTGTTAATCCTCGAAGCGACACATCGTATACGACCTCTTCTATGCGCTTCAAATCGTATTTAAGGCTGTCAAACCTAGATAAACCGATATTTTAGCGCATACAATGACACCTAACATAGATAATCCACAACAGAAATGGCGCAAACCTCTTTCGTAAATTATCATTCTTCAAGTTCAAAAGTTGAAATCCTGCCATCAAGTCCTTGACAAAGCTGGATATCCTGCGTGGTCGATCGTAGTCTCCACTAGTGACTGAATTGACAGCAAGCCGGGACTTTTTCCTTCATATTAGACAATCTGTACATAATAAAGCGGAACATTGTTCACCACAATCTGAGGACTGCGTACCAATTCATTTGCCACACTGATGAAAGACTGGAGTACGTCTTCGTATGGTATGTGCAACCCAAGCAATTCATTCTGGATATCGACCTTTACTGTAATGAAGGCATAAATATGTATTGCGTGGGCGGGCTGTCATTGCTTCGGCATACATACACTCTAATGCATCTTGGAATTCTGCGATGGTTGGAACTCGCTCATGCTTCAAATAGGTTGAGAAGGCCACTAGAAACAGGATTTGCTGTTGTAGCCAAGATGTAGGGTGAATACTGGAAGAGATGACCATGCTGGTTTCAATAACTTGCACTTACTTGCAGTGTTCCTCTCCAGAGATCACAGTATCTGAAAATCATTTTGTCAGTATTGCGGAACTAGGAGTTGCAAGCCATCAATTCATACGCTCGTACTTGTAATATTGAGTCTCAGGCACCAGCTTGTCTAATGTTTGCAATAGCTCCCTTAGAGGCTCGAAATCCACTGTGGGTACTATCCATATGACCCAATATCAGTTTTTTACCATGTTTCATCAACTATAGGTAGCACTATTACCTGGCCCAGTCGGATCGGCATGTATACGATTCAAATATGCGATTTGAATGCGCGCCGTACGATCGAGATCTCGTACAATTTGTCGGATTTCCTGTAGGATAATGGAAACTCTTAAAAGCCTAGTGAAGGCTGCATAAGTTACTTTTAACCCCTTACATCTTTGCGAGCCGTCTCTTCATCGAGTCTTTGCTGGATCTGCTCAAACACTTGGTGGTCTAATGTCGCCATACCATAAACTCCGTGATACGGGTGCAACAGTGATTGTTTTATGCAGGTTGAAAATTACCGCTGTGTTGACATTTTATTTACAATACATGATAAAATCCATACAGATAGCTACAGCAGTCTGTTCTATTTGTCTTTATTATTTCAATCCAGATAGCTGTGGCAGATTTATCTTAGCAATGTTACATGGTCGATATTGACATGAGAGACATTGGCAGGTATCCGTTTCTATCAATGACACTCTAGATTGTGCTTCATACCACTGGTTCATAGAAAAGTGGATATTCGATGTCCTAGAGACTGACAGTGGATGACAATGAGATACTAACTTGATCCACGACCAACATGTGAAAATTTAAACATGCCTTTTTTGGGCAGCTTTGAGATATCCCAACGTTTGACTCCTCACCTGTTCATTCTAACAACATTGCAATGCCTATGACGCCAAAGAGGAAGCGAGCGTTGAACAATGTCATAGACAGCTTTATCCACTGGATGGGGAAGTTCATTACCTTCTTATTCTCATTCCTCATCGGTCCTGGAATGGCAAGTCTTCTCTTAACATATCGTTGACTGATAAGCGACTTCAATCATAACAGCCTTCGCGCCCTTTCTTTAGGCCATGTTGAATAACGTCCAAAGTCACAAAATAGAAGATCAATTACAAACGCAGCTTAAGACTTCATCAAATTACAGAGACTGGCGAGCACAGGCTCAGCGGCTAGACAAGTAGGTTCATCACCGCGTTCCGACAGAAATGTGACTTTTTGCTCTCTCGCTTAAATTAATTCATTCATTCACCTTGCAGGATGCTTGGTAGGATATGAATGGCGATTATTAATTTATTTTTATATATCCTAACATGCTTCTGCTGATAAGGAAATGATGGCTGGAAAGCTGATCCCAATTCAAAGCTGTATGATCGATTGTTGATCGAGTATCGACTTCGACATTTAAAGCAAGTTCGAAGGAAGAATGATGTCAACGACATTATATACACTTTGAGAGGTGGCCTTCTGAGAAATTTTGGCGGAATTTGCGATAGAAAACTGTTTACACGTTCATATATTGGGTAAGGATATGTTGCATTGCTGTAACCTGTGTGAGCTTCGGCATTAACAACCGTTATCACTTGATAGCACCAAGTCATTGATAGAAGATTATATGGATGAGGTCGTTTCTCAATTGGAATACGTTGAAACAACAGGAGAGCTGGATCCACAGACGAAGCTCAAGTTCTTTATGGATACACGACAGAGTTTTGGATGCTCGGCTTTAATATTGCAAGGCGGTGCCACCTTTGGTACGTCCAATACTTTCCTTTTTTTTTTTTTTCTTTGTGGTGGCGACAACCAAGGCTTCAGAGACTTATTTTACTGACGGATTCACCTGCAGGTTTATATCATATTGGAGTTGTAAAAGCCTTGCATGAGCGAGACTTACTACCACGTATCATCAGTGGTACTGCAGTTGGGGCACTGATCGCTGCGTTGATATGTATTCATACAGATGAAGAGCTTCCGGTAAGTTTCAGATGAGCGTCAAAGTATAAACACCTCCTGTTCCTAACTTCAATATGTACAGAATGTTCTCAAGCCAGATGGTATTAATTTAACAGCTTTCTCAAAAAAGAGCCCCAAAGGGTAAGTTCATATTGCAGCTCCAATGTATTAAACGCACACATATTTATGCAATGCTTAGCAACGTAAGAAGGAGAATAACAAGGCTATTGAAATACGGTAAATACATCTATGGAATTATTACTCTCAACGTATTATGTCCTCACAGCGATATGTCATATTTCGTATAGGACATTTGATGGATATAAAAGTTCTTCAAGAGTGTGTTCGCGCTAACGTCGGCGATCTCACTTTCGAGGAAGCATATGATCGAACCAAACGAATATTGAACATCAGCGTTTCTTCTAGTAGAACACTTGAGGTTCCACAGCTGTTGAACTACTTGACTGCACCCAATGTCGTATGTGTCCTTTCTAATGAAGCAAATACCCTAATATGTTATCATTAGCTTCATCAATTAACCTTTACCTTCTTCCTGCAGCTCATTTGGAGCGCTGCCTGCTGCTCTTCAGCATCCATTGGTTTGTTTGGAAGTAGCGATTTGCTGGCTAAAAACAAGAACGGCGACATTGTTAAATGGAGTTCGTCTGCGGTGAAGTGGAATCACTGGACCGAAGCTAGTGCGGCAGAGGGTGAAGCGCCTTTACTCCGTCTGTCCGAATTGCTGAATGTCAACCATTTCATTGTCTCACAAGCAAATTCTTACTTTATACCGTTTGTGAGCAACCAACCTAATGCGCAGCACGACACTCTCTTCCATAAAGTTGTTTACATCATAGCGTCAGAGACCCGGCATCGCTTATTTCAGGTAAATATGCTTGTTTATTTCTCTTTATATGCCAGCCACTGCAGTGCCCCACTAATCAAGGTTTACAGCTCAATCAAATAAACCTATTGCCTCGAGTATTACGAGGGGTGATTGAAGAGAAGGTGTCAGGCGACGTGACAATCGTTCCGTCTCTTTCTCTAAAGGTAATCTAGAATAATTTGATCGTGAATCATCCAACAGCATCTCATACCTTGCTACATAGGACTTTAGCACTGTGTTTGCCAACCCTACTCAATCCTTGTTGGGTTATTGGTAAGAAAGCGATATCAGAATATGCTGATCTATGAATAAAATTTTGCGAATCGCTAACCCTTCCTCTAATGCACAGGATACTGAAGGGTGAGCAGTCTACATGGCCACTCATCTCATTAACGGAATCACGTTGTAAAATCGAACTAGCACTTGATAGAGGTAAGAGTCATGTGGCGGTACTAAATTCGCTTTATATCATATTGATCTGTCCGTTACAACCATTAGCACTTCTAAGGATGCGAGCCACTTCCGAAAATGCACCCATCATTGTGCACAACAAGGTGTTCAGTCATAAGAAACGAGCCAAATCGATGAACTGATGTATAAAGCTAGACAGCACAGAACACTTGCAATCAATAGATAAATCAACTGTCAACCACAGTAATTATTTGAAATTTGAATGTGAACATGGCATTTTGTTATCTATTGCGTGAATCATATTCCAAAAAGCGTGCAAATGTGAAGAGAATGTAAAAGGGGACAAATGTACAGTTTTAAAAAGATATCTGAAGGGAGAAAGCTTAGATTACAGCAAGAAAACTACAGCAGATTAATAAACGAGCTTCTCATCCTAAAAGAGTGGAAAACATGGGTCAATAACAAAGCCAAAATAAAGAGAGGATCAAATAGCAGGCAGGCATCATGATGACTTACCAATTGCTGAGCTTCCTTGAAGCACTCCTCGTAGAGTTCCTTATAATCTTCAAAATCCTTGTCATTCTTCTTGCCAGCGACAACCATGATGCAGGAAGTAGGTCGCTTGGTAGAAGCAGCAGTACCAAGATCCTCCTTGGAAGGAATGAAAACGTATGGAACTTGTTGATCCTCGCACAAAACGGGGAGATGGGTGATAACGTCGATTGGTGAGATGTCACCAGCAATGATAACGAAACCCTTCTCACCCTTGCGAACACCCTTGACAACGTCCTTCACACCACGTCTGACCTTCTTAGCCTTGGAAGCTGTGGGAAAAGCAAAAAACACCGGTTAGTATATAGAGGACAGACGTAAAAGGCAAAGCAGACGTGCAGAGAGAGAGATCTATGCAAATCAAGAACGCAATGAATCATAATATGAAATCGGGATGCGCACCTTTCTTGACAGTCTTCAAAAGCTTCTTGTTGAGTTTCTTTTCGGCAAGAGGATGGGCAATAGGAGCAATGTCCAAAACTCTGGTCTCTTCCTCGTTATCGGATCCTGCAGATTGCTTGACCTTCTTTTCCTTCTTTTCCTTGCCCATGTTTATAATGTGTTGAAAGGGTTAATGAATCGAATCGCCGCTGTTTCGTCTAGAAAAAAAAAAAAGCGTTTGGGACTTCACCTTTGACAAGCCACCCGGTCCCCGAAAAAATTGCACACATTAATTTGATCAGCGAATATGGACGGCTTTTTCTTGGTGGACCGCGTGCCTCCGACGTTGCTTTGAGATATTCAGCCTAGATGGCTTTTACAAACATGCTCTGCGGTAAAACCATGTAATGGAGAAGATTATATATATATCAAATCATAAAAGCCGTGCTTCTTACTCGTTATAATGGAAGAAAATCAGTCAATGATGTACGAGCGAGTTCAGTTGAAATTATCTGGTAGCCCATGCGTGGAATGATATTCTATGCCAGGATATCTTAGCTGTCAGTCATATCATTCAATGCTTTCTCTTCTAGTTTCCTCTACTAATTGCACAACTTTGCATAGTAGTGTGAAGTACTGTCGTTATTTGCACGGACTGATACCAGGCTATGGCGAAAAATAAACTCCGCGGTAAGGCTGCTAAATTTTGAAGCTGAAAATTGCCAGGCGCGTTTCCAGACACGACTTGTCGGCACACTACGCGATGGACGATTACGACACATTCTCTGCAGCTCAAGATGAGCAAATCTCGTCAACTCAGTTGGACCCGTTAGCTCCAACTGACCCTACATTACGTGCAGAACAGGAAAAAGACAAGACGAAAATAAAAAAGAGAACAGCAGCCATCTCACTTGACCCCAAGCTGTAAGTGTTACTGCTCAGGCTTACGCTTACATAGCTTGAAAAGCGACTGAAACGATTGCTATGGCAGCCTTTTAGGAGACAAGGGCCTTTCACGGCTTCGGCGACAAGGAAAAGTCATGAAGTTTTATGGCAAAGGACGCGAGGTAATGGAGCGGCTGGTATCGAGCAGTAACATCAATTGGTTTACTTATCCCGGTTTATCATGTTCTACCACACATTAGGATGAAGACTTGAAGCGGATCATGGAATTTTACCAAATGTGGGCTCATAGCTTGTACCCACGTCTAAACATGAAGGATTTTTCTGACCGAGTAGTCAAGGTTTGCAGCAAACGCCAGTGCAAGGTACTCTCACACATTATGCGATATGCTTCTTTTCCCATATGGATGCTAATGCAATACTGCTTCTCACAGGAAACACTGAATGTATGGAGACAGGAGTTGGTAGAAAACAAATCAGTAGAAAGCATGGAAGGCGGATTTACAGGAATAACCATCGAAGGTAAATTGACTGTGCACCAGGTTACGTGCTAGCTGAAACGAAGACTTTTTTCCTCACATATGCTATACAGATGATGCCAATGAAACGAATGCTAGCAGAAGTGCCGGTGTAGATGATATCTGGGGGGTAAGTACACGTTTTTCAAGTACTCTAGTCATGAAAACCCATAGCTGATCTGACGCTGCTTCAGAGCGCTGCAAATCCCCCAACCGATCCATTTTTCCAATCGCTAAGCCCATCGTCGCCGCCGCCCAGTGTTTCTACGGCATCGACTGATCAACAATCTGTGTCATTGACGGAGGAGCAGAAGAGAAAAATAGACGAAAATAGGTTGAAAGCCCTCGCCAAACGACGTGCGCAAGTTTCCAATCCCACATCGACTCCATCAAATCAGACACAGGAGATGCACTGGGATGAGTTAGAAGATATGGAAGCTCAAGCGGAAGAAGAGTACGAAGATCCTGCAGAGGAATACGTCTAGTTATATGTATCATAGTTGAAATTTGACATTGGATTTATAACCTTTGTCAATCTTGTATATTGTCGTTTAAATAAACAAAGAAAGAACGAAAAAGGGAAAAAGTCAAAGAGTTGGGAAGGATACTTCTTGGTAAGGGTTGGTATATGTGCAAAGAAGAAACAGAAATTCAAAAAAAGATATACACAATAGAAAATAAAAAAGAGCAAGCATTTAACCTTTACGAAATGCGTTATGAAAAATGGGTTGCTTGCTTAGACTTGAGTCATCCTCTGTACTTTGACATTCTTATCATCATCTACGATGTTCTGGGCAACCGCAGCGTCATCTGCAGCGATGGCCGCAGTAACACCATCTACTTGATCTTTAGTAAAATACATGGGAGGCTTTCGTTGCAGTACAACCTCACGGTCTATGACAACGTGCTTGATGTGTGAATCAGGAGCCTCGAACATTGGATCGAGAAGCAACGATTCCTATTGTGAAAAAATGGGTTAAACCATCGTAACATCCATGTTGACGTGAGATAGCGAACGATCACTTACCACAATGCGTCTCAATCCACGAGCACCCGTTTGTTTCTCAGAGGCTTTGCGTGCAATTTCCTCCAGGGCAGAGCTTGTGAAATGGAGGCCAATGTCATTGAAACCGAACAGGGTTTGATATTGTCGAATGAGCGAATTCTTAGGTTCAGTCAATACTCTGATAAGGTCACGAATCGACAGGTTCTTAACCGAGGCTACCACAGGTAAACGGCCAACGAACTCTGGGATGAGGCCATACTTGATTAAATCTATGATGAAATGATCGTTTAATACTGTTTCACAAATATTGCGGTATCTTTTGCCAGTACAACTTTTGTTTTAAAAAAGTGAAACTTACCAGTAGGCTCGACATCATTCAGGATATGAGGTACATTTTCGCCACTGTTTTTGATATCTTCACTGCTCTTGATGGGAGCATCGAACCCAATGGACTACACGAGAGATGTTTTACCATTAGTAGATGTTTTTACAACTGCTGCATTATCTTTTGTTTAGTCCCAAAACTCACTCCTTTGGCGATGCGATCACTGATAATCTTGTCCAGACCAATAAATGCGCCACTTAGGATAAAGAGAATGTTGCTAGTGTCGACAGAGTACACTTCACCTTTGGAGTTGTTTTGCCCTGGACCCAATCCAGCCCCAGCAGCCGGTGGCTTCTTGCTCGAACTACTGGCGCCTGTCTTATCTGTTACATTGACGATGGTACCTTCTAGCATACGCAACAATGCCTGTTGTACACCTTCACCAGAGACATCTTTGGACGCAGAGTTCATATCGGATCTTCTCGAAATCTTGTCAATTTCATCAATGAACACGATACCAGACTCAGCTTTCTTGACATCGAAATCGCAACTCTAGATAGACCATGTGTGAACATCCAGTATAGCTTTGCACATGATGCATTGCTTCCGTCTGTAGACTTACCTGTAACAATCTGTGAATAACAAGCTCAACGTCCTCTCCTACGTAGCCAGCCTGAGTAAACGGGGTAGCATCCGACATGGAAAACGGTACTTGCAAAACCTTGGCCAACGTTCTGGCTAACAGTGTTTTTCCTAAAATCGTGCATGAAATAGTCAGACCACCAGCTCGCACTTCCAGTCGATCCGTAATTCTCCCATACCTGAACCAGTCGGTCCTACAAGCAGCACATTGCTCTTATCCAAGGTTGGAGCATCTTCTCCTGTGGCGGACATTATTTTGGCTTCATTCTGGCTTCTCTCGTTGGTGTTAGAGTTTTGTGAAGGTGGGTTTATCCACCCTCGTCGTTGCCATGAGGAATTGGATATATACTGCGGAACCACCGAAACTATATACGGAATTGTGAGTGCTCAGAAACCTTACTTCGCTACCGCCTTTCCCCATCACTTACATCTGCCATACTTATCGTAAATGATACGATCAGTAGGAACCAGTTCTGTGCCATTCGCATTCGGAGTGTAGTAATCTGCCTGCTGCTGAGATGGAATAGTTGGATGATGCTGGTGCTCTCCTTGATATCGATCGTCCAATTCAGCAGTAGGGGGATAAAGCTCTTGCCTAAGTTGTTGATCATCTTGCTGTAATGTGACGTTGGACCTCGTACGGTTATAATGATTGTATACAGCGACTGCTAATATCCGTTTGGCCTTTGTTTGCCCAATGACAAAGTCGTCAAGGTGCTTAACAATCTGTGAACCAATGAGCGGCGGAGATTAGTTGAAACTTTTTCGTCGTGTGATTTTTCGGACATTACAGCGGATAGAAGGTTGGTAATGCACGGAGATACTTACAGTTCTAGGATTACTGACAGAGGCACTGACAGATTCAAATGCATTGACATATTGCGCGTTAGCCATGGTATCTGCAGGAGCCCCACTGCCATATTCATATTGGTCATAGCCTGCAGATGACGCTTCTTTCTGCTGTGAAGACCGTGTAGTAAGGGCGGCAAAGGGCTTTGGAGATGGCGGCGGTTGTTCATTACCAGCTTCACCTTTGTTGTTATTACTTGTAGACTTCCAACGTAGCTGAGAGCCTTGACGTGATGCAGACTTGGTATCTTCCCAACGGCTCAGTGCCACAGAGCTGATATATCGAGAACGAAAGCACCCTGTAGTAGGCAATAGCAACCGTCGGGTGGAGGAATGAGTCAAGTAGGAGCTTTTAAGGTAAGAGCTTTTGAAGGAATGCATAGTGGTAAATGCTTGATTGAAGGTTCTCATGGGGACAGAGAAAACAGCAAGTGAAGACGACGACCCTTTGCCTTGCTATGTTATTGGCCGTGGTCACATGCCTGGGGGTTTTGGAAATGGCAGGATTGATTACCAAAAACAGGCTTCTGATTAAGAGATCATCCCAGTGGGTTTTCCTTACTTGCTGGAAGCAAAGCTGTCTGAAGTTGGTTGCTTCATACATGGTTTGAACGAATAAAGACATCATACAGAAATGCAATGGATGACTTCGTATGTCACAATAGCTTATATAACTGGCGCTATTTCTGCATCCATGGATCTGAGTCGTCAAGTAGATTAAACGTCACTGACCTGCAAAGAACATTCACATTTTGCACTACAGTTTATGATTACAATGAGAAGTGAGATGAGAGAATATGTGTATGGTACGTTGCCGTATGACGCCAGATCTATAACTGTATGGTCTAGTGCAAAGATATTTTTCTGCCTTCAAGTCTAGATAAGAGTTCAACTGAACTATCATCTGTAAATTCGATTGACGTTATCAAGATTGGACCAATGTAAGATCAGCATGGTTCTTAAAGGTATCAATCGAAGTACACTATCATTGGATAGAACTCCACCTTTCACCGCTTGTTCCACAGGTTCCAACTCAATCAGATCGGTGAATTTGTTTTGGGCATGCTAACAAAAAGGCAAAATTGCAGCTTCATCATTTGCTGAAGTGCATAGTTCAGGTACCATTGCACACAAGATACATTGGGTGTTATACTCTGACCATGAATACCCGATTTTAGTCTCAATTGACTAGGCGATGAGAAACAGGTACTTTTGGTTTTCGTCGAGATAAAACGCTCACGCACAGAAATGCCGGAAACTACTGTGCTATGCGCTTGTAAATGTGAACTATGGCTAGCATACAATGTCATTATTGAAGTGTCTACGAGGAAGGCATTTCTCCGCGGCATTTGATTGGCGCTGTATGTTGCTTACCACATTGTAAATTTGTGGTAAATCATTGTTTAATTTTTATTGGCTGTGAACCTGATCAAATTGAGTCGGCTGCTGCCCAAAAAAGAAGTGAAGAAAAAAAAAGTTTCAGTGTCGTACATGTCAGAGATTGGCCATGACCACCATCGACAGTAATCCAAGTTCATCTTCAGCAAAGCTTGCAGTACCGTCTGCTAATGCAAGCGATGGTAAAAGCACCGGCGGTCGTGCTCGAGCATTCTCCTTATCAACCATCATGGCTGGTAGAGCCCGCCGATCTTATTCGGTATCATCAGCTTACCCACCTACCAGCAATCCAAGTTTGTATCTATCCCCTCCCCGCTCATCGGGGGACCACACCTTCAGTATAAATGCAGATATACCGTTGCCATATCCTCCCGGATCGTCCCCTTTGAGCGATGTTACAAAATTGCAACAGTTCAGTTCACTCTCTGTATCTGTGGCACAAAGAAGAAACTCCACTGCTGCTTTACGGCGAAAGTATGAGGATTTGGAGCAGAAACTCGAGGCTACTCCGTTATGGGTTTTGGTATCTACGTATCTGAACTACCTGATCTTGATTTTGTACGGCCATTTACGAGATATCCTCGGCAAAGTCTTCAAACGAGATGAATATGCTCATTTACGTACCCACAACGTTTGTATCCTGTCCTACCACTTCCGATCCCCCCACTCTTGGCCTAGTACTAACAACGTGACTTGAACAGGGATATGCTCCGTTAGTCTCTGATTTCGATTCTTTCTACACACGCCGATTGTACATGCGAATTCGGTAGGTTTCTTTCACCAAAAAGTTTTATAATCATTCAAGTGGAACCGATTTTAAACTTTAATTCCCCAATTTTTCAGCGATTGCTGGAATAGACCTATCACAGGTGTCGCTTCTCGTACGGTCAAGTTGTTGGACAGAACAAGCGATGACTTTAACAAAACCTTTAGGTTCGTTACATGTTTACCTGTTTAGTATGGCTGATCGGAACAGACACTGATGTTATCTACTTTTCCCCAGTTTGACTGGCACTACCACCGAAGCCGTCAATTTTGCTTCATATAACTATTGTAAGTTAGAAACCACCGCATTGAAGTAGTTGAAGCATGCGGTACTAACCGTTTAACTCCAGTGGGTTTTGCTCAGAGCGCCGGAGAATGTGCTGATGCAGTTGAAGAAACTGTAAAGACCTTGGGTGCCTGCAGTAGTAGCCCTCGATCTGAAGCTGGTGGAAGCAGCTTACATCGTCAGCTTGAAGGCAAGGTAGCACAGTTTGTTGGAAAGCCGGCCGCTATCGTTGTTTCCATGGGGTTTGCTACAAATTCGACAACCATTCCTACATTGGTTCGAAAGGGCTGTTTGATCATTAGTGACGAATTGAACCACAGTTCTATCATCTTTGGAGCCCGACTTTCTGGAGCTTCCATTCGTGTCTTCAAGCATAACAACATGGACAGCTTGAAACTTTTGCTGCAAGAGGTTATCTCGCAAGGCCAACCTCGTACTCACCGACCTTGGAAGAAGATCATGGTGATTGTTGAAGGCTTGTGTAAGTGAAGCGACTTCCTGGAAAGGTTAAGATCAATCCCATTTTCCAGCATTTCTCATTTTTTCCACCAATCAGATTCCATGGAAGGCTCCATTGTCAATTTGCCTGCTCTCGTACAACTTCGCAAACAATTTGGCGTATGTATCTATCGTGCCCGTCCATAATGCTAATGGAAGCAAACTAACCGAGATCGTTATGCAGTTCTATCTTTACGTCGATGAAGCACATTCTATTGGTGCTTTGGGTGAACGTGGAGGGGGTGTTTGTGACTTTTATGGTAAAGATAGCTCTTCCTATCACAATCAATGCCAATACGGTACTGACTATTGTTGTCAACTATAGGTATTAGTCCATCTCATGTTGATATCCTTATGGGCACATTCACGAAATCATTTGGCGCTGCTGGTGGATACATTGCTGCCAATAAGGTAGGAGTTGACATGAAGTTGAATTGCAGTACGTCCAAGAAGTAACAAAGTGAGCTTACACCAAATGCATTTTATAGGAAATCATTGATTATCTACGATTGAAGAATCATTCATTTGCATACGCTGAATCCATCACTCCTCCTGTGGCTCAGCAAATTTTGACTAGCATTACAATCATTCGTGGCGACGACGGTACCAATGAGGGACGCAAACGTATTCAGCAACTGGCCGATAATTCCATTTACTTTGCTGCTCGTCTTCGAGAAATGGGATTCATTGTTTATGGCGATGAAGGAAGTCCTGTCATCCCTCTTCTGGTCTTTAACCCAGCCAAAATACCGTATGTTTGCAAAAAGATTCTGCTCGTCGCATTGTCTGGTCACCCAGTTAGAACTAATCATCACTTTTATTATCTACAGTGCATTTTCTCGCGAGTTATTACAAAGAAAAATTGCTATTTGCGTTGTTGGATATCCCGCAACCCCCATTATTACCGCACGAGCACGCTTCTGTGTTTCTGCTTCGCACACACGAAAAGACCTTGGTAAGCTACATTCGATTGTTCTGACTTACACCACTCACCCGCTAACGGTTTGTCTTCCATCACCCGCAGACTATGCTCTGGAGCATATTAGTGAGATTGGTGATACTTTGATGCTCAAGGTCTCCCGAGCAGCTAGAAAAAAGTTAGAATAGAATAGTTAATTTTTGTGATCTATCCCTGTTGTTGTGTTTAACAGACCTGTATCATATCAGTATTTATGCAAAATCAAACTAAAAGCATGCTTCCCAACTTTTTTCTTTGCAAATTTGTGCCTGCCCGTCTTTTGTGTATTGAACAGACTTTTTATCTTGCTCCCCATCGGCTCTTCTTCAAAATGTGGTTTAGCATGCTGGCATGTGTCTGCCTACTGTTTGCCTTTATGTGGAGGCTATGGGCAGTTCTACCCAAAAGCAGTAGCAAACCTAGACGGCATAGTACATCTCCATGCAAGACCTGCATAGTGTTGGGATCAGGTAAACCCAGACTTAAACCTTTGGCTCTATGAAATGTAACGTTAAATGCTGAAGAAAAGTTCACACCAGGCGGCCATACAACCGAGATGATAGCGCTGATTCGCAATCTTGATGATCACCAATACGCGCCTCGCACATATGTCATAGCAGATACGGATTCATTGAGCGAGGTGAAGGCGCGACAGCTGGAGCAAGAGCGATCGGGCGTTGAACATAAAGATGTAAGCGGAAAGAGACCATCAAACAGTATCATAATTTGCAACCTTCTAATGGAGAATACATGGTGTCATTTCAGTACTTTATACTAAGAATACCACGATTAAGAGAGGTAGGACAGTCGCTGAGCAGTGTGCCCTTCAGCGTCGTCAAAGCTTTACTTGGGTCATTCAAAATACTATCTAATATGCCGGATCTAGTGAGTATCAGCCCCTCCCTCTCTTTGCTCGCACAATTTTCAATTGACCTATGTAATAGATCATTTGTAATGGCCCAGGAAGCTGTATCTCGATATGCATGGTGGCATATCTGCCAAGGGTACGATCAATACATATATATACCGCCATACAATGGTACACTAACCTACGTTCAATAGCTGCTGGGGATTAAGCACATACGCATCGTCTACGTCGAGTCGTTTGCAAGAGTCAAATCATTGTCTGTCACTGGACGGTTACTTTACCCAGTTGTAGACAATTTCCTCGTACAATGGCCAGAACTACTAGAAACATACCCTCGCGCTATTTATAATGGCACTTTAGTGTGATATGTAATATATACACACAGGATCAATTTATTACTACAATGAAACTTCCTGTTGTGATCTGATTTAATCCGATCTTGACTGCTACCGTTACCTAGCTTGGTTGCCACAGTGCTGGAAATGAGACTTTGGAAAGCTTTCTTCGCACACTACACCACCCTTATGTGAGAAGCTGGAGTTCGAGTCTCGGCTGATGGGTATGGGAGGACGACCTGTTTTAGGAGCCACATAGTCGCTGTCTTCATTTTCAGCAGACATAGCGCCAATAGCAGGAGCGGTTGCCACCCCGGAAGCGGCAAAGTCTTTGTCATCGAAATGGTGCACCTTGCAGTCGTGAATAGTGGAAATAGGTTCTGAAAAATGGAAAGAGAATTCCTCGTCATTAAGGATAGGATCTCTACTAGCTTCATGGTGTGCCCCGCTGGAGTGATGTTGATGATGCTGCATTTTGGTGTGAAAAGAAACAAAAAGTACTCTCGCAAGCGCCAATTTGACAACAAATATATGCAATTTGGGGATTTTGAATCGGCAGTACTGTCATTTTGTCGCCTGATTGGCGAATGGAATCGCTCGGGTATTAATGGGAAAAAAAAAACACCTGAAACCATTCCTATCGAATTTCTCTTTGGAACATCCAGCACCGCTCACAGCGTATCATATTCACCACATAGCAACAAAAGCCCTGCATATCATTTTATCGCTGCTTGATCTGAGGAATCACTGCTCACATCTTCCACCACAGGGTAAATCATTATTGGGTCATAATGTAATCAACTCTTTAGAATACCGCAATAGCTATTGCCTTTCATCTACATCAAATCATCTCCATAAGACTGCTGTGGATACGCATTTCCGGCAGCTTGTGGTGCTCCATAATTATTGCTTCTGATGTTTTCACCAGGAACACCCAAAGATCTAGCCAACCTTGCGATCTCATTATCCAGGAATGTTATGTTTTGCCGCCGAACTGTCTTTGCCAAGAGTTCGCCGTCTCCATGCTCATAAGCCTTGATTAAATCATCACTGATCTCTGCTTCCTCTGATTGAGGAAAGCCGGCATCACGCCTAAAAAAAAAGAGCAAGCGATAAAATTAGAACCTTTCCGAAGGTTGACATATCATCCTACTTCAAGAAAAGAAAAAAAACGTACGAGCAAAAGTTGTGGAATTGTTTGTTTGCCTCGACCTCATCTCCCATGGCTAAACTGAGTATAACGATGCTGAGGTTGGCCTTGTGAAGGGCTCCCCTGTTGGTCATTTTTTGCAAAACAACAGATTGTCGGTTCAACATATCCGCAGCTCTATCATATCTGGAAACGCCAAGCAAAAGGTCAGTCATGAAACTTGAGCAGGGTTATGCCTTCAAACATGATGGTTTTCCTACTTTTGAGTCTTGACTAGCAATGAGATAGCCTTCTTGAAGGTGTCCATAGCAAACCGACCGCGATCTTCCTGTTCATACAACGAGCATGATTGCGAATACAGATCAATAGCAGCATTGACATCGACATTTTCCATCACCCTAAGTAAAACAGGCACACCATGTAAATTCAATGATCCGCTCGCAAAAGAAAACCCAAGATTCATCTTGATCCATTTCCTCCAAACTTACTTGGCAGCCTTCTCCAGTTGCTCGGCACCACGATCCACACTACCTAATTTTAGATGACAGGCATGTGTTAATTATTCCATTCTTTGGCACTGCCTCCAATATCCGCCAATTTACCTTGAGTAACAAACAGCTCACTGGCACGTCTGTAAGCATCTGCTGCTCGGTCAGGTTGATGGAGATTTTGAGCAAGAATTTGAGCTGCGCTCTCCATGGCTTTACCAGCCAAGTGTGTACTGTGAGTGATGTTCCACGCAGTATCAATCAATTTGAAAACAAAAAGTCGAAGGAAGTGATTGGTTTTAGCGTACTTAAATGATAGACAACGTGGTTACTAAACAATACGATCACTACGTACGCATCTGCCTTCAACAAAGCCTCTGATGCCTTATTGTAGGCCTGCACGGCTTGTTCGTAAGATTTTCCAACTTTAAAGGCAGTTGCTATCCAATTCAGAGAAATGGTCAGCGTCAACCACATTTTTCGAACCAAGATGATATAAAACTATCTACCTGCTCTTTCGTAATTTTGTCCAGCTATATCCCAGTCAGGTTTCTTAAAGAGCCCCTTTTGAGAGCTATTATAGTGAATTCGGTAACACGGAGTGGATTGAAAGTGTGAGGTTGTGAATTGAGCGTTCATACATTCTTACAACTGCGGTTGAAAACTCACGCCTTGTCACCATCTTGCATCAGCTTGACGGCAGTCTTAATTCTCTCAGCCTCCATGATGAATGTACTAGGTCGCAGAAGTCCGAGAAAAGCGTGGCAGTGACAATGTGCTCGAAAAACCCAGCAATAGGGGTTAGGGTCAAGATCGCAATTTGCAGTGGAAAATTAAATAGATTATGTCACTAGGGCAGCAACACGAATTTTATCACTAAAAGCTGAGGTTGGTCCAAGCCCCCCATGCGTTGCCGCCCAAGAGCGATACTGAGTGGGGCAGACTCAGACAGCGCCATACTTTTATTGAGGCTGACCCACTGCATCAAATAAATCCGCTGATGTCAAACTCATTTACACGGCGACTTCCCGAAAGTTGCGAATGTTTGTTGTGTTATATTTAAACGAGAGATGTTTACGGTGGGCAGCGTCCCATGAAACATTATCATCATAAAAGATGACTAGCAACTTTTGAAGGGGAATTTATGCATGTGGACGTTACCCCTCGCATGTGGACCTGTAAGAGCCTTAAATCAGCAAACAACATCGTGCAAGGGGAAAGCTTCCAGTAGCGAGCGAGCATTTGTACCGATTGCCAAATGAATGGGATCCCAAGCCCGCGTCTTATTTTGTCTTTATTTAGAATGTATATTTTTGTATTTTTAACTTGAATGGGGCAAAATACAGGTCTCTAAGCCACTCATAGTGCCCCTGGGTTGAACGCCTTCGTCTGAGCCCAACCCAACCACTTTAGCTATTTCGACATCGAAGGTGCAGAAAAGAGCTCGCAAGTTGTTGGAAAAATTAGCATGAATTGCCGACAAAAGTCAGGTACTGACTCAGTTATAGTGGGTGACCTGGGTATATAAGCCAATTTTTAAGTTACGCAAAAACCGAGTAAAAAGCGGCGGTGACTTTTGTGCAACCTAGGTTATCTATTAAACGGAAAGCACTGTTGATGCCAATCGAAGCCAGTCAGCCAGCGATTCTCTTGGGCGGAAGTTACGTCTTTCACAGCATTGCTGCTTTCAACTTCTTGGCAATGGTCTGGCTTCTTTGTCATTGTTGTTAGAGGCTCTGCAGTTTGACGTCGTTCAGAATTATAATTTTACCTGATTTGATAAAACTGTAAATACACATCCGGTAAGAATCGTCGCGCGCATCGGTGCCACTTTTTTCCTGAGCTATTTTGCTCCTCATGGGCTGGCTTGATCTTTGCAGAATCTCAAAAATAACTCAGCAAATGTACGAACGCATAAGCCCAAAAAATTCATTTAAAAATGTCGTTGTTTTTCTGCTCTTTTTTTTTTCTCTCTCCCTTCCCTTACCACTCTTCTCACCGAATATGTTTGCTAAGCAAATCCTCGCTTTGAGCACCATTGTCGCTATGGTGTCAGCGCAATCCAGCTCCGTACCCGCCTCCAGGTACTTCATCGATTTTTGACAGCATGATGACGTTCCCGTCGTTTTACAACGCCCTTAGATATTAATCAATCCCATTCATTATTATAGTGGTACACCAACTAGCTCTGGAGTCCTTGCTCAAACCTCTCCTGCTTGGCTCTCTACCGTTACTCCCATGGCTGGCAACGTCCAAGCCGTTCCCTCTGCAGGTGCTGCCGTTCCTACCGGCACTCTTGCTGCCGTCACTATCAACACCGCCGATTACCCAACTCCATGGGAAGTCCCACCCACCAACAGCACTGGTGTCCAAGCTGCCATTGCTGCCATTGACTGGACCAAGGTCCCAGCTGCTCCGGTTCGCACCGCCAATGCTAATGGTGATTTGACTTTCACTGGATACGATGCAAACGCCGATCCTTACTGCTGGTGGAGTGACAGCAACTGTGTCAAGCCCAAGGTCGACTACTTGCCTTCCGATATCTATAACTGCCCTAAGCCAGGTGATTGGGGTTTGACTTATGATGATGGTCCCTTGAATCCTGCCAATCCAGGACAAGCTGATCAATGGGCTGAGCCTCAATTGTATGATTTCTTGGCTGCTCACAACCAGAAGGCCACTTTGTTCTGTAAGTAGTAGCCCAATGTTTTGACAGAAACATAGCAGAAACTAATTAGAAACCGTTTTCTTTCGCACAGACATCGGTTCAAATGTTTTGACTTTCCCTGCTGCTGGTCAAAGAGCCTTGGCTGATGGTTTGACTATTTGCGTCCACACCTGGTCTCACCCTCCTATGACCACCCAAACCAACGACCAAGCCGTTGCTCAATTCTACTGGACTCTTCGTGTTATCAAGGAAGCCACTGGTATTACTCCCAAGTGCTGGAGACCTCCATATGGTGATGTTGATGATCGTATTCGTTCCATCGCTTGGCAGATGGGTATGCGTACCATCATCTGGGACGAAGATACCAATGACTGGAACATGCCTGGTACCGGTGGTGGCAACCTTTCTCCTAACACCGTTGATGGATATTTCCAAGGATGGATTTCCGCTCGCCAGAACGGCACTGACAATGCTAGTGGTCACGTTGTTTTGGAGCACGAATTGAACAACGCTACCGTCTCCATGGCTGAAAAGTGGCTTCCCACTCTCCAAACGACTTTCAATGTTGTCCCTGTCCATGAATGCCAAAACATCTCTCAACCTTACTGGGAAACCGGCTTCATTTATCCTACCGAGGATGCCAGCAATGCTACTACCACTACCAGCATGTCTCTTGCACCTAGTGCTGCCCCCACTTCTGCAAGCGTCAATGCTGCCTCTGCTGCTTCTGCAGGTGCTGACGCCTCTGCCGCTGCCTCTGGCACTGCCAAGAGCGCTGCTGGCAAGTTGGCTGTCGGTGCCTTCACCGTTGCTGCTGTTGTTGCCGGTGCCATGTTCAACTTATAAACAAAGTTGCAAGACCTTCCGTTGTTAAATTTTTTTTTTCGCCAGCCATCGTATAATAGTCAGTTAGAGTTTTGATATCCGCTATGTAACTTTCAATCCTTAAATCCATGTAAAAGTAATCAAATTGAATGTGACTGACTGTTCCCGATGTTCTTTGCGAACTATGTGCTTCCATTGACAGACAATACCGAGTAATGAGAGAATGGCCTGCGTAAGCTAATTAAAGTCAAATTTAGACCTCCGTACAAGTGTAACCGTAGGACATTATCGACAAGGTTACTCTCGCTCGTGAGTACGAACTATCCATAGCGATAAGTGGGACCTTTTGGTATACATAAAATGTATTTTTGGAGCTCGCACAACATCAGGTTATCACAGCTTGTGTCAGCTTTACTTTCATTCAGAGCACAAGCTTTTTTTCCATTTGTCATATTGAAAACCTTTTATCGTGGTGTTATGTAAGCCAAATCGGTTTCGTCAAAATGATGATAATAATATTTTTTTTACTGAAACAACGTAGTACATTCGAGATAAGTTGTTCTACCGCCACTAATTAGGGAATGCCTAGCTAGGATAATAATGGTTGTTATTGATACTTGGGCTGTTATTGGCTTTTGCTACTCTTTGGCGTTTTAGGACTGTTAGGATCCTTGCTCTTTGATAAAGATGCTACTTTTGCTTTCAATGTGTCAATTTTAGGGCCTTTGGTACCAGCTAGATTTCGATTGTATTGACCATACAGTACTTCGGCGCCCTGTGAAATAGATTGAAGACGAGTTTGGTAAATAAATATCCATGTTATCGTTTAATCATGATATCACCTACCCGGAATTGAGGAAGAGCGAGCCACAAAAAGAAAATTGTCTTGATCAAAAACCAATACGGAACCCAATACAATAAAGCATTCAAAAAGTATTCCAACATTTTGACGGCTCCAAAAATGGACCAATAAGTAAGCCATTGGCGGTCATCCGCTGTAGAAGGAGTTTCAATTGCTTTGAACTGGCAAAGGGAAGAGACGCCATGGATACACATGTTAGTCGCCAAGACCTATGGATATAACACCCTACATCAACTCCTCATCATCTACTTACAGAAGCAATAACTAAGTTGGCAAGGTTATTAGTGCGCATTCAAACCTCAGGTGAAGAAGCATAGTCAGAAACTAACTATCTCCACTGGTCCCTGCCTATTTATATTTGCCACCTAGGACGCAAAAGAAAAACGACTACATACCTGGATAGATCCATGCAACAGCATCGGTGACGAGCTCTCCAGCAATATTGAAGACAATCAAAACCAATAGGATTGCCAAACCACCGAGGAACAAATAGACTTTGTCGATCTTAGTCTGAGCTTCTGCGTCTCGAAATACTTTATGCTTCGATAGCTCTGCGTCTAAATTCGCATGCTGTTTTCTAGCTTGGACTTGGACGTCGTCGAGAGTGTACATGGTGTTGGGTGGTTCTTCGTTTGAAAAGAAGGTAAAAGGTGAAAAGGGAAAATTCGGGCCACAGTACGGAATTTGCGTATGACGGCATCAGGTGCGTTTCGATTTTCGGCAAGGTGGGTTTGTCTTGGGTGCCGCTAGGCAAGTGTTGGAATTTTCACGTTTTATTTGACGATTTTCCCATCTTTTGACCTGACAAAAAAGTGGCATAAAGCAGCACAGATTTGCAGTGTATCAATGCACATGAAATGTTGCTTTGTCGTGTACAAGGGCAAAGCTTTTATTCCGCAATTTTCAATGCGTATGGCTCCGCTTTTACTGGGTTCGGTCATATTGATACAAAAGCTGATAGTGTGCTTTCAAAGTAGTATGCTAAATGTCCATGATTGTATCGATAGTATATGGGAAGCATTCAAGCCTGAGGACTTGTTTGGAATGTGCACAGATGAATGAAGCACCACATTCACTTTCTGTACTGATCCAAGCGTACAAACCTGTGCCTGAATGACGTAGTTGTGGAGCGTGTATCAATAAGGGTATTGCATTGGAATTTAAAATGCTGATAAAGGCACATCTTTCGAGCATGTCGCCGTCCGACCCCATCTGCGTGACCATAACCTTTTAAAAGGATGTCTGGCCTATCAATTATCGTTGGCTAAGCGTATGTACAATTTGATAGCAAGACATTCCATCGATGAAAATATATCAAATTTCCATCGGGTTGAAACTGGGCTATGAAAATCTCGTAGTACATGCTCACTTTTGTAATCAGCCTTCAATACAGAATCCATAGTTCATGTAAATCTGCTTCCTGAATGATCAGAAATCTTGAGTTTAGATAGGAGTACTCTAGGCTTTGATACATCGGTCCTCATTTCTGGGTCTTAAAACAGGTTCTATAGCTTAGGCTAGCGTGGCTCAAGTAATTTTAATACCAGAAGTCTTTACGTTATTGGTTGCAGTGCAATAACTTTCCTGCCTCATGTATCAGTAGTATCATTACCCGTGTTGATAATATGCTCTTCTATAGTCAGCCAGAGGAAGTCTGAATCCATGGAATATTGAGAAAGCAAAAAATTTTGGGTTGACAGCAGCACCTGTTGCTGTAAACCGAATTATTGAACTACCGCTTAACGCACCAGGGTGTTACATACCTTTCCGTTATACCGGCCAAAAGAATTTTACAAGAATGCAAACCATTGAGCCTCCGTTAGTTCAGCAAGGTAAGGTGTAATCACTTTTGCAGATCAGTGGTAGTTGCATAGAAGTAATCATTTTCTGTCTTGGCCTAGATGCCAACCATGCCGAGAGCACAGTTGGAAAGGAAGACACCATGAAGAATCTCGAACAGAAACTACGGCACACCGTCCTCCAGCCTGAGCCAGTGATACCTGAAAATAATCTAGATAGCGAAACAAACGGCTTCTCGCAAAAATTAGACCCTATGCTAGACTCGCAAAGTTCAACACCCATCTCCGATACAACGCCAGCAGCGGTGGGTCAAGAAATACCCGCAGGAGAAACTACGCAGGGACTTACAGAAGTACTGGAACCTAGGTCGGTACAACAAACAATAGACACGCGTATAGATCAAATTGAAGCCAATGATATACCAGATGAGGGCCTGGCAAAGGAAGTGCGAGAAGAACAGGTGCATACCGAGGAGGGTACGTCACCAATGGAACCTCAACCTCTAGCTTTGGTACAGGAGGTAGACGAGTATTTATTAAAGGAAATCGATTGGATCGATCCAAACACAGGAGCTGAGAAACGAGTGAAAATCATAACACAAAACAGTAAGTGCAACAATTGAAGTAGCTCCAGATGAAGGTGCTAAATAATCTTTTTGCCACTTTTTACAGAGAATGGGCCCTGCCCACTAGTTGCTATCAGTAAGTACACTGATTTCATCCATGCTTTCATTGAAGCATGCGAAATGGCAGATGCTCACCAAGTTTGCTGTGTGTTTGTATGCGCTCTAGGTAACGTTTTACTCCTGAGGGGAGATATTGAAGTAACCCCGTTTGGCCGTCCATCGGTGACGTTTGAATATATCGCTAGTCAATTAGGAAATTACTTGCTCAGTCGTGCACCTAGTGCTCCCAAGGTATGGATACCTTTTTCCGGTACCTAGTAGGGCGCAAGTGTACCTGCATAGAAACTCAGGTTTGATTGTTTAGTCTCCTACGGAAGAAGTGGATGAAATCGGCAATTTGCAACAAACCAGCGAGGCATTGCCTGATGGACCACAACGACGAAGATCGGCTGATTACTTTATGGATTATCGCTATAATTTGAACAGTGCACTCTCCATGATACCAAACCTTCAGTCCGGGTTAGGTAAGTCGGTTTACTGGGCTTGGCCACCTCTCCTGTATTCTGTACCACCTCGTGGCTCACAGCAAGCTTCTCTACCTTTACTGTTTTGGGGGGATTGGGATAATAGACATCAATGTTTATTTTAATTCAATTAATGGGTTCGAACCAACTGCCGAACTGGCATTGTTCGATCTGTTCGATGTGGACCTTGTACACGGGTGGGTAGTGGATTCGGAGGTAAGCGATTCAATGTTACAGCTAATAGGAAGGAGGTAAATGATATGCTAATTTCAATTTCCGTAAGCAGGACAAGGAGACACAAAAAATTGTGGTCAATCGCTGCGGGTCTTATAATGCTGCGGTTGAATGCGTCATCTCTAGTGATATTGCAAGTCGCCATGATAATTCCAGCTTATCAGAACAGGACAGAACAGAATTGATTCACGCCGGTAAGCCATTTAGTGAATGTCACAAAAAAAAATGTGTATGAAAAGGGGCGGTTGGCTGGCTGACACGGACCTCCACCGGCTGGGTTCGGGCTTTGGTGGACACCCACCCAGTGTTATTTTTACTTTATAATATATTTTGGCGGGACTGGTGTAAGTCTTACACACACTTCTTTGGTTGCTTTAGGGCTTGTCGTTTCACAGTTTTTGGAATCCAACGCTACTCAGCTGACTTATCATGGCCTACAACTTCTCATGGATTCCATTCCAAGGGGGAAGCTTAGCGTACTCTTTCGTAATAATCATGTAAGTGTGAAAAACGAGCACCAATGGTGCATGGTAAAATGGGCGTGTGACCTGAATGGGATTTGAGGCTATCAGGCACCCCTCGCTTGAGTCAAAACAAAAGATGCGCCACTAACATAATGACTGGTCGTTTTCAACCACATTGTTGTTTTTTGTCGCGGGCATTAGTTTTACACGCTGTACAAACACCCTGACTTGGAGCTGCTGTATACGTTAGTCACAGATAGCGGATTTGCTTACGAAAGGGCTCTTGTGTGGGAAAGTCTTCAAGACGTTGATCAAGCTCTGGCCGCGTTTTATGACAGTTGGTTCTGTCCCAGCCATGAGAATTCGCATGGTCTACAGGACGGTGTAGGTTCTAGCTCAGAAGATCAGCCACAAGCCTCTATAACACAACAACAGAAGGATCTGGAGTAAGTTGAATTTTTGTATACCGACACGAGAGGTGGCACATTTTTAATCAACCACTTTCCAGTTACGCTTTGGCGCTGAGCCTGAAGGAACATCATCCACCCACTTCAGATGATCAACCAGTGCGGGCTCCCAGAAAGCGGGCGAAGAGGCCCGCCAGCTGCATTGTGTCTTGATATTGGTCACCAACTAGTTGGTAGACTTTTCCGTATATGGCAATCATCTTAAAATTTTGACTTTTAGGCAGTCTCACACCCCGACACAAGGGCAAAAAGTAGGAGCCTGGAATCCTGCCGACCCGGTGATTCTTCTAAAACGTCTAAAGCTGTGTCAAGTGGGAGACAGAAAATCTAGATGATTCTATAAGAAAATAAAATGAAACAACGCCTTTACTCTTTCTTTTCTCTATTAGGAGAATTGGAGGATTTTAAATCGGGTTTTATTTTTATATCGAGTTAAGTGTTGAAGGCAACGGGGATTCTAAACAACAAAATTTGCCAAGTGACGAAAGCGGCGTCGCATAGGAAGCACAGTGTAAAAAAAAAAAAAAAAAAAATGCAGTCCGACTGGGAGTGTTCCCTATATTTGCCGTCCACCCTCGTGCTATAGATTGAATGATATGGAATGAAGTGGGAGAAAAAGAATAAATTTTTAATTGATTCATCATTCTAACAACATTCAAGCGATCGGTTAACCGCTTTGTTCTCAAAAAGCTCATAGATCCAGAAAGATCCTTTCTCCGCAATACACAAATTAGGCGCTATCTTCCATCTCACTGGGTCGGGTATATGTGACGTGAAAGTCCAGCGCGTGCTTTGATTCGTCGATCAGCTTTCTTTTCTCGTATGGACCTTTTTTTTAGACCTTCTAGTCTTTGAGCTTGAACCAACTAAGCAATCTATAAATTGTCCATTTGCCAAATTCCTCATTGGCGTGGAATCGTCCCGTGACTTGAAGACGACTTCGCTCAATTCATTTAGCATCTTTTTTTACATCTCTTGGCAGCTGGCTTGCTTTGCTCATTACCCAAACATTTCAACTTTTTTTTTTTTCCAGCCAGCCCGTCCCCATTGGAATCTTTTTCTTCCATATTCTCTTTTTCTTTACAACATCTCTCTAACTCTTTCTTACTTGGAGTTCATTCTTCTCGCCCTATACATACTCAGGCCCTATCCTATTAGCCACCCATCTTTCTGCGTTACCTTACTTCCTCGCAAACCCTATCTATCAACACTTTTAGAGACGATCCATTCACCCACGCCCCTAAACAGCAATTTGGTCCAGACAACGCTGCTGAGCTGAAATTCTATCCTTGCATGCGAGCTGGTAAACGTAATAATCAGGGATCAGATCGAGATTCAGTTTCTTCCACTTCCTCTACGAAATCGGAAGATGCTCTCTCAAGTTCCATGATTTCGCATGACCGGAGTTCTGTATCTCTTGCGCCCTCATCCACAACCGCTGACCCTATGCCATTACCAGTGCATAAGACTCAAGCTGCATTTGTGAACAAGTTATACAGGTAAGCGTCTGTTGCTGACCACCACCAATTCTCTCTTCTCCTCCATTGCTGAACTGGCTTGTTTTTATTTTAATTTCGTAGGATGTTAGAAGACCATGAAATGCAGGACCTCATCTCATGGTCGCAGTCTGGAGACCTTTTCAGCGTCTCTAACCCCACACAATTCTCAAAGGTGGTCTTACCACAATATTTTAAGCATAACAACTGGCAAAGTTTCGTTCGTCAGCTCAACAGTACGTATATCACTTCTCCTCCTTAATCATCGCCAAATGGTACATTCACATCATGGTGAATTTTTTTTTTTGGAACCCTCCCCCCTCGCTTTTCAACCCGCCTCACCCTTGCTATCCCTTCTCATAGTGTATGGATTTCATAAAGTCAATGATATGATACATCATTCCAACATTACCAACGAAAGTCAAGCTTGGGAGTTTCGGCATCCAAGCTTTCGACGGGGTGGCATACAGGAATTACAAAATATAAAACGGAAAAGTGCGATCCGCGCCGATAGATACCCAAAGAATTCTGGAAATAGTTCTATCGCCACCAATGCAGCTTCTAGTCGACTAGCGAATGCTGCCGAAAACCTTCCCACAGAGTTACAAGATGATCAGCAAGACGCGCTTCAAAAGCACATATACGCTATGGAAAGTCAAATAAGAAAATTGGCGCATTCCTATGAGAAACTTCTTGCCGATACCACGGTCTTAAAGAAGGATCTAGCTCGACAGAATCATGTAAGTTTGTTTTCCAATTTAATGGATTGCTTATAACCAACCACTACTAATCGAAAACGCCCTTTTGAATCAGATGCTGACGGATATTGCAGCGCGCGTCAAATTGTACAACAGTAAGTAGTCATTAAAGACACAACGCTTTCTAACATGGCGCTCTAACCACGCCACCTTGCTTTTTTTTTTTTTGTTATCTCGCTACCTCCAGACGAGGAAAGTTCACCAACCTCACAACGTAGTCAGCCTATGAATGGTATGTAATTCCCGTTTTAAATCCCTGATATGATGTTCACTTTTTACGATAACTCATCCCATCTTTTACTTTTCATGCATGTTTAGGTTCATCCGACTCGTCAAATAGTAGAAGCACTTTTTACGAACAGGCACCACCACCGCGACGGCCAAATTATCAAACTTCGCAATCTCAATATACTCACAATACTCAGCACAGTCCATGGAACGATTCAGCCTATAGTTCAACAGGAGAAACAGGATCAAGTATACGAGAACTTCGCTCGGTGTTACCCCCACCAGCAGGCTATACACAGCGTCGCCAAGGATCATTACCGTCTCCGCGGCTACCTTTAAGTCGGCCGTTTACCAAAGACGAATCCGTCAACACGCGGCCAGATCCGTACACGTACGCAAGGGATTCTGCCTCTACAGATTCTAGCGAACACTGGTCTCAGTCAAGCAATGACAAATCTGCACAATTATCACCCATTACAAGATCCTCTTTTCGACCATCGCTACCATCGAGAGGAGCCAGTTCTCCATTCCCCATGAAGCAAAATACTCAGATGGGGCTAGGCCGTGAATCGAACCTGCTTAATGTCACCAATAGGGACGACGCTCCAGGTAAGTCAACATGGCTCGAATGGCTTGAATTTAGTGAATATCGGTGATCTAAAATGATAACCCAGCGTTAATGTCCATTGCAGCTCGCACCGTTGAGGACCATCGACAACCTGAAGATGCCCATAAACGCCGTCGTCTGTAATCCCATTGTCGCCCCAGTTATTAGCGCTATATATAGGAAATAATTCTTCACAGCTCTTATCGCCCAGCCAGACAGACCCACAAAGCAAGCTGCTCCTCTTCGAAAAAAAGGGCCACTCGCGATGTTATGCTCTAGACCGCAACATCCGCCTTTCTCTTCTGGTTTTTTTTTTTCCTCAAAACAATGAATGGAATCTCTGGGCTTTTACTTCTGTTTCTCTCTCCTCGTTAACAGCAGCAATACGTATGTACATAACTCTTCCTCAACTACAAGCTATTCATTTTCATTTCTGTTGCGGTTTTGTTGTTATTCTTTTGTTCTTTTCCTTTCCGCGAACCACAACCTCTTTTATTTTTATTTCACGTACGCACTTAAAAGCGTTTTTACATGATTTATTCAACCATTTAAAAGCTCAATCCCCTCACACCCCAAAAAAAAAAAAAAATTCAAGAACTTCGTACTTTTGCTTTCTTTAGAAGAGAAAAAATTGTAGTAGATTGCGCATTTCAGTCAACAAAGATTTACGAAACCGCCGTGATGCTGTCCCTCTTGATCTAAGCTAAATGCAATTTTAATATGCGGAAGGCGCCTCAATGCTTGCTCATGGCTTGCTGTCTTCCGTAAATGTCAGTTTCCAATTGTTTGGAACGTTGACATGTTTACCATCAATGACAAGTTCTCAGCTGTCAACTGTACTTGCCATTTTGTACACGTACATAACATTGGTCACTGCGTGCATTTTCAAAGAACTCATTACAAATATCTGTATAGGTGGAAGAAACGGATTCAGAAAGCAGCATGCACACTCCTGTTGTCTGCAGTCGTCCACAATGCCTCCTTCTTTTCCTACGGACCCCAAAAAAAAAAAAAAAGGTGTAAAAATCAGAACCGCCATTTTTCTTTTCCTCTCCATCACTTTTTTTTCTTTCCTTTTCTCCCCGTCTAAGTTCCCTCAACCAGTATGGGAGTATGCTTATCGGCTGAGGAAAGAGAGAGCCGGCAACGTAGCCACGAAATAGACAAGCAGCTGGAAGAGGACAATAAGCGACTACAACAAGAATGCAAACTGTTATTATTAGGTATAAAATGCGGAAAAAAATCCCGTATTGTATACGATGAATCTAATTTTCCCAACATCCAAAGGCAGCGGAGAATCTGGAAAATCAACTATTGTCAAACAAATGAAAATTATCCATCAGGATGGCTATTCAACCGACGAACTACTCTCTTGGCGCCTATGCGTCTATAAAAATTTAATCGAGTCCGCCAAAGATCTCCTTAATGCCATGACCACAGTAGAAGCTCAGTTCGAAGTTCCTCATAACCAAGTAGGTGGTTAAAAATAGTTTCATTTCACCATGATGGGGTCAACCTTAGCACATGGTCAAACCACAGAAGGCGGTACCAAGAATGTCCAGCATGAAAAAAACGAGCGTCCGATTGCTTAATGAAGACATCTGCATATCAGCTAAAGTTAAAATGGGCAATATCATCGGCGGAGAACAGCTTTCAAAGGGCATAGACAGGGCAAGGGGTCCTCATAAGCATTTTTCAACCAGAAAGACCCCACCATGTACCCTTTAAACAACTTTATATTTATCCATTAACTTTTTGTCGTTCTCGTCTGTTGCATTTTTAGAGTCACGCACAGGTAATTCAGGATTATGCAACCCCTACCGACCCTAAGCATATTTTCAGCCCGGAAATCATCGTCAGCATTGAAAGTGTATGGCACGATCCCATTATAAAAAGCGTTTTGGATCGTGGTGGAAGTGAATTCTACATTATGGATTCGGCACCTTAGTACGTATGACGGCTTCGAGCTTTTTTGGTTTGATTGTTTCTCACCTTTCTTGTTAACCACATTAGTTTTCTCCTAGTTTTTTATCAGAAGTGCGCCGACTTTCTGAAGCAAACTATGTACCAACTGTAGCTGATGTACTTAGAGCTCGGTTAAAGTCTACTGGTATTTTGGAAACACGATTCACCATGGGCCAGCTCAGCATCCAGTAAGTGCACGGCAGCGGCGTTTTCCTCCCAGTTCATTCAAGTGAATTCCCACTCTCTCTTTTATTTTAGTATGTTTGATGTTGGTGGACAGCGGTCAGAACGGAAAAAATGGATTCATTGCTTTGAGGCAGTGACTTCCATTATTTTTTGCGTGGCATTGAGTGAATACGATCAGGTTCTTCTGGAGGAAAGCAAACAGAATAGAATGCTGGAAAGTCTAATTCTTTTTGAATCCGTCATCAACAGTCGTTGGTTCGTTCGCTCGTCCATCATCTTGTTTCTCAACAAGGTTGACATCTTTAAAACAAAAATATCAAAAGTGCCACTAGACCGGTATTTTCCAGATTATACAGGTACAGATAAGAAAAAACAGGGGCTGGCTGTGAAAAGAGTAAAGGAATGCTACAAAGGGAAAACAGCCCAACTTTCACTTTCTAATCATGCTTTATAGGCGGAAGTGATGTGACAAAAGGCGCTAGATATATACTGTGGCGGTTTAATCAAGCGAACAGAATGAAACTTACCATATATCCCCAGTAAGTACGCTTGATAGGTTGCATGGTTACTAAATGCACAAGACCTCACATTTTAATTTGTGGTTATAGCTTGACTCAAGCGACAGATACCTCCAGTGTAAGTTACTGAGCACTCATTTTCAACGCAAAATGAAATATTGAACTGATCACCTTTTCTTGTATATGCTGTCGAATATCTAGCTCAAGTAAGTAAAACTCATACTTTTTTGTACCTTCAGCGTCACTGCGAAATTTAAAACTAATTATCTCGCTCTACTTCTCTCAACAAAAGAAAAGTATTTCAAGCCCTCGCAGAGACAATTTTGAAAAACTCCTTGGTGGACTCTGGGCTCACCTAATACCCACCGACGGACTGGTTCAAAGGGCAATTAATACCTGCCTCACTACAAAACATGTAACTTTAGAGATGAAAGATTTTTTAATGGCATTTTGAGCTTAGGAAAAAAGCAATACAAAAATTCTGGTGGTGAATTAATTCAAAAATCATTGGGTTATATGGTAGTTTTGAATAAGTGCATATACTTGAGATATTGTGTGTGGTATGAAAGGATAATGTTTGTTCATGTAAGCATAAAAGTTCAAGTAGTGAAGTGTATTAAATGTGGTGGCTATTTCATCAGGGTAAACTGTATAGCTCGCATGCTAGCGTTTGTGTATGTGTGGATGATGGAAAGAGAACACTGGCATGATGAGGAGGTATATGGTTACGGCAAAATTGTCGTCACAGGTATAACATTCTTACTGCCAACCCCAAACTTCTTTTATCCACGTAGCGATGTCTACTTCAACACCATACCACTGTTTAAGGAAAGGGTGTTCCAGCATCTTCTTAGGGCCAGGACGGTCATTGGGATCTTTGATCAAGCTGTTCGGAATAAAGGTAGACATTGTCAGCCTTTCGACTCATTTGCACATCGCCCAGTCTCCTCGTAACATGCCAATCGGTATCTGGAAACTTACCAAGTCGCCACAAAGTCCCTGCATTCTGTCGAGCGATCTTTCCCAATAGTAGGCACAGGCTGCCTTACAATGTAGTCCAGCAGTTCAAAAATCGATAGGTGTGGTTGGCCAGGCGGTGGCAAAGCTGGAGCATTTTGTGCAATTTCGATAATAGTGAGCCCAAGAGACCAAATATCGGACTGAACAGAGTACTGTGCACCTTTGATACGCTCAGGCTAAAACGAAAATCATACTATGAGTACGCAATATGGCATTGACCCGCACATGTAAGGAGAGCTTTGCGAACTTACCGCCATGTAGTACTTAGTACCAGTAAAAGTCTGCGCTAATGAATTGATAAGCTCTCCTGAAACGCCCAAGTCACACAGTTTGATGTTTCCGGCTTTGTTAATGACGATATTCGATGGCTTGATGTCTCTATGAATCACCTGCTTGGAATGAAGATAGACTAGCCCTAGGCAAACCTAATCAAAAGTAAACAAAAATGTGCATTCGTGTCAGTATGACATGGTAAATCCATCGATATAACCGACCTACTTACCGATTCTGCAATTTTGGCCAACACAGGTTCGCCAATAACGCCGCCCAGTTCTTTAGCACGTTTGTAGATATCCTCTAAACTGCCAGCTTCACAATATTCCATACAGATGGCTATGGTTGTGTCGCCGTCATCTAGGAAAGCGCCATAGAATGACACGATTTGAGGTGAATTGCAGGTTTTGAGAAAGGATAGTTCTCTCAGTATTTGCCTTTGGACATCCGGGTCCGGATCTGTTGTAATCGACTATTCAAACAAAAAACGCGTCAGGTATGATTGACACACTTTCTCAGTGATTTTCAGCATACACACACCTTCTTAGCCATGATCAAATTGGAAGGCTTGTGAAGAACTTTCATGACGGTTCCTGAGGCGCCTTCGCCAAGCTTCTTTATGTTATCAAACTCTTCAGGTTTGACTTCACCGTATTGTCTTATAAAAGAGGCTTGCGCAGAAGTGTTGTCCGAGCCATTGGGAGAGCTGGCGGAAGCATTACTAAGTGTGATGCGTGCAATGTCTTCTCTCCACGAGCTAGTGGATTCAAAGGAATGAGACGGCTTTAAGCTTAACGTGGCTTGACTTGAAGAGCTTGCCGACGTAGTAGCTGAAGTTGAAGCCTTGAGATTGATAGGAGCCAAACGCAACCCTGCCGGTTTTCGTTGAAGTTTACTCATTGGCCATGCAGTAGAAAGAGAAGCAGCTTCTGTGTTTGGATCAGCTGCATTGACTTGTTTTTCAAACGTAGCCTCCCCTACTTTAAGAAATGTGGACCTGCCCACCACCCCATTCAAACAGCCTTTCCATTTTATTCAATATGCTTCGTTCAACGTTATGTTATTTATACGCATTGCAGACGACATCTAGACACAGTTACAGTGGTGTTTGGCATACAGCTTAACTTTATCACTCAGCTTTCATGCTGTGCACCGCGCTTGCTACAAACTGTTAGAATTTTTTTTTTTTTTTTTTTCACCAGGGCCAACTAATTTGAAATGCCGACAACCCAACTGCGGCTTGTTCAAAACAGCCAGTGACTCAGAGTCTTAAAAGAAAAAAAAACCTCAGCTTTTTTAGACTTCCATCCACAGCAGTAAATTCATTATGTCTACCGATAAATTCAACTGTCGAATGTACGAGAAGGAGTTCCCAGAGGTTGATGATCTCGTCATGGTGAACGTCAGACAGATCGCCGATATGGGTGCTTACGTCAAACTTGTAAGATAATCAATCCAACGAATCAAACACCTAATCGGAAACTCGAAATTGATCTTGCGTTTTTAGCTTGAATACAATGACAGAGAAGGAATGATTCTTTTGTCAGAATTGTCCAGAAGACGTATTCGTTCCGTACAAAAACTTATTCGTGTCAACCGAAATGAAGTTGTCGTTGTCCTCAGAGTCGACGAAGAGAAGGGTAAGGCTCGTTAAGCTTTTTGTTCATCCGTTTTTCAAAATAACCAACCAGCGTTATTTCATGAAAACCAGGTTACATTGATCTGTCCAAGCGTCGTGTTTCTCCCGAAGAAATATCCAAGTGCGAAGAAAAGTACAACAAAAGCAAAGCTGTTCACTCGATTTTGCGTCATGTCGCAGAGAAGCATGATATTGCCCTCAAGGAGTTGTATGAAACTATTGGATGGCCCTTGTACAAAAAATATGGTCACGCATTTGATGCCTTCAAGATGGCTATTATGTAAGTGTCTCATCACTTTACAACTGAACGCGAACCACTGACAATTAACTCCTGCATATTATCCACCAGTCAACCTGAAGAAGTCTTCGAAGGTATCCAAATGACTGCTCAAGTTCGAGACGAGCTTGTTGGTAACATTAAGCGCCGTATGACTCCACAGCCTGTTAAAATCCGTGCACGTAAGTATACTGCTGTTTACCACATATGATCCAAATCAGCGCGCTTTAACATATCCGCTTTTTCTAATAGAACTCGATTTGCGATGTACCGGTATCGATGGTGTCAATGCCATCAAGGCTGCTCTCACTGCTGGTGAAGCTGTTTCAACTGAGGAAGTCCCCATTAAAGTCACATATCTTGCAGCACCTCTCTATGTCGTTACTGCTGATGCTTTGGACAAGCAGCTTGGATTTGAAGTCATGGAGAAGGCTATCCAAGTCATGAAGGAGACTTTGGAAGAGTTCAAGTGGTCACGATTTAAGGTCGAGAAGGATGCTCAACTTGTTTCTGAAAATGACGATCGCGACTTTGCTGCTCTTATGGCCAAGGCTGAAAAGGAAAACGAACTTGTTAGTGGTGATGAGGATGAAGGCGATGCTGTTGCTGCTGCCAGTGACGATGATATGTGAAAATAGACATTTTTGTTATCTTTTCTCGCTCTTCCCTCTCCTTTCTCATTTCCAAAAAAAAGTGCATTAGAAGTAGGCTTTGATAGTGCCTCATCCCCCTTTCGCATGTCGTATATTACACTATATATAAAAAAAAAAAATAACTATGGCTGTTGAAAAAAAAAAAAAAGAGAAAACATTTTGTTGGTAACTGCTCTGTGCAATTTTGAGCGCTGGTGTCGTTATTTCAATTCCCGACCAAAGTTCCAATAACCAAGTGGATTACGGCCACACTGATAATACCTCCTCTTTTTTTCCTTCAAGTTATTGAAATATGGTGAGCCATCTAACTTTGTTGACATGATATTGATTGCCATCCATTCTATGGATGATGGATGGATAGATAGATATCATCGACTCTGCCAACCTTTGCATCAAGAATGACATTTAGTGGAATCGGCCATCCCACATCTTGTAGACCGACATTTCGAAATATACCGCAACCATTCAACACACACACAAACATAATTCACATATCTTTTCCAATGCTGTGTGTCTTCCAAACATGCAATACGCCGAGACGATAATTTTGCACCTACCTTCCCAGAAAAAGAGACTTTGGTCGACTGTCATATTCATATATCAACGTTTCTCAAAAGAAGCTACATTCCAATCCTTTTGCATGCAATAATCGCTAATATTCTTTTTTACTTTCTTTCAGACCAAGGGTACCACTTCCTTCGGTAAGCGTCACACCAAGTCCCACACTCTCTGCAGACGTTGCGGAAACCGTGCTTTCCATAACCAGAAGAAGACCTGCGCTTCCTGCGGTTATCCCGCCGCCAAGATCCGTTCCTGTTAGTATACCCTTACCATTTTTGTTCTCACCATATGCGTCTTACTTACATTATGGCATATATAGTCAACTGGTCCGTCAAGTCTCAACGTAGAAAGACCACCGGTACCGGCCGCATGCGCCACTTGAAGGACGTCTCCCGTCGCTTCAAGAACGGTTTCCGTGAGGGTACCCAGGCCAAGAAGCAGACTGTTGCCGCCTCTGCTTAATTCCTTTTCAAAACGAAGTAATAAATCAAAAAGTTACAATGCTTTTCTATGTTACGACCCCCGTTCGCCCATTCCCTTTTCTCGACTTGAAACAGACCGACGAGTAAATGGTTGAAAAGCAAAGTGAAAATATTAATGATTATTGAATGGAGGTTGGATATTATACATTTTCTTTTAGTATACTATGCGTGGTATAACTATGCGGCTCAGATGGAGATCCCACTGCCCGAGATCAGAACCATTTTCCATCGCCTACTAGTGAAAGCTCGTTTTGAAGTTCTGAGATTAAGTCAATATTACTTTCCTCGATGCTGAGAGGAGAGGACTGCATGGTAGACGAAAAAATATCTCGGTGCCGTCTATCTTGTCTTGCCATGGCATCTGTCAGTATATTGCAGTAACTGTCGTACTTTATAATCTCTCGTCGAAGATAGTTTAATTTGTTGTGCCAGTTATTGAGAGCCTTCAATTGATTTTGTCTCCTGTTTGCAAACTAATGCGATGTTTTACCAGTGTTAGCAAGGATAGCATGTTTCCCAAAAATTTCATGTCCATGCAGATAAACAACTTGCCTTCGCTTCAATTTTTTTGTCTAGCATGCAATGTGTTTCTAATTGATCGTTTAGTTCGTCGAGATGCTTTCGGAGCTCATTCAATTGGCTGATCTCATCCAAGTGACTGGTGCCCATAGATGGTGCAGGTGGGGTCCATTCGTATACGTTGACAGTATCAGCCGACACACTCCCTTCCAGGAGCCTATCGCTCCAGCCATATTCCATGTTGATGACGCCTCCAGCAGCCGCCGCTCTGCTTTGACGAGCAGCCCAATAGTTGCAGATATCAACCCAGTCATTCACTTCTTCGGCTGAACTGACTTGAAACAAATTAACACCTCCATTGGGAAGCTGCAAAGCAAATACAAATGGTCTTTGTCGGTTGTACCCAGGAGCAGGTAAGGCGTTGGCTAAAGAATGAGAAAGCAGTATTTGATCAAGTAGATGTGTTGATGCCTGAATGTAATAAAGGGGTCAACGTCAGTGGCTAAAGCTATTTTCATCCATAATCTCGTATTTGCATTTTACCTTCCAGTTGCTGCCAATGAGATCAGTCATGGTGGACTCGTTTGTAGGTGGAGCCAACGATGATTGCAAATATGGCGTACTGCCATTCAGACTGCTAAGCCGGAACACACTTTTTCGATTGGCGTTGTCGCTCAATGCTACTCCGGCCACTGCGTAAACGCAAAGTTGGCCATCCTCTGTGTTCAAGAAGATTTCAGACCAATTGCGCTGTCTAGCTTTGATATCAGCACTTTCCAACAAATGTTTTCGGATGGCAAATCCCTGCTTGTTGTAGCGTGAATCATCAGTGGTATCTTTCTGGGTATTTTCGGCAGGGACATCTTCAATTTCACTGTCCTTTGATATACCGGCCAGTGTCACGGTTGCTGAACTGGCACTGTCCGAGATACGAGCAACTGGCTCCGCAGCATTTACTGCTACTGTAGGTGTTTCCGAAGTCTCATCTCCGAGCTATAAAGAAGTTGTTAATTTTGAGCTACAAGTGATATCGCTCAATGTTGCAGCACACTCTACCTGTTCCTTCATCTCAGCGCTAAATGTAAATAGCATGCTGCTTCGCACAGAGCGTCTTATCGAGCCCATACGACGTTTCAGATATCCATTCTTCCTTGCACCCGGCTGCAGTGGCTGAAGAATTTGATTGCCCTTCACGGAAGCATACATATCTCGCAGTAAGCTCTCCATTTGGTCTTCCCATACCTTGCTCAGCTGGATGGCTCGGTTATTCTGTTCCACTGGTGTACGAGTATCACGAACGGTCATCATAGTGTTTTTGACAAAAGCTGACCGAGTCATTCTAGTATGGCTACCCTGCGCGACGTGCAAATCTGTGTTCAAAAGCAATAGAGAATATACCACGGCATAGACAACATCTGCAAAGATATATGTTAAATTTGGTAGTCGACTTTTACTGCAATTTCTCGCCATGAACATACCTGAGGTACCGAAAAGGCTATCTGGATTACAGGCCCAATAACGTCTTGCAAACACCTCAAGCACTCTATCAATGACCTGTGCTTCTGCTTTAAGATACAGCTTGCTGCATAATTTTCTGGTGCAAATAAAGCCCATTAGTCCCAGTAAGCCAAATGTAATATTTTGCTTGTTTCCACACAATCCACATGTTTTCATGCTTACCTGAATGCCGTATCCAGTCGCATATGTGAGAAATCGAATTTCTTCATGTACAAGTGTAGCGCTCTAGCATTCAGACTTTTGCTAAATGGACGGAGATAACTTCATGTCAGATACCGGCATTTTGCCATATTTATACTCATTCACTAACCTTTGTCCGAGCCATTCTGTCATAGCCTCTTTCTCTACAAATGACTCGTCCTCGTCCCATAGAGCCTCAGCGGCTCGAGCAGCGTCATCTTCGTCTTCATCTGCCGATACTGGGGTGATCTCGAATTGTGGGGCGGACAATTGTCGCGGGTCCTTAAGGTCGGTGATTTCTAAGGACTCGTTACCCGCCATTAAGTCATCGAAACTTTTGGAAAAACTGTCAACGAAAAATCGAACCTCCTTGGGAGTGGAGACAGCACTAGAAGGTGACAGGTGAATGTCGGGTACAGAGACTAATGGCGTAGGTTTCTTTCTTTCATTAATTTTTCCTGTCTCAGTTTTGTCACTGTTTGTGTCGGTTTGCATATCGCGAATGAGCGAGGATCTTAACCCTTGTAAACTTTGCAAGCTGACCCTCTTGTTTCCCTCCAAGCTAGACCTCTTCCATTCAAGCATGGCTTTGACTAGACTATCGGGGGGTGGGGCCTTGAGGTCAAAGCTGTTCCTCTTCACCGGTTCGTCCATGATATTCAATACCAGACCTCCGGCACTACCGAAATTGTGTCCACTAAGGCGTTTTGATAATTTTGCTTCTGCTTTAGCTCGCTCCGCTTCCTCGGGTTCAAGTGCGTCAACGAAATCATCGCTATCAAGATCCGAGTCACTCGACACATCATCCAGTGCAGAATACATGCTCGCAGATTCATACTCGGTAGAAGTGGCTGTGGCATTGGACTGGGTGGATCTTCTTGCGTCGTTACTAAGATCCATACCGGTATTAGGCACCAACGGTAAAAGTTCACATTGAAACTGTGAAGGGGCGACGAATTGCTGACCATTAGTATGAATAGCTGTTTCTGTAGTGGTAGGTACAGTGTGATCATGGTGCAAGTCCTCCAAAGCTGCTTTGCTCAATACATGGGTTTCACGAACGCCACCTTTCGTCTCGTTTAACATGCGATTGACACCGCCATCTGATGAATTATCGACCTTCAATACTAGTGGTTCATCCACAACAGCTTGAATATCTTCGGAGCCAAATGTGTTGTAAATTGACATTGTACCATCTGACTTTCTTTTGTCGAACTCCACCGACTTTTCAGTTGGCTGCGCCTTTCGTCTGAGACTCGAAGTTCGTACTGGAGGATGGAACTGTTCGCTTACGGACTTGTGCATGATTGGGCGACTGTTCATGGTCACTCCAAGCGGAGCTACCTTGTTCTGTGTATTACCTTGAGCGAATGAATGCAAAAGCTGCTTATCAACATCAAAGTATGGGGCAGATGTTGAGGTTGTCATTTGAGGTGGTGGCCGAGAAACCAAATGAGAGTTCGCGTAGGTATGTGTTGTCTCACTCTTGGAAGTGGAATGTGGTGATAATACGATAGGCGGGCTGATATGATGTGGTTGCTCAACTGGTTTCCTACGTATCCATTCCCATCCTTTGCGCATAGTACTCTTTTGAAGTTTACAACCAAAAAGAGATAATATTTGATATGTCAGTGTTACAGAGCTCGGTGACCACCCATATGATTGTCCGAATTTTTTTTT